GCCGACGGCCCAAGAAATCCATTGTCGGCCGATCTTTTTCGAACGACCGAACAACACACAAAACAGGCTCCGGTTAACCTTACCCCTTAAGGCAACTGACTCATTCGAATCTTCAATCGCAATCGATCTTATCGAATCGAACCGAATCCAAGACCCGCTACTCCGTGAATCATCGATCTTCCCACGAACGTACCTCCCCTCCGATACGCAGCCTACTGTCATCAAAAAGGACTTCACGAGATACCTGCAGTGACCACGGAGAAGAGAATTACACCTGTATTCTTACTTTCTCACTGGCCACTAGTGGTTTCTCCCGACGTCCTTGTGGCACTGATACCTCCTGCTACTGTTACCACTCCCCCATTGATATCTATCTCCTCTCCAGAGGAACAACAAACAACAACAGATTCCTGTAAGACTTGAGTTCTGCTATCTCCAGGCCGGCTGCTTTCTTGGTTGGTTTACAGCCCCCCCTGTGGATATCCACTCCTCTCCAAAGGACCTACCCCCACAAGAACAACAAAAGTTCCCCTCTAGTACCACATATAGATTGTGCAACACCCCCTTATTGAACCACCACCTCTCTGCTCCTTCACCTTGACTCTCCTACTGAGTTTGTCTGACTCCAAAGGATGAGCCCCAGACAGAACTGCAGCGTGGTTTGGCTCAGATATCAACCACCGCCTGACCCTATTACCTCTCTAGCTGATTGTTGACGTGACTCCTCAGTCTTTGTCCATTCACTGAATCGAGTACCCTCACAATCTTGGCTTGACTCTCTGCGAAGTCTGTGGTGGCCTTCACCAGATTGAGTACCAGCCTTTGAGACAACACAGTGTCAACCAGTAACACAGCCCATCAACGATCCACCAACAACACCCCTTGATCCCCCCACCACTGCCTCTACTGGCTATAGCGTGACTTCTCCAGTTTTCCCTGAAAGAATCCCTATCAGCCTTTGGCTTTGATCCCTTCCTTTTTCAGTTTGTGGTAACTGTACTAGATTGGGACCCAGCCTCTGAACCAGTGGCCATCCCCACCCAACAGCTTTGATCCATACCCTGATTGCCAGTGCCCCAGAGCATTGGCCTCCTTGAATAGATTCCTTCGAATTAATCTTCCTCCCCACCTCACAAGCAATCCCTGTGCTTGAGTTGCAGCAACGACCCGACAGTCAACATTACACGATCCAACAACCTTCCCATCCACCAACCATCATGCCTACCACAGCAAACACACCCCACCCTCCTCCCTCCAGCATCATGCCATCTACAGCCCACAACCACCCCTCCAACATCCACCCCACAACCCCTCCTACAGTCCACACCGCCCCAGCAGACACTGTGCCTCCCCTTTGGGAGCCACTGTCTGCCAGTGCGTCACTTGGCCCTATCGCATGGCTCTTTGTCGGCTTCTGCCTGACATTGTTCGCCCACTGGATAGGTCATACCCTGCAATGGTCCAGTCTTAGGTGCGCCACCGCCTATGGACTCTGCTGGCATCTTGCCCTGCACGACAAGGCAATGGCCACAGCATGGGACCTGATCACTCAGACGCACCTGTGGTGGAGGTGGATCGACGATGACTGTTGTCGATCAGCGCCCTTCTAATAGGTTAAATCCTGGCTAGGCCACCGCGCTCCAGGTCATGATGGGAAGATGCACACTTCCGTTGTAAGTAGAGCTGTAGGGACCTGCCCCTTGTTCATGGGGCGGAGGTGAACGGCAGTGAGACTATAGGATAGTGTAGCCGTGCTACTATGAGGCATATCCTCCTTCAGTGTTGATGCTTGGTGTGCACCGTGAATCTTCCTATCGTGCAATTCATCAATGGTATACGACTCAGCTATTTGGGCCCTCGGGCTCAACTATTGCCAGCGTAGAAAAAGGTCCTCCGGACCCAATAGGTTGTTAACCTAAATAAGTAATTCAATATATATATGGCCTTTAACCCATCGGAACTGAACGTCGATACCCAGTTCCCTGATCTCATCGATAACAGCTCGGCCCTCAACACGGAGGTCAAAGTCTTTGCTATTGCACTGGGGGTTGAAGAGGGTTTCAAGGGCATTGAGGGCTGCTTGGCCATCACAACCAATCGTAATGCATCCCATAGTGATTTCATGGAGAATACAGATGGTGCGCATCACGATGAGTGCCCCAATGATACCTGCCAGTTCACTTCGATGGGAAGAATGGTCACCCGGGGAACCTGGGACAGAGAACTGGCCGTTGATCCGTCCCTTGTGGTCGGCTCCTTCAAGGACGAAAGCTGCAGTGCCAAAGGAATCTTTGTAGGAGCCGTCGCTAACCTGAATGCCGGAGCCAGTCAAGATGGATTTCGCAATCTGGGAGCCATCATCGGTAAAGCGAAGGTGTCCTAGCGCCCATTGGTCTGACTGTGGAAGCTGATCCAGGGCATCTTGGAGGGATTGGGAGCACAGGGGTGGTGGCTGGTCCGAGGCAGATGTCGTCACTGTTGAATCGTCACTGTCGGAGAGTCCAGAGGTGGAGTCGTCACTGTCAGAGTAATTCATTGGCTCGGAGTCGCACGAGGAGTGGTTGAAGAGTAGGACAAGTTCGGGTTCGTTGGGCGAGGCTTGCACAACGTTACGGACCACTGATGCTGTTCTGTAACCAATTGATGTGTGGGTAGGTGCCGAGGGGAGACTGGTGATGGGAGTTGAAGCTTCAATGTTGGGTTGATGTGGGACTGTCCATGTGCGAGGAACTGTGGATCGCCGATAGTGTGCACGGCGTCTGCCAGGGTTGATGCGTTCGTAGGGGGTCCAAAGCAATCCTTCCCTGTGATACAGGGTATCAGTTTCTGGGTTCCACATCCATGGCCAGAAAGAGATGGGGTCTTCCTTCCAAAGGCCGGGTATAAGGTGGGGCCGAATGCGTAGATTCTGTGGGCTGCCGTATTGCTCAATGAGACACTCTCTTAAGGCACCCTGCCAGACGAGAGTCAACGACGGGGGTAGAGACTTGGGTTGACGGGGCCATTCCATTCGGTGAAGGTGGGGTTCGACTTTGGTTCCGTTGAAGGATTGGGTGCGAAGTTGTTTGCCATCCGCTGTGGCAATATCTGCCACGGTGATGACATTCAGGAACATTCGCATGACATTCAGCTGCTTGAGAGTGTGGGCACTGTATCCGTGCTGAGAGAAAAGATCCATCAGGAATCGGTCATTGGTGCGCTGTGTGGTGAATCTAGCAGTGGTGTCCTCCATAGTAATGCCAAAATCATCCATTGACTTCCACAAAGTTTTCATCCAACAGTCGGTGGTGGAGGATTCGAAGGCTGTGTAGGGATGCTCTGTGAGCTGTCTGTTGGTTCCAAGCTCCATTCGGAGTTGTTCCATTTCCATCTCGAGGAGCTGACCAGTGGTATCTGTGTAGGTAAGTTTGTCCCATACAGTTTGGATGTGCGTGAATTCTTGCCTGAGCCAGGGATGGATTTCCCCCAAGCCCTGATACTTCTGGGGTGCAAACAGGACAACACGGGGGAAGTTCCGGGAAATGCCACACTTTGGAAGTACCGTTTGCCAGAGGGGTCCGATGACCTCATCCCACTCCGAAAGGGACAGCCGGATGGCTTTCATGGGGTAGTCCAAAGTTTTTTGGATGGTGGATTTGGTGACCAGCCACACATCGTTCTTCAGAAATCGTCCACTAGTGCGCACTTTGTTGGTAAAGGCATCCACCCGTTGTTTCAAGTAGGAGACTTGTTGGGTCGAGTTTCCATCAGGTGCGGGCCAGAAGCCAAGCCACTTTTCTGCCTCCGTAGGCTCTTTTCGGGACATTGGCTTGCGTCCGCCGTCCTTGTCACGGACCCACAGTTCGCCTGGCAAGTCCGCAATGGAACGGTAGATGAAGATATCTCACTAACTAGTAAACAAGAATTGTTTGCAACTGATGAACTCTATGGCAAATTAGATGATTGCCTAGAAGCTGCTCAACTAGACTCTGATAATCTATTTAGCATCGTTAACCTCGTCCGTGGCCAACCACCTCGTAAACGTCGCAAGACAAGAGACCTCAAACCCATCGTCTATGTTAGATTTAACAGACGAGAAAAAGGGAAACCAAAACCCGTTACACTCCACTGCTTACTGGATACAGGAGCATCCGGATCCTTGATTGCTCAAACTCATGCTAAGAAATTACGCATGAAGGATCTTGGGGGCGTCAAGACAATGTGGACTACCCCTGCAGGAGAATTAAACACCAGCACGAAGTGTAAAGGTGCATTTATGATTCCTGAATTCCACGATGATAGATTTATCGAATGGGATTTACACGTCACCAAGAGCTTGGGGGCGTATGACATGATCATAGGTCGAGACATTCTCTCCGACTTAGGATTTAAGTTCGATTTCACTACCATGTCAGTGGAGTGGGACGGCATATCTATTCCTATGAAAGATAGCGATACCAACGAAGAAGAGAACTTCTTCATTCCTGATCCTACAGCTGTCAGCGACAGTGCAGATCGTCTCAAGAGGACTCTTGACGCGAAATACGAACGACCTGACTTAAGGCAGATATGCCAGAGTCAAAACCAGGTAAATAAGGAAGAGCAGGAACCGCTTCATGCCTTATTGACCAAGTGCTCCGACCAATTCGAAGGTACTTTAGGAAAGCGACAAATGGACGACTACGAAGTAGAACTTCGTCCTGACACTAAACCCTATCACGCTAGGGCTTATCCTACTCCACGTGTCCATACCAACACTCTTAAAACAGAGGTCGAACGTCTCTGCGACGCAGGAGCACTTAAGAAGGTAAACCGTTCCGAGTGGATGGCACCAACATTTATCATTCCCAAAAAGAATGGATCTATACGGTTCATCTCTGACGTCCGGGAACTGAACAGAAGGATTGAGCAAAAACCTTGTCCGATCCCAAGGATACAAGACATGCTACTGAATCTAGACGGATTCAGGAAATACGAGTACCAGCGAGTACCGATGGGCATATGCAATAGTCCCGACATCTTCCAAAGGAAGATGGGAACAATCATGCACGACTTGGAAAACGTCCGTGCATACATTGATGATCAACTCATCCTACCTAACGGCGATCTAGTGGATCACGTTGAATAGTTAGATGAAGTTCTCCTAAAGGCTTCGAGAAGCCGGACTTAAGATCAATGCTACCAAGTCCTTCTTCGAAAGAAGAGAACTTGAATATCTAGGCTACTGGATTACTTGAGAAGGAATCCAACCCGTAACCAAGAAAATAGATGCGATCCAGAATATCGCTCCTCCTACGAACAGGAAGAAACTTGGTAGATTCATTGGACTAGTGAACTACTATCGAGACATATGGATCAGACGATCACATGTACATACAACGTCGGGGATCCCAAGAAAAGGAATCCCTGTCCATTTCATTGCTTGACAATGATTGATCCCGTAACCGAATGGTTCGAGATTGCCGAGATCTGCTCCAATGCAGCAGACGAAGTAGCCATCGTTCTAGAACAGACGTGGCTCACCCAGTATCCATGGCCTGCTGAGGTTATCATGAATAGAGAACATGAGTTCCGCGCAGAAGTTGAGAAGACTCTCCGGGATGAATATGGACTTCGTCGCAAGTTCATTACCACACGTGTTCAATCGTGACGCGATTCACAACGTCCGTTTCGAAGTAAACTGGAAACACATCAAAGAACGTCGCCAACGACTCATCCAGAAAAACAATGATAAGGAAAACGCGACGCGTGTCCCTCATCAATACAATGTCAACGATACTGTGAGGTTTCAACAGTATCAGCACCGCAAGTACGGTCAGCCAAAGTACAAAGGTCCTTACAATATAGACCGAGTCAATAACAATGGCACTGTACGGCTCCGACATGCTACCGCCAATGGCGGCACAGTCTACCAGACTTGGAACATAAGGTATTTACACCCATACAAGGCCTGATCCCCTTGTAGGATTGCCATCGTGCGACGCACATGTCTACATCCAATCTCCGGAGAGTGCCCCGCACTTTAATTCATATGTTCTCCTTGTCCGACTGATGTCGTGCCTTCTGTGACCCCTGTCAGGGGGCGAATGCAATACACGGCTCTTAGCCTTATTCGCGACTCGATCCTAGATAAGGCTTGAGTTCGACTCATGACTGAGTCTCTCGTGAATAGTTATTGAGACAGGGTTCTCAATGACCGCTCTAGTCATACTAGGTTGATGATGAAACATCGCTCTAGATATTTAGCCAGCGTGGAGTACTTCCACGCTACTAGATCCATGCTAGACGAATCTTCCACGCGTTCCGTTTTAGGATCGTGGAGATACGTAGGATTACTACCGCAACCTACTCTATCACACTTTATAGTCTCCCGCGGGAGACCAGATCTACGATCCTTTGATGGTGATCTCTCTCGTTGATTAGTTTTCATAGCTTTCTAATCTCTCTCATAACTTTCATTCTCTCAAACTCAAAACACTCGAAAGATCTTTACACTAGCTTTTAGCGTAGTGCAAGTGCTTTGAGGGCAAGCCAGAAGACCATGTGTTCCACTCCCACTAGCTAGCTAGCTTGGTGGTTGGGCCCCAAGGGGCCCAATCTTTATGGTCAGAGCCCCCTGCGGGGGCTCAACCTCTATAGTACTAGCTTAAAAAATTTTCATGAGACGGTAGTTCGCATAACAGAACCTCAAAGGATTGGTACAGAAAGTACAGCGGGACCGCCGTGCCGACATCAGCCCATCTGTACACTACCGCCGTAGAATCGCTGTAGAGCCACTAGCCAATCAAACGTTCGATAGCCGACTGACGTCACAGCCGACTGACGTCAGTCGTGCATTTCGCATCTATTTATTTATTTATTTATTTATTTATCTCTGTGTCAGCTCGATCAGTCTCGTCGTGTTGCTTTCGTGTTGTTTTCGAAAGACCGACGGAGCATGCATCCAGAGGATTTCGAATTTCGAATTTGAGTGAGATAGTGAAGCAAGACAATAAAACCGAGGTCATCCCTTCCGTATTCAGTAGCCGCAGAGGTACTTCGCAGAGGTGTACTTACCGCATTCAGTAGCCGCAGATTCAGTAGCCGCAGAGGTACTCACCGCAGCCGAGGACATAGCCGCTTTCATCGCAATCCTCCGAAGACGATGAGTGCGAGTACGAAAGAGGCGCCGGCTGGTATCGACCACTACATCCGGAACCTGTACTCCAGTGGACGGTTCCCCAAGGTGGACGGCAACGGCATGGTGTTCTTGGCGGCTGTTGGCAAGACAGGACGTGCCTCTGTGAAAGCAAGGACTCCTCTAGTGGTGGGGAAATTGGATCGGCATCTGCAGAGTTAACTTATTAATTACACTTTCCCCGAAGGGATTATGTTCTACGTTTAGATTTGAAAACGGTATATGCAAGCCTCTTGCTAGGGCTTGCGTTTAACCGTTTGTGGGTATAGAAAAGGATATATGAGATGCATCTTGACATGGAAGTGTTTGTGTTTTCTGTGGGTGCGATATGGCGCCCTTTTTTGGATCGGCATCTGCAGAACCATTTCCCGCAGGGACCAGTCCACGGAGTCACATCCCCTGTTATGAGAGCCCTTGCAAGGAAGGACGAAGCTGCAGGCCAGTCCCAAATTATAAGTTTCTTTAAACCCGGGAAGGTCGTCGACAAGCCATGGAAGGCAAAGGAACAGTCTCTAGCAGCCATGGAATTCGAGATCCCAGCTTTCACTCAAATTTTCTTCTTCATGCCTGAGATATTTGACCGCAGCATCCTGGAAAAGCATTCAAGGTACAAGTGCATCGACCCAACGACAGGCAAAGAGACCAGTGGACTCAAGACTCCATGCCCCCATTGTGGCACCAATGAGCATGTGTCTTTGGTTGTGAGAAGTGGCCTGAAGCAAGGCCAACACAGAACAGTTGCTTGCTTCAGGGGTCGCATCCCAATCTACTGCTTTATCTACAAGTGTGACAATAATCAATGCAGTGGTGGAAAGGAATCCCCTGATAGTGTGGAGAAGGTGTCAACCCACACATTCCATGGCTACAGCCCACTGGTTTACCAACAGTACCCGGCAGAGTTGAGAGCCAAATATGCAAACTACATCTACACTGAGGCTGGAGATGGCGCTAGAGGGTCCACCTTGTTCACCAAGGCTCTTGCATCCGAAGTGCTGCGGGATGACAACAACTTCTCTGAGCTAGCAAGGCAAATGGCAACAGCTCACTCCAGAGCCAGGGATCAGGCCATCTCCGAATATGTGGCCTTCCTCAAATCCCAGGGAGGTGAAGGCTGGCCTGACTTCAATGTCAGCAACTTTGACAAGCTGTTGGCCCCACCAAAGTTGACAGTCATTCTTAGGATTTTCCACGCGGCCTTTGATCTAGTCTTTCCCTATTTGAAGGCCGATCTATTCAATAGAGTACCTGGCAGAACCATCGCCATGGATGCCACCTTCAAGTTCCTTTCCAAAACCAAGAATGACAAGGGGTCATCAGAGGAGACTAAGTGCCTTCACATAGTCTATGGCCAGTACGGTTATTTGATGACATGGGGCTTCTCTGGCCCTGAGAATGATGAGTGCTTCCAAAGGCTGCTGTGGCATCTCAGGAAGAGGTGTGAGAGGCTTGGGCAAGAGCATGTGGATGCTGTCAGAGCTAGCTACAGTGACACCTGCTGCCAGGGCCTGCAGGACCCAACAACCCACTGGATCACCAAGATCTTCCCAAACTGCAAGAGAGCACCCCATAAAGACTTGTTCCATGCAGGCAAGAAGCTCACGGATGCAACCCAGCCCCTGCATGAGCTGTCGCCAGTATTCAACCAACTGGTGACCTCATCACTGCTCAAGTTTGACCAGTCCTCAGTAAATCACGTGGTGAAATATTACCTGAAGAACACCAAGCAGAACTTGGCATTGGAGTTGGCCAGAGAGCAGATGATGAAGCTCAAAGTTTGGAGGAACAAGGTCAAGAACTACGCTCCACCGAGAGACAAGGTGGAGACCGACCTCAGAGAAGCCTATGCAACAATAGAGACGGAGGATTTCAAGCTCAAACATGCTAAATCGTTGGAGGGCGAAGGTTACCTCCCACTATTGTTGTCGGCCAAGCGAGGTGTAAGGCTCGGAACTGAGAACGAACTGAAGAACCTGCTGCTCCATGTCAAGAAGGGGTGCTGTGAAGATCCATTCCCCCTTGAGGACATCAACGTCGCTGTGGATCCACATGATAACTTTACTGACTTTGTCAGAGACAGGGGGACCTCCCAGGGGGAAAGCTTCCACAGACTGCTCAATCAACTGGTGAATGAATTGACCATCCAAGGCGCAGAGCTAGGTCACAAGAAGCTGTGGCTGAGAGGCACCCGGTTCAACCTAGCCAAAGATTTGCTGCTCCAGAAACTGCTGAAAATCGAGAAGGTTAGAACCATGGACTGGTACATCCACCGGGCACTCCTGGAGCAACACCCCAAGCTTTCAATCTATCAGGGCTACGTCTTCCCCAAGAAGGTCGACGAAAGCCACAATGAGCCTATTGGGATTGACTATGGCAGATGCAAGGACTGGCAGACAGTCAACCAACAGATTGACACCCTCATCCAGACTGCATCTGCAGTGTCTCCAGTGCCCCCACCAGCCATCGAAGTTGAGTCCATTGCTTCAGTGGTCAATCCAGCCACGCCTCCTGGGATCAGGCTGCCAGGAGACAGCAGGACAACACCACGATCTGCCAGCCCCACCATGCACGGCCCTCAGAACAATAGGAGCAGGAACCAGAGCCCCATGTCCCTCTATCAGGTCAGTGTTGTCAACCAGTGGTTGGATCCTTCAAAAAAACTGAGTGCCAAGCAGAAAGAAGTCTTTGATAACTCAGTCGAGCACGCAATCGAGCACTATGGTAGCGCCGCCAACACGGACAATGTTGCCGTGCTCGCTGCGGAATCATTCGATCGAATGCACTTCAACATGATGCGACAGGGCAACGCTGGTCTCAGGGGTAGGCTGAGGCCCCAGCATGCCAAAGCTTTGCTCAGAGAGGGGGGTCAGCTGGTTCAGATGGCCGCCATCAATCAACATGCCGCTGGCAAGAGAAAGGCTGCTCCATAGCAAGGCGGTCTGACCAAAGCCAAGCTGTTGGACTCCTCCACAAGCTTCACAGACATGAAGAATTGGGCCAGGGTCCTGGGAAAGTCCATCCAAAAGACAAAGCCGAAGATGCGGGAGGTTCTGCTGCAGTGTTTTGAGGGCAAGCCAGAAGGCCATGTGTTCCACTCCCACTAGCTAGCTACCCTGGTGGTTGGGCCCCAAGGGGCCCAATCTTTGTGGTTCTAAGCCCCCTGCGGGGGCTCAACCTTTATAGTACTAGCTTAAAAAATTTTCATACTATGTCGTTCCTGTAGCTAGAACCTCATCCCCAAATAGAATAGAAACTTGCTCTTCATGCATACGGTAAGTACATCCATTGACTCGAATTGCAGCCGTGGCTTATGGTCTACCGGTAGGCCACAACTAGCCACTCAGTGCATTTTGAAGCCTTGAGCAGGTTGGGATGTGAGGAATTCTCCCTTCTTTTTCGCATCTGGTCAAGCCAGGCCTTTCGCCGTCGCAGCAACAGTAGCAAGCGAGGAGAAAGTTAGAATATCACACTGGCTGGATTGCACGGCCAATCAGAGCGCTTTAACTGATTTCTTGTTGTGCCGTGGCGGCCGAACATGGATGGATGAATACTAACTCGCAAAAGCTCTTGCAAAGCAACCTGCCATGGTGGTCAGGTTTGCTTGCATTGTTGCAATGCTTCTTTCTTTCTACGGTACCTTATCAATGCTCTGACCGCCCAGTTTGCTGTTTGTGAAAACTATTCTTACCGGCAGACCTAGATAAGCTAGATTTGCTGGGTGGTGAAGCCACACCACCTACGGTAACGAACAGAGAAATTGGAGTGTCTCAGCTCTGTGTTTGGTTTTGGATGAAGGTGGGCAAACGGGCAAACCTTTAGAAACCCACAACAAGCTTTTATGAAAACAGCGAAGCGGGCATGCCAGCAACTGTTGGTTCTGTAGCAAGCAAGAAGCAAGGGCATTTTTTTGTTGTCTCCGGTCTTATTATTATTAATAGAAGGTGTGTCTCATGGCACTTGGGAAGGGTACATGAGTGGGAAACGTATTAGAACTAAAGACTATGTCCACGAAATTTCATGTTTACTAAGTCAATACAAGAATAGAGTGTTGTAATGATTTAGAGACATCACCTACGTATGGCACTTTAATGCCAGCTAATCGCTGATGAATGATGAGGGAGTATAGCCATACTAGTAGCCCTTATGGTGCAATTCTTTTCTCCGTACCCGTGCAATATTGATCCTAGCGTAAAGTACTTTGTACCGGTACTGTACCCCGTACACTGTACCGGTACCGCACGGTAGAGCTCCCCGTAGGTAGGCCGTACCGGTACTAGTAGGCCATAATTTTGAAGATGCCGCAGGAAGCGCATCATTTATTTGGCCATTGAATAGTTAGTTGATGGCTGTGCTAGCGGTATTGCTTGGAGATGTGTATCTGATGGACCTGTCGTTTCCGGGCCCACAATCTCACAATCTCTGGAAGCAACAAACGCCAAAGAGAACCAAGACTACTCAGTATTAGTAACCGCAAACCTATCCCTCTTCAAAAGAAGCAAGATGGATACCACCACTCCTTCTGAATACATCTGTTGTCTGACTCTGGATCTCCTGAGCGACCCGGTTTCGACTCCTCGCGGCTTTGTTTTTGAGAGGAAGGCCATCATTGAATGGCTGAAAAGGGGCGAGAGGTCTTGTCCGTTGACGCGAGAACCGCTGGAAGAGTGGGAATTGGTAAACAACACGGAATTGCTGGAAGAAATACTGAAATGGAAGAAGGCAAATCGAATTGCCGACATCAGGATTGATTCATTTGAAGATTTTTCCTCGGACAGACGATCCTTGGGACTTGGGAGCAAAGCTTTGGCCAGTGCCCCTCATTTGCTCAGTGTACGAGAACGCATCTTGAAGCGACGGGAACAGCAATTCCGAGCTCACCTGACAAAATGCTGAAAGAGGGACACGCTGGGAGACTCAATGAGAGGGGCTCTCTTCTTGTGGGTGTGGGTATGATTTAGTTTTACTTCACTCCAAGAACAATCCATAGTACCATTGCATAACATTTGCATACCTCTTCTGCATTTCGTAGTCTACAGCTCGTACTTTCTACCGGTAAATTAAACTCTGCACAAACTAAGTCTCGTGCTTTAATAAAAAATATGGAGTTGTGCCTTTTAGACACTAGCTAGACATGATAACGGTATCCGTACGTAAAGCGGGATAGATACGGTAGCAACACACCTCAACCAGAGAAGCACCAGCAGACAAAAGCCTACTGGTCACCAGATATCAGGTCCAAGGCGTCAGCCGAGATTCATGTACGGAACAGTATACTGGTGGGGGGGGGGGGGGCAGAGCACTCTCCTCTTGGCGTCATGTTTCTGCCACTCAGCATCTATCCTATTCGCTGGATCCCTTTTCTTTGACTGGATCCCTTCTGACCAATGCAGTATGGCATAGACTAGAATGCTGTGTAACCTTGTATGTGTTATGCTTTACAGAGTTGCACTTTCTATATGATGGACCAGTCTGAAGCCGCGAAGACAACCAAACGCCGCAACCTCGGGTTGTTGCTTGTCATGGTATCATATATGCTAGCTTTCATGACGACAGCTGTTGCTCACGCTCCAGCTTCCATAGCGCTTTGACGCTTAGCCGAATTGATCCTTGGACGGGGTCAACCCCAGTGCAAAGAACCCTTATAGTGTCGCCAACCTTCAAGTGCTTCTTCACTGCCCCCAGGTTGCCTTGTGGGTCAGATATATCTTCAGCAAGTTCGCTGACATGCAAAAGACCTTCTTTGTTCCGAAGTAGCTCAACAATGGCACCAAAGTCTTTAATCTCCACAATGGTGCCATCGTATATCTCCCCCTCCACAACGTCGGCTACTAGGTCAGCGACCACTGATTTGGCCTTGGCGACTAAATCCTTGTCTGAGCCAAACAGAAGACATTGCCCGTCTTGAGTGAGATCCAAGCTGGTTTCATAGCGATCCTCGATCTGACGAAGCACGGCACCGCCAGGACCAACCAAATCGCGTTTGCGCTGTGGGTCAAACCTCAAGATCTCAACCCGTGGAGCCGTGTCTTTCAGGCTAGTTCTGTGTTTCAGTCCCTGCAGGACGCTGTCCTTACACTGCAAGTCCATTTCTCGCAGAATGGCTTGGCGTCCTGACCTGGCCAGTTCCAAGGCCTCCGGCAAAACAGAAATCGGGATTGGTCTTTTTACATCTAGCTGAAAGGCAGTGACTCCACTAAAGGTGCCGGCAATCTTGAAGTCCATTGCACCAAAGTAATCCTCAGTGCCGGTGATGTCCAAGAGCAATTCATAGGTTTGTTCATCTTCAGTTTGGCTACTCTGATTGTTGCTGGCTTCATCCGTTTCGTCTGGCAAAGCCAATCCAACGCTGACGCCTGCAACTGGAGCAACAATCGGAACTCCAGCATCCAACAAGGCAAGTGTAGCCCCACATACCGAAGCCATGCTGGAAGATCCATTGGAATCAGTGACTTCGCTAGTCATCCTCATTACGTATGGAAAATTTTGTGGTGCAGGTAGAATTGGTAAAATGGCCTTTTCTGCCAAAGCTCCATGACCTTGAGCAACAGATAGTTTTGTGAGAGTGCGACAATCGGGCCAACGATCTATCCTCTGCAGTCAATCATCTTACCAATTGCTCTGCGATTGTGCTGAGAACTTCCCGCCGACGGTAGTTCCCCAGTGCTAAAAGAAGGGAAGTCGTACTGCAGGAATGCTCGGCGATATTCCCATAGATTGCCTGACTCTCCTGTCATTTCGCGATCAGCTTTGCTTTTGCGAGTGTTCAGGTCAGACTCCAGTGCTTCCTGTGTTCGAAGGTATCGCAAACTTCCCACGGGGAGATCTTCGAAGAGAGTGCCCTGTTCGTTCTGCGCTTCCTGTTCCGAGGCAAGATCGAGTGACGTTGTGTTGGTTGCTGGCATAATGAGTGCATCAAAGGGATCACGCATGGGCATCCCCTCTTGGGGAGCCCCCAACGTGGTGGTGCACAAGACTTGTGTTTCTCCTCGCGCGAAAATGGCCGATCCATGGACCACGTCTGGTAGAGCTGGGACAGTAACAGAAAGTGGTCGAATCGTTTTGAAGCCAAGGGACGGGTCCGATGGCATTCCTCCAACTCGATGATCCGCCCTTGTTCCATACTTAGTCGCGGTGGTACAAAGGGCGTTTTGGAGCAGCTTTTTGTGGACCTTGGTCACCAGAATTGAGACTAGTGCTTTCTCGTCATCCACCGCTTCTTCGTCCAGTCGCTTCGTCACTCTCTCAGTGCCGACCCATTCCGTAAGCACTCGCTCAACTTCAGAGTAAACTATTTGTTCTCGCTTCCCCCTCGTGGACTTCAACAGTAGTTCCGCTGGGCTATCCTTTGGGTGAATGTAGGCAGATTGATAATCGGTCAGTGCCGAGGCTGGTTTCGGTTCCATTTTCTGTTCGTGTTTGTACCCAAAAAGTGCCAACGCCACGGTTTCCAACTGATTCTCACAAACACCCCAAGCCTCAGGGAAGAGTTCGGTTGCAATTTTCTGCAATTTGGAAGAGGAAGATGATTCGCCATCGATGTTGCCGTCTTGTTCGGCAGCTGTATCTGTCAAGGCGGGCAACCCCAACGAAGCCCGCAATTCATTCTCTTGTCTCAAGACTTCTTCTATTGCAGTTTCAGGTGCAGGCGTATTGTCATTATTCTGCATGTATTCCTCCTGAGTATCCAACAAGGGCTGAATAGCAGCATGGGCCAACGACATGAGCTCTGACAGTTCATGCTCTGGGATTGATGTTTGCATATTTTTGCCATCGCTAGTACAATGATATTGAAATTCAGCCATGACTGCTTTGGTTCTTGTTCCCGCATAGAGTAGTTCACAGGCGAGGGATGGAGTGTTGTCGTTTTTTCGTCGTTTTGAATCGCCCATGCATGCTGGATTGACGAGAACTTTGGGATGGCGCCCGTCGCCTGCAACAACACCCAAGGACACTGCCGCCACGGGTTCTTTCAGCATTCCTTGACTCATCAAAGCTGCCGACGCAGAATTGATGCTCATTACAATGGGATTTCCTCCATGAGATGACAACCCCTGCACGGATGAATTCACATGAATGCTAGACGTGTTGTCGTTGTCAATTAATGGCCGCAGGGCTCGATCAATGGCCCTACTTCCCAATGTTTCCAGAACGGTCGATCGTGTATTGTCGCGACGACTAGAATTTGTCAGGGGGATTTTCCCTACTCCATGATGCCGTTGCTTGTACTCCACTGTAAAATTCTGAAATGACTGTTGCTGCTGATGACGATGTCCATCATCGGTTGCAACGGTCGTCAAGACCACGGAATCACCCATGATGGCCAAAACGGATGCTCTTGTTAGGTTGGCCAGTTTCCCAGTGCCCAGTTTCAAGGAGTGTCCTTCTTCCAGTTGCTTGGCAGAAAACAGAGGAGTTTCCTTCTCCTTCTTGTTCTTCTTGGCCCTCTCAGTCATGGCTGGTGTGGTCATGAAACTTCGTGTTTGGTCCCAGATGCAGCATGGTCGACTCCTAACCAAGGAACCAACAGGTACTGGGGCGATCGAAATCCTTCGAGGGTGGTTGTTGCTTGGATCATCATCTTTCACTGATAAACTTGAAATGGTGAGTTCTCGCCGCCAGCGCAGTCTTTCATGTTCCAAACGAAGAACCTGAGTTTGCCTCCCTCTAGCAATCGAAGGTGGCCGTCTTCTCAGGATAGACTGGAGCATGATGTATCTTTGTGGGTTGGTCTACACAACAAGAAACTACTAGTACCGTATATAGATTACTATGGAATTACACTAGCTAGTAGAGGGGTAAATGACTAAGTGATGCCGTTGCTGGCTACTAGTATTTCTGCGGTGGCCAAAGACGCCGTCACGTTGTTGGTCAGGAAAAATCATTGGCTCCTTCGCGGAAGATGGACGGACGAAAGATAATGTTTGCACGATTGAAAATGGAGAAACGATGATCCTTGATCATGTTGTGACGGAGGATGGATGCACACCCGTGCAGCCTTTTTGCCAAAGAGTGTGACATTGACGTAACCGGAACTTCCAACTGCAGCTACAGTTCCTACACTGTTGCTCGCAGAACGAAATTACTTGCCCTGAATCACCCGCAGAGATGGCTGACAGGTTCAAAACCGCAAGCCACAACTGCCCCATCAAAAACTCACCTCGACTTTTCAGACATGCCCAGTGCATCAGCAGATAAAAACTCTTCCGTTCTGGTACGACTACGAAACGCGAAGAGTTGAGATTGACACATTTACAGCATGGGGCATGGTCCCCGGCGATTGCAGGCACTCTGCATACCGTATACCGGTATATAGTAGTGGTGCAACCAACGATGTTTTCCCCCGACTTTCTGTGAATTGATCGCTTTTAAAAGCTTATTGAAACGCAACGATTGACGACGGTGCGAATGCAGATGGATAAGTCTGAACCTTCTTTGGCCAAAGTTGCCAGGCTTTTCATAGTACGGTAACAAGCAGCATATCATTCAGATATCCAAAAGCACAGAGTACACGTACGGCGACTCAGCACCACCCTTCTTCACTCATCCATCTCTCATAGTTTTCTTCTTGCCGAGGAGTGAACCAGGTGCTTGCCATGCACACCGCCAAAAGCATGCGGACGTCAATGTAAAGATTGTCAGGACTGTCATTGTATCCCCTTTCAAAATCTTGATAGATGCACCTGACACAATCAAAGATTTTGTTGGCGTTGATTTCTGTAGGTTTGTTTTCCAAATCCTGGCAGATTAGTTTGGTGAGTCTGACCACTGTAAATCGATCGTAGTCGTATGCTCCCGTGTTCCTTATGAGCGGTCTTTCTCGTTGATTCTGCATCAGCTTTCCAATCTGTTCCAGTTTTTGTGTTTCCATTTGCAATTTGGAATTCTGAAATTCCAATTCCGATACTTGTTGTGACAACCGTCCATTTTCGCCCTGCAGCGAACGACATCGGTAATCCTGTGTCTCAACAATGGCCTCTCGTAGATTGAGCTGATGCACCATTTCATTCAGCTCGTCTTCCAGCTCTGCCTTGTCGTTTTCCAGCGCCACCTTAGCAGCTTTTAGGGTATCAATAAGATCCTTGTCGCTGTCGCTGCGGACATAGCGAGAACGGCGAGAACGGGCTTTACGACACTTTTGTTCATGGCTCTGGCCATCCGCAATGGAACCCGTCCAATTACAGTGCTCACACTTGATCATTACGGTACACCATATTCGGTACACAAGTGATCCATCTTTAAAGGGACGAATCTGATCCATTCGGCAATACGTGCGGTCAACAGGGCAACAGGATTGATGGCGCGACAAAGTCTCGCGGGCGCACTCTCTGCAAAACACGTGATCGCAAGGTTCCAAAGAGCACGGCTCCGATGGAACTGACATACAGATCGAGCATATCAAATCTTTCGGGACCTCTTCGGGACGTAACAGGAGCACCATCGTGGAAAATTGTTGGGTAGACACAGGAAGTGCTGTCGAAAGAAACAACCTCGGTGGCCTCGATCGTACCGATACCAGGTACCTCGTTGATAGAGAAGCTACTACCGGTACGGGTTAGAGTGGACTATGGTGATGAGGATGGGTGTCAGGCAGGATGCTACCATAGATTGGTGTGGCTCAGTGATGCATCACTTGTTTCAAGACGGTGACAAGTGGCCAAGCATCAGCGACTCAGCGACTGCGTGGTGGTACTAATAGCTGGCTACCGTAGTACCAGGTACCGAGTAGTGTTACGTTTGGCCAGAAGAGCTGGCAAAAGTCATCAAGACGTGAAATAAAAAGCATTATGTCCCCTTTCGCAAAGATTTAAAAAATCTTGGGTATTTAGAGGATACATGTACCATGGTGACCATGGTACACTGTATCGGTATAACCAACAGAGCTCCCGTGTCATCTGCATGCATGAGTTGGCCTTCGTGACGAAATTAGCAACAGAATGGAAGACAATACCATCATACAGTGTACAGGTGAGCCGACCAAAATCAGCCTTATTGGCTACATGTAGACTAATTAAAGTAATATGTACAGCAGACTTGAAACATTGATGGTGAAGCGTCTTCTGCGTTTTTAAAGGTACCCTTCAGAAGCGACCTCTTGGCTCTTCCACCATTCTGGAACATCCTTGGAGTACGACTTGGCCCCCATGTCTACCACTTCAGTTCCCAACCATTGAACAAAGGTCAACAATGGACCTGGGCTAGGAAATGGGAATCCAATCACGTGGAAGATGCCAACAGCTGCTCCCTTTCCGTTTGTATTTCCTTCGAATCGATCGGCAACATATCCCACAGACAGATATTTGATCTTTTGGTCGTCATCAAATGTGACACTGAAAGTTTCAGGGCATCCCTTGAGCGACGCCCCATTGGGAGGAAGCTATTGTCCACCTCCAAAGCCGAGACCGGGTTCACCCGTGAAGGTTCCTGTGTTGCGTACCATGAACCAAACTCGCTTCGGATTGTCAGGGTCGAGGGTATAGCCAAAGCAGTTGGGTGAAATATCTGGTAGTGCCTTGTAGATGCCAAAGGTGTCCATAGTGGATAGATAGTCCTTTTTGTTCAAAGGGCCAATGTAGGGGCCTCGAAACACAAAATCCTCGGCAAGTACTGATTCATCGTATGGCGAGTAAAATCCAGATTGGGAATATGCAAATTTGTGAGCTGCCTGAATCAAAGGATGGCTTGCAGGGGTTGTTTCAATGGGCGGTAGGAGCGCTTCCGTGCTGCAGCTCAGGGATGTACCGGTACATGAGGTTTTCGTCAAAGCAGTAGGGGCGAATGCAAAGGAACATGGTGCAAACAGCGCTGCGACTACAGTGGTGGCAATACGGAGGCTTCGAGTGGGGTTCATGATGTCAAGTAGTGGGATTATGCGTTTCTACACGGAGGCGTGGATCGGAGTTTGATGTAATTTGGCCGGGAACCCGTCACCGCCTCTCACCATGTTGTGTTGCTCTGTTTGTCATCTGTGAATCATCGAACAATCGAACAGATGATCTTCCACGGATCTTCTCTTGATTTTTACGCTGCTTTTGTGCTGGTCAATTGCGTTCTCTGGAAAGATCGCGCTTGAAAATCTGACGTCAGAATCATCGAATCGAATCTTCCCATCGCCCCTTGATTTCAACGGAGCAAATGTTGTGGTTGCTTGCTCTTTCTTTGTTCGAGGTTCGAGGTGCTACTAGCATGAGTTGTCATATTGCAGTCGCTATTCGAAGTATAGAGCAAACTGATGTTATTCCTTCGTTCGTGACTTCAGTTGGGTTCCCAACATGCATGGGGCCACAAATAAATGACATCAAATGCCGCAATTCCCCACGCTCCCACCACCAGTACTCGAGTCCAACTGGTTTCTTCATACAGTCATCATGGTCATGTTTGCACCTATAATAGCAGGCAATTCATTCCTTGAGGGCTCAAATTTTGCACAAATTGGATGACTGTTCTGGTTGGTATCACGATCAAAGACTGCCATTTGATAAACCAACAACAACATAATCCAAAATCCACCATGATGAACCCTTCCGCTCCAGGCTCCTTGTTGTCGGATGTAGCAAGGACTCGGAAGATAACTATGAAGGTATTCTATTCTAGAAGATAAGGAATCTCGCATTGACTGCCTTCAAGTCAATCTACCAATGGACAACAACAATACTCGAGATTCTTAGGACCAGCAAGGCTTTGAAAAGACTCGTCATCGAGTCCAAGTTGGCATCCTTTTCTGGATCAGTCAATCGCTTCCATGGAACCAATGATCCAAGCGGTAAAACAAATCCCAACAATCGAATTCGTGTGGAGCTGGCGATGGGAAGCTGGTTGGTCCAAGATCATGTTGCGTCAACTGCCAAGCTACTGCAACTTGCAACCGAGACCATCACCACGCTCCATTTTCCCTTCCACTCCCCATTGTTTGGATGGATCCTGGCGACAAAGCAGCCATGGGCCAAATGGTCGCCACGTCCGTTGCTTCGCTGGAGAATCTGGAACAGCTGCGGGTCGAGGGTATGCCCCAATCCATGGTCGCATCCTGTATGCACAAGGCAAACGGCACACTAAAGACCTTGATCAATAACGGTGTCACAGAGTTCGCCCCTCAGCTCGGTCCCTTCATGCCTTCATTATTTGCTGAAACCTGGAGCGTATCACCTTCAGGCCTCTGCTTTTGATCACGTCAGCATGCAGAGACTTTCCCAAGGGCTGTCTTGTAGCAAGAGCTTTATTGTAGCAAGAGCTTGACTGGATTGAAGCTCCAGGGAAAACTGGAGGATGGAGCCACTGGCTCACCTCGCAGCATGCTTGTCCTCCAAGGAGAGTCGCATTGAATGCCTCACCATCGAAGGGACTGGTGGCCTTGGCTCGGAGGATGAAATTCAGCTAGTGTCTGCCCTCAAGGCAAAGACGATACTGCGGCAGCTGGACATGCAAGATTTGAAAGAATGTGGAGCCTTGATGATTGGAGTCTTGGTCAGCAACCGTGACTTGAGTGTGCTGCGAATTCGAGCTTCCTGTCTTCTATCCATGATGGATGATCTCCTCGATACCAACGTAAGCAACAGCGACTATGCGCAATCGTTGAAGGAGTTGAGTGTTATGGAGGACGGAGCAGTTGACGATTGAGGGCACTGAGCCAGTTTTTATCCATTTGTGATGGTGTGAATGTCCTTCAATTGAATGGCTTCATCGAAGACACGGAAAATTCATACAAAGCTCTACTAAAGCACGGTCGTAACCTCCGAGAGCTGCACATGGAAAACATTGATTCCTTTTGCACGCCTCCGCAAGCTTGTGAGGCGCTGGCAAAGGTTTGCAGCGCAACCAACGTCTGGTTCATGTCACTGCACAACTTCAAATTGAGAATCCGAAAATTAGAGACAGATCGAAGCAAGTAGTTTTGAAGGCGGTCAAGAGGCACCGGTCGTTGGAAGCATTGACTCTCAGTGGTGACGATGAAACTGGCGAAGAGGAACGCTGTGTGGACACTGCTTTCCGTACTAAAATAATCCACACTTATTGCTTGCGAAACTGCGCCCGAAAACTGCTTTGGCGCTTCAGAAGGGAAGCTTTCCAACCTACAATGCGTTTCCACACGCTCTGTAGAAAGTCAAGATGGCCTGCAGAAAATGGAATATTCCTTCCAACGAGGGACGTGCTACCGGTACAGAGCAATGTTGCTTCAGCCGTTCCTGGTGTCTGGCATCAATCCCGATGGATCCAGTGTCATGGACTCCAGGATGGACCTCTGTGGCATCTCTGCGCCTGAGAAGAAACGCTGCAAGTTGATCGGCTAGCTGTTTGGGCTAGCTAGGTACCATTTGATGCTGCTACGAACGCGAGCAAGCAAGCATGAGACTGAGGACTCGACTCGAGGGTGTGAACGCCACGCCTCCAATTAATTGCGCAGTTGTGACTCAATAAGCTTCTGTTGCTATCAAAGCAGTACATCGTTCTAGCACATGGCAAGAGCTCAATCCATCTACAATGCGGCGAACAATCTCGCCTTGTTCCCTCGGTCCGTTCCAGCGACACCCGAATGAATGCTCTAGGTAGCCTCACTGGTGTGAGCTTTCTTCTTGCTCTTCTTGGAAGCCTTCTTTTGCGCCTGCCACGGACATCCATTCTTGTGGCGTTTCCAGTCTTGAATCTGACAGTCTTTTCCGCACTGGATGTGGGGAAAAAATAGTGGTGAGGTGCAGAGGTGCTGAATGACACTGCCTGTCTCTGCGGAAAACTCACGTATCCAACAGTCATACACGGACAAAATTTCAGGTCGTTCTTTGAACACATTGCACCACATTCGTCACTGAAGCAGGGTTTCATTGAGCTTTCCGGTGTAGTGGCTGTCGAGACTTTCCGAGCCACAAAGGATCTTGAAGCCTCCTTCATTCGCTTCTTGAAGTCCTGCTTCCTCTGGAGAACCTTCAACGAATTCATGTAGTCGTTATCCACAAAGAATGGTATTTTTGGAAGCACGAGGCATTTGGTGACGGAGGAACGAAACTTCTGACCGCTGCAGGGTTCAGAGACAGCTTCCGTGAGAGCTCTCTGCGCTGCACTTTTGCTTCGGTATTGTGGCATGAGGGAATCCCGGGCTTTTTGGGCAGAACAGCCCCACGCCGCTGCACTAATTTCCGCAAAGAGATCTTCAAAGTACCGATCCTTTTTCTTGATGCCGGTAGCTTCCGCAACAGCAAGTAGAGCGACAAGAGCAACGACCGCAGACAGGTCGAAGCTCCCGGTGTCCAATTCGAGCCAGTCTGTGTAGAGTTGCAAAACTCCGTTGAGCAACCGTGGTTTTCCCGTTCCAGCGCCCTCTGACCACGGGAACTTGTTACCATGTGCAGCGAACCCAACGTTCAATGCCTTGACATGAAAGTCTTCGGCCTCCTGAAAGTTGCGTGCAGCTTTGGCCGCGCAGGCCACATTCTGGTAGGCAACGGACAATGGCATCAAACTGTCGTCCCAAAAGAAGTTGATGAAGTCTTGAACGACGAGAGAGGCATTTGCATACGACTTTGTAGTTCGAAGAAGTTGAGCAGCTTGCTCCAGTGCAAAGCCCTTCTGGGTACATTCGCTGTGCGTCAAGGAAACATCGGCAAGAATCATGGCGACATCGAGGGCTTCCTTCCATCGCCCGTCATTTACAAATCCAGCTTTCAGATCACCAATCCAATTGTCCAACAGGGTGAAATCCAGGAATGCCCCGTGGGAGCGAAGAAAAAGATGTAGCATCCTCGAATAGAGAGCATCCCTTTGAGCCGACGGCAGAAAGGAGACGAATGGGCTGCTAATAGCACCCTGTATTTGGAAGGAATTTGAAGAGTCGGTACCATATCTGTCGCCACCCACGTAGAATCTAGCAAAAGAGCCCAGGAATCTCTGGTCCACGTCCTCCGAATCGAGAGACGCAATCAATACTATGGACTCTACTTGTCGGTTGTCCCCGCTGGAAAATTTGATTGTGGTTTTCATTGTGACGTCTCCTTCATACATCTTTCGGAAGGTTTGTTCCACACCATTCTCCACAAACTCCACGTCAGAAAAGTTAAACATTGGAAGCTGAACTGTGGGTGCACGATGGAGTTTGCCATAGTGTTCTCCCATGAACGGAGGGCTGGCTTCGTCACCAATGACATTCAATTTGGCCCACACTCCGTCGGTTCCGCCGAGAATCTTGGGAACAGCCATTGGATCCAACTTGATTCTCATCAAGAGAGAGTCGCCATTGTCAGTGATTTCGTCCGCCATGATGGTTGTGTTCTTCTACCGTACAACAAGCAGCAACTCTGGGTCCTTCGTACTTGATCGTTGTCGTCCGGTTGAGAAGGACGAGACGCGATTGTTACGTTATCCGAATGAGGCGGTAGAGCTGCACTGCGACAACCGTGAATCGATACGGGATTAAATTCAAATCCTAACCGAGGAGCTTCACCAAACCAAAAACTTTTCTAAAGGAGAGGAAGATGGGACACCTCGGCTTTACCCAAGGGCTCTTGTCCAAGATTGTGGACTGCAACACCGCTGTGGATCAATGGGTGGAGCGAGAAAAGAGAGCGGCGGATGAGATGGAGGCCAATTTCCGTCGATCTCTGGCGGCAGAACAGGCTGCCATTGACGCGAAGGAAGAAGAGCTCTTGTCGGTGAAATTTCGACTTGGCGTCGACATCAACAAGGATGATGCTCGTGGAATTGCTCAGCAGCAGCAGCAGTTGCAACAAGAGAAAATCAGAATTCAAGAATCCATTGCCAACTTGAGGAGCGACAGGGACAAGAAGGAGGATAGAGTGAAGAGTACGTGTGTTGTTGTCATTGCTGTATGCTTCATCGTATGAAGTGAGATGCTTCTTTGGAGTACTGACCATTCCATTCCCCCCTTGAATCATCTATTAATAGGCCTTCAAACTGAAGCAAAAAGAGAGGAGGCCCGAGCTTCCGATGTCCGATCCCGAAAGCAAGCAGCAGAGGATTCGAAAAACACCACCGTCGATGACCTCACGCGAGGAATCATCAACTACAAGTTCCTTGGTTTGGACTTTGAGAAAGCTGACAACCAAAAGTTGCGGTAAGCCTGTTACATGTCTTTTCTCAAAGAGACAACATGTTGGTCGAAAGCGCGTGCAATGGCTTTTCTTTTCTGACAACATTTCTTTCTGCTTCGCTTCTACAGCTTCTCCTTTACTCAGATTGACCCAGAAAACCCATCCCGAAAGTGTTGGTTTGTGCTGGGTGCAAACGACTACGATGAGTACGACGTTGATGAATGCAAGCCCTCTATTGACAAGTCTGTATTGAATGGACTCCTTCATGATCTGAATTCAGATGACGACCTGCAGCAGTTTGTTATTTCGATGAGAAAAGCATTTGCGGACGGCCTATAGTCTCTTGCTTTGATACAGGAAATAAAGTGGTGGAAATAAATTGCTTCTCTGGGGAGGTTTCTGAAAAACAGCACCACAACAATCGCTACAATCAACAAACATCAAATGCAAGTTTTTCCCTTCTTTTTAAAGAGAGCTGCCAATCCCCATTTTCGGAACAGCCCTATGGTATTGAATTCACCTGGCTTGATTCTTCTGTGGACAAAACCCATCGTATCTACTACATGTATAGCTACAGTAGGTATGAAGCACCTATCAATCAACTTGTACACCAATGCAATCGAAAGGGTTTGGTGCTGCTCTTGGTCCGTTTGCCTGGGTTTAAATGAATTTTTACAGCTTAGCTAGCTTTTATTTCATGTGTCGCTTCTCGTCATTGGAGACTGTCACTTACTTTAGTCTGTTGATACCTCTACTACCGGTAGCTAGTATCGCTCCTTGTCTTTTGGTTTCTTCAGTAATAACCCTGTGATCGAGATCGCATCGATCTAGTTGAGAAGAAGCAATACGGTATTATCTTCCAAGAAACATTGCAATCAGCAACCATGCCGAAGAAGGCGAAGAGGAAGTTAAGGCCCTCCGCTGACAACGGGCCCTTTGTCCCAGTGCGCCATTACTACCATTCGAATAACTTTCTGAAGATTAAAGATAACGAATGGGAGGACGGCGCAGATAGTGACGATGAAGAACAAACATGGCATCGCGCAGTCGAGAGATCGGTGAGTTGTGATCTGCTACCAAAAATCACACGTTGTACTGTTGTCAAGGTTGGACCACCAACAGGCTCACAAATTCATGCTACATGTACAATAGGAGATCAACGACTTTACCGACCTGTCAGATGGAGAAAAGCAGCTCATTCTTCTTTGGAACAACTATATTCAATCAGACACAAAAATTCCTTCAAAACGGATTCCACAATATTGCGTCAACTTCGTTGAGAAGCATCACCAAGATATAAAGGAGGCAAACATTGATGATCAGCTGCAATGGCACCTTGTTACCTTGTGGGATGAGGGACTGATTTCAAGCAAGCATCTATCTTCCTGTCTTGAATATTACTACAGCTTGGTAGGATCTAGCCAAGGTCCACTACCCAAGGCAGATCTATAGACAGGAGGATTGAGCGGACTTTGGGTTTTTTTCCTTCCTGAGATTGAATCTGTTGTAAGCGCTACCATTATGGTTGGAGCAATGATAATCAAGGTGGATATTGCAAGGATGGTGAGTGGATGCAGAGATTCAACAACTAGCTAGTGTACTAAGTTCGCACACACATATGATTGAACAACTAGCTAGGGTAACTGATGGCATGTCATTGGTGGTGCTGAACTAGAACCGTCCTCGTTCACTCCTGAACCAGTGGGAGTCCCATGTTGCTGTCTTGTGGTTACTTGTTTGATTCCGTTGGACAAGGGTAGTCGGGTAGTCGTCCGCAAACTGACATTTCCTGGGACATGTGGGAACACCGCAATTATATCCAACACAACCACCCACACCCTAACTTCGACCCACACTCCCGCAACACCATCAACGACGAAATCAGGTTCCAATGGGCACTGGGCTATGCTAGCCTATGTCCTGAAGATCTAATCCTCTTTCAACATGGGCTCGACTCCTGCTTGGAGTACACAGTGACAAAAAGCAAAATGGGTGGCCACTGTGGAAAGTGCCCGAGCAGCGGCAGCGGCAGATCAGATTCAGCCATGAAATAACCAGAGCTGCGAACACAACCTCATTGGAAACTGGATCATATGGGGACCTTCTGCACCACTGCCACCATAACCAACACCAACAACAGAACCAACAAAAAAGGAGCTACCTAGCCCACAAAAAAACCAAAACACATACACATCAAGAAGCAAATACATTTACCTTTATACAACAACCCAACGGATACAGGGCATCCCTATAGTATGAGGAGCCACAGGCTGTTGTAAAATCTAGTATCATAGAACATAATCCCTTTGGGGACAACGTCATTTTTTAAGAAGTTTTACAGTCTCCTAAATAGCTAGCTAGAGCCCTCACGTGATAGATTACGGGAGTTTAGAGTAGTATTAATAGACTAGCTACAAGGAAAGTCCATCTGGTTTGGTTAGCCGTGTCGAAAAAAATACCAAGTGCACCCGATGTGCTCATTGCCCACAAATTTCAATATTTTTGCCACAAATAAAATGAAACGGTTGGCTGTTGTTGGTGGTAGATTGTCGTTGTCCACACCGAGATCAGCCACTGGGTTCGACACTCGGGGATCATTGAGATGTCATTCTAATCGGCCATCGAGGTCTCGTCGACAGGACGGCGGTGATAGGAGGCGTCGTGGTTCGTCAGCTGAGTTCAGGCAGAATGGGAACAGGCGAGACGGAGGAGACAGTCGCAAATGGAGAAGCAGAAGTCCAAGGGATATGGTTTACTTTGTGCGTCCTGATCCACCACCTCCGCCAAAATTTGATCCGGAAACCCTTGGTTTCGCATGGACAAATCCAAGCCAACGTATTGGAAAGCATCCCGCTGTGATCAGTTTTCTAAATGAGCAGGGGAAGGAAATGAAGAAAGCTTCAAAGCTGAGCAGCCACCAGGCAAAAACCTCAGGAGCAGCTGAGAGTGGCTCTGGAGTCAATGCTGCGAATGTGTTGGAAAGCGACAATGCGGAGGTCAGTGAAAATAACCCAACACTGTCGTTGAAGACAGGAAAGAAACCAAAGGATGCTGGTCAATAATTGGATGAGGTGACAGAACCTTGGTGGGAGGCTGTGTCGAATCAAACACAAAGATCTCACTACCGTCGACAGAAGATCGTTCACCCTCTGATGGCTCCAAAACATGACGGCAAGGTTGCTAATATGCAGAGAACACCTCACAATCTGCTACGGCACATGCCACTGCAGGCTATATATTGACAGAAGACGATCGCAATCCTGAGACCGGGATTGGGTTGCTATTGCTTACTTATTATGTCCTCATTTAACAAGTGGTGCAGTCTGAGCTCTCAACCAAAGTCGCTTTTTTGCTATTTGATTTGTTTCCTAGCTCGGGATGATGGCAGCCGAAGAGCCATCCATGTTGCGCCCAAAGACCAAAGAACTTCCTGGTTTTGAGGATTGTTGCTGCGTTCCTTGGTCGAATCATGTTGTAGTTAGTTGTTGTTGAATCATGTCGTAGTTGTGCGTTGCTGAAAAGATCATCGAATCGAATCGTGTCTCGACGCAGTAGATACATGGGCCCAAGCTAGCTTATCTCAGGTGCTATGTGCATTATTGTAGTGGTCTTTTTTGGGATCTTCCATTCAATCATTCTTTGGCTTTTGCAGGGCGCTCCGTCCCTCAGTCAGGAGAGATCCCACAGTTCTGAGCCACGCCAAGCAGCAGAGTGCGCACCCACCAATGCTCCAAAGTACAGGGAACAGGTCTGGCAAATGGGAGGGTACAGGCACAACCATCTCCAGCGCATGGAGGACCAGCATTGCAGCCAAACTCAGCTGACATAGAATCTTCCAACACCATGCTACCCAGTCTCCATCAGTAGGCTTCATGGTTATGGTTTGAAGAAGGGGAGTAGTTCGTAATTGTGTGATGGCTGTGGCAAAGATAATCAGGGTGCAGACATAGGGTAGTTGTAATCTGTCGACCACCAAAAGCGGCCACATGGTCCAAGTGGCAACCACGGCCATCCAGTCGCAGAACACAACATCCTCCCATACCAGGAGAGACGCCGGTGCCAGTGCCAATAGAATACTCTTTTCATGAACTTGGAAGCTCGCCAAGAAGAATGCAAATGCACAACTGGTGCAGCCCCACAGGAGAGATTTGAGATCAGCGGCGTGTTGCCTAGTTGCTGCTTCCTTTCGCTGTTCGGATGCTCTGCCAATCAGGAAGAGAGCAATGCAGGATGGCATCATGAGCAAAAAGGTTGCAGCCAAAGCTGCCAGGGGCTGAACATCGGCAGGGATTCGATCTCGAATGTTGATTGGTTTGGTGTCCAATGCACACCAGAGGTTGGAGACTTTGCCTTCAAAAAGCCCTCGTTCAAGTGGGAAAATACGACGTAGGACATGTGTTCCACGCTGCAGCATCGTACGCAGAGCGTTGCGGCTGCCATCTTCCACCAAGCTGAGGTTGTCTCGTGGTCCGTAGAGTAGAAATGGCCACCACAACTGTACAAACGTAATGATAACAGTCCCTCCGAGTGCTGCAAATCGTTCCAAACCTTGCTGCCAAAGGGGTATTTTGCTGCCGTTGTTGAAGGCGAGACATCGACCGAGCAAGTATGCGAAAATGACGGGAGCGTAGTATAGTGTCATTTGTTTAAAGTTGAGAGCAAGACTGAAAAAGACGGATCCATAGATACAGCTGAGGAAGAAGCTGGGATGAGCAATGAAGAAGAGACTCCACAGCGACAGTCCCAATGCAACGGTATTGTACTGGAAGTGTCCATGATCAATGAGGATGATGCTGGGTTGTAGCAATGCCACGAGGACGGCAATGAGAAACTCGTTGGTGGATGATGATTCTTGTCTTTTGAGTTGCCACAATACTTTGAGTATGAAAAATACAGCGGGAAAATAGATTAGAGCATCAAGAACCCACACTGTTGCCCTCATAAAGGCTTTGTGAGTGGGATCTCCTTCATATCTCCTCGACTTGAACAAGGCGACTGTTCCGGGTCCCACCAGCCATTCGGACAAAGCTCCACACACATAGGATACGTATGCAGTTAAGGGTGGATAATCGAGTCCCCAGTACTGCAAGTCATACCAATACCAATCTCCAATTGGGAGATGCCAAGTCAGTTCCATCCAATGCCTCTGAGCCTCATAGTCACCACCATATGCCCTTTTGCTTCCATGGTAATTGTCTTCACCAGAGTGATGCTGATACCCAACGAGTATCCGAACAAAGAGGGCCAAGCTCACAACCAGGACATGCAGGCTCACCATGGTTTCGCTTTGCTGATCTGAGGTGTTGTGATGTCTTCAAGCCACGGGCTTCCATGGACGAGTGTTCCTTGCTTGCGGATGGATAGAAGGTCTCAGCTCTGCTTTGGGGAAGCGATCGCGATCGAGAAAGCGAAGCTGCTCGATCTTTGTTTGGTGGCAGACCTTCTGTTTTCCTTTGCGGGTGCCGAAAAAGCAGTAGAGCTAGAGTTAACTTGAACTCTTCTGATGACGCACCACCGACGAATGCTCTCCTTGGCTCTCAACAACACAGCATCCACCAAGCTCATCAGCATCGGCACTTCGCATCGTTGCGCAACACTCTTTGTTGTCCACCATGGCGTCGCAGTTCCGTAATCTGGTAAGCAGTAGTGCATGTAATGCCTCATCCCACCTCTTGGATGTACTCGCTGTTGGTATCGACCGAGAGAGCGTTGTTGTTTCTCATGTCGGTCGCCTGATCGGTACCCCAAGCACACGCGTCGGTGAAAATATCTTGTTGTTAAGATTCCAGATTCCGTATCCTGACGTAGTAACACCGCGTAGTAACCACTGTTCCCACGGAGTCTCCATCTGACCTTGATTTTTCTTTCTCAACACAACAACAACACACACAGTTACAAAAGAACCGCAATGCAGTGGCTGCCGCCGCCGCAACTGGTGTCGCCCTGGCACCAGGTGTGGCCATGACGACATTTATGTCTGACGACTGTGTCCACCCTGTTTCCTACCCATGGAGGCACACTGGCTTGTTTTCCTCCTTTGATTGCGCGGCTGTCCGTCGAGGTCTCCAAGTCTACCGTGAAGTCTGTGCTACTTGCCACTCCGTGGATCGAATCCGTTGGCGTGAATTGGTGGGTGTCACTCACACAAAGGATGAAGTCACCGAAATGGCCAAGGAAGTCGAAGTTTTGGACGGACCCAACGACGAGGGAGAAATGTTTGAACGTCCTGCCAAATTGTTTGACAAATTGCCCCAGCCATACGCCAACAAGGAGGCTGGCCGTGCTGCCAACGGAGGAGCCTATCCTCCTGACTTGAGTCTCATGGTCAAAGCCAGACACTCGGGACATGACTACGTTTTCGCCTTGTTGACCGGATACGTTGACAAACCTGCTGGCAAGGAAATGATGTCCACCCTCTACTACAACCCCTACTTTCCCGGTGGTGCCATTTCCATGCCTCCTCCTCTCAATGATGGTGGTGTCGAGTACGAAGATGGAACTGAAGCTACCATCTCCCAGCAAGCTAGAGATGTCGTCCAATTCTTGCACTGGACTGCTGAACCCGAGTTGGATGAGCGAAAGAAGAGCGCAGGGAAGTACCTGTCGGTTTTGGCCTTTGTGTGCGTCGCTACTGGCCTCTGGAAGCGCTGGAAGTGGGGTCCTCTCAAGACTCGAATGATCTCCTACGTTAAGGAGACCTAAGAAAACTGAAGCCAACCTGGCTCCTATTATTTGGTGCTGACATTTGAAGGTGGTGTTCTTAGATGGTTGGCTTGGATCGGTCTCTGCTTACTTCTGCCCACCCGTGCCATAGAAATTAGCGTCCTTTGATTGGCTCTACTCTATCATTAATAACTTACTCTATAACAAGTCAAGTATAGGTTGGATGTTATGGTGCTTTTGGTGAAGAACATGGTCTATCGCTTCTTAACTTCTTAACCTTTTATGATCCTGTTACCATAGCAAAACTAGGCACACAAAAATTCCCTGCCTACTGTATACAGGTAGCCTGATGAAACGTATGAACTCGGGACCTGTTAACAGCGGCTTCCTTCCAGAGTTCACTCCGTTTTACTCAATGATTGACTTGAATCGAATCAGTTGCCAGAAGCTGTTTTTTGTTGTTTTGCCTTCAAATATTGCTTGTCCTTTGCCAGGTACTCTTGAAACGACATGCTCTGTCCCAGAGCTTCCATCATGAGCCCATCTTCTTTGCCGCGAGTCTGTTTAAAATCTTTGGTGGCCTCCTTGAGAAGGCGCTGTTTTTCCAACTTGAAACAGTTGTCCAGTTGATGCTTGGGTTTGTTACATCTCCAAAAGAAAACCTTGGAATTTTGGGCATGACATAGATTCAGAGCGTCAATCACCTCCTGACAATCGGGATGCGGACGATCTAATGGTGGATGCATTCTGTTATTAGCTTCGTAGCTAGCTAGTTGTAGACTCACGAGAGACAAGGGAGTGGTCTTGAGTGGCAAGTGGAGTGGGAAGCCGACAGCAACACATCGACAATTGACAGCTCATTGTCGGCAACCAAAATGGCAAAGTGTGCGTCTTTCAAAGTAAGAAACGGCAGAGCTGAAGAAAGTTTGACACAGCCTCACTGAAAGCCAAGCGCTGACATTAGCTTCAGATGCAGTGCAGTGGTCGTCAGTTGAAACTTGGAAGTGCTGAAGTGGACTCCACTCATGAGTATGGCCGCCCATGGGATGAAAGTGTGTGTGTGTATGTTTTTCTAATTGGCTTACGAAAATGTCTACCCTTGGGGATTCCTGGACACACCGGTACCGATTGTCCAGACAGCAAGTAGGAGATGGACTTACGATACCAAAAATGCCATGGGCAAGTGCAAAGGGATGCCCCAAGTGACGATTTATCCTTGAATTAGACCTAGCTAGTCCTTTTTCACTGTGTCTCTTGAGCTACTAGCTGCTGCATACAAGTACATCGCCATTTCTTCGTAGCACACAGGCAGCGAAACATGTGGTGCATGGCTTGACAACGGTATGGTTCTACCGGTACATTTGGCAGACCAAACCAGAGACTTCCCGAATCCATCTGTACTGGAGTCTTCGTCAAAATCATGCCTAATTTATGCCATCCTGTGATACATGTACATTTCTGCCAAGCTGCTGCAAGCCAACCAAACACGGCCCTTTCATCAATTTATTTGACCTACTAAGACATGAGGGATGACACTAACCGATACACACTGAGCCCCATGAGTCCCATTTTCCATGGTTCCAACGTTGCCAGATTGGCCTGAAATAGTGCCATGGACCAACTACCGTCGGCATCTTTTCCCAATTCGATGAGAGTCCGTCCCACGTACATTATGGACATGGCACTGCTGACACTAAAGAATTTGCTCATGACACCTCCTTGTGATTTGGTGGGCGGCATGGGGTAATCGGGCAAATCGTCCATCGTATCATCCATTGCAAATGACGTCGTGGAGAAATCGGGAAATGACGTTCGATACTCCTTGTCGGCTTTGGCATCATCAAATCCCAATTTGTAGAATTCTTCTGCCATTTTTTGATTCTTTTCGGCCACCAGATTTCGCGATGGCAGAGGGACATGGCTGGTTGTTGTGGCCGACGCTGGCACTGTCACGGGCATCATGGATCTGACAAAAAAGACGATTAAAAAGGCAGCCAATCCCATGTGCGCATACCGTTCGTAGGGTTTTCCGACCAAGTACTGCCCCCCTGGGACTTGCTCTCGTACAATGGTTTGGAATCTCATGGGCGCATTTTGGACAATGACTTTTGGATCGGCTCCCGCCAATAAATCCTGTCCAATGACCATGAGAAAGAGCATGACAAAGGAGAAAAGCATCATGGTTCGTGAAAATCCCAAAACGTAAATGAGCGCCAACACTGTCACGGCGAGTCCAATTCCCAACTGTTTCGGCGACACTCCAGGAGGAAGATACGCGGAAAGGCGGTTGAGAACTTGCTGAATTTGGGGATCACGCGAGGCTTGTTGCCAGTACGCTTGTGCCTGTTCGACGTAACTCGCCTTGACGAGATTTTCGGGTTTCATGGCGACGACTTGTTGCGTGGATGTCACGTGGACCAAGTACCTTCCTCGGTCTTGTTGGAACTGGACGACAATGCCAAACTGTCCATTCATATCCTCTCTTGCCGTATTGATAATCTTGACCACGGTCGATGGTGGGTTGCTTACAAACCCAGAGGGATCCGTCTCGTTGCCGGTTGCCATGGTAGTGCCGTACTTTTACTCTGCTCTGCTCTGCTCTTACAATTTGAATTGGCTGCTCAGTTCGGTATCAATGACAACAAGTAAGTCTTGGTGTACGGTATGTGATAACTTATTTTGGTTGATCTCTTGGGTCTTCTACAAATGGCTGTCAAAAGCAACGAAGCAATCAGATGAAGCAATGACAGAAAGAAGGGGCAATCGTGTGGGTCGAATTCTCCTGCCTTCTCTGCCAATCTTCTCAAATCAGTCCGTCCTTCGTCCTTCGACAAATGGATCTTTTATTCCCGCACCCTCCCCAAACAACAAACAAACCCAACGTTTTCAGGCTCAGATACCCACAGCAGCTCCCACAGCTACCCATAGTAACTTCCACAAGATACTAATACAGTACTCTAGCTAGCTAGCTAGTTGATGGGATACCGGTAGATAGAGGGTACGGCAGATCAGATAGATTGTACTACAGGTAGTGGTTACACCATGAGCGGTCGAGGGCGAGGCATCAGCAACAAACCGGCCTGGATGACCCGCGCCGAGGGCCCTGGCGGGGACAATGGCGGCGGTGGTGGGGCTCCTCCCATGGGCGATCGATACGATGATCGAGGCCCACCCCCTCGAGATCGAGGCCCGCCTCCCAGACGAGGCTACGACGGTCCTCCCCGAGGTGGAGGTGGAGGTGGATTTGACCGAGGAGGAGGAGGTGGTGGATTTGACCGAGGTGGGCGCTACGATGATTTTCGAGATCGAGGACCACCCCGTGGCGGCGACTATCGCGGCGAACGTCGGGATTTTCATAACGATCGACGAGGACCGCCTCCTCCCCGCAGAGGAGGAGGAGATTTTGATCATCGCCGCGATAATAATAATCGACGAGGCGGCCCCATTCCCAATCACAAGAATCCAGGAACCATCTTTTTCAGGTCCTTTGAAGAAGAACAGCACTGGGTCGAAGAACGGCGGCGCAAACGCTTGGCACGCAAGAGCAAGTTTGATATCACGCCCACACCCGAACAAGCCGCGGCAGATGCCGCCATGGTGGCGCTGTCCAATCCAGCCGCCACCGACTTTGCCGGAATCAATGCCAACGATCGAAATTTCAGTGCCGTGCCACAGCAGACGCGACATGCTCGTCGACTCTATATTGGACAGTTGCCACCCAATGTCACGGAACAAGAATTGCACGTCTTTTTTAGAGATGCCATTGACCGGGCCATTCTACCCAATAGTCCAGGGACCGTCAATGGACAAATGCAAGAAGATCCTATCTTGTCCGTGTATATCAATCATGAACGAAAATTCTCATTCTTGGAATTCAAATCCGTCGAAATGACCACGGCCTGTATGGAATTGGATGGCATTGATATCAACGGAAAGGGAAAGGTCAAAGTCAAACGACCCAATGATTACAATCCCACCATGGCACCCAAAGCCAATCTGGCCGCAACGCCGCAATTGGATATCAGTCGCCTCGGAATCATTAGTGGAACTGTCCCCGATGGACCCGACAAAATATTCGTTGGCGGACTTCACTACCACTTGTCGGCTGATCAAGTCCTAGAACTGTTGCAAGCCTTTGGGAAAGTCAAGGCGTTCCATCTCGTCAAAAATGACCCTGATAGCGAAACCAGCAAGGGATATTGCTTTGTCGAATACATTGACCCTGCCGCAACCAATTTGGCCGTGCAGGGATTGAATGGGATGGATCTAGGAGGAGGAAAAATGTTAACAGCAAGAGGTATGTACATGACTATATTATTTCAGTTGCATCACTTTTGCGTTTGTGGCTGACTGATCATTTCGTTTTTGCGTTTTTTACTAAAAATGGCAATCCAGTGGCTGGTGAACGTGGTGGGCAGGCACCTTCCATGTTGTCGCCACAAGCGGATGTCATGGATGCCGCTGTGTCTCCGGCGGCCAGTGGTGGAAACCTTCCCCCCAACGCCAATATTGTTCATGGATACGATATTGAGCTACTGGTGGATGCGGCCATGGGAAAAAGACCCATGCCAACCGCTCCCATGTACCTGGATAGTTTCGGAATGCCCCTCACTCGGCTGGCTCCCACTCCATTCGCAGCAGCACCGGCGCCACAGCCACCATCCACTCCGCAGGAAAGAAAGCCATCAGCCCTGGATATTGCCAATGCCGCATTGGCAGCCATATCAGGCACTCCTGGGGCTCCTTCGCCAGGACAAGCGCCACCACCACCAGTGTCTAGGATTCTGGTCTTGTCGAACATGGTCACGGAGGAGGATTTGGCATCGGATGACGATTACAATGGATTATGCGACGAAGTACGTGAGGAATGCATGAAGTTTGGTCGCCTCCATGGAATGCAAATTCCTCGACGGGCAGATGGGACTGTTCAGCCCAGCGCCATTCTCAAGATCTTCTTGGAGTATGCCTCTGTTCGGGATGCCCAAGCTGCCGAGAATGAGCTGAAGGGGCGCAAGTTTGGTAATAATGTCGTGCAGGTAGGTACTTCTGATCGGGCAATGGTTGGTTTGCTGGAAATTGAAGCTGCAAGCACGATCTCACGCTTTTGGCTTTCTTCTGTTGGTAGACGAGTTTCTTCTCTGAATCGGAGTATGCAGCTGGGAGATTGAATTAGGAAATGACGATACATGTTTCATGCTTGTGTAACGGTGCGATATGTCTGTAAAAAGGAAGCTGATGCAAGAACGAGTTGAGCGGCGGGACCGCAATCAGGACGCTTTGGTTTGAATGTTGATGTGTGGCTTGGGTTGGGCATTTCACCTGGGGAACTTTTGCTTTCTTTCGCTCTTTTCCTTCGCGCGCGCGACAGATGATGAAAGTGGTGGAGACGGAGATAAAGAGAGGAGGTCTTACGAAACTTACCCTAATCACGCCCAGACTCGGACTCTTGTCCGTTGTTGGCCGCCTCGTTGCTAATCATTTTGTGTGAACATTTTTCTAGCCGCGGGCAGCAGCAGCTGTGAGGTGATCCTTCCTTTTACAGGAGGCTGCCTGTGCTGTTGCTCGCGGTACAGCTCTTTTCCTCCTACTACTTTTTTATCGCTGAAAGCAGTGGGTGCGGAAGCTTAGCGGATGAGGCAAATCATCAGCCATTGTTCGCTTATTGTCGAATGATTGCTTGATCTGACACAGTTTGCGTTCCCTCCATGCGCAGCCATGACGTCTTCCCCTTTTCTCACGTGATTCGTCTGCTCAGCCATTTCTTTCTGGTACGCTTTGTCATTAGCCGACTAGCGTTGGGTTGCAGCGGGTCTTCTGCTTCCGCACTGACCCTTGATGTCTTGGTCGTCCCATCATCTTCACTACTGGAGGCAAGTATTGAGCTGTGGAGGGTACCGGTATCGTTGAGGTACGATGTCAAGGGAACGTCGAAGTCAAACAACCCAATGATTACAATCTCGCTGCAACTCTGCAATTGGATATCAGTCGCCTAAGAATCATTAGTGGAACTGTCCCTGACGGACCTGACAAACTCTTCGTAGGAGGACTTCACTACCATTTTGAGTAGCAGTCCATCCGTCCCGATGGACCCGACAAACTCTGCTTGCATCTCGTGGAGGATCAAGTCCTAGATCATTGTACAGAGCCCTGTCTAGAAATGGCCCAACAGGGAGAATTCTCACTGTTACTTTCGGCCAAAAGCTCTTGGAGAATTGAGTCCAGTCCCTCCAGCCTTCAGCGAACCAGCATGAAAAAAGAAACGGTCCGATGCTAGGGTTATCAACAAGCATTCTCCCTGTTGGGCCCATTCTCCCTGTTGGGCCGTTCCTAGCTGTAGTATAGATAGAATTCGTTATGTTTATCAATGTGTAATTGTCTACTTTTAAATGAAGAATGCAACAATTGGAAGGAGTGCAAACAGCTCGGGATGGATTTGCTGGGTCCCCGGCGCTTTAAGGAGGAGCGCCTTTTATTTTTTGCGTGGTTTTGGGAATGACAAAAGCGCCACTGCTCTTGCTAGCTAGCACTAGTGATCGTCCATTTCCGAGGAATCCACTTTTCTTAAAGCTTCCACCTCGTTTTCCAAGTCCTCATCATCCACAATGCTGTGCACGGCACTCTCGTGGCCGCAAAACATGGTGGTCTCGCCTCGTATCCAGATAAGAGCCGTCACAACCGAGGAGCACATGACCGAGATACCCATCCAGGTAAAGGCTTTGTGATAGTCAAATTCCCGAAACATGACACTGAAGATGACGGCACCAACGTTTCCTCCAGCTCCCACAATCCCACATACAGCCCCATCATAGCGTTTTTCCACATACGGTACAATTCCGTACGTGGATCCTTCGGCTGCTTGCACAAAGAGCGAAAAGCAGACCAAGGTGATGATTCCTCCTGCCAGACTTGTGGAACTGGCAAATATGAGAACGAGAGCTCCTTCCATGGCCAACATAATGGCCTGCGTGTACAGTCGTCCCCGCATTCCATAACGTGCATTGGCATGGTCGCTGATAAATCCCCCGACTCCGCGGGCAAACAGATTCATCCATCCGAAAATGGATGCAATGGCTGCGGCCGATTCGGTGGATACCCCGAATTCATCCTTAAAGTAGAGTGCCGAAGCCGAGTTCATTGCCAATTCGACTCCAAAGCAGCAGGCGTATTGGATAAAGAGCAACCAAGTGGCTGGATTGGAACAGGCAGCAGCAAACGCAGTCGTAATTTGTACTTCATGTTTGGCTCCGTTCTTTAACAATTCATGTGTGTTTCCCTTGGGATAATCATCGCTGATGAAGTAAATGACAACCCCAGTGATAAATGCGACAATGGCGGGTACAAGCGAGACATATCTCCAGGCATATTCACTGCGATGTGAAATGAAAAGAAGTAGGCGTGTGATATAGTTAGTTGAATGCCAGTCAGTCAAGAGAGATCCTGATAACGCAAACAACTAACTCGATCGTCGAACCTACCTTGGATTGTCGGTGCCACTAAAGATGGCCTTGAAGAGAGGGAAGAGGAACGATCCCACAATGAGTTGTGTGACTCCTGCGCCCAGGTTTCCCCAACCAGCCGTCACTGCATAGTATCCAGTCAAAACAAGAAATGGAATGGGATGAGTGAGCGACTAGTTGGCTGCGAAAAAGTGAGTTTGTCCGGGGTACAGTACTACCGCTGCTCACTTCACTTACGTGCGTTGGCTGTCCCCACAACCTCCTTGGTGAACATGGAGGTCGACCAGTACTGGCACATGATGAAGCTACCTCCGGCAATCCCGATAAAGACTCTCAAGATGATCAAGTCTCGTGCATTCTGGATGACTCCAGTGCATGCTGCAGGGATGGCCGCAATACACAGCACCACCGCAAACAGGACCCGGCTCCCAAACTTGTCGCATAGTGGTCCCTGTTAGTCATACGGTTAGAGAGAGACAGAGGGAACGAGTGAGGATGACATGTCATCTTTGTGTCTGTACTGAGCTGTGCAGTATATATCGCACTTACCAGAATCAATCGAACAAAGATCACCGCAGCAAAGTTGGCAATGGTGGAATTCCAAATCTCCCGCTTGGTAATGTCCAAGTCTTCCCGAATCTCACTGAGCAATGGGACGATTGCAAACCAGATAAAAAAGGCAATAAAGAATCCCCACCAACTGCAATGAAATGCCCTCATGTGCGGTCGACTAAAGCTGCACAGTCGAATCTCCGTGGCTTTGTCATCTTGCTCCGGATCAATCTCCAAGTCGTAGTGGGCATACTTCTTCCAATTGCTTGCAGCTCCAGAATCAATCTCTGTCGCGCGGCTATTCTTGCGGCTGCTAACCATGGTTATTATTATAGCTTGTCTTTCTGATCTTTCTTTCGTTTGGTTAGAGAAATAATGATTAGACTTGTGGTCGAAGGTGGATCTGGAATCTGATGAGAGCGGCTTCTGCAGGAGTTTGAAGTTTGAGGACAATAAGCAGGGTCATTGACTCGGTGTCACCCGGTCGATGGTCAAGCTCCTCTGCCGCCGAGTGTCGTAATTCCGGAACATTGTTGAAAGGTGGTTCCCCTTTCCAGAGTTCGGAGAAGCTTATTAAAATAAACACCTAAGTATTTCAGGACATCAAAGAAGGAAACTTTCCATGACAAAAGAAGTTTTTAAGCTCCTCCGGAGTTTGTGGGCTTTGTGGGTGGATTCAGCAGCTTTTCACCAATGATAGAGCTTGATAGTTTTGGCTAGTCTTTTCTTTGGCCTTGAACGGCTTTTGTGTCTTTCGGTTGCTTCTGAAGAACAAGATCATTAACAATCGGCAAGTGGACTTGACTTTAATCATTGAGAAGACTTGAAAGGCTACATGTATTGCGAGAACTCTAACATTGTGAGAACCCATGGGTCGATCATGCCATCATGATCGGTCAACGGTCAAGGCATCTTTGCGTAGCGCTCAACATGCAACGACCAACAAACCCACAGCATTCGAGCTACATAGTTAGCACTACGAGTAGTAGCCACTAAGTAGTGGCCAGAGGGTACGAGTAGTTTCTGGCGTATTCTTCTTCAGCGGGTAGTACATGTACTACCAGTACCTCCTGCCAATAATGTCAAGACCGAGAGTGCAGAGAGCCTGGAAATCGATGCACTGTAGCACCTTTCTCCTGCTACCTCTAGCTAGACCAGTACTCTAAGAAGTTTCCTTGCTTCCCAGCCAACGATTGGAAGGACTGAACTAGACTGAAGCTCTCACGGATGGTTTGCTTTGGCTCGCGACGATAAGGAACAGCCGCGTGAGAACCGGAGACGTTGGTGGTTGGTGGACACCGCCTACCGGTATGACAGTACAGTGTGGTACAGTCGTACCCATAGCATCCTTCCGTGCTGATGGAATGATTCGATTCGATTCGATTCGATTCGATTCGAATCGATTCGATTCGATTCGATTCGATTCGACTGAATCGAATCATTCAATCAGTCGAATCATTCGATACCGAAAGTTGATGGACAGGAAAAAACACATGCAAATTTTGCCCAAGCCATGGCCGAACTAGACTAGCTACCGTACGGTAGCTAGTAGCTAGCACTGACAAAAACGCCTCCATTGAGAGGAGAGCTGCAAGTCAAGAGCACGCGGCTACGCATCAGTGAATGACAAAACGCAATCTTGGGACAGGGGTCTATTGGCCAGCTCTGCAGCGGTCTATGAGAGTCAACAACAAGCGTCATCATGGTACCGGTATCATCGTTGGATGTGGCAGTAGACCCACGTGTGAATACGAGGAGCGAGAAGGCTAGCAGCAAAGGTCAGCATCCAATTTGGAACAGCTCCAGCAAGACTCATCTAACCCTCAGCCATCAGCACCCATCACCAGCGCAGCCCATCGTCCCCATCCTGGGCTGCCACCACTCTAGGTCCAGCCTACGCCTGGAAGTTTTTTGTACAATACCACTGGTAGACCAGCAGTCATGTCAGCGCCCTATGCATTGGTACTCGTAGCCTTGAAATATCCATCTGAAGTGCTAGCTAGAGCTAGCTAGTCTACTCAGTATGTACACGCCAAGTGACGCAATTATTAATGGGTGTGACTGCCACTTGGTTGACTCAGGGCAGTCCAGCCAATCAGAACAACTGACTCATGGCATGTTATCCCCAGCAGTAAAAGCTCCAAGTTTATTCAATATTTTCATACTGATTATACAAAAGGATGCTAAGGCTACTTGTTAGAGCTAGCGGTTGACTGAGGTAGCAACGTGCTCTTCTGATTGGCCAAGTGCTGGAAGCAATCCTTCAACGTTTGTGCTTCAACGAAAACACAAAAACGCCACCCATCACGCCATCATCCATCATAGCTGAAGCCCAAGTTGAACTGCAACAAGAAAGAAGCAGACCAACCAACCTCACCCATCCAAAAGCGCAACCAAAAAGCTATCCCTGTGGAGCCACTGCAGCCTCGGCGCTTTATCGTTCACTGAATAGTCTAGAGCTGCTTTGAGAATCGAATCCATTGAATCTTTTAATAAAATAGAATTCCCACAACCACAGGGCCAACAAAAAAGTCCAATCGAATCGAGTCGAGTCTACCGTCGGGAAGTCATTCCTTATTATCCATCTCGTCCCATTCCTTCACTATACGCACTGATGAAGTTCTCTATCCTGGCAATAGCTGCTGCACTGGCGCAGCCATCCTTAGCCTTCCAGAGCAACAGCTTTGCAAGGTATCACAGCAGACATACCTTTCTGGCTGCTTCCACTTTTTCGAAAACGGGAGAAGCTGCTGCTGCAGCGGCTGACCCGGGCCCTCCTAGGCCCAACAACTCGCTGCAATCGGTCAGTGACAACCATAACAACCAGCAAAATGGTAGATCCAGTGAAGAGATTGAAGCAGAATTATCTAGTGGCAAGGTCTTGGAGGGTGGAAAAGTCATTGACTTTGAATCCGTCAAGGGACCTTCCCGTGCCGAACAGGCGTTGTTAGAAGCACGGCAACTAGTACTCAGCAAAGGCGCTGCTGCCACAACTAGTGCTGGCATGCTTGGAATCAACAGCGACGTGATTTCAGAAGTAGGCCATGAATTGGGCAAATTTGCATCTGCTCGGGATGTTCAAAAATGTGCGTCTTATCTGCGATCCCAGGCACCTGCTGGTCTGTTGAAAGATAATACCGAGGAACCCGTAGTTTTCGACGAAAAGGACAAGGTCATCTTCCAAAAGATTATGGATAAAGCATATGAAGAATCTGGAGAAGTTACCGGAGCCTTTGCCAAGACATTCTACATGGGTACCATGCTGTTACCGGAAGAAGCACGGGAAGCCATCTGGGCCGTCTATGTCTGGTGCCGACGAACCGACGAAATCGTTGATGCGCCACGGGAGGACGATCAGGAAATGTTAAATGATTTGAGTTCTTGGGAAATGCGACTCGAAAAGCTGTGGGACGAAGGAGCTGTCGTAGACGTCTACGATTTGTGTCTATTGGATATTCGAGTCAAGTATCCAAACATGTCTATTACACCCTATATGGATATGATTCGAGGAATGTTGATGGACGTACCAGAGCTAGGACAAGATCGATATGATACCTTTGATGAATTGCACTTGTACTGTTACCGAGTAGCGGGAACGGTCGGCTTGATGAGTCTACCCATTTTCGGAACCGCTCCTGGAATCACCTATGACCAAGCAAGGTACGTGTTGTTCCCGCAGACCATGATGTATGCAAAGCCACAGATACATATTATGAGGTCATGCTCAGTTGTTGATAAATGCTTTCGTTGCCTTTCTGCATGTACACAGGGAGCCCGCTCTATCATTAGGTGTTGCCTTTCAACTAACTAACATTCTGAGAGATGTCGGCGAGGACGCTGTGCAAAGAGGCAGAGTCTACCTGCCAAGAGAAGACATGGCGAGGTTCGGTGTGACTGAAGATCAAATCTTTGAACAACGAGTGGACGAAAACTATGTCAATATGATGAAGTACGAAATCGAGAAAGCAAAGATGTACTACGAACGTGCAAGAAGAGGTGTCTTTATGCTGGCCCCGGAAAGTCGACTGCCAGTGCAAAGCTCTCTCGATGCGTATGGACGAATCTTGGACAAGATTGTGGCCAATGGATACGATTCCCTGACAACACGAGCCTACGTGGACAAGTGGGAGAAACTATCCATTATCCCTTCTTCATGGTACAGGACAATGGACATCTCGCGACAGTTTCCTCTGCCAGGTGATCAACCAGTGCCTTCACTGTTTGAAGCCCAATCTTAGGCAGCCAATGTCCTCTTCCTCCGATTCGGTGCATCTTGCACGAGCATCACCCAATCCACTAACACCACAGCACCACACTTCGAGACTGGCGAGTAGATCGTCGCCATGTCTCATCCTGCACAGTACCTCATCATCAACAACATACCATAGACGCTATGTACAAGAGGATGCTACTAGCATTCTCAGTTGCATCCATTTGTCAATGTTTGCTTACTTTTAAAAGAAAACTATGAGAATAAGCTTCGCACTATTTGAACAGAGATTCATTGCTTTCCGCATCCTGAGAGGAGCATTGAAACTTGTGGCAACCTTCAAATGCATTCCTTAGTAGGACGTACTGGTTTCGCTGGCCCCTGTCAATGGCATCTATGAGGAGCTGGTGTTCCTTTCGTGCGTTAGCAAGTTTCATTTCTGCGACTTGCAATTCCAACTCTAGTTTTGACAGCAGCAGGCTCTGGTCCTTGCTCCTTTCGGCGCCGCTGCAAGCAAAGAGTGAACGAACTCTTGACCGTGGCGTTCGCTTTTCCACGGAGACCCGCAGGTCTTTGACGTCCTGCTCAATGACAAGCTTCGATACATGGTCGGACAAGACCTGGCTTCTCACCGAACTCTCCTCTGCGGACAGCCCACGAAGATACCGACCAGATGTCATAAGCTGCGGGAATAGAAACGTGGATTTCAGCTTTTCGATTACTTGGTCGAGAGGCTCCTTTTTGTTACCTTTCCCCCGTGCGATCAGATGTTTCATGTGCTTGCTCTGATAGTGCTGGAAGCCCCTGTCGAGATGTTGAAGGATTTCGTTGCGGTTGTCGTTGCACCAGCTGTCACTACAAGTGCATCGCCTCATCCGCTGCTCAACCAGGCTTCTCGCGTCGTCATTGGTTGTTCCTTCAAGGAGCAAAGCCTCTGGGTACTTTCTCAAGAAGCTATCGATCACGCTAGAGTCCGCATTGGTCCAACAAAGATAGCACAGAGCGGTGTTCAACGCTTGAACGAAATCCAATGATTCCTCGCTTTTCCTTTCGTCGTCGTCGCGTTTCTTTGCGTGCTCTCTGCTAGGCCGATGCTTCGTGTTGCTCTGGTTGGACTGACTTCGTTGGAGCATCATCTCTGATCAGTAGCGCAAGAGCCTCAAATCTTCGATGTTGAGTGTTTGCTACGTATGGCGTCTGTTTCCTTTCCTAAGTGCGCTTCAGCCCTTCGACGACAGCTGTCACGTCTTTATTGTTTCAGTTTGTTGCCATCGAGAGCCGCATCCTATTTGCTTTTTGCCTTCGACTAAAGTTTGATCCAGCAGCCTGTGATGCAAAGCTGGCAGATCTATGTACTCGTTAAATGAATGTGTTTGGATGAGGGACCAAAAGGAAAATTCAATCAGATGGGATATCCCTCTTTATGCTTTCGATAGCATGTGCAATGGGAGAAGTCGTCAATATGACGACGATTCGATTCGATTCAGCCGTGCAAGGGAATTCCCGCGGGAGGCGTCGAAGAGTTGGTGGGCCATTCGTGCATGTTTGGTTCCTTCTCCGTCTCCTTTCAGAATACAATCATGGCGGAACTCTCAAGTGGGTACGGTAGCCAACTCAACGCAAATAGGATAGTTCTCTCGGAACTACGGTATGCATAGGAAGTTGACTGCCTCTTAACAATGCACCTATTTCCATCCACTCGTGGCGATGATTGTCTTCACCTTTTCGGCTACTTCGCTCGCCTCGTTAGCCTTCCCTTGCATTTCAAGCACTCGGCCAAGCATTTGCCAGGCTGACGGATCTGATGGAAAGCTTTCTGTGGCCTTTCGAAACTCATGTTCGCATGCAGCCATGTCTCCCTCAGAGGCCAAAAGCTGACCGACCATGCGATGACATCGTAACCGAAGTGGTTTGAGTTGATTGATATAGTTTGCAATGTCGACACCACCTTTGCCTTTTGCGGCCAACTCTTCCAGGATAGGCTTGGCGGCGTCCACAAAGTCCGACGCCTTTAATGCGTAACTCTTCGCTTCCTTTATCTCGCCAGCTGCAGGGTTGCAAAATCCACGCGGTGAGAGCGGCATCAATGAGCATCAAACTTAAACTCAAGGAAGCACCTACCTTGAGCGAGCTGGTTGGCCTTCTCGCTGTACAAAAGCCCCAGATTGAACATTGCTTTTGCGGCGACTTCCGCATCACACTCCACAGCCTTTAGGAACATTGTTTCGGCCTAATCGAATGAATTGAATGGTTGTAGGTGGCGTGTGATTTAGTTAGATTTCGTCGGTATCGATGTAGAAACAAAATGTAGCCCAATCACTTACCTCGTCCAGATTGCCTCTCTCTGCAAGAGACGTTCCCCAGTTCAGCCACGCCCCACCAAACTTGGGGTCAGCTTGAACTGCTTTGGCGTACATTTCCATTTCTTCTTGTGTCTTGCCCTTGGCTCCCAACTTGATGCCCAGGTTATAGCAGAGCTCGGCATCTTCTGCGTTCAATTTCACGCTCTGCTGATACGCCTCAATGCTCTCGTCATCACGTCCTTGTGCGGAAAGCAACACTCCCAGGGTGAACAGTGCATCCGAATCTTTGTTTTCCAACAACTCGAGCGCTTGGCGTATCTTTGCCTCTGCTTCGTCAAATTTCTTTTGGCTATGGAGGATTTCGGCCCAATCTTTAAGGCAGGTGGTGCACTTTGGATTGATGGCCAGTGCCCATTCAAAGTATTTGGCGGCCGTCTCGAGATCGTTGGTCCTTCGAAGTTCGCTTCCCTTGTTTTTGAGTCGCCGGACATGTTCCACCTTGTCTTTTAGCAATAGAAAGGCTCCTAGAATGTATCTAGTTCCACCGGTAACTCGATGCCCTCCATGTCGCACCGACCCCGGCCGGAAAGTTCCATGACCCACATCCATTTCAAGCACATTTTCCACTCCCATGTGTTCAAAAAAGGTGCCTCCACCTTGGTATTGATCCTGTGGAGTCATGGCAATGGTAAGAGCCAAGATGCCATTGTCAATGTGCACATCTGTCCGGGGATGACTAGAATTGTACTTGAGCAAGCTGACCGAGTGAGCCCGCAACACAGCAGGTGAACTGATTACTTCCGGGAACAGGTGTGCCAAGAGAGGAAAGAATGTGCTCTCTAATCGTTCGTTGAACCATTTTCGTGTGTTGGGAAGATTGATCAACCAATCTCCTGTCATCGTTTTGCAAGAATATGCATGGCATGTCAGCTTCATGCACTTACTTGTCCATACAACGATGTCTGGATCAATCGCAGTCAACATTTACATATTCCAGCACTTTGGCTTACCTCCAAGTTGGTATTTTCCACTTTTGTATTCATTCTCATGTACACCCTCAGCTTCGGCATTTTCAATGACACGAGCTGCCTCCTCAGCCGAAAAGAGTGGCAAATCTTGGGTAACCTTGATGAGATCCAAAGGGAACCTGTAGACAAAAATAAACGGAAGTGATAATATCCAGTTAGCATCAGTATAATAGAGTCTCCAACCCACTTTATCAATAAGTAAGTGTTGCATGGTCAAACAAACAAAAACAAACCAACGTACCCAAAATCTTGTGCAAAATCTTCGGGGGGAACCGCTCCCATGGAATAGGACGCCACTTTGGTGGCATCATTGTGTAGGAGGGCACTTATGGAAACCGTGGGTTCCTCCTGAGCACAATAAAACATTTCGCAGCTTTTTTGACAGTCTTGGGCATGATCCTTTTCATTCTGTGCAATGGCGGCCACAAAGTCAGGTCCCAATTGTGCCCCGAGTTTTTGCAGGTCGGCGGTCGTGGTGGCGGCATCACCACCGCGCATGGATAGTAGTTGATCCAACCACCCGTTGTTGCTGCTGCTGCTAGTAGTTTGTTGTTTTTGTTCTCGTAGTGTGTCTCTTCGTACTTGACGTACGGGCCCCAATCGCAAGGGAGCCATGTGAACTTGTTCTTGCAAGGATTGGAGAAGTAGCAAGTCTGAATCATCATTGTTTCCTTCTTGATCTCCAAATTGAAAGGCTCCACGAGACCACAGATCCAACTTGGCTTCAATAATGCGTTCTTCCGTCACGGGATCGCCATCCTCCGTTCCATGGACAGCGAAAACAACTGAAAGGAGCCATAACACCAGGAAAAGGGAGGAACATTTCTTTCTCGACATGGTTTGCAAATAAACAATCAAATAAGGCTCTCAGACTCTCCCACTCTCCTTTTAACCAAGGGCTTGCAGGTGTCAATTATCCGCCTACCCGTATCAATGGAAAGATACCATATGCATTACAAACCAAGCGGCTGGTACCGTTGCATGTGATGCGCCAAAGATCCATTCTCAAAGTTGAAGGTGATTTGTTGGAAGGTGATGGCACGAAAAATGAGTGACGTCATTCATTGAATGAAGGAGGTTCCGTTTCTCATTGGCAACAGCTGCTCGTTGCCGTGATGCATGACGGATGATCGAATGAACCCGCTGTTGACCGACACGGCCACTTTCAAAGTTTCGGTGGCTTTCGACCAGTTGTTACTCCGACACTCTTAGAGAGAGAACAATTTGGGGCTCTCCTCTACTAGAGTAGTAGCTATAGTTGCAACGGCTTACATTTGATGAAAAATTTGACTTGGTTAGGCAACAGAAAAACTTTAGAGAGTTTGAGTGAGATAAGATGAAGGCAGATCCACACTCCTCCAGACAGTGTCCACTTCTTCTAGCTGGAATGCTGAGCCTTGCTCTGATTGTGGTGTCGTATGGGTTTCCTCTTCAGTCGTTAAAACACTCCCACCATGCTACTATCGGTAGAAGGATACACAGCAATCATAATATTCCTGTCCACAAGAACAACCACAAGAACAAGAGGCATCACTTTTCCACTCCCACACCCACGCAACTGGACATGGTCTTTACCATTTCTCCCGATTCCAAAGAACTGGAACACTTGTCTACCGTCGACATGCTGGACCAGATCTTGGACGAGTGTCTACGAACCAGTGCCCGAAGACCCATCATGGTTCAGTTTAACCCATCTTCCAAGTTCATTTGGAGACAATGGAAGGGGACCGTCTTTGCCGAAACATGGAAATCAGGCGCCCGACATGTCGTCTGGGCCGTATTTGTCTACTTTTTGTTTTGGCGGTATCCGCAAATCAAACAGCTATTTTCGGGATTTCATATTCTATGGGGACAATTGCTGTCCGTGACTACCTTCACATTGACCTTCTTTGTCAATGAATCCTATTCTGTCTGGAGAACCAGCTTGACACGGTGTCGCATGCTACAAGGACGCCTCAATGATTTAGTCATGGCATTGGCAGGGTTTGCACGCCGAATCGATCACGATGGGTCCTCACAATTCACACCCTCCAGTCGCAACGTATTAACGGTAGTGGGAAGATACATTCGATTATTTAATATTCTCAGCTACGCCAGTTTGACCAGACGACTGCGACCATTATTGACACCCCAAGGCATGCGACGGATGCAAAATAGAGGTCTCTTGACGTCCAAGGAACGAAACGTCTTGAAACAAACCACGGCGGTTCCCGCCACCCAAAAACACAATGCGGTCTTGCTGTGGATACTGCGATTGGTCATTGATGCACGCAAGGCGGGACACATCGATGGTGGATTTGGATTTGAACAGCAGCTCATGGGGAAGATTCAAGAAATACGACAACAAGCCAATTCCATGGAGAGTGTGTTACGGGGGAGACTGCCATTTGCCTACGCGCACATTGTACAAGTGCTGGTGGATCTCATTTTGTGGATGTATCCTCTCATGGCATTTAGTAGTGGCATGGACATGTCCTTTCATTTAGGATTGTGTGGATCCATGATGTTGGCGTGTTCCTACCAAGGACTCTTTGATCTAGCCAAGCAATTTTTGGATCCTTTCCACAATGAAAACTTTTGGAAGGGAGAAGATGCACTGGTGGTGGAAACACTAGTGGCAGAAACCAATGCTGGTTCCACACGCTGGATGTACTCTTTGGATGAAATGCCCATTTCATACAACACGATCCGGTCGGGACAACTTGAAGACTATATCCTACCCGATGAAGGCTTCTCCAAAGAAGATGCCGATGTGGCCAGCGAAGAACGGAAAGAACAGAAACGTCTCGATCGAGAAAAACGAAAACAGTTGGCTCTGGAAAAGTCCATGATATCAGAAAAGTCCCCGCAACAAATCTATGCCGAAGTAGTGGCTGAAGACTTGGTGGCGGTTCAGGAGGAATTCGAATCCACAAAATTGATCTTGGAAGCGCCTCCCGGATCTGATTTTGTTCCTGGGTTGGACGATAAGAATGCGACCCTGCCGGTGATCTATGATCCCAAGCTCGAAGAATCCACGACATCTGGTGGCAGCAACTATAGCAACAGCAACAACATGCCTATTGAAAATGTGGAGGAATGCATCCCGGCCGAGTGCTTGGAAGTTTTCATTCACTCGGCAGAGAAAAAGTTGGAAGAAACCAAGGAGAAGATTGAGATGGGTGAATCCTATTCCGAGCTGGAGTAGTGTGCGTTGGTTTGACGGCTCACCGGATGCGTGTTCCTATAATCTGCTCTTGCACTAGTTGGAATGCTACACAATTCGACACATGCAGCAATTACACTTCGACGATGTAAGAGAACGGCTCTAAAAAGAAGGAAGCAAAAGGACCAGCTGCGGCGCAAAACAATGGCTGACTAAGAAACTTCAAACCAATCAACCCAGGTCATCAAAGGAACAGATCTTCCTGTGGCATCCTGCAAACGACATGGGGACACTACACTTCAGCTCCCGAGCAAATCTCTCATTTTGCTTAGCCACGACAATCTACCGGTTTGTTGCCTGCGGCACAGATTGGGATCCCCAGTTGGCAAGCTCTGTGGAACCGGCAAGGACCGCCAACACACAGACACAAGTTCCAGCATACCACAGCCAGCCCAAAACTGACGAGACTCAAAGGAACCGAAACGGACAAGCTACGAAAGTTGCAGCAATGATCTAGTCTTTTCCAGCTGTTGGGGGCTTGAGAGCCTCACCCTGAAAGGGCCTGAAGACGCTTTTTAAAGAAAGATAAGCTAAGTTGGTCTCCCTGTGCTTATATTGTATGGTCTCTAGGTAGCTCATGGATGTTTGCTTGACACCCATGCCGCGTCCCAATCCTTGAAGAACTCCTCTCCTCGCTTATTAAAGATGGCAAAGATTTCAGGTTCTCGATCAAACTGATGGACCACTGCCGATACACTGCCATCATGGTTCAAGACTTCGTTGGTAGTGTTGTCCACCAAACCCAATGTTCTGAGTGGAGGGTGTTGACTAGCAAACAGACAAAGCGTGTTCACCAATGATGCACCCTGTTTACCATATTCAATGCGATCAATTTGAGTGGATTCGGACATCGGCCTTCCTGAATGAATCAAGTAATTGTGCTGGCCTTGATCGCAGCCAACCTTTGTACAAACTGTTTCGTCAAATGATTGAACCATCGCGCGGAGATAGGACTCTATAGCCACCTTCCCGCCAAGAGTGGTTCCCGAACAAAGCACAGTTTTGTTGCCAATCTGATCCACGACGGTGGCTCCCCGAGTTATAAGAATCCACTCCCGATTGTAGGCTTGGTCACGAAGTGGTGGATTGGAGTATTCTTCAAAGACAAACAATGCCCTTTGGATCTCTGCTGGTAAGAGTGCAAAGGGGTTCCGTGAATTGTTGGCATGAAAAGACAAAGAATTCTTCACATCTTGGCTCAATTCCCTCCAGGGAAGTACCCCCAGCACAATATCCCCTTTGAACCCGGTCGTGATGAGAGAAATGACAAATCGTGCGAGTGTCTGTACGGGAAGTCCTCGAGCAAATGCAAAAACTGCATCCTGATCAGCTCGATGCTCACCTACGAAAGGTGTATGCAGGTTACTGTGGCGTTGGGGCCAGCGAGGGCAGAAGGTGTCCAGAAGTTGTCTGGGTCTACTACAGAACTGAAGCCTTCTCTTGTTGAATTGACAATGCTGCTTCTCAAGTGCAGTGTTCGTGCCTCATCGAGACTGCTGAGTGAACAAAGCCGTCGGATCGAATGCCCCAGACCATCCTTGAAAAACAACAAGATTGCAAGAAGAGAAGCCAACAGACGCACCATCCAGTCCCTCTTCGCTTCGATGTGCAATGGCCAAAACATATTGATGAAAATCGAGGCATGTCCGCGAGACCTGTTGTGGGCATCTAGCACTTTCTGTATATAGTGGAGACTTTGCATCGGTGGCCATTGCAAGTTGTTACGGCCATAGCAAGTACTGTTGCCGTGAGGTGCGTTTTCCAAAGTTGGGTCTTCGGACAATTCTTTGGTTCCAATATTTCGCTCAGTATCCACGTTTCAATTTGTTCGGGACCGGACTTGGCGTAGCGTACGACACCGTCCCACGGGAAAACCGCGGTCCGTGCCCTAACTTCTCTCATCAACACAATCAACACTCCCACAGATGTCCCAGTAACACCAACTGCAAACTGATGCATTCACAGCTAAATGCCGGTCCTATGGGTCTGTTTCTTCAGGACTTTTGGACCAACATGAAATGCTCACATCAAGCCAATAGCTAGCTAGCTACGATGCAGCAAGCAGGACACTTCTAGTTTTCCACCGGCGGCCGAGGAGGATACCGGTGCTCAGCAATCACTGATGAAAGTTATTTCATTAGAAAGGAATGCACGCATCCTCCGTCACAGTACTACTAGTATGACATATCCATAAATTGGCCAAAGATGATATTTTGGCCACATGCCTTCCCGAAATCTGACGAGTAACAGTCTACAACCTCGGTGACAGTCGAGCTCCGCGTAGTACCAGTACCGGTACTGTACTGGCACCGTGGTGTAAATACGATGATTACGGTATGTACTATTTCTTTACCTCGGCAGTCTATCTGCCTGAGCCCTCTACCCCTTTTTTGGTATTTCCTATTTCCTATTTCCTATTTCCTGCTCCGGTGAAGCCAAAATATAGGGATAGAGATAGTCATAAGCCAACAAAACTGGAAATTGAAGGTTCTACAAATTAAGGGGTAGGAATAAATCATGATCATTCAAGGTTAGTGCACTCAACACAATAAGCCAGCAGAAGCTACAAAAGTTACAGGTACGGGAGTGACAGCTGTAAAATTATGGTTAGCGGGCGGCAACACACGACGAAGTCGGGTGTTGTCGCCAGGGCTAGCTTAAATAAAAAAGAAGGTTATAATGAGGGAATGATACTGGGCGGCAACACACGACGAAGTCGGGTGTTGTCGCCAGGGCTACCTTGAAAGAAGGGTGCAATCTCAAACGTGATCCTCTTTCTTCTATTTGTCTTTCTGCCGAGGTATCGCAGCTCCCGCTGACTTATTTTACATGTAATCTGGACCTCTGTGGAAACGTCATTCATGGCAAAATACTTAAGAGACGATACACCGAGGAATAGGAGACGATCGAAATGATTTAAGAGACGAAAGCAATCGTCTCCTATATTTAGGAGACGATTCAGTAGGAGACATTCCAATTAGGAGACGAAAATTTCGAAATAGGAGATGATCCGAAAGATTTAGGAGACGATACCATACAGTTTACATGGTACACTTAGGAGACGATCCGTTGAGAATAGGAGACGATCCGTTGAAAATAGGAGACGTTTTAAGATGAGACAAAAGATTTAGGAGACGATCCGTTTCGTCTCCTATTTTTAGGAGACGAAATCCATTAAATAGGAGACGATCAAAAGGATTTAGGAGACGAAAAGTAGCACGACTCGAGTTTCCACAGAGGTCCTGTAGCTGATATCTTACAATTACCGGTACTCAAAGCAATAAATACGGGTAGAACTTGCAATATTATTTATTATCAGAAAAGCCGAACCCTCAGGACGATCCGGCAATTAGTGCCGAAGTTAATTATGAATCACGACTGAAAGGTTGCACGAAGAATTAGGCAACAGTCAGTAGCTTAAATCTAGGCGATTGCCTAAATAGTTGCCTATTTTTAGGCAATTGCCTAAACTGTTGTCTAATGCTTCGAGAAACAACCCGTTAAATGATAGTAACGGTTGCCTAAATCCTAGCTGTTGCCTAAACCGTTGCCTATTTTTCAATGGTTGCCTAAACTGTCGCTTAAATCATTTTTAAAGCACGTTTGACGACAGTTCTATTCAGTCGTGAAACTGACGTCACAAATCCCAATTGCCGGATCGTCCAGCTTTTTCCAGACGGAACCCGCGACCATCGTCGAATTGACGTTGTGCAACCCATCAATAACGACTTGCAGTAACCACTGCTATTATAGGCATCAGATCTCTCTATCAACTACCCCATATCTCCTCTCCAAATCTAGCTAGCTAAGTATCGCCGTTTACCTCTCAAGATGGCAGAAGCATCACGCGCAGGTCCTGTCTCAACCTTCAGCTCTTCAGTGGTGTGTCGGGTCAGTGCTGCTCTTCTAATATGCTCTTGCCTCTTGGCCGTTGCGAATCAAACGACCCTAAAGTCCCATTTCATAACTACAGCAGCTGCAGGAATCACTGTCAAGCATGCCGTCATCCATCGTGATGTTCTGGTTTCGCACAACTACACGGCCAATGAATTGGCCAGTACCGGTACTCGAGCCAGTAAACTGAGGCGAACCAAGGTCCTTCCGCATGCACCGATTGATTTGCATCTCCCTAAATTTCCTTCACTGAAGAAGGCCTTTAACGAGTCGCAGATAGTAGCTGTCTACTTTGGAGCCTCGTGGTGCAAGCAAAGTGCTCGAGTTGTCAAGAAAATTGATCGATTGCTCGGCCCAAAATTGCAACAATACGCCAAGGAGACCAACTCTGTTGAAAAAGCCAATGGAAAAAGGAAAAAGCGACGGCCACTGACTCTTCTCTACGTTTCCTCAGACAAATCCAAACTGCAATTCCAAAACTTTGTCAAAAACCGCTTCTGGAAGGTCGCCAAGTGGAAGAGTGAACGCAAAGAGCTAAAGAAACACTTCAAAGTCTGCGCCAAAATCGAACAAGAGCCATTGCAGCTTCAACGCGAGTATGAAATTCCCCATATGATCTTATTCAGTGGGAGGACTCACCGAATTCTGTCTCGAGACGGCGTGCATGATCTCGAGACGCAAGGATTGGGAATACTAGATCATTGGATGGATCTGGAGAAGAGCGGGGTGGCAAGTGCTTCCTAGCTAGGACAAAATGTTCCTTTGTTTTGTGTTCTCTCACGACGGGCACGAAAAAGCTCCCCGTTGCCGATTCGAATCTTGTTCAATATAGTTCTTCTGTGTTTACGTTAAACTACAGTGGTTGGAGCTTAAGGTCCTTCAAGTCTTGCTCAATGGCCTTCAAAGCAGCTTGCTTCTCGTTCTCGCTCAGTGATTTTAGGAAATTCTTGAGGTCTTGGCGGCGCCTCTTTCGTTGTGCTTGTTGAAATTCTTGAATGGTCCCAAAATATGTTTCCCGGTTCAATTTTGCCGTGCAAGTTTTCACGTGTGCATGTGCGTCTTTCCCGCAGTCCTGAAGACACCAGCCACAAAAGGCACAACGACAGCTGCTGCACGTCAAGGCAAAGCACCCTTCAAAGTCTAGGAACGCTTGCTTACAACGGGGACACTTCAATGTCAAGATCTCCTCAACGATGTGGTTTCGAAGCCGGTCAGGTGGGAGTTTGGCAAGCTTGGATTGTTCGCATGTCAGTCCTTCGTGATCTTGTGCCTGGCACGGACAACATACAACCATTTGACAGGTCGAACAGGACGACGTCCGTGACGATCCTGTGGTATACATGTAGACGCCGCTGCACCCAGGAGACAGGCAGAATTGAAACTCTGTCGGATGGGAAACTACGTGCTTGTCCACTGCGGACCGCAAGAGACCCAGAAAGTCTTGGCGCGGCAAGATTCTCTCCAGAACGTCCAGTTCCACCCCTCCTTTGTCGCAACCATCCGCCAGACAGCAAATGGGGAATGTACACGTTTGCGTCCCACCACAAACCCAAGCAAGAAAGCAATCCCCACAGTAGCGATGGCAGCAGGACAACTCGACGATTGGGGACTCTTCACTATCTTCAGGGACGCAGAAGCACACCGGGCATGGATGGCCATCTTGGTCTTCTTGTCGACCTGATGTTTCCTTTATTTCCATCATTCTCTTGAGGCAGGAAACCGCACGTCTTGCATCACTACGACTTCCTTCGACGAGCAATGATTGATTCTTAACGTCCAGCGAAACCACAATCCCATGACAAGCTGCAATCAAAGTATCCATGGTTTCCCTCCCGCCAACCAACAAAAATTTGTAGCGCTCTGGTCCAATAGGGACAGCTTGAAGGGGCCCCTTCAAGGTGCATAGCAGCGAGGTCACAAAGTCCACGGCTTGCTGTTTCAGATGTGGCTTGACGTAGAGGCGTACTTCGCGGCGTCGTCTCTGAATGAGCACTGCAACACAAAGATGACCAAAGCGCTGGACAATCTTTTGCGTTACACTCATTTCGGTTTCCCTGGATCTGAAGCAGTCCTTCCACATAGGCACCTTCTGCCCCCCTTTGCATTCAGGATCCAGCAACAGCATCCCACCCACAGTGTCTGTGAGTGGAATCTTGGCGCGGGCAAGCTGTTTGGCGTCGTCCGCCTGAACCAGAAGAGACGACGTGCCATTGGCATTGTAAAACACCTTGTGTCGCAAGTCTTCCTTTTGGCAGAGGTCCACCAGCGAACCCTGAACTATTTTGAAATGTGATGTGGGCATGGTGAATTTGGCTGAGAAGATCATCTGACAATGAACCTTCGTCCCACCAAGTCCCGCCACACGAGACGTCTGCTGGAAGAACTCGCAAGCACGAGAAGCATCTTCGGCCTTCGCAAACTTTGCCAATGCTTTGCGCTTCAAGTTCGATGCGAAACGGTTATTGCCTTCGTCCTCGTCAAACTGTGTAAGGGGGCCTCCTTGTTCAATGAGCAGTGAGCGCATGAGTTGTGCACCGTCCTTGTCTCGATAGGAAGGAGCCTCGAGATCGATCGAAGCTGGCCATGCCCCAGAATGCTTCTTCACAAATTGAGACAGTTTTGTTGTGTGGACTCCTTCGCCCAAACCCCCCACCCAAACAGAGAATGACCTCGTTTGGTTGAACTTTGGTTGTTGCATCTTTGCAGACACTTTCCGCTTTTCGCATAGTTGGCCGTTGCACGTTTTGGCTACCTTATCCGCCTGACACCGATTATGGAAATGCAGCCACGCTACCCGAGAAGGAGCGTACCACTGTAGCCTAACTGTTGCATGACGTGTCGGATTGTTCCCTTGACCGCCCTCTCGAACAATCGACACCGACACAAAACCAGTAGAATCTCTCTTCTTCTTCTTGTCCTTTTGGTGACTTTTCCCGCTTGGTTTTGTAGACAGTCCGGTCCAGGTTGTCAGCGGAGTTCCATTTAGGGACTCAATGGCAGCTGAGGCTTCTTGGTTGCTCTCATACGTACAGAAGGCGTAAGAAGGCTTTTTGCGCTGGATGAAGAGGATTGTCCCAAACACTGACAACCTGCCTTCTAGATCATAGTCAGAGGTGGATTCGCTCAATCCACTGACTAGAATTCGTTTGCTGTCCTTCTGTGTGGAGTTGTTTTCCATGGATCCCAGCTCCAGGTTCAGTACCTCCAAACCGCGACCGAAGTGACACCGAATGCCATTGTCCACCGTCAGCAACGAGGTGCCCTTATTGTCTACTTGAGGTTGCGTAATTGTGGTGTCCTGTTGGTGTCGGCTGTTGTGTTGACTGGCATCATTTGTTGAAGGAAGAGCATTAATATCATGCGAGAAATTGCATTGTAGGCCACGGCGACAAGATCCTTGTTGGAAAAAGCGACAAATCGGCTTGGCTGTCGAGATTCCTTCTGAAGAGACAGTTTCTGCATCTTTGTTGTGAGATTTTGGGGTGAAGCATGCTGCAGAAGCATCCAATGATTCTGGCCTGGTACCAAGCTTTTTCAAAAGAACATTTGGTGGGTGAAAGAATACCCCGTTTAGATGCTCCTCCCTTGATATTGTCTCAGCCATTCTGAATTGATCAGAACTCTGGGTCGTGTCGCTTTGGATTTCGTTCGACTGCTTGCATCCAACACCAGGAATGAAGTCACCGGCGGCAACACTCAGCGGAGAGGAGAGCTTGTTCCTTGTGAAAGGAGGTGAAGTTCGACCGGCACGAGCCTGTGTGGTGGAAGCAGTTCCAACATTGAACTCGGATGCCGTAGCCCGCAGACAGCTCATTGCTTCGGCTCAATTCGCCAACCACGGAGTTGGCTGGGTTAGAATTTTGTTGTGGTCGTCCCCTTTTTTTGGTCCTTTTTGGAGGGTTTGGGTTATCTGGAGGGTTAGGGTTAGCCAAGTTTGCCCGTATGGTATGGTTAAAAACTTGGGTTATTTGGATTATACCATTACGCGGTACCAGCCAGATGTAACCAAACTCCACTCCTCAATATAAACAGATGTTTAGGTAGATTAGACCATTACGCAGTACCGGCCAGATGTAACCAAACTCCACTCCTCAATATAAAGGGGGGCTTAGGTAGATTAGACCATTACGCGGTATCGGCCAGATGTAACCAAACTCCAGTCCTCAATATAAACGAGGGTTTAGGTAGATTAGACCATTACGCGGTACCGGCCAGATGTAACCAAACTCCACTCCTCAATATAAACGGGGGTTTAGGTAGATTAGACCATTACGCGGTACCGGCCAGATGTAATCAAACTCCACTCCTCAGTATGAAGGGGGGTTTAGGTAGATTAGACCATTACGCGGTACCGGCCAGATGTAACCAAACTCCACTCCTCAATAATAATATAAACAGGGGTTTAGGTAGATTAGACCATTACGCAGCATCTATCTAAAGCACGTATACATTCTGGGAGCCCATGGCAGTAAGTATTAGCTATTTGCCAATCAAGTGACAGCCCTTTTTGCTATTTCTATTTCCGTGGTTGGCGCAACCGGAGGCATCTTGTTCTTTGATGGCGAGATGGCGAGGCAGGAGATAGATCTTGTCCAGCAAAGAGACGACTTTGACCTTGTGATCAACGTTTGAGTTAGGAGGTTGAGGTAAGTTTACTTCAGGTTTACTGGTATGAATGTTTTGGAAAAATCGTTTTACCATATCTACCTGCAATTCATATTGTCCACTTCTTCGGTCGTGATCCACGATGATGCGCCACGGTCTTTCTCTACCAGACCAAAATTTTCGTGGTCCAATTCAGAAGTTTAGGAAACCAGGCTGATGAAATCGCACAAAGAAGCGGCGGAGATGATGGAATTCTCGCTTTTCAACCCCTACATTCGTGTTTCGTCTTTTGGCTGTTTGGCAAAATAGCGACTTCCGCAATAGCGGAAAAGGTGCCCTTGCAGCCCCAATCGCACAATGAAGCGGCGAAGCTGATGGCATTCTTGGTTTTCAACCCCTACTTTCAGTGTTTCGTGTTTTGGCTGTTTGTCAAAATGATGACTTCAACAAAAGCGGAAGAGATGCCTTCCAGCCGGAGTCAACGCCGCAGCCAACGCCCTTCTGTGGCTGCGAGTTGAAAGGATTTCATTCTATCGGCTTCTGCACGAAGTGTGTGAAGCAAACACGCCTTCCCAGGCATTGCGACGGATGTCGTTGTGGAGGCAGCGGACGCGTTTCCACCATTGTTCAGCATGCGATCAGAGATGGCGAGGCCGACCATCTTCGCACAAAGTGTTTTCATCTATCACGTCTTCCCCATCACTGTGACAGATGCGGTGGAAAGGCCAAGATTGTGTTGACCAAAAAACCACATCCATCAGGTGCTCCTCTTGTCAGAGACGTTGTACGCATTGAGAGCAGACCAAGACAACGAAATGGTAGAGACGACCGAAACATTCCTCTTTGTGACTACCTAACGTAAGCAGGACCGATAAAAAAGTTGTGTTGATATGCTAGTATTGTTTGCTACTTAGCATTAACGCCAATCCTGGCTGGGAAGGCCGCCTGATCTATTGGTACCTTTACGCCAAACTCATGTCGACGTCGCTTTCCACCGAAAGATTGGCTCCATCATCGCTCATCATACTGGTGCCTGTGTAGTCCTTGCTCAGAGAACTTTGGTCGTGGTCAGTGGATGTATCATTCCCAAAACGGTAAGGAGTGTTGCTACTATTGCCAGGGTGCAGATTGTGGTGCGTTGGCATGGTATTTTCATCCTCGGGACTACTGAATGTTGCCGAGAGCGCTTCTTGCAGCGCCTTGTTCAACATCTCGGTGCTGAATGGGTCCTCAGGCTTGCAACCAAGGGCTTGGTGGTAAGAATCGATCGCTTCGTCCAAATTGCCCATTAAATGCTTGGTGAATCCAAGTGCCGAGTAGCCTGAGCATTTTTCCTGAAAAGCACGAGAGATGATTTAAGACATAGTTAAGTCACAATCAAGCATTCAACGGTGCAACAAGTAGAGTGTCGGTCGCTGACGTACAGGTGATAAAGCAATGCATCTTTCAAAACAATGAGCTGCTTCGCTAAATCGCCTAGTCTTGCGATAGCACTGCCCCAGATTGAAAATGGTAGCTTCCCAATGCTTCTCCTGGCACAACTGAATGCTCTCCTCCACAGATTTCTGTTGCTGCCCGTCCGTGTGGACACAAGCTCCAAGACCACGGCTGAACCATCGAATGGCACTGGTATAGTCAGACCTGTGCATGGCCAGAACACCCAGTTCGTTCAAGCAGAGCGGATCGCCACCACTGGCTTTGCAAGCTGCATTCAAAAAGTACTGCGCCAAAACCAAGTGATTGGTCCTCAAATATTCCATCCCCATGTACAAGAGCGATGCATATTCACCCGGTGAAATCCTCTGAGCCGCTCGGAAGGAAGCCAGAGCTTGATCGGACTCATCGCAGGCCGCAAAGGAACACCCAAAGGCGATCCAAGCTTCCGTGCAGTGCGGATCCAGCCTTGTCGCACGGCAAAAGTGTCGCTGTGCCACGTGAAAGCGTTCGCAACAGAAATAGTAGCTCCCCACCGCAAACCAAGCCCGAGCCGACTTCGGCGATGCCGCAACCCATTCATGTGCCAATCGAAAGAGGTGTCGTTTGTGCCCTAGTGCAGCCAGAGTTGCAATATACACATACCCCGCCGCTTGGCAGAGAGGGTCAATAGAGGCGAGGTGCTGGCAGTGGGCAAGGGCGCTTTTTAAATCGTATCGTCGATAGGCCCTCCTCGCAGCCATGGCCAAGACTTCGGGGGATTGATCCAGTTTATGAACATGCCACAGCTTTGCAAATGCATCGTCCACGCTTTGTTGGATGGTGGATTTCGCCTTTGTTGTTGCCATTTTTTCTTGTTCATCATCCCGCCCAGCATTGTCATCCACAGTGGTGCTGTAGTCAAAGTGGACTGCTGCATTGGTCTTGTTGCCACCACCAGTGGAGAGAATCCCGCGTAGATTGGATCCAACCGCGCTGGATGTAACTGGATTTTCCTTGGGCGTGGCCAACATGAATGGCGATGCCATCTGGATGGAGGATGCATCAAGATATGGATGGTCTTCATTCATCATGCCAAATGCCGACTTGGGTGTCATGCCTCGAGACAATGACGAAGCATTGTGCACATCGATACTTTGTTGTTGGGCTACAGCCTCGGCGGTAGTGCCACCCGTTTCGTCTTGTGGGGATAAATCAATTCGTGCAAGGTACATGAGTCTGAGCCACTCCATTGACTCGTCCATAGTCAAGCTCTGAATGATTTGAAATGCTTCTCGAGGTGTCACGACACTCCGTTCGAGCAAAAAATCCAACGCCTGGACACATTTGGGGTCCATTTGAATGGCTCGCTTCCAGTACAATGCAGCTCGTTGTGGATGTCCCGTTTCGGCATAGGCTCGACCACGCCATAGGCACAAACGAGAGACAGGGTGAAGGTATCCCTCGGAATGTTCGTGTCGTTGGAAAAAGCTTTGCCATGCCAAATCGTCATCGTCTTCGAGTGGTTGAGGAGCTCCAACGGCTGAGTGAGCACTTTCGTGATTTCCCCATGCATGGCACACATCTTCCAATAGTTCCAAGACACTTTGCCATTCCACTAACGCCGACAATGCTTCAGCTGCCAGCAGCACTGCTTCCATATACATGGATGGACTCTTGTTGGTGTTAATAGTGGTGTGGGCAATGCCTGGATGATCTAATAGTCCAGCTTGCTCCAGCAAACGAACACATCGCTTGGATTCTCCATTGCGCGACAAGGCTTGCGCATACAGGAAACAGTCTTGCTGTGAATTGGTTTTGGAATAGAGCAAGCTAGCATAAAAAACTGCTGTGGATGGCAATTGCGAATGAGAGGCCGTTCCCAAAGCATTTTTCGTCATTGTTCCCAGTACTTGAGTGTCAATGCCATCAATGATGGCTGATTTGTCATTGCTGGTTGCCATGCCATTGTCATCCGTCATTTCTTCATTAGTGTTGTTAGTGGTGGACCCGGTATTAGTAATACTACCAGCACGGGATGGCCCAGTTGGAAATGATGACAAGAACTCCTCTTTGGCCCAATGCGCATGCTGTTGCTGCTGATCAGCTGGATGTTTCAGTCTTCTTGCTGTTGTAGAGCCATCACCACTGGCTTCAAAAAAGCGACGAGGTGGACGACGTGAAGCCGATTGGGCACCGCCAGCTGCTGGAGACCACTGAGTGGTGGAATGAGCCGCCGGTGAAGGCTCAATGGGAAACAAATTCTGTCCTCCTGCTCCACTGACAAAATTTGGAGATTCCAAGGATGAGTCTACTGCATTGTTGCTGTTGCTGTTACTGTTGCTGGATGTGGGGACAGGGGTAGGCTCCGTCATTGTCTGGATTGAATGAATATTAGTAGTGGTGTCGGCCAATGATGCCGGCCGAAAATAATAATTACCTGATAACGCGCTGCTGGTGCCCGTCGACGACTGGAGCGAGCGATCAACAGCGCGGAGGTCGAATGCGACAATCGATTGAATGATTCGATTCAATAATCGATTTACCCAATTCGATTCGATTCGCTCGATAATCGAGTGACTCAGCCTCGAATCTTCAATCTTTCCTATTTTGGCCAAATCCGTCACCCTGTCACCATGTCGCGATCTATTTCTTTCGCAGTTACTTCCTCTCCATTCACAGGCGCACCTGCGATCATAATAGTTTATTGTTGTTGCCGAAAAGGCCGATGTCGACATGAAAATCAAGCGCGTTGGGTTTGGCCGTGATGCCAAAGGGAAACCAAGAATCAAAGTGCCGATTCCTGTGGCTCTATTCTTTCTCGGTCTCTTGGCCATGCTTGCCACAAGAGTGCTCTTTATTAGTGATTCCACACCATCGGCAGGCATTACTACCGATGGAATCCTTTTCCAGACAGCTCCTTCGTCTCCGGGTACTTCTGTCAAGTTAAAGGTGCCCACTCCTGTCCTGGTGCCTAGTTTGCCCAAATCAGGCACAACGTCCATTTGGAAGTATTTTCTGTGTGGCCTGGGGAAGGGACAAGCCGCTCATCAATGGGGGAGTATTGCCAACGGCACGGCTCAGGTCCGACTCGGCAAATGCTTCCAAGCCAATATCAAAAAACACAGACCACTCTTGCAAGGCTGTGGTGACTCTTACAAGGTGTGGACGGATGCTGGGTTTTTATCGCCGGGATCCTGCTTTTACCCGTCGATTCACGGCGGATTGGAAGCACTATACGAATCGTACCCTCAAGCGACTATTCTCAACATTGTTCGCAATACGGACGCTTGGGTGAATAGCACCTCCGAATTCAACAATCTATGGACCCGATGGGGCGAAAAATGCGACAAGTTTCCGGGTCCCAAAGCCACCAGAGAAGATTATACCAAGTTTTATGACGGGCATACCGAAATGATTCGACAATTTGCCAAGGAGCATCCATCCATGACCTACTTGGAGATCCCACTGGAGAGTCCCGACACGGGAAAAATGTTGGAAGAAGCAACTGGTGTCAATCAGAGTTGTTGGCTGAACAGTCGAACTATGAAAGGTAGACGTGCTCGTCCCTATCTCAAAAAGCTGCGAGAAATGGAGAAGCAATGGCAAGTTAAAGCACCATGAAATTGGTCTGTCTTTTCCATCTCTGTCTGCAACTAACGCCCAAGGACTTTAGAAGATCTGCGGCTACAATATGGTGGGATTGTGTGGTTGTGTGGACATCACGTCGTTGTGGTTCATCACCAACTGCTTGTTCTGATGAGTCGAGTCAAAGAAGAGGTCAAAAACTCGAAGCTCTGCTATTTTCTTACAAAATCGAGCCAACAACTACCGTACTACCAAAAAGGAAAAGCTGCCGTATCATGATGCCTGCTCAAGATGAAAACGCGCTTGCTGTGGCTTCTTGTGTGCCGTTGACGGCCCAATCATGCGGAATGATAACTGCCCCATCGTCACCGAGTTGGCAGAATTGTCCACTCCCAGCTACGCCAAGGGCATTGCCGCCCAACGACAGTTTCAACCTTCCTTTTTGATCGGGTTCCAAATGGAGAACACGTTGCAAACACTTTTGAAAATCTTCATGACTGATTCGGAACGTCCCGGCCTTGTACACTTTGCGTGTCAATCCAAGTTCCCATTGTACCTGTTTGGCACGTTCGTCGGCAATGGCTCGTTCTTTTCGGTCTCGATCCCTTCGCCGGCGAGCTTCGGCGGCGTCTCTGTGAATGGCACTGAGCACAGTGTCGACGGGCATCATGGCTCCGACACGGATCTGTCCCTCTTGGGTGACGATGCACCGAAAGCGACAAGCATCCGCGGATTCCACCACCACGTGAATGGATTCCAAAGCCACGGCCGATGTGACTGGTACGACTTCCCCGTCTGCTCCTTCTTGATTTGGTAAATGATGTGCCAACTTGAGTACAAAGTGATAATAATCTTGGCTGTTACAAGTGAATCCTTTTTTTATTCTGCACCCCAAGGCAGATTGAATTTTGCGTTGTGCTAGTTCGAGTTGTTGGCGGTGATGTTGCAGTGTCTTCAGTCGTTCGGGTGTCACTTTTCTCAAAATTTCCAGCCATTGCAAGGGTGTGTATCCGGGATGTAGATGAAGGACTCCTCCATACAAATCGAGTGCTTCTTCAAAATTATAATCATTGTTGGAGAAGACCAAGCGGAGTGGATAGAATGACTCCACCAGGAACTGATGGTGATGTTCTTCGTGTAGTTGAATGAGGGTGCGCAGTAGTATAGCAAAGCTACGAGAGGACCAGAAAAGCGAGAGCCCATCAATGGATTGGAATTGATAGAGACGACGTCCAATTGCGGCGTTGGCATTGGCGTCCATTCGGAATTGGCGTCGTTCTTCGACTTGCTGTCGATCGAGGGTTTCACAAAAAGCCAACAAATCGCGTCCTCTGGTAGTGTTAATGTCAAACCGATGGTCAATATCTGGTTGTGTCGATGATGATGTGGATGTAGATTGGGTCCAAACAATGTTGTCGTTTGGCATTGTGGTTGTCTTTTTGGCTGTCATTTTGGGTGGCGGGGGCAACGATGCGGCTCCTGAGGATTCGAGCGCTTCCGCCATGCTTGCCAAAATGGAATCCACAGAGTCTGTCAACTGAATGGATTTCTGAATCAATGATCCATCGTGATGTTCCAAAACATACTTTAGTGATTCCGAGGGAATCGTAGTCGATGCGGGGAGTGGTGCCGTGGCACTGCCTTGACCTTGCCAGAGCACAAAATCGGGAAATGTCATTCGATTGTTGAGAACCTGGACCAGTTTGGCCTGGTTCGAACGAACGGTAACATTGTGGGAACGAAACCGATCAGGATGCACCCGCAAGAAGAAGGCTCGACGAAGACGGTTGACATAGACCGACGGTGGAAGTGCCGATAGTCCGGATGCCATGGTGGACTTCTTCTTCTGACTGGACAAGTGTTGGGTACTGGTACCAGTTACCGGTCCCAAGCGAAAAGTGGTCGCCAATAATGAGATCATCTGAAAAGCCCTCTCCCTAAAACGTATCCACGATTGAGAACCAGCAAGCTCTCCCTTGCCAAGGCGGTGACAGGGTGGACGGAGACCACACAAGCCTCCTCCCTCTTCCAATATCCAACAACGACCCAGTCGGCTACATCGCTATAGCTAGCTAGCTAGAGCCATACGTATCCAGTAGCACTGAAAATGTCGTCCAAAGGATCTCGAAAGAGGAAAACGTCGTCATCACCTTCTCCCACTATAAGCGGTCCCAACGATGCAAACCTTGGCATCAACACCAGTACTGGCGGCAAGACACTATCACGACGAGAGATTTATCTGCCCATGGTTGCCTACGATGCAGCAGCACAAGGTAAATTTGATAATCCTCATGCGTACATGGAGTCAAGCAAAAAGCTGCCAAACAGCGTCCATGAGAAAAACTTTGTCGAGTTTTGGCACAGAATTGGGGTCGAGTATCATCGTCATCGAGCCAGGGTACACGAACCGAAAAACAGTGGCAACAAACCACTCACGCTGGCCGACATGGAAGAGAAGATCCGACAACGAGCCCTGACGTTGGTGGGAGGTGGGATCAATACAGACTGGGCAGCTACCGGTAGTAATACAGCCCGTGGTTCTTCTTCAAAGGCCAAACAGACCGCAACAACGACAATCCTCCATCCGAAACTGCAAAAGGCAAAACAACAACGAAGGAATCGCAACCGACATATCATCCAATCGGCCATGCACTTTGCGACGGACGATCCAAGGGTGGGAAGATTCCTCGTACAGTTGAATACCATGTGGAATGACTACATGCACAGGCTGCTGGGGCTACCACAAAAGGCCACAATAAAGGAGTTGGAAGAAGTGGTTTGTCGCAGCAATATCACATTCTGGTCTCGTGTCACGTCCAACCTTACCAAGGAAAAGGCCCAATTCGTTGGAGCCAAGGTTCACATCAAATCTTGCACTCAACATGCACACTGGAAAGGACGAATTGGGTTTCTTGTGAGACAAACTACCAATTCTTGGCAATTGATGGTTCCCATGATGGCAAGCGACAATAACAATACGAAGGATGGAAATGGTCGAAGAAAAAAGTGGAAGAAAAACGTGCGCAAGGAACAACAAGAAGGTGAGGAAGAAGCTTGTGACTCCACCAAAGACCAGGTAACAGCACCGTCAAATGCGACGACAACCAACAAGGATGGTTGGAGGACACTGGTTGTTCCGAAGCGAGGCTCATCGCTGACGTTGTTGATTCCGATTGACGCCAAGGAATTCCAACCGAAGGGAGCGAAGACGTCCAGAATGGACGATACCACCAGTACCTCTACCCTACTAGCCATTGATATCATGGAGGAGGGCAAGTGATCATACAGTATTCTCCAACGAGAGCAGTTTCCGAGGCATTCGTAGCAACCGAGCCTTTTGTCAAAACTACACGCACATGTAGTTGTTCAATACCCGTCCAATGAATGCAAGCTCGTGTGTTAGCATTACTGTACCATTGCCTATTGCTATTGCTACCGGACAAACAACGTGCTAACTGAAGAATCGCCTGACTGAATTTCTCAATGGCTGTGTACTATCATCATTGTATGTTTAACGCCGCAAACTCTCTCCCGCTACACATATTATGATCGTAGTCTGGGATGCTAGTAGTGATATTAAAGTAGTGGTATTGTGGTGTTGAGTATTGGCGACCGGATTGTGCTGCCTTGGCTCACGACTCGAAGTGCTTGGTCCTCTTCAAGCAAAAATCTTTCTTCCTCTTGCATTTGTTTATAAATTGGAGACCATGGAATTATCCATTCTCCTCGAGCTACGGTAGCTTCAGTAAATGCTACGGTTACATGTACTCTCAATGCCAAAAAGCGCCATGGTGCAACTTAGATCTACTTGACACGAGCAAAGGGACATCAGGTTTTTGCTTCAGGAGCGTACGTAGTTGAGGTAAAACAGAGGTAAAGGTTACAGTACCTTGCTCTGAACATTTAAATGAATTGAATTATTTTACCGCATCTACATCAATATTTCCAAACAGTGAGAAAGGTTCGGGGGGGGGGGGCAAACGAGTGAGTCGAGTCAAGCGGTACCGGTACGACTGTACAGTACGGTACCGCTATTAATAGCGCGCTACAGTTAGATACACGGGATTGGGAGTCACGGAAACTCAAAACGAGATTTTGGCGAAAGATTGATCGATCACACAACACCGACCATGGATCCGAGCAACAGCCAAACGAACAAAATGCTGGCTACCTACCATATGCATACTGGTACATACATAGTGGCGAGCAGACAATTACGACGAGTACAACACAGGTTGTTGCGCTTGTAGATAGATAAATCTCCTTGCCATTGTCGACAAAGAAATCCATCCAGCGTAATGATGAAGACAGAGAAAAAATTCGGAACGAAGTTGTATTCCCCGCGTTGGCTGTGGTGCGCGGTGCTTGTGGCTCAAATATTGGTCCTCCCAGCGGCAAATGGGCAGGTCCAAGAATGCCCTGCCTACCGAGAACCACAGGTTGTCAGCAAGAACTTTGACAATGCCCTGTCCGTCCAATACCTTGCTCCCAATGGTTGTCCCTGTGTGAATGGCATGTCAGATTTGCACTGTAGCTTCTGCGAGACAGATGAGGGATGTCAAACTGAAAACAGTAAACATACATGTCAAAAAGGAATTGTGTTTGGTCCCAGAGATACGTACAAGTCCTACAAGTGCCGACTGTTTTCGTTCCTTGAGTCTCTGCTTCCAAACGGAAAGCTGTCTGTTTACGTGGACAGAATCAACAAGACTGCTCACATGAGTATTTTCAGTTCAAATGCGACAGAACCAATCAATGGGGAGCATCTTATTAACTGCAATGGCTCAGGGTGTATTGCTGAGGATGGTGGCACTGTCACCAGCTGTGAACTTGTTAGTAAGTGAACTGTTCTTGCCTTGTTGCTCCAAGGGCGGACTTTCCTCATGTTTCTAACTTACTCTTTCAAATGCAATAGCATGCAGTTGTACTGACATATGCGATAAAATGACAAGAACCCTGGCGGAAGAAGTCATATCTGGCAATCCTGGTCGGTTCCAAGCCACAGACCGAGGTGAAGAAGAGTCTTATATTTCTGTGGATATTGAGGGATCACCCTTTCTTCTTGAAGCAATGTGCCATGTCTCAACTTGCAGTGACAGTCCTCCCACTATAGCTCCAACTCAAGCTCCTACAACGGAAGCTCCAACCGCACAACTCACTGATGCTCCAACCAGACATCCCACTAATGCTCCAACCGCACATCTCACTGATGCTCCTATTGCAGCACCTGCCAAGACTCAAGCTGCATCTGACCTAACAGTGATTTCGGATGCAACAACAAACAATGCTGAATCTGTTGAGGCATTGCAATGCCCTGCTTATAGACAACCAGATGACCCCAACAAGGACTATGAGCACGTCGAACATGGCAAGTCAATCCAGTATCTGGCTCCCAATGGCTGTTCCTGTGTAGATGGCATGTCAGATTTGAACTGCGCTTTTTGTGAAACAGATGAAGGATGCCAAACAGAGCATAGCCAGGATGTGTGCCAAGATGGGTTCGAGTTTGGTGACAGGGACACCTACAAATCCTACAAGTGCACTGTATCTGGTGTACTGGAGTCTTCATTCCCCAATGGAAAACTATCTGCGTACGTTGACAAGCTCAACAAGACCGTTCAGATGAGCATTTACAATTGGGACATGGAAGAGTCAATCAATGGAGGGCATGCCATTGACTGTGTACTTTCAGACTGTGATATTCCTGTTGGTGCTACCAATATCAGTTGTGGACTTGCGAGTAAGTGTCTTCGCTTATTACCTCATTTCTCATTCGATGCTGTTGCTAACTGATCCTTCCTGCCAATGAATTATAACTATTGTCAGTTTGCAACTGTACTGATCAATGCAATGGGCTTGCAAGAACCATTGTACATGGCACTCTGTCTGGCAAACCTGCGCAGGTCCTTGTTGCAGACGAGCAAGGTGGAAAGTCACATATAGCATTGGCCATGGAAGGAGCACCATTTGACCTGGAAGCCATGTGCACTGCTTCCGCTTGTGTCTCAGCTCCACCTGAGGCTCCTACCAGTAGCATTGATAATGCGGAAGCATCTTTGGGGTTGCCAGGAGCCTTTGCTTTGCAAAAGAATATCTATGTGTTTGCTGCACTTTCAGTTCTCATTACAGTTGGCGTCACAGTTGCATAGGGAATGCTGTAAAACAACCTATACTAGAAATGAAGTTTTTGATGTACATCATGAATGTACTATTAGCTGCTATTAGCTGACTGCTTGTGGCCGTATGATGCATGAATTGCAACCAGCGAGAGAGCGTGTGAAAGGGAAGCATTGCTTGATGATGAAACACAGAACAAATATCAAAGCAGTCTGAAAGCTGATAGACCAGTGATGTATACCGTACAACAACAGTGTACCGGTAGCCATGGGCTCTCAATCTCCTTCCCTAGCTAGCTACCAGGTATGCCATAGCTAGCTAGTAGCTATGACCATATATATTTGGAACTTGAGCTTGCTTGCTGCAAGGATGTATGTCACTTATTAGTCTCGTGCTTAGACAGGATCAAATTTCTTGTTGGAGAGGGAACCGAAGTAAGTTATGAGCGTTGCAGGCGTAATCACGTGAACACCCTTCTCGCCCTCGCCCTCTCCTGGCTCTCCCCAACGAATGCGCCTTCACATGGAGGAAGCGACAGGCCGGCGTAATAACCGCTATTTTTAGAGGAACTCCTTCATGACATTTTGCTTTCGAAATCGGCATTGCCTCTTTGAAAGCATGGACAGTGACGACGTTTATCTCATTTACTTGTGATTGTTACTTTCCTTCTTCATCCGACGTCCCTACTAGTATCGACCACAGCAATGCTGTAACATCAAGGAGAAGATCATCAGTATCGATTTGATTGGGTAGGCTAGTTAGCTCGCGAGCATTTCTTCAGTTTCCGGTCAACGCTTGATTTTGGATAAGAAGATGCCTTCCCATAGCATGATGTTGCCTGAAGAAGACGATGATGAGTTGGCCTGGATGACCTCAAGAACAGCCACAGCTACGCATTCGCCAGAACGTGTTCAGCCTCGGTCTAGCAAAGTCAGAAGAACCTATGGAAGTCGCAGAAGAAACGAAGCTTCCAGGGCAATCAGCAACACAAATGATTTCAATGACGGCATCTTTGGATGCCAAGAAGGAACTGAAACTGCAGAAGAGACTCTCAATTCCTCCATGAGCTCTATGCAGAGTGATCTGGGCTACGAAAGAGCATCAGTTTCATCCTCTTCATTGCCTTCATCATCATCGGATGGGGCTTTCGTGATAAATGTGGCAGATCCCATCAGCACAAGCAGTGTCAGGCCTCCTCTTCGCCCTTCCAAGAAACAGCACAGGAGGTCGATTTCTGCCTTTGTTCCTCCAGATATTCCAAGACCCAAACCGCTCAAGAGAGCATCAACTAGCACTCATGACAGTTCTGGCACTGAATCATTTCGGTCTGATTCATTCATCCTTGGTTGGAAGGAGAATGCCCGTCCAGAACTGACAGAGTTTGGAGAGTTACAGGGCCCCCCTAGTGTCAAACATTCCAGAAAGTTTGTTCGAGGAAAACGGCGAAACTCGATGGAAACAGGAGGCTTGTCTCCTTTGGCGTTGCGGAAATCAGAAAGCCTGTCGGCGATCCGCCACACTTCACATTCGAACAGCTCTACCAGCCATAAGACTGGATATGCCAAACGACCGGTTTCTTCCCATCTTTGTAGAAGGAACTCCATGTCCAGCTTTCCTAGCTCATCTACAAGCCTCTTCAGTGGTCAAGACGATGACGTTTCCCTTTCTGTAGTGAAGCGATTGTCATCCAGTAGCAGTGATTCACCAACGGCAAGGTCACCATTCCCAATAGATGCCGCTAGCTCGCCTGCATTTAGTGTTGCTGCCAGCGTTGGGTCATCCAGGAAGCGAGGCATGAGTGAGGAACCAAGTGAAGACGCCGATGAGATGAGTTTTGGAGGGGGGAGCAACTCAGCTCCCAGAACATCATTTGCAAGCAACAGCGCATCGCGTTCCTGTGCAGCCAGGAGGCACTCCCCTGCTTTCGAAGATGAATGGCAAAACGGGGACACGCTCTTCCCATTCGATGCTCGCTTCAACAGCGATGGAGCAATGCGCAAGGGAGGCGTCATGGATATTGAGAGCGACAGGGAAGAGGCGTCGGATGTTGAGGAGGATGTGTCAATTGACGAGTCCGAGGACACGGAGGGCAGTGAACCTTCTCCAATCAAAGGGAGGACAAGAGGTGGAATTCCAGCTGTATCAGTCATTGTCCACAACGAGGAAGAGGTTCTGGCCTGTATGTCGTCGATTGCAGACCTCGGAGAGCTCATCGAGGCGCTCAAGTCGAGAAAAGCAGGTTTTGGTACAGCCTTCCAATTCAAGCTGCCTGCGACATGGTCCTCTGAGCGACGGAGTCGGTTCGTCGAATGGACAGGGAAGAGGCTGGGATTCAAAATCAATCATTATGGCAATTCACTGACATTCTTGGAATTGCCACGTTCCCAAGTCCCAAAGAAGTTGGAGCTCTTGGAGGCATCACTGGCTTTGTACAAGAAACGGGAGCAAGACAGGCCGCAGCACGAAGAGTCACAAGAATTGACCAGGGACAATACGCCTCCGATCATACTGGATACAGCCTCAAATCTTGGGGCTCTACTGGGGAAGCGAACGAATGCTACAACAGCGCATGATCTGTCGACTCGCCTCTCGTGTGGAGATGCGTCATTCCTGCCGGACATGGGATCACTCTCGCTGAAAGAGAAGAACTATCCTCCTACATTGGCTAGGCTGGTTACTTTAGATGACAAACAACAACGCCCGCTGCCTGGAAGTTGGAAACCCGAAACCAGGAACAAGTGTCGCCTATCCATGGACAGCCACACCTCCACAGAAGTGGATTTCTCGAGGTTCCATCTCCATGGTGATAGTCCAATGCCTGCTGAGCGGTTTTCAGCAAAAAGGCCACAACGATTGTCGCTTTCGTCGTTGAAATCTAACGTAAGCAGACCCGTGGAAGCAACTCCGATGAACACAGGAATGGGATCCTGTTCATCCATAGCACCACAAACACCATTCGACTTTGTCACTACCCCACTGATGAAACAGTGCCAAGCATGGGGATCTCGGCCAATCGCTGGTATGGATTGGGGCTGTTCGGAAAGGTGCGACGGCCGAATCTTGGCTACGCTATCAAGCAACTTTCAGGCGTCTCTCGCTGAAGCTGATCAGCTTGACGCAAGTGAGACTACCTTTGATGATGAGATGTCTCCTCGCCCCCCGTCTAGGAGCGCCAATATCTGTCTCGACCTCGAAGTAGAGTGCTGCTCCGATGACGACGATGATGGCTATGTGGACAGCGACGAAGAAAGCAAGATACGACACAAGAAGATCGTGACGAAGGAATTGACAATGACAACAGTTGACTTCCGCGACGGTGAACATGACGACAAAAGTGTTCGAGTATTGCGTCGAAAAAATAAATCTCTTGCCAAGTACAACCGAATGTCTGCGTGCGCCATGGTCATCTCCACCAGCATTCAACGACGGAAATCAATGTTTGACAGGGCTCCGATATCGTTTGATCCGGGATGCCATCAGAGAGATCTTTCCATGTGCACGAACTCCTTCACCACAACCTCGATGCAAAGTGCCTTCGAACAACACCCTCTGGCTGAGATCGTTGAGGAGAAGACCATTTTGCCCCAAATCTTCAGCTATTTGGAAGGACCAGAGCTGTTGTCAACGCTTTCCCTTGTTTGCACAGCATGGGCTGACGCTGCAACGGAAGCCTACGCCGAACTCATGCTGGCATCGGTAGGTTGCTCACCACTTCACGCGAACGAGGAGGAGGGCAGAGAGGAAATCCAAGGGGAAGCAAACTCCGTTGCCAAGTCGATGGAACGTTCCTGGAGCTACCTCATGAGAAACTTTCCATATGCTAGTTTCCTTGGCCAGGGAAGTTTCAAAAGCGTGTACAAAGTCAAGAATTCAGCTCTGAAGGCTCCAGAAGCTGTCTCCATCATGTAAGTTCTTTTGTTTCCTGCCGATAACGGCACAGCTTGGAGTGCGAATGATCCTCACCGAATGATTGGTCGCCTGTTTTTGCAGGGACATTGACCATCTGGAGTCAATTGGGTACAACAAGTTGCTTGGAACCGAACTGGCGGTTTCTGTAATGTTGGGTTCACTTTCCAGGAGAGGCATTTGCCCAAACTTTGTGGTAACCCGAGGTGTTTTCACTTGCCCCTACGCCCCTCCCGAAAGCCACTGGGGCTCTGCAGAAAATCGGAACCACGGGGTGCACATCAAAACACCCAAAGGAAAGCGCAAACCGAGAGAGCCTGGTGCAAAGAAGAGTGGTCGCTATCAATACATTCGAATGGAGCTCTGTTCTGGGGGCGATGCGGAAGAATACATCAAAGATCAACCAGACCAGTTGCTGAATGTTGAGATGTCAAGAATCCTCCTTTTTCAGCTGAGTTTTGCGCTGCACGTGGCTGCCTCAAAGTTCAGCCTGAAGCACTACGATTTGAAACTCCTCAACGTGTTTCTTCAAGATGCAACCAATGTCCCCGGAGCCAACACGTCCGCCACAAGTGATGTGGTTCTTCGCTATGGGTTGGGTTCCAAAACTTTTGCATTGCAGATGCCGATCGAGAATGCACTTATTGCCAAGATCGCCGATTACGGGACTGCAGACATGCAATCGGAGACCACGGGCCAACCCGTCACCTCCAACCGATTCACTACGTTTGAGAATACACCTCCAGATTTCCTCATTCTCGGTAACGCTGCTAAACAAGGTCATGGTCATGATTTGTTTGGGCTCGGGCTCTGTATGCTTCATTTATTCACGGGAAAAGCGCCATACGAGGAAATTCTTGATGATGTCAAGTGCCCTCCATTCTTCAAAAAGTCGCTGCGTAATCTGTGGGAGTCAGAGAATGCTGTCGGGTATAGTGTTATTCAAACCTTGATTTTCGCTGGCCTCTTCAAGGACGACGAAGGCAATTATGACGGGGAACCAGATGAAACTTTGTATGATACTCTCTACAGATTCTTGGTTCTCTTTGGAATACCCGAAAAAACTTTTCAACGAAAGGAGTGTGGGAAAGTGTGGAAGGCAATTTCCGATTCCTTTTGCAACGAAGGAACAAGGCAAGGAAAGGACTTTCGAACATTTCAAAGCGACCGCAGGAAGTACTCGATATCCAATGGAAGCAACAAGTTCATTGAACGGGCCCGGCGAAATCTTCGCGCAATTCCCGGTGGCATGGAATTGCTGATGTCGTTGGTGCACTTTGACCCTGACAAGAGGGCAACCGCACTTGACGTGCTCAATTCTGAATTCTTTGCTCCTCTTTTGGAGCAACCTGGAGCGCAATATGGACCATGCGACGATGTACGAAGCTACATCTCTTTTTCAACTTGAGTTTCGTGTCTGCTGTAGCAAGCTAGCTAGAATCAGATGTGGCCAGATGATCAATGGGAAATAGCACAAATTACGAGTAAGCCCTACCTTGTCAGCTAGACTTTTTAAATAGTGTACTGATGAGTACCGGTACCAGTACTGTACTGTTTTGGCAGCCGCGGCGTTTGTGAAGCAAATCCATACTGTATCATTTTAGCTAGCTAGCGACACAAACATCCTGGGCAGTTGTGGAGTGATTCATGCATGTAGGCATCACAGTCAGCACAAAAGAAGTTGAGACATTCCGGGCACTGGAACCTCAGAGTCTCATCCACCTCATCCTTTTTCACTTTGGCAGACGACACTGCATCATTGGTTTCCTCCCCCCCTCCAAAAGCTCGTAGGCAGGCGAAACAGTTGACTTCGGGAGAAGTTGACAGGGACGAGTCAAGCACTATTCCACCTTGATTAAAAACTCTTCCAGACGGTGTCGCCGAGGGCACCTCGCTACTGAGAGCCGCTTTTCGTATTTCCGATGCCCCCAAAGAGATTTCCGAGAAGGGCGCGACGGGGAATAAGTGATGGAACGATCGAGCCAGATGCGGAGATAGGACCAGTTTCAAGCCACATACAGCACAATCGGCTGGCAATTCAGAAAGCTTAGCCTGACACTGTGGGCACGTATAAGCCGTTCTTGCCAACAAGGTCGTATCTTGAGTGGCATGGACTAGAGTAGGCACTTCCGACGATGTTCGTGTGGGAAATCCCATCTGAACCATATCACAGGCGAAATCTTGTCGTTCTGGGTCAGTCATAGTTGGCGGAGGGACACACTGTCCCAACAGCCAATCGCGGAAATGAGCCTTATCCAAGCTCACCCCCACCACCCCCGTAGTTTCCTCGGCCAATTTTCTACAAATGTGCATTTCGGCGCTGATTGCCATGGTAGATACCCTCACTTTGGCCGTCTTCAACCGAGGTAGTGTTTCGGTGAGTAGGTATCCTGGATCACACGTGGATAGGGCACCAACTAGAATGACAATTTCTCTTGATCCGTGTCTTGGTTGATGGCCCAGTGACCTTCCAGCCACTTCAATTCCATTCTGGAGGGAGAATTCGCCACCTCCCGTGGGACCCTCGGAAGCTGCCATTTGTGCCACAGATTGCAACGCCAATTTGTGTGCTTTGGACGAACTGCTCAGTTGCGTCAATATTTCTGCCTCGCCGTTCTTAATAAGAATAAACCCAAGATGTGACAATGGATTTTGATCATAGTACTCTTGGACAAAGTTTTGTAGAATTTCAATGGTAACATCCAGCCGAGTACCTCCTGGAAAGACTGGATCCTTGACACGCATCCAGCGACTGGCATCAATGAGGACATATAGATATCGAATCATATCTCGTACAACCCTTCGGTTGCGTTGAGCATAATCATTTTGTTCCAGTCGCTTGCGTCGGCGTCGAATGGCATCCGCCACAGAGCCCTCGCCTTCTACAATGAGATTCCCGTCATCATCTTCACGGACAGCATTCTGCCAAGCAGCTTGAGAGTCATGGGATTCCCACACATGGTTGACATCGGTTGGGTTGGGTGGTTTATTGCCGCCGCCGCCGCTGCTGCTGCCGCTCTTGGGGGCCGATGCCGATGATGCTGTACTGGGAGCTGTCATGGTCGTCAATGATGATTTGTGTAAGTGATCACGATCGAGCGTGTTCGCTCGATCCCTTCCTCGTCTTCATGCGTGCAGGTCGGGTTTGACTTGCGAATTTAGGGTTACGGCTGATTTTCCGTCAGCGAGAGCGCAACAAAATCCGTTTGGTTTCCGAACGCTTCGTCACTGGTGTGTGGCAATCTACTACCTCTAGCTAGCTAGCTAGCTAGCTAGCTAGCTATTTAAAAAAAATAGTACTCTTTACATTTTAATTATTAAAAGTAGTTTCACTTTTTCTTGCAAAAGTTTCACTCATTCAAAAAGTGAAACAGTAAAGAATAAAAGGTAAATCTACCTCATCTACCTTAAAAAAGATAGACGGCGTAGAAAGTAGATTTACCTTTTCCATTTGATATTTTTGTCCTGCCCTTTAAGTAAGCAGTCCTCCACCGAATGTCATTCAATCGATCCTGTTGGCATTGAGGGTATGCTTACCGGTGAGATGTGCTAACCGGTGAGTGCATCATGATTCAGAACATTGCGAGTAAACGTGCGTCTGGATTAAGGCTCCACGGCTGCTGACATGGCTGAGACTGTTGGGCCTAGCTAGATGTTCGCATAGGCGGCTTGTTGTGTTCTTAAGATTCTTAGCGTGTTCGAATTAAATCACAGCTTGACATGCTGATTAGCATACATGCTTCAATTATTAGAGGTTGATCTAATCCTACTGCAATACACGGCTCTTAGCCTTATTCGCGACTCGATCCTAGATAGGGTTTGAGTTCGACTCATGACTGAGTCTTTCGTGAATAGTCATTGAGACAGGGTTCTCATGACCGCTAGTCATACTAGGTCGATGTGAAACATCGCGCTAGATATTTAGCTGGCGTGGAGAGATTCCACGCTACTAGATAAATGCTAGACGAATTCTTCCACGCGTTCCGTTTTTGGATCGTGGAGTAGGATTGCTACCGCAACCTACTCTATCACACTCTACAGTCTCCCGCGGGAGTTCAGATCTACGATCCTTTGATTGTGGATCTCTCTCGTTGTTTAGTTTTCATAGCTTTCTAACTCTCATAACTTTCATTCTCTCAAACTCAAAACACTCGAAAGATCTTTACACTACTTTTGCGTAGTGCATTTTGTTAACAAACACAATAGCTTTCAGCTACCCCAACCTATTCCTCACCATGAAGATTGCCAAAGAGCATACACCAGCTTCGAGTCAAAGCTGCGTGACAAACCAATCCTTCTTCTCATCGACCTCGATGATGAATGCGAAATCGACGATTCTCGCTCTACCACCTACAAACTTCGCACTATTCCAGCAGATGCTAACAGCGCACAAGTACACCTTCAAGGTCCAAATCATCAAATGGATCTGAGATCCACGTCAGACCATCAAGTGGGCTGACGTATGGAGAAGGTCTTCGTCGGGCTCGCCATTGCTACGCCTGACGACAAACACAACCTCCTCAGAGGAGATGACTTCTAGCTCTGCCAAGAGCAGTTACGATCTAGCTGTGCAGGCCACCGTGAAATACGTTGGAATGCCCTGCGCCAGATTGCAGTCAACGCGATTCTCCTCGCGACATACGTGGCGGTGAAGACGAAGCCACTTTCCAAGCACGTTTCCAGGCTGCCTGGAACGGAGCAGCTCGCCTGCTTTGGACGACCTAACATTACGTTTGGCATAAATGCCTGTTCTGAAGCGGTCTGTCCCTACAAGGCTCTTGAAAAGCAGAAACGCTTCATGCGCCGCAAGATGCGTAACCTGCTGATATGTCTACTCGGGCTTATGTCAAACAACCTCAGTCGGATGAACACCGATAGAACTTCCTCGTCTACCACCTTTTGGACCCCACCAACTTGAACCATGACAAGTCATTGACATTGTTTGTCATGGAATTCCACGCTCGTGGATGAAGAAGTTGGACGAACACGACTTCGATCCTTTCTCAGCTCCTATCGGGAAACCATTGGATTTCTGCGAACGCATGGAATCCTCCGAAGACTTTGACAAGGGCGGTGAGCCAACAAGCTCCTCGAAGAAGAACAACAGCAAGAAGTACAAGTACACTCGCAACAACGACCACTCTTCCAAGAACAAAGAAATGGTGCGACTACCACGAGTCCAGCACTCACAACACTGCTGACTGCATGACTTTGAAGAAGCTCAAGGCCAAGTCTCAGTCCTCGTCTGACAACGATAACAAGCCAACGTACATACAAGAACAAGACTTGGAAACGCAAGTCGACGACGCCAAGACCTACACCAAGAAAGGAACTTCTGTCCTCATGAAGAAGGTTTCCAACGCTGCGGTCAAGGCTGATCGCAGAAGAAAAGCGAATGCAACCATGTGTCAAGCGCAAGTCTGACAACTCCGACAACGAGGACGATCCTCTGTTGGATCCATCAACATGATGGACAAGAAGATGGCGCTGGTCGACAAGGCGCTTGCCGAATCGACTTCAATCATTCGGATGGAGAGATCTCCGTCTGAGATTAGCCAGGATGATGATTCAACGAACATGTTCCGATTTCTCATACCTAAGTGATGAAGATATCTCACTAAATAGTAAAAAGATTTGTTTGCAACTAACAATCTACGGCAAATTAGATAAATGCCTAGTAACTTGCTCAACTAGCACTGACGATCTGTTCAGCATCGTTAACTTCGTCCATGGCCAATCAACTCATCAACGTCACATGACAAGAGACCTTGAAACTATCGTCTATGTAGATTAAACAGACGAGCGAAAGGGAACGAAAACCCGTTACACTCTGTTGCTTACTGGATACAGAGAATCCGAACTTTAATTGCTCAAACTCATGCTAAGATTTACTCATGAAGAATCATGGGGGCGTCCAAACAATTGCGGACTGCTTCTATGAAGGAATTGAGACCCGCACGAAGAGTAAGGGCACACCTCGCGATTCCTGAGTTCCACGATGGTAGATTATCAAGTGGAATTTACACGTCACCAAGAACTTGGGGGCGCAAGACGTGATCATAGGTCAAGACACTCTCTGCGATCTAAGAATCAAGTTTGATTTCACTACCATGTCATGGGGTGGAACCATGCATTTTCCCGGCGAAAGAGAGCAACACCAATAGAAAGGAGAACTCTCCATTCCGATTCTGCAGCTGTCAGCGACAATGAAATAGTCTCAAGAAGATTCTTGATACGACATACGAACAAATAGGCTTAAGGCAGATATGCCAGAGTCGAAATCCGTTAAACAAGGAGGAGCAAGAACTGCCTCATGCCTTTTCAACCAAGTGCTTCGACCCAGTCGGGATACTTTGGGAGAGTTGCCAATGGGACAGACTACGAAGTAGAACTTCGTCCCGACGTTAAATCCTATTACACATAGGGCTCACCCTACTCCACGGGTCCATACCAACACCTTAAGAGGAGGTTGAACGTCTCTGCGAAACAGGGGCACTCAAGAAGGTGAATCGTTCCAAGTGGGCGGCACCAACTTTCATCATTCTCAAGAAAGACGGATCTGTACGATTCATCTCTGATTTCCGGGAACCGAACAAACGGATCAAGCGGAAGCTTTATCCTATCCCAAAAATACAGGACATGCTCTTGAACCAGAAGGATTCAAGTGCGCTACCAGTCTAGACCTGAACACGGGACAATACCACATCGAGCTGTCACTTCACTCGAAGCAACACTATACCATTGCACTCCCGAAGGGAAAGCACGAGTACCAGAGGTGCCAATGGGCCTATGTAATAGTCCCGACATCTTCCAAGGAAGATGAAAGCACGATGCATGACTTAGAAAAGTTCCGTGCATACGTTGATGATCAACTCATCCTAACGGCCGTCGATCTCGCAGATCGCGTTGAACATAGGATACCTTCCCCAAAGACTCCAAGAAGTCGGGAATGAATCAACACTACCAAGGCCTTCCTCGATAGGAAGAACTGGAGTATCTAGACAATTGGACTTCTCGAGAAGGAAGCCAACTCTTAACCAAAAAAGATAACAGATGCGATCCAGCTATCGCTCTTCTACCAACAGGAAGTAACTTCGTAGATTCATTGGACCAATGAACTACCAAGGCTGCTCCAAGACAGCAGACGGAGTAACCATCGTTCTGAAACAGACGTGGTACCCAGTATCCATGACAATGGACAGAGAACGTGATCCCGCGTAAGAGGTCGAAAGACTCTCGGGATTGAATGGACTTCGTCGCAAGTTCACGCGCGTCAATCGTGACAAGGCTCACCACATCCGTTTCAAAGCAAACCGGAAATACATTAAGGAACGTCCCAACGACTATCCAGAAAAACACCGATAAGGAGAACACGGCACGTGTCCCTCATCAACACCATGTCAACGACACTATGATGATTCATCAGTATCAGAACCGTTAATACGGTCAGCCAACGCACAAGGTCCTTACACACAGACCGAGTCAATAACAATGGCACTGTACGGCTCCGACATACTACGCCAATAGCGGCACAGTCTACCAGACTTGGAACATAAGGATTTACACCATACAAGGCCTGATCCCCTGTAGGATTGCCATCGTGCGACGCACATGTCTACATCCAATTCTCCGGAGAGTGCCCCGCACTTTAATTCATATGTTCTCCTTGTCCGACTGATGTCGTGCCTTCCGTGACCTTGTCAGGGGGCGAATGCAATACACGGCTTTAGCCTTATTCGCGACTCGATCCTAGATAGGGTGAGTTCGACTCATGACTGAGTCTTTCGTGAATAGTCATTGAGACAGGGTTCTCATGACCGCTAGTCATACTAGGTGATGGTGAAACATCGCGCTAGATATAGCTGCGTGGAGAGATTCCACGTACTAGATAAATGCTAGACGAATCTTCCACGCGTTCCGTTTTTTGGATCGTGAGTAGGATTGCTACCGCAACCTACTCTATCACACTCTACAGTCTCCCGCGGGAGTTCAGATCTACGATCCTTTGATTGTGGATCTCTCTCGTTGATTAGTTTTCATAGCTTTCTAATCCTCTCATAACTTTCATTCTCTCAAACTCAAAACACTCGAAAGATCTTTACACTAGCTTTTAGCGTAGTGCACTACAACCATGTCATCGTCAAATTCATTGACAGTGTACATTGGAAAGAACCATGGTTTAACGTTGACTTCCTCATCTTTATAAATCAACAAGCACAACTACATTAAGCCCTGTGAGTGGTTGTACACAACAAAAGCTTCTGTCACAAATTCACGCCACATGAACTCCACCATTGTCATGTAGTTCACAAGAGTAGCGTTTAGACTAGTAATTATCCACATTTTTATTAAAAATTAATGACAATGACGAAGGAAGCTTTCCGATTGCCGACAAGATTCCTATGTCTAAGGATTATTTCGGGGCTTCTGTTGCATTGAGGAAGCAGGGTACTACGGAGGTTAAGTGTCCCTTTTGTGGAAAGATGCACGATCATGGGTCACAGCCTGGAGATTATATGGTGGGGTGTGACGATGATGATCGGTACAGTAGAGAAAATGTTATTGGAGACAGGACCTTCGATCCTAACTATAGGTATACTATCTTTGAGTACAAGGAGAGGGACGATGGGGTGAGATTGATTGTTCGGGAGCAGCTTTAATTAGATACTTTAGGATATGTTCGCTTTCGATCCACTCCCTTAGCCATGTTGAACCTTCATCTGATCTTGAAATTCTCTTTCTGCCTTGGTTTTGGCTTTCTTCGAATGTATGTGCGATCTACAAATAGACGGTTTCTACCGAAAAGGTTAAGGACTACCATTACTCTAGTTCTTGGTGGTTGATATGTTCTATTCCTCCTTCAAGGTCAAAACGATTGTCATCAGGAATTCCATTGGCGTTGTTCCTGCGGTCTAGGTCTTGCACTTTCTGTACTGCTAGTTCATATTGTAATTTACGATATGTGTCTTGTAAGGCTTTGCTTTTGCGTTTCCACGATTCCTTTGTCTGAGCTTGATTTATGCGGTGGATTGTCTTGCCTTTGATGTTGCCTTCTACAGGGGGGGGTTGTCCATTTGCTTTCTTCATTTGGAATCACACGTGACCAGCCTGTCTTTCTACAGAACCAAACGATCGATGAACCTATCTAGAGATAATTTGGATGAGTCGGGGACTTCATTCATGAACACAACTACTGTGTTCGGACGGGTAATATATTTGTTGGTTGGTACGTATTTGGTGCTAAGAATGTCTCCGTCTTTGATGCCTTCCAAGAGATCGTAGGGAATGTGGATATCTTTGCGGGAGTGGGGACAATCGATTAAGAAGACTTTCGTATTTTCGGAAAGCATGTACTGCATGGCGTCTAGTTTTGCAGGTTTTAACAATTATTGGATGTCTTTTCTGGTGACTTTTAGGTACTCGCTCACATAGCCAGCTTTTTCTGGCTCTGCCTAGTTCATCTATGATGAAGTAGACTTTTCTGTAAGATGGTTTGTCAATTGCGTCATGGACGTATTGATGTCAGTCTCGTGTTCTTTGAAAATTTAGGTTGGGTGGTGGTTTAGGGCGATGATGACCAAAGTAGTCATAGCACCAAGTCCGGTTTCTGCTTGTGAGGCTGTTAGTATGTTTGCCCTGTACCTAACTCACTCCATGGGAGACTTTTTGCTGCGTCCGCTTTGAATGATTCGAAGTCGGTTCTTTTTCCTGGGCTTTGACCACTTTTGCCTATTTCGAATGGGTTGCATCCTTCCTTCGTGTTTCCTCTTTCTTACAATAGTTTCTTCATTTTGCTAGGTCTTCCGGTTTGCCTTTTACGGGAGTAATGTGAATGTCATTGGCAGGAAATTTGCTTTTGGCTATTGCTAAGCGGTATTGCTCAACAAAGAGTACAAAACCTTGGTGATTTTCATGGTTAGTCGAGGGGCCGATTTCGATTTGACATACTGCGTATTTGATTATGCCTTTGCTGTATAGGTCTAACAGAACTTCGCTATAGTTGGCTGGAAAATTATACCACATAAACTGCCAGCGGGTTCTAGAGGATTTCTGTTTGATTTTCACCATGGTCGAGGATGGAGAAACAGAATAGCTTGTTAGGGTCGCTCAATCGCCGCGGGGCTAAGTTTATATGTGCTCAGTCGCCGCGGGGCTTGATTTATGAGAGGGAGAGATTAGATTAGAGGTGCCCTAAATACTATTAGGCACCTTTTTGAGACCTCTAATCTCCCCACACAACCTTAACCCTGATGATATCAGTGTGGGTTTGCGAATCTTCCGGGGGATAGGATGAATCTTCAATTCCGTTTTACTAAACAAAAAACAGTAGTGGATGGTTTATCTCACCTCGGTCCCCCATTTATGGATGTCCCATGGGGTGTTTTCTTAAAACTGTGAAACACACATCGGCACCGTGCTGTTATCGCGACAACAACAACAAAACCTCCATCGGAGGCTGCCACCTTTGGGCAATTCATGCTCGATACCTATTGAGAGTTTGCATAGAGTGTTATAGTATACCTTGTAGAGCAGGAGTAGCTCTGTCTGTGTGACCTAAAAGAAACATAAAATGTGTTGATGTGTCGACACAATCGTTAGTTGAAGATGGTATCTCAAAACTCGTCGAACCGTGACAAGGCTGTTAACTTTGAGGATAGAGCACTAGTACTCATTAGCCCCTTTTATGTTTCTTTTGGCATCATCAGATGCAGTAAAAGGCACTGCACAAGATAGTTTATGACATGTAGTGGTGAAACAAAAGCTATCACATGTCTTTGGCCAAGGAAGCTGGGAGGATTAGGTGTTGGTGGTGTTTTTGTGCTTTTTATGTGTTATTTCATTTCTTAAAACCAAGGAACACAGTATCCCCCGTGGGACACCCTCAAGGATCCAGCACAAGCAATCCTTCCCGGTAGTTCTGACGACCAACCCAGATCGATTATTCTGCAACACTGTCAACGGGCGATCGATCGACAAGATCATTCACTTGAGCCTGCACACACAACCTTCAAAGTTCCCGTTCACTTCTTTCAAGTCGGCCAGATCAAACATAACCAATTTTGCTTCTGTCTTTCCCTTGTCCAAAATACCCAACGTGGTGCCAACAAAGGTCATCCTCATTGTAGTCCATTTCTTCCCGTCACAGTCCTTGAAATGCAAGAGGCAATTTTTGAGTTCTTCGTGTCCCCCATCTTTCAGCTTCGTACGATCCTCTTTGGTAAAAGGAGCAAAGAAAGGTATGATCACGCAAGGAAACTCCTTCAATACTGCGAAACAGACTTTCTTTCTTATAAAAGGGTAGAACGCTTTCAATTGTTCGACTTCCAGCCGGCAAACGCGCTTCCCCTCCTCGATGGACTTTTCTTTCGTCAGTAGCTTGTTGCCGTCTCGCGCTCGTTTGACATACATTTTGATTATGCAAGGATGTCCAAGTTTGTCATAAGCGTAAAACACTTTTGATCTACTTCCCCGGGCAATCTTTGAATGGTAAAATAGGTCCCGTCATTGAATGCTTGGGGTTGACTTTTTTGGCGGGATTTTGTGCCTGAAAAGGAGCGCACAGGTCTGTTTGGAAAAATGTTGACATCACCCCACTCGTAGCTTTTTGGATCGAACTTAAGGGCGAGTCCCTTATGTCCTTTCTCCAAGTTGAAAATGGTTTTGTTTCCAGCCACCGGGTTCCGGGCAAGGCCACAGAGTAGTGCCGTGTAAAGAAGCGGCACGAGCTGGTCGGCGATGAATGCTGGTGATTTCTGCATGTTGTCCTGATTCTGTTTGTCAAAGGTAGAATACGATGTGCTGTTGCTGTCGAAACTTCCTTCGTCTTTGAGGTCTGGAGGCGGCGGGGTCTTCTTCGCTGGTTGAGCAGACTGGTTCGGAGAGGATATTTTGGGAACATGCTTCTTGACCTCCTCCAAATTGTTTGCTAGAGCTACCAACTCGTCGCTTCGACTGTCCTGTAGCCAAAACAACCATGATTTTTGAAACGTAGACAGGACCACAAACGGGGCGGAATGCCCATTAGCCTTTAGTTCCATGATGTAGTCAAAACTTGACCACGAACTGAATCGGATATGTTCTCTGGATTCTTGTGGTGGTCCCAAGGTTTCTTGTTCTCAACTGCCAAAATAGGGTCGTTTGTTTCCTTATCATAAAGAACAACGTGATCGGGTCGATCCGAGAACAGGCTTTAGAAACTCATGGTGAAGATAGAACGTTCGGTCCGTTTGCTGCTCCACAAGTGCCATTGTGTCTTCCAATGCCGGGGAGATATAGCTGGAGACACCGCTTCCACTAACGTATGTTATGACCGTTTCGCTTGTTGTGTCGTTTTCCTTGTCCACATTAAATGACAAGAGCAAGCGAGAAGGCCGGTCACCTCTAGAATCATCCACCTTGGGTTCATCCAGCTTTACGCCGGCAAACACTTTGGCCATCATGTTTCGTTTTTCTCGTATGAGACCAGTTGTTACCCATCGCTTCCAGCTTCATTGTCGGGGCTTTTCAATCAGTGGTCGCAGGGAGAATCTGTAACTTCTTTTTTCTGTTGTGACACGAGCTTCTTCTGTTGTTGTTGTTGGATCGACTTGTTGTTGTTGATTAACGAACGGCTACCAACTGTCGTCTCCGCCGATTTGCTTCTGTGTTTGATGCCGCCTACCATAGTGTAAGAATCGAACAAGAGCAGCCAACAGTGTTAGCTCTGGGTGGTTTCGAGAGAAGCCATCCTTAGATGGTTCCTACTCAGAGCAACAACTGTCGTCCTTTCGACACTCCTCATTCCTCTACCGATGCTCCTTCCTCTACCGACGCTCCTTCCTCTACCGATACCACTACCGACCGACTACCACTACTGCTACCCACCACCAACCAAAACAACAGCTGTGTTTGATGCCGCCTTCGGGCTACACCGGAGGCTATTTCATTTTATTTTTCTCCCGTCATACACTGTGAGTTTCCCCTCGCCATTTGTGTTGAGTCATCTGAACTCATTTGTTGTTTTCTCTGCTGCACTCCAATGCAGATTACATGATGCGATTATTTGGATTTGAAGGAATATTGTCGTCCAATTTGTGGTGATACTGACCCGCCTGGAGCAGTCGATTCAAAAAGACGAAATTTTTGTCGAGTGTGCGCTGCTTAGGTTTTCGGATGTAAAGTCAAGCTCTTTGGGTTGCTGTTGCCTCAAAACGTGGCATTAAACACTTCACTCACCATGCCGTATGAGTTCAAAGCCAGAGGAGGCAGCAGGATCGACTCTGCTTCTTGTCGGAGACCTCCCTTGGAGGACATGCTTCCACTCGACGATCTTGAAGCATTCTGCATAAGGCTCTCGAAGTGCATTTCTCACTCAGTCTGCAAGGAGAGTGATGAGGTTATTGTGTGGAGCTTCGAAGACAGCATGTATCTTGCTCCAGATCAAGCCTTAGAGCTGCACTCCTTCCTTCCAGACTTGACCAACATTTCCACAACTTACGTCTCTTTGGATAGGCGCAACATGATCAACAAAACCACTCATGGCCAAGAGCTCTCCGTGACTCTGGCCTGCAAGCACTCTAGATTCTACGTTAAGCCTTCTTGTGAAAGGACAAGGGCACCAGCAGGAATGGGTTCTGTGATCACTGAAATGACATCGCTTCCATCGTTCCAGAGTTTGAGCAATACTACTGCCCCGTCAGTTGTGGACCTATTGTCTCTGAGCAGCGTAGCGAACTCAGAGTATACTTTGGAGACATATGAATGAAGTGGAGGCAATGTATGGATTAGTATCAGGCAGTGGAGAGGCGACAATCACCATTTGTTGAAATGATGGGGATTGATTGTCATCTCTCGCCCATTTCCACCAAAAGAGGAATGATCGTCGTGAATCGGGCGATCAAGTACAAGACGCTCCCTCCGTTGTCGATCTATTATCCCCCAGCAGTGTAGATCGCGGACGTCCGAATTGCCTGTTTCCAGCCCCTCATTGCATCCAATGCAAGGTACCTGTACCAGAGTGTAGCGAGCAAAGCCGAACCTGAGTGTGTTCAGTACTGTCGCCACTGTCGCCGATGTAACTATACGGTGTGTAGCCAACTACATTTGCTGTATTGACAATATTCGGTTGTGTATCGTCATAAGGATCCAATGCGAGGTACCTGTACCGGAGTGTAGCGAGCAAAGCCGAACCTGAGTGTGTTCGGTACTGTTGCCACTGTCGTCGATGTAACTATACGGCAGCCGGCTACAATGGCTGGATTGACAATCTTCGGTTGTGCATGTATTCGTCATAAGGATCCAATACGAGGTACTTGTACCGGAGTGTAGCGAGCAAAACCGAACCTGAGTGTGTTCGGTACTGTTGCCACTGTCGCCGATGTAACTATACGGCAGCCGGCTACAATGGCTGGATTGACAATCTTCGGTTGTGCATGTATTCGTCATAAGGATCCAATACGAGGTACTTGTACCGGAGTGTAGCAAGCAAAGCTGAACCTGAGTGTGTTCGGTACTGTTGCCACTGTCACTGATCGATGAACTCTACGGTAGCTGCCTACGATGGCTGGATTGACAATGTTCGGTTGTGCATGTATTCGTCATAAGGATCCAATGCAAGGTACTGGTAACGGAGTGTAGCCAGTAAAGCGGAACCTGAGTGTGTTCCAAGTAGCGAGCAAACTGAGGAAACAGGAGACGAACGCTGAAAAAAAGCCGAATGTCTGGAGCGACGGCCAGACCTTAAAACTCCCTCGAAGCTAGCTAGGTGGGGTTTGGCATTTGGGAAGTTAGGGTTACGGCTGATTTTCAAGATTTTCGTGACGGTCAGATCGAGCGCGGCAAAATCCGTTTGTTTCCTTCACCCCGCCCATCATTTATTTGTTTTTTCCTTTGTCCTCTTGATCTACCACTACCGTAGTAGTGTACCTATTGCATTGACGGGGGAACCATTGGCGACTGGTGCTATTAATAGCCAGACTCACTGTTATCAATTGCTATCATGTCCTCACGGCGTGGTGGAGCCAAATCCAAAGGAGGGGCCAAATACAACAATGACGCCAGCAAGAAGATTCCCGTCCACCAATCTCCTCCCAATCATCCCCAAGAGAACCTACCAGAGCACAGGACCTTCCTAGCTCGCTCTTTGAATCGAAACGATGCAGATATGGCGGCTCTGGTGGATTTGAATCGTTCCATTCATTTAGTACGCGATAACATCATTGCAGTCTGTGGTGAGGAAGTCTTGTTGGACTTGGGAGAAGGATTCTTTCAATTGACGCCCGATACGCGTGACATTATGCTCACGATGCCTCCGCTGGATGATGAGGAATTGGAACCACGAGAAAACATCAACAACAAACGAGCCGAACTGGAAGAGCGCCTCGCATCCTTGGAGGAAGACCACCGACTGCTTTGTGTCGATTTTTTGCTCCGCATGAAACTGCGCCGTCGGCTGCTCAATCGGTTGGCCCGCCGTTTGATGCGAGTGTCACACGCCATGGACGGCGAGGATGTGAGCCCGCCTGTTCCTCCCAAATATGGAGATTTGAGACTTAATGTGGATCCTGAGGATATGAAAACGGCCCAGCAACAATGGCAATGGCAGGCGGAAGCCAAACAGCGTGTCGCCCAATTTCGAAGTGAAAATCCATCTTCCTTGATTCCGTTGATACCGGTCGAAGTCAAAAAAGAAGAGGAAGAAATTAAGAAAGAAGAAGAAGAAATTAAGAAAGAAGAGGGAGATGATGCGGAAGAAGACGAGGAAGGGGAAAAGGCTGCCACAAGTGACGAGGACGCAGAAAAGGCCGAATCCGATGAAGATGACGACGAAACCAAGGAGGAAGAGGACTCCAAGGAAGAGGAGGATGACGAAACGGAGGAAAAAGACGACAAATCAGAGGAGGACTCCAATGCGGAAGAGGAGGAAAAAGACGACGACAAAACAAAGGATTCCAGCAAAGAGAAACAGCCAGATGAAATTTCCTTGAAGGAGGGAGAGGCAGCTACGGTAGACGAGAAGGAATCCGCCATGGAGGGCATTGAAAAGGACGAGGAGAACGACGGCACCAAAGAAAAGGAGAAAGAAAGCGAGGATTCCGAAGCAATGGAAGTGGAAACGTCTGCGGAGGATGAAAAAGTGGAAAAGTCAGCGGAGGATGAACAAACCGAAGATGGGAAGAAGCAAGTAGCAGGGACGGATGCTCCCAAACCCGAAGACGACGAGAAGAGCGATGCGGATAGCAAAAAAGACACTGACGACGTCAAAGAACCAACGACCGAGACGGACTCTCTCAAAGCCAAAGAAGAAGACGAAAAGAACGAGTCAGACGCCAAAGAACAAACGACCGAGACGGACTCTCTCAAAGCCAAAGAAGAAGCCACAGAAGACGAAAAGAGCGAGTCAGAAAACAAAAAGGAGACGAAGGACACTACTGAGCAGACCGCTCCCGAGCAGGCTAAAGAGACCACCAAAAAAGACGAACAGGACGTTGCGGACAGCGAGAAAGAGACTGAGGACAGTGCAGATAATCCTACCAAAGGAGACAAAAATGAGGCGGATGGCAATACCGAGAACGCGAACGATGCTGATTCTCCCAAAGAACACAAAGAGAGAGACGGAGACAATACTAAAGATAAAGAGACCGGAGACGATGCAACCGACACAGGTTCTTCAAAGGAACGCGAAAAGAACGAGACAGATGACACTGGAGAAGCAGCAACCAAGGGTGAGTCTCCTCCCAAGGAAGAAGACGACAACAAAGAAGAGGACGACGCAAAACAATCGACAGAGCCTAATGAGGACGATCCGGTTGTTGAAGATGGTGCAAAAGACAAAGCGGAAGCGAATCCCGCCGACGACAAGGATGTCGCAATGGAGGAACAATCTGCACCAGCAAAGCCAGAGGAGGAAGACAAAATGAAGGATGTAGCAACGGACGAGACAGCTGCAGGCGAACCATCTGAAGGAGACTCAAACGAAAAGGACGATGATGTCGAGATGGAGGATGCTGACAAATTCGACGATGCCGAGGAAGCAACTGGTGATGACAAGGGGAAAGAAGCTGATAACGAGAAGGAGGCGGAAGAAACCCAAGATGATGCGAAGAAAGATTTTGATAAAGAAGTGCCCAAGTCAGTTGATGGCGAGGAGGAGAATGAATCGGGTAGGGTCGACAATGCCACTCAACCTTCCCCAGAAACGAAAGACTCTGATCAGGAGAACGAGGCAACCGAAGCAGCTGGCCACAACGCCGATGAAACTGCCTCGGCAGAAGCAGCGAGTAGCGAGGAAAAGGAAGACACGAGTGCAGGTGCAGCAAAGGCAGAATCGTCGGATGCATCGGAAGCTAGCGAGAAAGCAACTGACGAAGCGGTGGATGAACAGAAAAAGGAGGAAGGAGACGAAGATGATGCCCAAAACGAGGAAGCAGACGAATACGATGCCCAAAACGAGGAAGCAGACGAAGACGATGCCCAAAAGGAGGAAACAGAAGTGGCCACCACCAAAGAGGAGGAACAGGAACCGGCAGATCCAAAAACCAAAACCGAACAGTCTCCTTCTGAAGAAAACAAGGACGACAACATGGACATTGATGAACCAGCAGCTGTCAAATCCGAGTCAAATGCTGAAGAAGACCGTCCGGAGCCCAATGGAGCCGTTTCCACTCCAGTAAAGACCAAAGAGGAGGAGGATGAAGACGAAGACGAGAGTTCCGACAAAACCAGCCAAGAGGACAGTGACTCACAGCAATCGGAAGTGGAAACACCCCAGAAACCGTTGTTTGAGCTTCCGGAACCGCGTGAATTGTCCCAGCTTGAGAAAGATTACGCCATCCTATCAGAACATGTCGATGCTTACGAGCGAGAGATCGATCCGACGACGGGTGAAATCACTTATACAATCCTGAAAGACACAGATCGCGAAGAAGACTATGTCGCCATCAATCAAGGCGTTGGGGTAGGCGCCGTCCATCGTCAGATGAATCAATCAGAAAAGGAAGTCGAGTTCAAACGATGGCAAACTGCGCTGCTTGGTAGGATTCCGGAAGCGCCTACGTTTGAAGAGATTGGCATGAAAAACTGTGTTTTCATGCTGGAAGAACGGCGCAAAAGACTGCGCTTGAAGCGAGAAGAAGAAGAAGAAGAAGCTGCGAAAAGCAACAACAAGAAGCAAAGGACATCTTCACCACTAAAGAAGCGTGACGTAGACGACGAGAGCAAGCCAAAAAACGTTGGAGCCGTCGAGAGGAAGAGCCCCAAAAAGTCTCGCGGAGAAGAAGAGGACAACAAGGAGGGCACTGTGTTCACCAAGCGAATGAAGCCACTTCCTCTCGTTCCATATCCGAGTTTCTTCGAAAGTGACCTCCGTCGTATCCGAATGGTGCATTTCGACTTGATGGCTAGTTCCATTCAAAGCGGCGTGAAGCATCGTCTGGAGTCCGCCGAGAAAGAATACAACTCGTGTAAGCTTGGTTTCGTAGCTCGTCGGCGGCTGGAGCTTGGTTTTCAAGCTGTTTGCATCTCACCCGTTTGCTATGCTTTGTTGGCCAACCCATAGCCTTCAAGGCATCCAACCACCTGTTTGATCGCAAGCAGACTCTCGAGGGGCAGTTGCGGCAGCTACTTGGAACATTCAAGCAAAGGTACGAGAAGATGAAGGCCGACTACCAGATGAAGGCGTCCATGGAAAGGAAGCGATGGAGACAACTGAAAGCCGAGCACGATCAAAAACGGCTTCAGAAATTGTTGCCCAGCAAATGGAATGCGCAACCAACTGGGACTCAGATCACACAAGCTGTTACCCGAAAGTATAGGGAGGGCAGTCTCCCCCACCTAGCCGGTTCATGCGTAGCTGACATTGTGGATGGTGCAATCGCCTTGCTCCAAAACTCCAATCCGCAACTGGAGCCGTTTGAACCTTTCAAAGCTCGTCAGATGCCTGATGTCAACAACGTGGTTGTGGATCCAAACACTGGGGAGACGTTTGGGCAGCAAGCACGTCGCCTTCAAACACACTACCAGAAAGAAATTCAAGCTGTGTCTCTGAAATTGGTAAGTCTGCATGCTTCGTGACTGAGGACTCGTTGGTTTCGTGGACATGTTTTGACATCTCTCGTTGCCGTGCTCAGAATGTTGCGGAAGATGACAGAAAAAGAGCCTGGAAGAAGCTTTTGAAGACACGTCAGGAACATGAGCAGTCAGGCCAGGCTCCTGCATTTGGCGCTCAGAGCATTGCTGGGTATACGCCAACAAGAAGGAACTCAATGGAAGGCTATGCTCCAGCGCCAGGTGTGAATGCAAGTGATCAGATGTACTCTGCCAAGAAGAAAGAGAGAGTGAACCCTGACGGTACCATTGAGCCTCCAAACAAGAAGAAAGGACCAGACGGTCTTTATCAGAGGCCCGCTGGCCGTGCCAGACTGAACTGCAGCTGGGATGCGAAGAGGGGTGTCTGGGTACCCCTTTCATAGAGTTACTCTGTGTGCAACCTCGATTCTTTTGAGGTAACAGCACCGGTACGAAGTTTAATGAGGGCATGAGGCAGCTTCCGACGGTGCGAAGCCATAGTTTCCTAGTTGTTAGTAAGTAGTAGCGCTACTAGCACCAACTATAGAGGAGGCGTAGCTATAGTTGCCTGCTTCAGTCTTTCAAGACGATTCATGAGCTATTATACAGTTTTAGCGGGTGTAAATTGTTCTTGCTACACCTTTCCACTCTGCACTTCTTTTAAAAGCTCATAGCATAGCTTTGGGCGCATGTGCACGGCTCTTGGCCTCAACTTTTCTGGAGAGCTCTGCGACCACGTCTTTAGGGATTAGCTGAGGACGATACAGCCACTCCCCTCCGTCCACTACCAACACATGGCCGGTGACATACTGAGAAGTGCAAAGGAAGACAGCTGCGAGGCCCATTTCTTGGGCGCTGCCCATGCGACCTAGGGGTATTCCCTCCACAACCAGCTCCTCCATACTTTGTGAATCCAACCCAGGCGCCAGCTTTGTTGTCCCCGGTGTATCTGCGGTCGCTCCAGGCGCAATGCCTACGACTCTAATCTTATCAGGACCCCATTCTAAAGCCAAACTCCTGGTGAGCGAATCGACTGCAGCTTTGGCAGCCGAAGGATGGCTTTGCCACCTAGAGAACATCACCCAGTTCAATTGTAAGTTTAAAGGGGAAACAGCGCCTGTTGAAGACGAAATGAAATGAAATGAAATAAAGCATTCTCTGATCTTACCAGGTTGCACCATATTGAAGGGTTGCTGAAATATTGATAATGACACCGGAGTTGCCATTCCCATTTTGTTTGGGCTTCTGCAATGCCGAAAAGGCAGCCGAACACATGTTGAAAGTTCCCTGAACCAAGCAAGAGAAATGGTAAGACTGGAGCATTCAGCTAGCCACTGAGCCACTGGTACCATAGCTAAGCACGGAACAGCAATCCCTTTCATGGATACGGCACGCCTGTGCTTCGATAAAATGTAGGACTGGAGCCACCAGCACACAACACCAATACGCGTCTCAAACCATCCGCTCCTTCTCATGTGACCATGTATACGCACCTGAGCATCAATCGCCATTACGGTGGCAAATCCTTTGGGGCTCAACGTGGATGCTTCTGCCAAGAAATTGCCTGCAGCTCCATTCACCAAGATATCCAATTTTCCAAACTGTTCTACACAGTAGTCAACAGCCTCTAGGCACTGTTTTGGATCTCTAACGTCACAAACTTTGTAGAGGCAACGAGATCCTGATTGTTTCGTGAGAAGCTTCGAGGAACGCTCGAGAAAGCTTTCGCGGCGACCACAAATCACCGCTCCAGCAGCTCCATGCTGAAGGAGCTGGTTACAGATCTCAAAGCAGATACCACTGCCACCGCCAGTGACCAAAGCTACCTGACCCTTGAGGCAGTCGGCATTAAAGGGCGACGGGTTCATCGCTTTCGCGTTGTAAGAATAAGTGTGAGTGTGGGATTTTTTGGTGTCTTCGCAATGAATGAGGTGGAGTGAGACTTAGAGAGTGACTCAGTCGGACAAACACTCAGTGTCAAACGGCTTTGCCAGCTTGTAATGAAGAGCGACCATGAGCAGCACTTCCATCATCACGACCGTCGTTCGAAGACCTTCCTCTCTGTTGATATTATACATCAGTGGGTCACGACACGAGGACACGTTTGTTTCGCTGGTTCCACGCTTGGCTGTACGGTACTGCTATACTCTTGCCCTTTCCCACAGTTTAATGAGCACAAGAGAGACGAAGCTTCCTTCGTCTCGGATCGGTTCGCAGTAAAACCCGATCGGCTTCACAATTGCACGGCAGCAATTTTACGTCAATAGAGCCGACAAGATACATCCTTTTCGATTTTCTTTGGACCAAGTCAGCTACAAGTCCGAGATGAGCGACCAAGAGACCGCTACGATTGCAGTCCTGAGGACTAGCGATGCCAAAAAAACCAACGTCAGTTGCCTGAAATGGTCGTATGTGTTTGTGTGTTTGTTCGTTCGCCTGCAATGTACTAACGTCCGATTACATTTCCGCCACTCGCTTATGCAACCTCTGACAGATCGACGTGAACATGACAGCTTCCTTGAATGACTTGAAAGACAAAATTGACGGATCCGATGCTTTCGGTCCTTTGTCTCGGACCAATCAGCGACTCTTCCACCTTGGACGGGAGCTGAAAACGGGGGGGAGGAGTTTGGCGAATTTGGGTGTTGGACGATTCAAGTGCTTTACAGTCCACCTCTTGGCCAAAAATGTTGCTGGTGGCACCACCAAGAAGAAGAGAAAGAGCCGCGCTGACGACGAAGAAGTAGTCGAAGTGGTGGGCAACAAACGAAAAACCCGCAGGGCTGCAACCCGACAAACTGCTGCTTCCAGGCGACAGCAACAACAACAAGTCATTGAGTTGGGAGACAGCGATGATGATGACGACGACGATGTCGTCGAGGTGGTGGCTCCCCCGCCACGACGAACGAGAAACCGCCGATAGAATCAAAAGCAACCAACACAATCAGTTATTTGGATGACGGTGAATGCATGGGTGGACCACGCAACACTACCGTATTGCTCAATGGCACAAACACGACAATTCACGAATGTTTGGAAGAATAGCTTGTTGTTTCGTGGATCTTTTCTTCAACACTATCACTGTCACTCAAAAGATTGGGGCGTCGCACTGCCTATTGCGGCAGCGTTCCAGCTACCATTATTTATAAATGCTACTAGATCGACTTTTACCGTTGGATTATCTGGTGTGATATTCATCTAGGTGCCTCAACAGACATTAAAAGAATAAGCGAAAGAGGGGAAACCTGAGCTCTTGGGCTTGAGAAGCAACCTGACGCCTTGAATCGTTCAAAACAAAGGAGACATCCCAACGAAGCCTATTAGGCAGAACCAATCATGATAGTCTTGAACCGTTCAAAACCTATTCGACCTTCACCGTCCGTGTCCACCTCCATGATGATGCAATCCAAGTCGTCGTCATCCAGCGCTGACCCAGGGGCCAAATGCTTCCTTAGACTCTCCTTGGAAATACCTTTGCCGTCCATCTGGAGTATCATAAATGCGGCTTCAAGGCGACTCTCCTTGAGCAAAAATGCATTCTCAATCATGGAAGCAACCACAAACTGGGAATAGCTGATCCCGGAAGAGTCTCCAATGCGATGGATCAGATCGGTCAATTCCTCGTCACTTGGCACGTCGCCGTTGAAAAAGTCCTTGTATCCGGCCTTGATCTCTTCAAACGACAATCTTCCATCGTGATCAAGATCCATTGCCTGGAATATACGGTCCGTTTCTTCCTTCTCTTCCTTTTCCAACAGCTGAGAAACAGCAAAGGTGCAGAACAAATCCTTCAGCTTGGAAGTGGCTGTAAACGATCGCATGTTCTCCAAGGCACTGGCAACCGAGGCAGAGCTTCGCCGACGAAAGTTGTCAGAGGTCGCTTTGATGGCTTTGGCAATCCAAGGGTGGCGGAGCGCCTGTTCGGCAGAAGGGCGGGAATCTTCATTGTACGTCAGGAGATACCGCACAAAATTCTTGGCTTCTTCCGAGATGTGATCCCACTCCAAATCATCAAAGGAGAGATTTCCTTGCAATATTTGCCGGCGCACATCCGAGTCCTCTTCGGACTCAAAGGGAGCAAAACCAGCAAGGAGAACATGGGCAATGATACCACACTGCCAAATGTCATACTTGGGACCATAGGACTGACGAATAACCTCGGGAGCCAAGTAGTGGATCTTGCCACAGACCTCACTAAACCTTTCACCCACCTGAAAACGCTTGGCCAGGCCAAAGTCAATGATTTTCACCCCATCAAAGTCTTGATTCGACTCAAACAAAACATTGTCCAAGCTCAAATCTCTGTGAGTAATGTTTTGCTCGTGCAAGTACTTGACTGTGGATAAAAGCTGTTGCATGACCATTGCAGCATCCTTCTCGGAGAGAGGACCATAGCTTGCAACTTCTTCGTAGAGTTCTCCACCACGACAAATGTCCATGCAAAGACAAAACTCTGTCTCGGACTCGAAACATTTGTATACTCTGTTGATAGCAGGATGGTCAAGTTCTCGCTGGATCTCCACTTCGTTTTGAATGAGCTTGTAGTCTGACTCCGACAAGGAAGTCTTGTCAAAGACCTTCAAGGCGCGTTCTGCACCCGAGAGCCGATCGATACCCACAAAGACCTCCCCGTATGCCCCTGCTCCGAGTCTCTCGCACACTTGGATGGACTCTACAGAGCCTGCTTCAACTCGTTCGTGGACCACAAAGTCCTTGGCACGGAGATTGAGCCCCTGAAGACACTTTCTATCCATCTTTTTCTTGTTCTGCCCTTCGCTGTAGGATGAGTGAAGCACTGAAATTTCATTACCTGTCGAGAACAAACCCGGAGAGTAGTGGTCTTTTCCTTTCATTTCTGTACAGGTAAGGCACTCTTCCTCCCCTACGCGTTGATCCAACACCCACCCTCCGTTCTTCTCGTCCAACGCCGCCAATGCAAGCCCAGAGATGAGATTTCTTTTGCTTGGTTTTCGCTTGAGTAAACCACCCGACAAATTCCGATCTACACCTCGACAAGGATGGCCACAGCGCATGGATGGACGGATCGACCTTTCAAATGCAGCTCGTCGAAGCTCGAACAGAGACATTGTCGTGTTTGCTTCTTGCTTGCCCATGTTTGCGTTGTCTATACTATCAGACACAGCCAAGTGCACGTACAACGTATTATTGAACTAAATTGCAGAGCTTTCCGAATGGTTCTCTTGTATTTTGTAGCTGAAAGTCAATGGCTTTGGTATGCTCAAGTGTTATAGCGCTAGCTTGCTATACTCTGGAGTATACGCCTCAAAGCTACTCAGAAACTAATCTAATCATTGTACTGAGTGCTCTCCACTCACACATCGATCGTAATGATTCGATTCAATCTTCATCCACGGTATGTCAAGTGTACTGTATGTGCCGGTACCGGTACCGGTACAGCTTGCCGGTTTCTGTGGGTGGAGCAACATCGCGAAGAATGCTGTAATCCGAAAGTAAACTGAGTTTTAACTGTCGGAAACTGCACATTTATACTGTTGTTCCCTTAAAATGGTCACAGTCACGTGTCACTGCTCCACAGATCATAAGACTTGAAGACTTGCACAAAAGCACACAAACACAAAAACAAACTCACACTCTGCCTCCGACCTCCGACACCTCACAGAGCTCGCACAGCTCACTCTCCACTCACACATTACCAGCGATCAAGCAGTTTTGCAGCGTGGCTCTCTTTTGAAGTAGAACTCCTGTAGTTTTGGTGCGATGGTTCGATTACCCCATCGATCTTTGATGAAGCGACGTCCGTTACCAGTATCTAACATACAGTAAAAAGTTAAGAGCTTATTGAAGGTCTGGACGCTGGTCACAGCCATTCCTCGCCCCCATAAAGGCTGGAAGAAGGAAGAAACGGAGCTTTACTAACGGATGATCAGAAACCTGATGATGGAACTTCGCCGACCTGTTCCGTTGGTTCATGTAGGACGTTTGCTAGACTAGTATTCTGGCCAGAGCTCTTATACCAGTACCTACGAGAGACTGGTACCCAGGTAGTGCTTTCAGGATGGTTATGGTTGTGGCATTATGTTACACTTTCGTTCTCCTTTCCACTTAAGCCTTTTTCTAACCAACCTCATCACCCCACCCCAGCCCCCACAGAGGCAAGCCATGCAATTGAGGTAGAACATCGAGTTTTCCCTTCTCCATTGGACAGCTCACAAGAGAAAACCACACACATAGCAGAAGAACCCATCATCTTCCCAAGTTCGCTTGATCGGTGGATTGGCTGATGGATTACAAGCCAGCTCCACGACCAGAGCTTACAACCCGAAGGTCTCTTCCCACCCTCACCCTTCTGCAGATGCCAGGCTTCCGCATATGCCAGATTGGCTGGTGCTGTTCCAAGCACCTCAACTTTCAACTTTGGAAGCTTGCAATACCCTGAATCATACAAACCACAGACTCCAACCACATGAGAGTGTTAACAAATGGCAGAGAAAGCCATGGTTCAATATCCGAGTTTCGCAATGACCAGTGAATGGCAGGCAGCAAATGTAAAGATGCTCGAACAAGCTGCAATCTCAGGTACTTCATTGTTGCTGGACGGGGTGGTTTCGCAGACAGCAACTCTTGAGAGTCATTCTTCTTTTGCTCTGCGTACTTCCTCGCCTTTTGAGTTTCTTCATAGTACTGCAGTCCATTCTGAAGGATTTCAACAAAGACATAGGCCAACCAGCATCGACAGGACCACATAGAGAGAGCCTCAGCCAACCGAAAGGGAACTTCAGAGGTCGGAAAAATAAGTTTGGGGCTGTACCAAAGGAGATAGGCAGCATGCTCAAGAGGGTAGTAGCCAACCATTGTCCAGGCTAAGAGTTTCCCCAAGAATTGTTGAAGCTTAGGATACTCGGCAGACGAGAAAGACCATGAGACACTTCGAGCTGCCTCCAGAGCCGGTGGCAGACCAAGGAAACGCAAGATGTATCTGGCTGATTCCAGTTCCTTGACTAATCTATCACAATCCTCTTGCCTTTCTCTTTCTCGCAACAAGAAGAAAGAAATCATCCAAAGACAATACTGCAAACACTTGAGCATCTTCTCTTGATTTGCCCCTGACCACATGAATCCATTGTACCCCTGCAAGAATCTGTCCAAGGAAGGTTCCTTTGTTGATGGAGACTCCTTGACCATGACCTGTGTCTTGGCATCCTCTTTCTCTTGGTTGGCGTGCTTTCCAACATCCTGTTTCTGTTTGGTGCTGGATGTCAAGGCAAGTCGTTTCCCAATTTGATTGGGACTGGTCTTGACATCTGGACTTCGATTTTGCAATACAGCTACTCGCTGCTTGCCCCAGACCTCAACCGTCGTCGCCGTGTGGATCAATTGAGTGCACGTTACTGTCATGGTTTCGAATGAATACTGGTTGGTCTAAAACTTTCTTCCTGGTGTGGCTCTGTTTCAGTGTTGCTCAATGGTAGTTAGCTGATTCTTTTCGGCGGTCACAGTCTTCTCTTGCATGAAATAAATACTTTGAGAATTCAATCTACCCCACCAAGAATCGAACAGATATTCATTGTTGGCGGCGGTGGCCAAGTGATTACAGCTCTGGTGTCAAACTCCCTTGAATGGGATGATGGGAGCAACCAACAGCATCCGATTGCTCTGGTACTCACTACATGTATCTCCCAAGGTAGAACCAGCGGTCTCGTCAAAACCTCGCTTGCTATCCGCAGCCACTGTGGTTGGGGTGACCAAGCGGGGTTAACTGCATGCGGGGTTGATGAGAATTCCTTGTTATCAACCAGCGTCAAATTCCTTGCATTCTGGAATTTATTTTTTATGGTAAAAGGAAACATTTTACAAATTTACTACGGATTCGGGTTGAACTTGCTCGGAAGCGGATTTCCCAACCTCGGAAGGAGATTTTCCTTCCCCGTACAAAGGTTGTGTAGGTTTCTACGTGAGGATTAATCGGCGCGCCAGTCGATCTTTGAGTTTGTCTCAAGAAACGGTCGGAGTCGAATCCGACGGCAATGTCCTGTTGCGGATTTTGTTTTTTGGTGTGTCAATCAATCAATCAATGGTCGGTCCTCGTTTTAGGGTTACAGGCTAACCATACCGTACCGTCCAACGGTTTTCACTCAGGCTCTAAAACAAAAATTGAAATTTCCACGCCTGAGCACCATTTGAAACACGCCCTTAAACATGCCCTTAAATAAACATGCCCTTAAAACATGCCCTTTCTATGAGAACCAGTCGTGGTCGTTTTAAAGTCTGAGTGAAAACCGTCGGACAGTCCTGTACTCATCATACAGTAAAAGGTAGATTATACCATTACGCGGTGCCGGCCAGATGTAACCCAACTCCACTCCTCATACCGACCCGACTCCTCCGCTGGCTAAGAGGGTTGCTTGGTAGCTCTAGCAGTAATGCTAACGGCATAGCTGAGGCTCTCAGCAGGAGGAGCATTTGGGATGAAACTGGGCATTGAGCTGGGGAAGGAGCTGCCCAGGAGAAATGCTATAGAGATGTCACTGACTGGGAAGCTGAGGCTAGCTAGCTGGGCTCAGGCCAGCATGGGAGGTACAACCAGGACCGGGGCTGGAACTAGTAAGGCGGGCGGAGGAGCTAGGAAAACTGCAAGGGAGCCATGTCAGTAGCTGGGAGGGTTGTGCAATCCACTGTCATGCCTTTTTGCTATTTCTGTTTCCGTAGTTGGCGCCACCGGAGGCATCTTGTTCCTTGTTATCAACCAGCGTCAAATTCCTTGCATTCTGGAAATTATTTTTATCATAAAACGAAACATTTTACAAATTTATGTCATAAAATCAATGGTGTACGTATACACTCCCTTTTCCTGCATTTTCAGTTTCAAAAAAATGCTGAATTTTTGTTCGATGGGTTCAATCCGCCATGGTATCATTTTAAACACGGCAACAGTCCGGCCATGGGGTATATCTTTGACGGCAACATGTCCGGCCACATGCTACTTTTCTACTAGCTAGCTAGGAATGCTATGACATGAAGTTCAAATCCATTTGAGCTCGACGCGTTACCAGCTACTGAAAACGGTCACCATTGTCACAAATTGCAATAGCATGGTTACAGGGGAGTGACTGCCTCAGTTTCCTATGCCGCCGGAGTCGTCAATCCGTCTTCTGGACCATAGCAGCTATGACTTCTTCCCACCATACGCCGTTTCTTTGCCTGCGGAGACAAGCTTCCACCTTTGGACGGCATGGTAAAACGGCGCATAACTCGTCTACGCCTGCGGGTTGGGAGGACTCTCGAATAAGAGCCCTCGGCACCGTCACCTGCAACCTCCAGCGGGTGTTCATACTCGTCGTCGCGATCCTCAATTTCCTCGCCCACGTCACCAGAGCTGTCCTCGAGAGGCTGGGAGAATGCCACGAGGTTTGCTTCTTGAGTAGCAGCATCAATTCGTTCCACAAAGTTTCCGCCACCGTTGGTTCCCGACGAGGCTGGGTTGCCCGAAGAGGGCATTTCCGATGCCATGGGAAGAGTTGATCGACGCGATGTACGTCGAAAGGACCTTCCCCGGCCCAGGCTTATTGGTGGCGGCATTCCATGGGCTGGCATGATAGTTGATTCTTCCGCCTGGGCGACACAAGCGGCTGCTGCTGCAGCAGCAAGACTGCTAGAGTGCAGGCTGGTGCCCCATATCATGCATTCATCAATGCTTCGTCTTGGCCTTAGTGGTGGATGAGATGATTTGACGGCACCTGCCAAGTGTTCGGGGGTGGCGCACGAAGCAGAGTTGTCGAATCGATCGTACACAGGTGGTCTTGTCGTTCCACTGCTGACTCGAGCTACAAGCGGAGGCGGTGGCTGCCGTTCCTCTGTAGTCCTCAATAACGCTTCAGCTGTATGGAAATCCAATCCAATCGTAGCAACCTTGCTGTCGCTCGAATCTCCATTCAAGAGACGGGCGAACAAATCGGGGTCGTACTCTTTCAAGGAGGCTTGTATAGAAACTTCTGTTTCGTCTTCGTCCTCTTCGACAACAAGGACTTCGACCCCGTCGTCTTCTTCCGAGGAGGCTGCAAGAGGTGACCCCTCTTTCTCGGCTCTTGCTTTGGCCTCCTTGTCGGAACAATCCGTTTGCTCTGCCTCCTCCATGTCCATACCGCTCGCTGCACTGGCCTGCTTTTGGAGCCGATCCTTACGTCCAGTGGCAACCATTTCTTGCACACGAGCCACCGATTGGTCACTGACACGAGGTACAGTGGGAGGTGATGACGGTGCATCCTCGACGTTGAGGGGCGGGTGAATTGGCATCATGGGAAGATGGCCGACCGTCTGGACTATTCGATCACACGTAGCATCATCAAAGGTCCGTAGAGGCTTGGCAGGTGGCTTGGGGGAAACGGTGTGGGCGCAATTGCTGTCTCCTCGCAAGCTCTGACACTTGTTTTGGGGACAGGCACGATTGCCGCTATTGCTACTACTGGTAGCAGCCGAAGTTCGACCACCTCCATCATGACCGGTATCCGTCCTGCTGGGTCGCATTGCCTCGGAAGAATCAATTGTGTTGTAGCGCGTCAACGCAGGGCCCGGCTTCTTCTCGCTGGCATGCATTAGATAGAAATCAGCATCACTTCGTCTCCGTGGTTTTTTGGGCGGGATGCAACTTTTTGCATGGTCACTACTCTCTGATCTGTGAAGATGAGTCATGCTAGGCGCTGCCAAAGGTAACCTCCCCCCTCCCAATTGCTGTCCGTGAAGCAGGCTAGCAAACAGATATGGATCAATCTCGGCATTGTTTCTCAAAGAAGAAGAAGCAGATGCTGCTGTTTCGTGATTTTTCGCGGCAACGTCGTTCTTTTGCTCCTTATTTTTGTGCTCTCCCGTGTTGCTTTTTCTGTCTTTTGTCTGATCATGGTCATCAGACGAAGAATCATCGTCATCATCATCATCCATCAGGTCCGTCTTGGAGTCATCGCGAGTCCGTGTGGGCCGTGTGGGTGGCAAGCTCATGCTTTGGCACCTTGCCACTTCTCTGGCAGATACGTCCGCATCGTTGCATCTTGATCCGCCAGCTCGTGCGGCGGCCTGCGCCGAAGTTTCATTTGCAGTAGTTGGAAAGAGTCCTCCTGCTCCTCCTATTCTTGGCAAGGTGGCACTGAAAGTCCGTTGATTTTGAATGCTAAATGGCGTCAAAGCGGACGCCGATGACAGTGGAGTGGCCATCATACTGGCGGTCGCTTGCGGCAGAGAAGGTAGAAAGGCATCACCGGCACTTCGATTGGGCCGAATAGGAGCATGAGAAGTCGCAGCTGTGCGGTCAATGCGTTCCAACCATCGATGATGACAAGCCGTGTCTCCCAGCAATCGATGATTATTATGACGACGGCGACGGCTACGACTTCTCACGCTTTCCTCGGATGTCACGGTGCACCGAGACTCGCTGCAGTCGTCCTTGCGCTTCCGCCGACTGCTGCTGTGGTGAGTCTGCGTCGTCTCGCCCATGGACGAGGCATCATCCAAGGCACCCGTCGTAGTCGCCGTTGTAGTGGACATGGCTGCTAGGGACATGATGGTGCTCGCGTCGTCATTATTTTGCTGTTGCCGGCGAGCTTCACGGTTGCTGCTGCTACTGGTATTGCCGCCTACTGCCTCTGCGGTCGCCATGGTTCGGAACCAACCAAAAACCAACAACAAAACTATGACCGCTCTTGGCGTGGTCAACTGAAACACTCTCTCTACTAGCTTGCTAGCTTCCGTATCTTTATGCCTGGCTCTCTTTCAATTCAATGAGGCTGGTTTCCGAGCGTCTGTAGACAGGTTACAAAGGTAGGTAGGCAGAAGAGAGATGCTACAGCAAGCAAGGAAGTATACGAATACAAGTCCGCGGTATTCGTTGGTGAGAGAGGAAGTTGATGGAGAGAGCTTGGAGGGTCCTTCGCTTCCGCGCACAACTTCTGAAGCCTGAACGAAGTGAGTGGCTTGCTGTGAGGCAAAATGACTCTTTCCAATGGGTCATTAGAGGAAAGCGACCTATAAAAATCAATGGTCGCTACTGGTGACTGCCGTATGAATACCAGTGGATTGGACACTGTGGACCGATCAATTTGCGACATTTCGCCAATGACTTTTAACCATGAGTCCCGGAGGTAACTGGAACATTGGCGAATAAAAAGGCTTTGTTTTGTGAGAAAATTTTAAAAAGTAAATCGTATGGTTTTGGCAAATGTACAGCTACGTATGAATCACTCTCTTGAAATAATAATAGACTTTTACCTTTTCAGTACCAACTTTTGTCTATTTCCCTTGTCATCGTTCAGAGAACGGGATGCAGGTGGCAGCTGGTGCCAATGTTCGCTTTTGGTTGTTCCAAACCGGTGGAAGAAATTGTGTCAGGATCCCACCAAAAGAGCCAGTTCCATCGTCCATCGTACATGTAGCCAAGTACTTGTGTGGCCAGGAACTAACTACAAGCGCGAAGTCAAGTGCTTGGTAAATATCCGAACATAGTTTTCGATAGTGTTTGAGCTTCTTATTGAGGGGAGCAGAGCTCAAATCCTAATTGCCCACTACTGGCCAGGCCCAATATTTCGCATGGCCCGAAATCTGTTTGAAGGGCTGTTTGTCCTGTATCAGTGGCATCCTCACACCTCACTCTCTTCAACTTCTTTTCTTTGCGTTGAGTGTTGAGTGAGGTGTTATCGGTAGGTGTGAGGTGTGAGGTGACGAGGTGACATTACTTTTCCCAGCATTCCAAATGTGTAGCAGCTGCCCATCTACTAGCTACAGGTAGCTAGCCAGCTTGTGCCCTCGGTGGATTTGCATTGTCGGTCTCAGCGAAAGCTGCAGTGTATTCCCAGTGAAACAGGCCTGCTTCTAATCAGGTGAGTTCTGGCTCTGAATGGCTCGGTGGCTGACTGGCCTCTCCTTTCTACTGGCTGCATCATCAAAGCTATCAGGAACCTACCGGTATCGGGCTCTACCTGTATCTGGCTACATGTAGTAGAAGCTGGCTACTAATAGGAGCTCCACATGTAGCTAGCTGGAGCATGGTAATCGCCATTCAATGTCAATTCCGGCGAGCTTTGAGCTTCGCGTTGCGTCAATGTGAGTCAGCAGCTGTCAGCCTATGGTTTTCCTTGTTGGTAATGCCAGCGCGTTCCCTGGACATCCAAATTCCCATCCAACTTGAACTTTGGCGTTCGTTCAAAAAGAAACCAGGGAAGAAGGGAAAACAGAGAGGAAAGGGGCTCCCAAATCCAAAATGTGAGAAATTTTCTTTTTTTCGGAGAAAACGGAGGGAGTTTTAGGCCTCATGCACCCTCACCGTAGTACTGTACGGTATCACGAGGAGGTACCGGTACCAGCTACGTACCTTTACACTTTACAGTTCCTGCACGGCATGTATGGTAGCATTTGGTCAGCTATTTGGTCAGAGTTTACATGTATGCATAGGAGCTAGCTAGCTAGAGTCATGATCGAGCCAGGATCCACTCTTGAATATGACGGCAAACAAGCTGCGTTACCTCGGGGAGGTCCTGGAAGAGTTGGTGGTAGGCACCCGGCACGATTTCGATATCCTTGTCTGTCGACTTTGCGACTTTGGCAAGACGTTTGATTGCGTCCACGTCCACGCGGCCTTCATTTTCACCCACAAAAATCTTGAACGGGACCCCAATTGTCTCTAAGGAATCGTTCAACTTTTTTAAGCTGTTGAGGACAGATATGATCATGCCGAGTTTGGGAGGAATAGAAGCGGCTTCGATTACAAACGGGTCATGACGTCCTGAGGTTATGGGGAAATGCACACTTGGTTAGAATTTGCTACACGGGGCAAGCTGCTTCTTTCTGATGACCCCTTACCTGTTTGTGCCCAAGCTTTGTCCCCAAAGGCGAGGTCGAAGGTACTGAAAAAGTCTGTACCTGGCATGGTCAACATTGGGAAGAACTTGGCGATGAAAGACATCACGGCAATGACTGGTTTTGGAGGCAACATTTCCGCTTTTGGTGCAGGAAAAGAAGACAACCGGTTATGGATTGGTAGCATGTGAGAGTAGCAAATGTCTGATTGGACACTGGTGCCGATGTTCCAGCCAGCTGTGTTCAAGTCAACCCTACAGTACTTCCGCTCCAGATGACTTACGCAACAACTGCACAACGGGGCCACTAAACACGTAGCCATCAGCTAGACTTCCTTTGCTCTGTTCTTGTTCCTTCATTATCTGGGCCAACAGTATCTTGCATCCAAAGCTTTCTCCAACCGCGAAAACTTTCTTGGTCGGATACTGTGATCGAACGTCGTTCAAAACCTTCGTGAAGTCATTGGTGAGTGTATCCATGGAGTCAAAATAGTTTCGAAGAGTATTCCCGTTCTTATCCTTCAGCCCATCGCTGTAACCACTGGGAGACGCAGCAAAAAGCGAGATGTGAGCGGCACGTTGCCATCATGATCCCGGTGTGGTGGGCAAGACATCATTTCCTGAACTCACCTGCCAGCAACGTCATATGAAATCACAGCAATCCCGGCCTCTTGAAAAGATTTACCCATGATATCCGAGTACCCCGAGTGAAAACCAGCGCCTGTTGTCATAGTTGAAAAGTAGATCCAGAAACATCATGACAGAGCAACGAAAGCCGAGAAAGAAAGAAAAAGTCAATTAATGTGATCCATTTGAGTTTCAAACAATGAGTCATGGTATACTATCATCATCCCAGGAGATAACAAGAGGCAGCGACTAACCAACCCAATTAACCTACCGTACGTACCTCCGTGGGCGAAAAGGACTACACTTTTGACATCATCAGGCGTCCAACGACGAACCGCCAGTTTGACGCCAGGAACTGTTGATTCCGTGTATTCCTCTGGCTTGCCCAGAATATTGTAGACTCGGCAGGTGCCTTCCGCTGGGCTACAGTCGCCGTCATCGGCAGCGGCACTGCCGATTGTCGACAGCACGAGCGATGTCAATAGGACCTGCAACAAGGGGAATAGGACTTTCATGGTATATCGAAACGTCGAAACAGAAAAATGAGATTAATGGATCCGGTGTCAACTTCAATTGGCTTGTTGATGCTTGATGAGGTGGCGAAACTGTACTGCTAGTAGTTTAAAGAGGGTTTCGTAACTTACACCTACATGTACTGTACTACTAGAGCTAGAGGGCTCCGGTAGGTCCTACTACAAAAATGTTGGCTCACAACTCACTTTGAAGAAAGAGGTGTAAACGGTACTCACAAGACTTAACACATACTAGTAGGGGAATGAGAACCCTGGAAAGGAAGCAATCGAACCAAAAATGGACTCTTTGGTTTTAAAAGATACTAGTAGAGACTGGTGGTTAACATGAAAACAAGTTTAAGAATAATATGTTGAGTTATTTAAAAAGTGGTGTTGTGTTGAGCCAGATTAGCAGGAGTTAACAGAAGCTGTCAAACAGTTTACATTGATGAGTACTGTTTCACTATAGTGTAAATTTTTGATGGCTCACAACCGAACTAAAACTAACTATGACATAGTACTAGTCTAGTAATAGCATTTGGATTTGTCCTTTGTGATGAATGTTGACCGGGTCAGATCGTGGAAGTCGTGGATTGGGCCGGTGAGCGTCTCAAGAGGTTGCGACCGTGGAGCATTATTGGGAGAAACAACGCCAATTGCAAACACAATCAAACCCGCAACAACACTCTCCCCACACAAACACACCAAAGCTTTGAGCCTCTCGCCCTATCCTATTGCGCTCCAACATGACAAAGGTAAAGCTCTACTATCAAAACATCCATGGAGATGATCATGTGATGATAACTGTCGATATTGAAACTGTTTCAACTGTTGGGGACTTGAAAGGATTAGTCGTGGAGCAGCTAAAAGACAGTTGGAGCCAGCAGAATCCACCATTTCAGCTCAAGAAAAAGCATATTCAGATCCATCACGTCATAGGAGGTGAGCTCAAAGCCATTAAGGATAACGCAACGCAGTGCAATGACGAGTGGGTCTACCTTGCTTTGGAAGTTTTTGTCAACGAGATAGATGCCTTTGATGTTGCGGACCGTGGGGTTTGATCAGCTAAATCCAGTCGTATTGACGCACCCAGATGTCGATCGGGACTATACCAAGTGCGCTCCAATCTATTGTGCAGCAATGTCGGCGGACGAGAGTAAACCCCCGGCACTTTCGCTGTAAACCCTGGATAATCCTATCATACAGAAAATCTGGCAGGAAGACACCGAGGAGAAAAAGCTCGACGACGCGATGGTCGACAAAGAAGGCGACGTCAAGGCGGCCAACGAAACTCTCGTCCATACAGTTGCTCTTGTAAAAGTGAACGGTGCTTCTCTATTTTGCAAAGATAAATGCATGCCCATTGCAACTCCAGTCGACCCTTGCGGTCCCATCCAAGTAACCGAACTGCTCGGCAAAACAAAGATGTCATTGGAACAGTATCAAACACTACTTCAGGAAAAGGGAAAGCGGCACCCACTTTTGAAATATCTACGAACCAACCTTTCTCGTGGAAAGGATTGGAATCGACCACTAGACTCTAGTTTGGAACCAAGTCCCGCGGCAGAGCGTTTTGTAAATTGCACAAGAAGAGAGAAGAACTGGGCGAAGCAGAAGGGAGAACCCATAACAGTCAACAAACGAGCGTCATACTTTCGCTTCAAAGTTTCTTCGGTAGGCCTCGATGAGCTTGGTGTGGAAGTTTTATACGACAATATTGAGCAACACCATTGCACGTTGGTGACAACGTAGGAACAGGAGGAGTGTGCTAAATGGAAAATCAACGGCGTCGACAAAGTAATCACGCCAGTGGGATTCCTTAAATGGGGAGAAAACATCTTGGAAAAGGAGGATCTCGATTCAATGCTACGAATTTTCTACAATCCGGATGAGGGGACGGAACCACAGTTTTTCACCGGCACAGTGGGCAACAAATATGGTAGCTTTTATCTATTCCCAAAGGCGGTGGCACAATTCCAACTCCATGACATCAAAATGGAAGCTTCAGCTGAGCCAAAGGCTCCTGAAGGAGACTTTGACGAGTCTGTGAAGACATTGTACGAAGCTGCTCTGATCCTATTCTACGCAAGTGATGACGAAGGCGTCCAAAAAGCTATAGTATAGCTTGCAGATGCAGGATACAAGGTGGACGCTTTGTCATTCTCCTGGCGTCAGAGCCTCCTAACAGAGATGGAGCATGTCTATCATATGTACGGCGACTCTGAAATTGCCGAAATGATGGGCGATACCGGTATGTGCAGAATTTCGTTATAGGTCCTTTGTTCCATAATTGCAGCTCTAAGTCCGTCCTTTTCTATTTCCAGGCGAAGAGGTACGTAGAAGACGAAGTTAGACGTCGAGGAATATTCCGAAACTCTTCTGGAGGCCATCGAGATAACCCCAAAGAAATAAGAGTTGCTGAGGAAATACTTAAGGGAAAGTGGCGGGAGGCCGAAATTTCCAAGGAGTAGTGGACCCTCCATGGTGGCAATGCCGAGAGAGGGAATGGCGAAAGCCGCCAAGGGAAGAGTGATCAACCATCGAGGGGATCAACCATCGAGGGGATCAACAAGATGTGTCAGCAACGGCCACGAGGACCAGATGGACAGGAGGGAGGAGGAAGGAAGGGACCCAGAGGGCCCGAGAAGAAAGGCAAAGGAAGAAAAGGAGTAGGAACGGATCTGGAGCAATGACAATGCAAACCAGCCGAAAAGGAAAGGGGAGTCCAGGGTGAAGACAAATGTCAAACGGGACCGGAAGAAAGGAGATAACTAGGAATTAAAGGATATGTTAAAGGGAAGAAAAAAGTTCAGATAGACAGCCATAGGGCTGCAGTTGACCATTGCCATGGCCAACATCTCCAACATCTCCATTGACAGATCCATCAGGCGACAAGCGTGAGAGCACTACTTATTGGCAGCCTGGTTGGTCTGTCATCTGCCACTTTGTACTGGTTGAGCGGTGGTGACATCAGACTCCAGACCAACCAGTCAGTGGGACTCATCCCCACTGCATTGGCTGGCTTATAGTCTCCTCTACAAACAACAAATTATGTCTCCTGCCTGGAGACGACTTGCATGAGGGGTAATGGTACTGATGGGGGTGGAGGTTTGAATTATACCCCGCTCGCATTACTTAGAGGCCTTTGTAGAAGTCTACGTATTCGACTAGTCCTGTATTGACGGGATACAGTCAACGCATGTACATGCACATAAAACTCGCCTCCCTTTTTCCCACAAGTTTCGCATGAATGAGGGAGCCGTTTCGGGCCCAAGGCGAAGCAGAAAGAAAGGGATGAGCGTGTGGAGCGCGCAGAGCACGCGAATACTGTTTCAATAAACCTCAACCTTAGATTTACAGAAATGGAGACGACCCAGGGGGCATATTAATTCGGCTTTTTTCAGCGTTCGTCTCCTGTTTCCTCAGTTTGCTGGCTACTTGGATCCATATGATGAATACATGCAATCCAGCCATTGTAGCCAGCTATGGTACCATACGTAGGCAGAGAGTTACATTGATCCGTGACAGTGGCAACAGTACCGAACACACTCAGGTTCCGCTTTACTGGCTACACTCCGTTGCCGGTACCTTGCATTGGATCCTTATGACGAATACATGCACAACCGAACATTGTCAATCCAGCCATCGTAGCCAGCTATCGTACATCTGAGAAGCGCACCTGAAGGTAAGAATGAATTTACAACGTACCTTATCAAACCGAAGGGTAAGGTTGACCCTAGGATACAGATCAGTAACCACCCTTATGGATCTATAGGATAAGCTTGTTGATTGCCATCCAAGGGCGAAACAAACATGGCCCTAGCTCTGCTATCGATCTATAAGGTGTCTATCTAATGAAAGGATGGTCTATTGGTTGGTAATCGGCGTTCTATTATCTTACTGGTCTAGTTACATCTATCGTACGAAAGAGGACAAGTCGCTGGTCGCGTCGCTCGAGGACTTGTGCATGCAGGAAAATGGGTGCCGACACAGGAATCACCACCAAATCACTAGGAAATAACACTGGAGGTGTGAATCCTGTAGGAGGATCCACTCTCTTGTGTGTTGTCGCATAGTAATGCAATACACGGCTCTTAGCCTTATTCGCGACTCGATCCTAGATAGGGTTTGAGTTTGACTCATGACTGAGTCTCTCGTGAATAGTCATTTGAGACAGGGTTCTCAATGACCGCTCTGGTCATACTAGGTTGATGATGAAACATCGCTCTAGATATTTAGCCAGCGTGGAGTACTTCCACGCTACTAGATCCATGCTAGACAAACCTTCCACGCGTTCCGTTTTAGGATCGTGGAGAGACGTAGGATTACTACCGCAACCTACTCTATCACACTTTATAGTCTCCCGCGGGAGGCCAGATCTACGATCCCTTGATGATGATCTCTCTCGTTGATTAGTTTTCATAGCTTTCTAATCTCTCTCATAACTTTCATTCTCTCAAACTCAAAACACTCGAAAGATCTTTACACTAGCTTTTAGCGTAGTGCAGTAGCCTCCTCCTCTTGTTGCCATTCAATGACTCGACGATGATCCGTCCATGCTGTTGGTAGGGCTGGAGTTAACAGACTCCTCCGTAGTGGTAGCCTCTCCTCTTCTTGTTCTCCGGAGCGATCGTTCGTTCGTTCGACCTTGACAATGTGATTTCTTCGTCCGTCGACAGTGCAGCAGAGAAAACAACAAATAGATATGAGTTTTGTTTTCTGTGCTCAACTGCAGACAACCAAAGACTTACTCTTGCTTTTCAAATTCCACCAACTTGGCTGTCATGGGCCGAGAACTCACTGCCATCCCATGGTCCATAGGATTCAATAGGGGGTGGCTTTCGAATCAACACCGGAGACAGACAGCTTGAGTGAGGATTGGTTAACAGAGATAAATAGAGGTGCAATGGATTGATTCAAATAATTAAAACAACTCACCTGTTGGTGGTCGAGCTCGGACTTCTCTCCTGAATACCATAGAAATCCAATGAGGGAAAGAAGTCAGCGCTATACCTTCAATTAACACTCTTGATAATAGGCTTACCTCGAATCGAATTGATCGAACGATCCTCCTACCGGTACCTCCTACCACCGATATATCACTGTTGTCGGCCAAGCTTGGATTTACCTCCTGTTTACCATAGGAATACAATGAGGGAGAGAAGTCAGTGCTGCACCTTCAATAAGACACTTGCTAACAGTTTATCTCGTACCTTACCAGTCGTTAAATCGTGCCAACACCATTCTTGTTGGCCAAGCTTGGATTTCTCTCCTGGTTGCCATAGAAATTCCATGAGGGAGAGAAGTCAGTGCTGCACCTTCAAGAATGAACTTGAGTGCGTCCTCCGTAAAATTAACCTGAGTAACTTCAACGGTTCTTTTATTCCATGAATCAATCTAAATCTTTCGAAAGTGAACTTGTTACTTAACGATACACATGACCGTTGATTCTGCAACTGAAGTGCCGCTACTCTATTTTACATAGTAAACGCCGGCAAATCGATTCCAGAGTGCAACTGAGGGGGTAACCAAAAGGAGCGTCGTCTCAGGAGACGTAATCTAGTGTCCGCACAAGGGGTAAAAATTTTGAGTCATGACTTGAGTTTTGAGATTTGACTCAAGAGAAGGCTCAAGAGAACTCACTCGTGTCCACACCCACAACATGACTCGACTCGTCCTGGGCACAGAGCGAGGAGGACATTCGAGTCCTCATTCCATCTAAAAATTACTCGAAATAGGCTGAATGGCAACATTTATAAAACGAAAATTTGAATTTGCCTTGATTTGAACATTCCTCTTGGCAAAAAGGTGGTGACTCAAGAGAAGCCGTTGAGAGCAAAATCTTGAGTCATGACTTGAAGCTCACTTGAGCCGTCTCTTGAGTCAAATCTCAAAACTCAAGTTGTCACTCAAGATTTTCCATCAAGAGGACCCTTGTGCGGACATACGAATAAACAAAATAAAAATCACGAGCTCTGCACTCCACGAGGAGAGACCACTGCAATATGTAACTTGAACACAAACTACCGCGGCACCATGATCGAACCAGCGAAGCGAGGGAAAAGAGGAGGGCCGACAAGCTTCTCCAGCCAAGAAAGCAAAAACTGATGAGGGAATGGATCAGAAAAATGCTGGCCGATCCGAAAGCCTTCTTAGATCAATATGCACAAACGCAAGAAGAGAACAAAAGTCTACGTGCAATTCTAGAGGGAAAAGGCTTGGGGTCTTTGATGGAGGCTCAGGAAGGTTCCTTTGATTTGGCTCAGAAATACAATCCAACCAGTCACACCAACGACTCTAGCCATTCAGCGGCGGACATTTCGCCAGTCGACTCCTTCTCCTTCTCCTTTGCTCTAAGGAGCCCCAAATGTTTCGGAATTGAAGAAAAAATTCCCTACGGCGTACGATGATTTCACATCACTGCTCATTCAGGGGTTTTCTCACTTTGACCATAACTCACAGAAGAGGGTGAGGGCAAAACAAGAATACCAAAGCGAGGCCGACATCTGTTCGTTTGTCTCAATGGCCGTGAAGGATGCCATCGCCATTCTTGAACTCGAGAATGTTTTTACGCAGGAAGAGCTGAAAGTCAGTTTGGAGAGAAGTCTTTTCGGATGCCGTCCTGACATCATGGTGGTGCGTGGAAAGCGTGGAAACGACACTGTTGGATTGCTGGCTATCGAGATGAAACAGCCTGTCCCTAAAGAACCTCTGAGAGACTACCCGACAGTCGTAGGACATGCCTTTGATCACGCGATGGCAATGAAGGCCTTCCATGTGGGGACCGACCTTGTCTTGGTCTCTTCTTTCAAGGAGTCCTTCCTCTGCTCCTTGAAAAAGTCAGACTTGATGACAACAGCACCAAGAGACCAAGAAATGAAAGAGGGAGCGAACCAAGAAATGAAAGAGAAAGCGACAACCACGCCAACGTCGCAAGGACAGGTCCTGCCATCACAGTCGCCCCCTAATATGAAATCTCCGCCAAAAGCAAAGTCTTTTTCACATGATGCTTCTCTCCTCTTCCTGGCTCCTCGCCGTCTAAAGGTACTCCGTCGTTCGACAGTACTCCGTCGCTCTCACCAATCGAAAGTCTGGACGAAAGTCTTGGGAACACGTTCACAGAAGGAAAAACTCCTCGAAAGTTGCATGCAACAAACGATTACAAGGCTCATGAGCTCGTAAAGCTTGTCTATACCGCACTCAAAATTGCCAAGAAGGACTACAGAAAATACGAGAAGACCATCTATTGCCTCAAGGATCAGCACAAGTATTGCTTTCCTAGAGTGCTTCGAGTGACACAAGGGGAGAAAACGTGTGATTGGGGACGTTTAGAAGCAACAGTAGGTCAAGAAATTAAGGAAGGGACTCCACGAACCAAAAAGAGCAAACCAGGGAGGTATTACATTGTTGGAAGCCTGGGCCAAGGCACAACATTGAATGTTTTTCAGGCGCTGAATTGGAACGGACAGCTTGTCGCGCTGAAAGTGTACGTGAATAATGAGAAGGAAGGTGGACCAATGACGAAAGACGATTTCCTCAAACAGGCCGAGTCGGCAACGAAAACAGAGGTGGAAAACCTCAAGGATATCTACTCTCCGCTTCTCAATAGTCGAGTGCGTGCCATCCAGATCTTGGGCTTTTGGTGCGTTGTCACGCCTTTTTTCGAACCGATACCGCAGGCGGAGCGAACAACCGATCAAACCTTGGGTGGTATTCGAGAGGCTCTAGGCCGGTTCAAGAAGAAAGGAAAGAAGTACCAAGAATCCGACATTCGCTGGCACGATGTGGGGACTCTTATGGACAGCGCAGAAGGGGGGATACATTTTATATGATCTTGCTGATCTGGTTGACTCGGCTGATTCTAATTTCGTGAAAGCTCATTTTGATGTATTGAAAGAACGCGCCAACGTTGAGCCGGAGGCAGGCAATGTCAACGGCACACCGCTATTCAGTGCTCTCGAAGATGCCAACTGAACTGATTCCGAAGCAAACAAACATGAAATGCCAAGCCACCATTCGTGGGGGTTTTGTATCCCGGATTTCTCCTGCTGCTGTCCTAAAGGTGATCATTCCCGATAACCTGGTCTCATAATATCGGATAATTAAGGTGGTTTTTTAATATGTCTGAGAACATGTTTGAGGTGTATGTCGGAGGGAAGAGACGTAGGAGATTGAAGAAAAAACGGAACTTAATTAATAAGGTGGATAGGTATGTTCATAAGATTATCGGTGGGTCAGCACCTTGGGGTAAAGATTGATTCTTGGAATAAAGCTATAAATAGTTTTGTTAAAATTTACAACATGGACAGCTGTCTTAAAAAGTATCAGACGATGACTCTGTCTTGGCTGTCTTATAGAAAATAAGACCATCTTAAACATAAGACAGTCATTGTCTTAAGACAGTCATTGTCTTATACATAAGACGGCGTCTGAAACATTCAGGGGGATGAGGAGATTTTGTGGTTAGTAATTCATAATCTACTTCATCCTCCTAGTTTCAAAAAGACATCGTCTGAAGCATAAGACAATGACTTCTTCAAGACGGTCATCGTCTTAAGTTTAAGACGACCGTCCTTAGACAGAGTCATTGTCTTATATTTTAAGACAGCTGTCTGAGAGGGACTCAACTTCATAGAGTGATTCTCTTTTTTCCAAAAAGAGTTTTTCAATTATGACTGTTTTACCTGGAGGTGCAGGAGACTGTCTGCTTTTTGACGTTGTCAACCCAAAGCTGCTTTGCCTTCAACGCGTGCTGAGGTTTGACCCACTTTCTCAGAAGTTTGAAAAGAAACTTGTCATCAATCTCAGACCAATGTCTTCGCAGCTTGGCGGCACTGTCGACCCTAGCATCAGAGAGTGCAGAGACCAGCAACCCGGCCTTTGCGACGGGGGTCTTGCTGGTCATGATGGAAGGATCGTCGTTCAGGAAAGCTTTTAGCTGTTCCAGATCCTTGAAAACTTTCCCTTCCAAGAGGAACCTCGCAAAGTATCGAAAGGAATCTGCTGGCTGGTAGTGCACGGTGTTCTTGGCTTCAGGTGCCCTTAGCAGGTCGTACATTGGCAGCTTCATCGGGGTGATTTCCCACTTTTGGTTGCCAAATCTTGTTTCGACGGAGCACATGACTTGGTCACGGTCGGGATCATATGTTGGCCGAGGAGAAGGGAGTGGGCCGCCTGTCGTCAGCAGATTGCTACCCTTGGCTAGAGAACCCAGCCACGACGGGTCCACGGGTGTGACGTTTTTCATCGAAGCTATGGGTGTCCCGTCTTTCAAATTCTTCCGCACAAGGTAGTCGTAACAAACCCAATTGGGCAGTCGCCTCGAATCCCTTGAGTACAGCACACTGTTTCGGTCGATGAACAATGGCTCCTTCAAAGACGACGAACAGCTTAGATAAGCAGATCGAAGGCTGAAAGGGTGTGATCCAGGAATCGTCCCAATCGGAGCCAGCATTGCCACGTTGTCGAGGAATGAACTGACAATGACTTGCAGCAAGAGGCGTTCCTGGAGTTTGTTTGGGGGCTTCATCGAATGGGGTATCTTTCCTGTTTTGGCTGCCACACCATCTGCTCCTGCCATACGAGTCTTGACAAGCCTGGAAAGATGCACCCTGATCTTTTGGATTCTTTCCATGATGACAGGGTTCAATCTGTTCTCCTGGCAGAACCGTTTGCAAGCCACCTTCTCTGAGGTCCCTCCAGCTCCCTTGCCAGCATACGTATATGCCCCAATTGCCAGCATCACTGCATAAACATCCCCAGACTTATGCATCCATTTAGCCTTTCGTTTCTCCCCCTTCGCCGCGTCGGCGCCGTCATCATTGGATGAGTTTGCTTCATCATTGTCAACCTGATCTTTGGATTCTTCCACAAGTTCTTCTCCCCTCAGGAATGGGTTCTTTTCCGACAGCGCCGCTATCACAGCAATGGCATAGTCAAGGACACCAGCATGCGCAGCAACAAGGAGCATCTTACCGCATCGAACTCCAAGGGGCAATGTTGCGATTGCTGACCCGAGGTGGGTGACTTCTCCGTCGTCTTGCAAGTCCTTACCTTCTTCAAGATTGACGCATCCAAGATTCGAAAGCAACCTTGTTGCGGATTCAATCAGACTTTCCGCGGGAGGGGTTGGGAACGGGAATTTTGAGACATTCGAGATCTTCATTGCTTTCATAGCAAGCACAACGTCTTCGAGAGGTCTGGTTAGGACCTCAGGTAAGGCAAATTCGTCCATGTGGCGCGAGAACATGCTACTCGAATACAAGCGATAGCAATGCCCCGGACCTACAAGTTGTGTCAAGAGGCGATGGTGAGACCAATCCAATCAAAGAATTCAACACTGTACTTGAATTCGTTGTGCCCTACCAGTTCTCCCAGCGCGACCAGCTCTTTGATTCGCAGCCGCCTTGCTGATCCAAGATATGTCGAATGAGGCCACACCAGTTTTCGCATCATAATTCTTGCACTTTTCACGCCCTGTGTCGACAACATAACTGATTCCAGGGATGGTAATCGAAGTTTCCGCGATGTTGGTGGATACCACAATAAGACGGTGTCCTTCTTGCTCCGCTGCAAAGACTTTTGCCTGCTCTTCAGCTGACAGCATTGAATACAACGGTAAGACGATCACGTCCTTTGGCAGATTGTCGCCATTGCGATCTGCGTCGTCGCTGCTAGCAGTACCCAAAGGAAGTTGCTCGTCGTCCTCGGCATAGTCGTCGTAATCATCGTCTTTGGATTGGAACATGTCACCATCGATTTCGTCGTCGTCCAAGTCGCGGAGACCTCCCTCGCTGGAATAAGTAATGTCGGTGCGCGAGACAGGAACATCGTTGCTGCCAACAAAATGCGTCTCATTTGTCGTTTTCTTCCGTCGACCCAGAGCTTTCCGCAGCCGATTAACCATTCTAACAATCTCTTGCTTGCCCGTCAGGAATACCAAGATCCCGCCCTGCGGAAGCTTTCTGTGGATCTTGCACACTTTCTGGAATGCCGCGTCCTCTGTGGGAAAGAACATTGCAAAATAAACAGACATGAGGACAATCTCACAAACAGGAGGCATCACGATCAAATCAGAATGGTACAATGGTGTAATCTTACCATAATCATCCAGCTCGGTCACTTTGCTATGATGGATGGTGACAGGAAATGTGCGACCGGGAACTTTCAGAACATGAGGGGTCGTCGTAGGGAACAGCTTTTGATTCCCGACAAAGTCATCCACTCGAAGTGTCGCACTCATGATAACCAACTTTAGTGGAACAATGTCCGAGCCAGGTTCTTCAGAAGCTTTCTTCCTCAGCGGCAGTGCCAATCCAATGAGGCCGCACAGAATGTCTGCAAACAAACACCCAAGGCAAGAGCAATTAATTAGTTTGCTTGACGCATCGTTGCACAAATCAATGGCTAATACACACTGTACACAGTACCCACCGCAGTTGAGATTGCGCTCGTGACATTCGTCAAGCACAATGACTGAATACTTGCGGAGGAGCAAATCTGATTGAATCTCTTGCAGCAGAATACCATCCGTCATGAACTTTGCGCCAGTGTTTTCTCCGAGGCCAGCTGTCTCGTAACGCGTTTGGTAAGCCACCAGGTTGCCTTTTGATCGCTTTGTTGACTTGATACTTTTCCCATCGCCCTGGCCCATTTCATAACAAACTCTCTTTGCGGTCGAGACAGCCGCGACTGGTTTGATTATTTCCAGAATCCAGAAGAAGGCGTGAGTACCAAGTTGTACGGTAGCTGCTGGCTGTTTGCCAATGGACTAGCACGAGGAACTCACCTCGTCGGGGCTGGGTTATGCCAATCATGAACTTGGGAGTACCATCCGTGCCTTCCTTTGACGTGCTCTTTGGTGACGAACCTAGAGTAAAGCCTGATTCATACAAAAGCTGAGGAACCTGCGTTGATTTTCTTTAGAAACAACGAAACTCAAAGTGAGTCAGACGAATCGCGATCAACTGTAATGGAACGACGCAAGTATCTTGCATGGCAGGATATCACCAGCTGGCAGGAACGTACCCTGATCCTGTCTCCCCACATATAATGGTGACATCGTTGTTCCTGATGGCATCCATGACTTCAAACTCCATTTGCGTTACTGGCAAATCGTACCGTGTTTCTTGGACCTCTTTGGGACGGTTGACTTGTATCACTCTGCGATTGCTTTCGGGCAGCTGGTGTACCTGAAGTTTCTTGTTGGTAGCTGCCGTTTGAATGACAATGGGATTTGTGACTTTGTAAGGCTTGGCCCCTTCCGAAGCCTTTCTCAAGCGTTCTTCTTCACGGCGCTGGCGTTCAGCCTCTTCTTGCTCTTTCTTCTTGTCGTTTTCCTCCTTTTGCTTCTCGCTGGATACCTTTAACGAGGTCAAGGATGCCATCATTTGAGCGGCAAATGACTTTGCTGGATTGCTGCTCTCGGCGGGCTTTGCAGAGGCGTTATTCTTCTCGTTCTGGTTATTGTCGCCACTGTCATCACCGGCATCCTGATTCTTTTTGTCAGACTCTTGGTGTTGCGTCTTTTGTTTCTTTTTCTTCTTCTTTTGCCTCACTGTTCGCGAAATCTCATCCGTCTTGGGCTGGTTATTATCGCAGTCTTCTTCATCACTGCTACTACTACTACTGCTGTCATTATCATCCGTGGGTTTCCGGTCGCGATACAACAAATCTCGTTCCTCTTCGGTAAGTTTCATGCCAGCCCGTTCTTTTTGCAATAGTTTCTTCAACTGTTCCTTTTTGGAGACTCTCTTTCCCAAAGTGGACGACGAGTCCATGAGTTTAAACTCTTCGGCACTAATGGCCGATTTTTGCAATTTTTCGTAGAGTTCAGCCCTCTTTTTCTTTTGTGTTGCTCTTATAGCCAGCTGTTTGAGTTTGCGTTCCGTCTTTTTCTGCAGTTGCTTGGCGTCTTTGATTTCTTGGGGTGTCAATTCGACGACTTTTTGTTGTTTGGTCTTTTTCTTCTTCTTTTTGGAGAACACTACGAGAGGATTTTCCACACTATTGTCGTTTTGATGTTCGGCCCTGAATTCCTCCGACAACAGCACTTCATTCAGAGTGCCATTGCTCTTGTCGTTGGCTGGCGCATCATGTTTGCCTTGTTTTGTCTTTTCTTTTTCTTTTTCTTGACCAGGTAGGCTAGTTGTTATCGAATCTTCTGCTTGTATGGCAGCCACTTGATTGCGATTCCGTTTTCGGTTCTTTTTGGGTTTCAGAATCATGGCATCTTTGGATGGTTCCCCATTCTCTAATGTTGTTGTCTTATTATCGAGACTCGGTATATGAGCTGTCGAGTTTTTCAACATGGCTTTTGCCCTTTCAAATTCGTCATCACTGTCATCATTCTTCTTTTCATTGTCTTTGCTGTTTGTTTCTGGCTGTTTCTCCTGGCGGCTGGTCAATTTCCGTTTCTTGTTTTGTTTAATATCATCGTCATCATCACTGCTGTCGTCGCCCACATTGTGTTGCTTCAAGTGATTCTTGGAATTCTTCAAGACGGTCTGCAGCCGTTTCATTTCCTGTTCTTCATCCAAATGATCAAAGGCCGTCATTTGCCGCTGGGATATAGAACGGTAATTCCGCGCATACTTGGCTGGGTTGCTCTTGGAGCGTCTCATCTTGCTGTTATTGTTGTTGTGTTATTAGTGCTGTGTTATTGAGTGAGTGTATTGTGTTGTTGTTGCCTTTCGATTGTCGATGTTGTGGTTGGTGCATGGATGCTTGGACAAAGATCGAAATGAGAAAAAGAAGAAAAATGAATGGCTTTGGAAGGTGGCGTCAAGAAAAAGGTTCGACTAGCGATTAGTGTTGGGGTTTCTGAGTTAGCCGTTAGGAAACCAAAAGTTGGACGAAACCAGAGCAAGAAGCCGTGACAATGACAAAGAAGGGCGAAGGAGCAGAACCACTTCAACTGTAATAACCAACAGCAACAGTATGCCCACCAAAGACCGTGCAACAGCTCGTAGCCAGGTGGCGCAACAATGGGCGTCTCGACGGCAAGAACGGTCCAGCATCCACCAACAGCAGCAGTCGAGGTCCTCCATTACTTCCTCGCAACGTCCTCCTTCCATCACCCTAGTACCTTCCCTTTGCCATGCCATTGGGAAAGCCTGGCAAGAAGCCGTGGCCAACATTGCCAACGCGTGGATTCATACTAATGACAACAACCATAACAACAACAAGTTGGAATCCGATACTACCGGTACCAATAATAATAAGTTCAAAGGCACCTTTCCATCTGTTCTACAGATTTTGCAAGCCAGTGCCTTGCAGGAACAAGTCGAACAATTCGCCCCAGAAAATGAAGAAGAGAAAGAAGCACTCCGTGTACTACCAGCGGGATATGATTGGAATCAAGCCATTTGGAACATGGCAGAGTCCCGAAGTCGTGCCTTTTTGCTACTCGATTTGGCATCCATTGTTCCCGTACTCGTCCAGTGGAAGCGACAGCTACCCAGCAGTCCCAATAATAAAATTGCATTCCTCTACACGGTACAATACAATGCCAATCCTAAATTGCTGCAATTGCTATTACGAAGTCAAGTAGGATTGGTCTGTACCAACAAGTGGGATCTCATCAAGTGTCGACAAGCGGTACAGCAACTCGCCGACAAAAGTATTAGTTGGAATGACAAGAATAGTAATATTATTCATGACAATGCCAGTCAAATTGGAAAACCAGATGGGTACCTACGGCAGTTGATACTCGACGACGACGACGGTTGTGGAGTCAAGACTGTTGTGGTGGATGGGCCACAAGAAGTCACCAGAATCATGGCGGCTTTGGAACGAATGCGAAAACGTCGTCGAAGACAAACAACAACTCATCCAGAACAACCATCCGAAACAACAACAATGAATGACAATCAAGACTTGTACTTTCTTCTAAGACTGCCTGAAACTGCTGAGAAGGAAACACAACAAGCTTGGTTGGATTTGGTAGACACAACGACGCAGCAAATTGCAAAAGAACAGACCAAATCAGTCGGAAAATTGTCCCTGGTGGGAATCAGTTTGGATGTTGCAGCCTATTTGGACCAAACAGGCATAGAGAACCTTCTGGACCGGGTGGAAGAGGACTATCTGCAGCATTTTGCAACGAAAGGGCCTGGAGTGCGCTTGGATTTGACTGGCGTCACCATGCCGCCAACAGAAGAGACGCTTGACTTTTGGAAGACTCTGGCGGAACGACCCAATCTTGCCCACATTACAGTAGATGTCAGCCATGCATTGGTGTCACCTGCCGGGGCATTGTGTACTCGTATCATTGGTGTCCGCCAAATCAAACAAGACGACAACAACAACAACGAGTCCAAGAAGAATGATGACAAAACAAGCATTCAGATGCATTATTACATTGATGACGGATGCTATGGATCCTTGTATACCGCGGCGGAGCACAATGCCATTTCCAATCCTTTGCCACTTGGAGTGGATCATGGTGACGACGACGAGGAGGACAAAAATGACAATGACAGTGCTTCTCTCACATTCACATCCACAGTTTGGGGTCCAACCTGCGATGGATTGGACCGTGTTTGTCGCGACATTCCCTTACCCAAGTTGCATCGTGATCAATGGTTGGTCTTCCCCAATTTGGGATGTCACATTGGAGAAGGCTTGGGGACACAATTCAATGGATTCGACCCGCCCGACACGGCCTATTGCGTGCTTGGCTATTGGGGTTCCACGAAGCAGTAGTACCGCAGCAGGAAGTGATTAGAAATGAGCATGGCGACAAGAAGGAGCACGTACCTGAGATTCCAGTGGCCCTCACCGGAGTCCAATCTCCGGGAAAGGGGGGCGGAAGGCTGGAGCAAAGTCTGAGGTGTTGTCGTTACGAGTACAGTACCGGTACGACTGTACCGGTAGCTCTTTGGCTTCGGCGAATGCCAATCATTTTTATCCCTTTCCCTATCTGTCGTGAATGCAGACGCTCCCAGACATGGATTTGCCTCATTTTTTCGGTCAAATGCTTCGCTTCCTGTCTCATATCTCATACTTGTTAAACTTTAAAATAATGACAAGCCTAGACGAACAAGAAAACACTATAGGGTTCTTCCAAGCTTTCTTTGTGCAAAGCGACTGGTCCGGGAGGGTCAGCCGAGAGAATTGGATGGGACAGCATGCTTTCTGGCCTCGGGTGGTCCTCTTTCCCATTCTTGCCGCGACCCTGTGGTCGATGCAAGCCCTTGCACCCTTCTGTTTTGGGGACGAGAACAATGGACGCATTCCCATAATGGAAAATCACACTTTGGCTGAGATGGAGGCGATCCGAGACTCGCACGCAATTTGTAGCCAGTCCCTCTGCGACCTGGCCAAGACATTGCCCTTGGGCTGCGTTGCGAAAACTAACGATTACAAGGCTGGGTGCGAACACCTGAGCTACCGGTATGGTGAGCTCGGAGAGGATTTAATTGCGCTCCCGCGCGTCTGTCGAGACGCTTTCGTATCTACCCTTGGCTCCGATCTCGATGTCAATCTCATGGATATACGCCATGAAGAGAAGGTGCCGGTCGAGGCGACGGCGGATGGCCATTTGGAGACTAAGCAGAGCATTTTTACCTTGCATCCGAATGGTCTTGTCGAATTCAACTTGGACGCCATTCTTCCAGTCGAAGGAGGGATTAAAAAGCTACGCTCGCACACCGAGACGAACGGGCTCACTGAACGTAACGTTCTCTCCTTCTCGGTACTTGCCTTTTCTCCCGGGCGCGATTCCCTTCAAGCGGGGCATGTACAAGGCGACGTTTTGACCAGCATGTTTTGCCTTACAGAAATGCATCCTCACCAACGCCACGAGCTTCAGAAATGGTACAACTTGTGCATGGACCACTCACTTGGGATCGTTGTGGGATTGGCGCTGCTCTTTGTGGTTGGTTCTGTGGTCTTTTATTTTGGCCACTCTCTTTGGCTGGTCTTGTGGATAATGTTGCGCATGATCCTTCCAGCATTTGTGGCACGTCGAGTGTTGGCTTGGCCAGACAAGATTACTACCTGGGATGTCTGGCGCGGCCTTGTCTTGATCGGGTTGGTGACTGCGTCGTCGTTACAGCCGACCCTGCTTTCTTGCGTCCTCGCTGGAGGGGCCTTTCTGATCTATCGAGACACCAGTGCGGCGATCGAATGGGCGTTTCTGGGCTTTCTGGCCTGGGGTTCCCCTGTCGTTGCCTCACACCTAAATCCGTTGGCGACTTCATTGCTCCTGACTCGCTCGTCGCCAGCGATTTTGCGTGTGTTGGTCGAGTGGTCGCTCTATCTTCTTTTTGTCGGTGAGGGGTGGTGGAAGTTTGTGACAATTTATGCATTTGCACGATCGTATGGGTCGCTCATGACAGCAAACACCAAAGAGACCGACAAAGCTCCAAGCACTGAAGATCTCCTTCTGCAAACTCACGCCAACTTCGAATGGCCTCAATATTAGTATGCATCTGTCCGTTCGAGTGACTGCACGGAATGACAGTTCAAAAGCGGTATCGTACCGGCAGCGGTACCCTGAGCCAATGGTCGCATGTAGGTAGAAATATACCGTACCGGTTCCGGTAAGTGGAGGCGAGGCTTCAGTGGCTGGATAGATGTGTGGGAGTCGAGTCCCACTACTAGTACATGGAAGTCAAGGCTCACTAGCTACTATCATCTAGATTTTTATAGACCAGTCTGCTGGATCCAAGCGCCATGTGCTACTGCATGGAATTCGAAAGGATCCATATACGAAATATGGCGCAGGGGAACGTTGCTCTTATTACTGATTCCAATACGGCAATTTGGAGTTTGGTCCCCTGTTTGTCACCCCTGATCCCACCGAACCTCGTAGTCCTGAATTCGCCTGGCCCTCTGGCGGCTTCAGTGGATAACTACCGACTCTAGCTAATGGCAGACCCGGGCCTCACAATTGGCGGCGGGACGACGAAGCAGTCGAAACCTTACCCACCGTAGTCGACTGAGTCGAGTCCCTAGTCTTCAGTCTTCCTGTGACTGACTGACCTTGCCAAACCTGCGCAAGTAATCCAAACGTGCTTTGCTGGGTGGTGCCTCACTTCGGCGGACAGTTTCGTCTCACAATCTAAAACTTCAGCAAAGATTATAGCGACGACTTTTAAACTAACACTATTGTAGCAGTCTATCTATTCCTATTGTAGAAACCATGGCGTCCGTTGTTTACCGATTCGCAGCTGAATCCAAGAACCAAGCGCTGAAGATTCCCGGGAACTCGTTTGTGACCATCTTCAACATCAAGAAAGCCATCGTCAAAGCGAGGAGACTGGATGTTGGCCGCCGAGCGGATTTCGATCTCGTCGTCAAGAACGTTGAGACTGAAGAAACGTACAATGACGAGACAGTGATGATAGAACGTCCAGTCCGCCTCATCGTGCATAGGGTCCCTGCTCCCTTCAAACGAGGTCTTTTGGACCGTTTCGATCGAAATGAGGTGCGAAGGGACGCCCGCCCCTGCCCCTGGTTGGATTCCGTTCCAGCTGAGTTCTACAATTTCCAGTGCAGAGACATAGAAGAATTTATTCCCACGAACTCGTCCTGCCCCAAGCAGCCGGTTATGACAACGGAAAGCGAAGAAAGAAAAGCCCTGTTAGCTGTGATCCCTTCCGCTGCTATCCCCCTCACAACCGTTGCCACCACCAGGCCCAACGGCAACCAAACAACATCATTCCGTTATGACCACAGCAACAAGAAACCAAATGCAGACCCAGAACTACGGGAAAAGAAGCCAGCGAAACGCGTTATTGGCGTGCCACAAACATTCCGCGGCCTTGGCGACCAAGGGAGCATCCGAGCAAACAAAGCAGGCTTCGAGGAGCTCAAGAAGCGCACAACGGATAGCTTTGCCACTGCTTTGCGAGTGACGGGCACAGAGATACCGGAATATCTCAAGTGCGGCATCTGCTTTGGGCTCGTGGAGAGGGCAGTCAATCTCTACTGGGATCCCAAAGGCCGGACGGCTTGTGAAAGTTGCATCTGTGGCGCGCTTTCCCGAAGCCTCAACTGCCCTCTCACTGGTGTCGAAGGCATTGGCCCTGACGAGCTCTTTCTCAACCACCCCATCCAGCGAGCTGTTGCAGCGTTTGTGAGTGGGGTGGAAGCGAAGATGGCACTTATCCAAGCGAGCCACGATGTCGACGATGGCGCAGTCGAGCCCACCAGCGAGATCAAATCCGACAATCCACACGGAACCGAAAAGGAAACCAAGGCAAAGAAGAAAAGACACGAGGACGACGAGTTTGGGGGGGATGTCTTCGCGGTCGTCAGCGAAATAAACGACAAGAGCAAGGCAGAGCAGGGACGCCACGAGGGTAAGTTAAGGCAGCCAAGACAGAATGTCCAGAGCATGCGCGGGAACAACACACCACGAAGAGAACAAGGCGAGAAGCACGGAAACAAAACACCACGCAGAGGGCAAGGCGAGAGGCTGGTGCGAACGTGGCAAGGGCGGCCTTTCAACCGCAAGCGAATGAGCGAAGAAAATGTAAGTACTGTACAGTTGTTTGTGTTTGGTGCGCTAATGCTGCCATCGGGATAATGCGGCAATGGGGAGAAAGCAAAAGTAGTCAGATGTATTTTAAGTCAAATAGCGATATAGAAAAGTTATGCTCTTCATGTAGACCATACCGCGGCGAAGACCATACCGTAGCGAGTGTTGGTCTTAGCACCAGCCACACCGCATGACATAGTCCCTGTCCTTCGTAGCCTATTCTCACACGCTCGTTTCTCATTCTTCTATCCAAGCAGAACACAATGTTTCATGCTGACGATGTGGTTAGAAAGCGGCCTCGCTACTCCCCCAAGGTTCCATTTCCTTTCACCCCTCACCAATGACGAAGTTGGAACCAAGGAATTGGCTCAATCCCCAGTACGGTACCATGTCACAGCCAACCCCACAGTTCCAGACACAAAAAAGCTGGACCCAATCACCAATACGTACCCACAGCCACATGATTTGGCTCCATAGATGATACATGTAGCATAAAATAGATATAATTAATCCAAACCAAACCAAAAACAAACAACAATCAACCGGCAACTCGATCCTCCGGCTCCACCGATATGCCCGGACCACATCTTCTGCTAACCCCAAGCAACAGCAAAAGGGAGGTGCCAGCAGCTGTGCCAGCTCATCATTGGCTGTCATTCTTCTGCCTTTGGTCCTGGACGAAAACCCATGGTAACGGCATGATGGTCACATAGCTTCCCACGGCATAAATCTGGTGTCCCGGCAGCGGCGGCGAGCAACTGAACGGCATCCTACCCCTACCGTTGCTGTGACTCTGGTCTGCGGTAATCAGAGTACCGGTACTCTAGCTAGAGTAGCCTAAAATAGATTTCTATTAGCTGGACTGGAGTAAACAAGGGTAACACTAGAAAAAGCCAACCGTCAGACCTGGAAGCATATTCACGTTGACTGTTGCAGAGACGGGTACTGTCTATGCATATCGGTAGCTATGTGCATAGAGCGTCAACCGAAAGATGCCATCGATAAATCGCTAACAGGCTACAGAAGCTAGATCGCAGGAATCCGAAGACAGATGAGAATATCAGCATCAAGAAGATTCCACCTGTAGGATGAGAAAAGCCCCTTGCCTTCAACATTTGAGAATGCTGTACGTCATGAATGAGAAAGCCTGTTGTCAATGTTGTCAACCCTGTTGTCGAGCCCGTTTTGGGCCACTCTAAGAAATTGTGAGACGATTGGTTGTCACTGAAGGACGTGTCCTTTTGGACGACGCCTTGTCCTAAATACCTTTAGCGCGTCACTGCCCCTTAAATCCAAAGCATAGACGGTGGGGCACTGTGACGAATTGATGAGCCGGAGTAGCTTACAAGCGAGGCTATGTTGGGAGTTGAGTATTTATGCCGTATCCATACCTGTAGAGTGAATATACCCATTTACCTAAATAAGTAACGACCCACATGATATATTTTTAGCCATATATTTCGGGCTCCCACATGGCCAGATTGGCGACTCTTGAAAAATCGTCATCTAATTTACCTGTTGGGTAAGCAAGAGGAAAAACACCAAGCAAACGGCCATCATACCATCTGCAGCTAGTCTAGCTGGAAGTGCATGTATGCCTACCAGTACCGGTAGTGTGTTTGAGGCTGTGTGTGACAAGAAACAGGGCAGTTTCGTCAACCTGAACTCACACAATTGGCGGTGTGCTTTGAGAGTCTTCGGAAGCAAAGCAGAGCGTCATCGTCTTGTTTAATGGCAATCTTCGCTTGATAGCTGTCCCGCACCTCCAACGTCCACACTCAACGGAATCGCAAAACTTTGTTGTTGCCTTACCTTCACTTGACTGCAAGCTTGCCAGTGCTTGCTTGTGTTGGGTTCGGTTGTTGTGGTTGTTGACTTGACTTGTTGGATTGGCCTCATTTGGTTTGGTTTGGATTGAGATAAAAGCTACCTTTCTCAATCAAATCAACCACTGGATCCTTCACCAACAATCATATTGAAGTTGTTGTCAAGAAGGAAGGAAGGTCAGGTCAGTTGAGAATTGGATCTTTTGGTGAATCTTCTTTTGGATCATCAAGTCAAGATGAGTACTGCTGGTACCGGTACTATGGAATGGCTGTGGGAAGCGCAAGAGTCTGTGGAAGCCATGATGCCTGTGGCCGTTAAGGAGCAACTTCCCATATGGTGGCCTCTTCCAGTGTTGGTCTATCTTTTTGCAGAAGTTTGCTTTTACATCTACTTCAAGACAGTCATGGTTCCCTTTGCCAATACGATCATTGCACCTTCAGAGTACCGAGACTACGGTCGGGACCGACACAAGCTCATTCTTCGGATTCTGGAACGAGTCACTCGGACTGCCAAAGTCAATGGAAGAGATGATTTGGAAGACACAGCACGCTATCTAGTACAGTGGTTTAACTATGCTCCCAATCACTTGGCAGCCGGATCGGCGCACAAGAAAAAGAAGAAGCAGCAGACTCCCACCACCACAAAGTACCGAAAGAACAAACTCAAAGCGACAACCTCTCCCAAACGACGCGTCGTCAAGTTTGCTTCTTCGGATAATACTCCGTCATCCAGCAACAGCAACAATAGCGACAGCAGCAGCAGCAGCAGCAAGCCCAGTTTGTTGGTCAAATTGTCAGACTCTTCCATTGGATCTTCCCTGGGAACCGAGTCTGTCTGCTCCTCTTCGGCGACCGGGAGTAGCCCAGACGACAGTCATTTGACCATGAGTGATGACGATCATGATGAGATGGTAGTGTCTCTTGTGGGAGCGGGACAAGTGGTGGATGACACGGCGTCGGATAGTGCCAGTTTGGATGATGACGATGATGATTCCATTGACGATGACTTTGATGATACTGATGACGACGAAGTCGATGACAATGCCAGCATTCATGCCGAGTACACTGTCACTGTGCTGCGAAAGGATGATGTCGATGATTTCATGGCATGGGGATTCTTTGGAAAGTTCGTATCCACTTTGGAGGAGTGGGAACGGGAGGAAATGGAAAACTGCTATCAAGTACTCGAGGAAATGCATGGCATTCGATTCCAACCGGGACGATCACCCCACTACAAATTGAAATACTTGCTGTCATTGGAAGATTGTGTGGCAATGCATCGACCATTGATATTCTACCTGCAAGTATTCTTGGTCAAATGGTTTGCTGGACTACTCTTTCGATTGGCGGGCTTCAGTCGACATGTCGCGGAATCGGGGGTCATTTGTTGGTACAAACCAGCTGCCGACGATGATTACTCCAAAAACCTGTTGCCACTCTGCTTCTTTCATGGAGTGGGACCAGGGGGGCATGCCCTCTACACACTCATGGTGCTATTGGGATTGAATCGAACGGGGAGAGCCATCTTTTTGTTTGAGAATCACTCCGTCACATGCAGTCTCAACTTTAAGGCATTGACCGACAATGAAATTGTGGATGGAGTAAGAGAAATGATAGACCGATTCTGTGGACCGGATCGACCCATCAGTCTCATGGGACATTCCTTTGGATCCAGTGCATTGACATGGATCTTGCACTCTGATTTGAAACCACGCATTCGACAAATGGTCATCCTCGAACCGGTCAGTCTCATGCTCAGTGAATCTGATGTCATTTGCACCATGGCAAAGCCCATCTTCAAAGCTGCAATTGATCTCGTCTTGGAACACTACATTCGGCGACAGTATCCATGGTACAACAGTGAACTGTGGCTCGAGGATATCCCAGATGATGTGCATGTGATCATCGGCCTCGCTGGCAGGGATGGTCTGATTCCCACCCCCAAGATCACTCAAGAGATTGAAGCATTTTGTGCCGTCAACCCCAAAGTTGCCAAGAACATGGATTTCATTTACTGGAAGAACAACTTGCATGGGTTGTGCCTGGTCCTGCCCTGGTGTTGGAAGGATATCAACGATGCCATGCTCAAGCAAGAGCTGGCCATGATGATGCAGTCCAAGTCGTCGCGACGAAGGAGCCGCCTCAAGCTGTAAAACGCTGCCGGGTATTCCTTCCTTCATGTGCTGCATGTCGTTGTATGTCCTCTTTCTGTCATCGAGTTCAGTTCAGTTCGTTCATAGGGTACAGTACCATCCATTCCATTGTTCTGTTTAGTTTCACCACCGGTTGTTGATGGCGGCAATGGTGGCGCGTGCCTGGGTGTTCTACATGATGATGCTGATGATAGGGTCCGAGCGATGCAAGCCAACAACGTCTCTACCCCCTATCTGTCCAGTCAGCAACCTTTGTTTCTACTTTCATCATCTTACATTCAAGCCCCGCCCCATGTGTCGGCCACGCAACGTCCTGTTGATGCATACTACTACGTCTCTACCACGCAATGTTTCAATCCATATTCACACTATTCGATCTTCATCACCCTTAGCCTACATTACTACTAATAGACAAGGTTTTTGACTTTCTATGTGCACACTTGTCATTGTACGTGTTTGTATTTGCGTTTGGAAATCCGTAATTTTGCGGCTGCACGACTACTTCAGTAACTGGGACCGTACCATCCAAACCGGGGCAAAGTCTTGCAACCACGATGGATTGCAACCAGCCTGTCAAATGAGACTCCACGGTGCAAGTGCGTTGAAACCATTGTTTGGAGCCATTGGAACATGGTTCCTTCTGTGAGCATCTTGCCATCTCTCGACTCCGTTTCACCCCCGGTTGCCAGTAACCAAATCCCTCGTGATCTCGAGGCCACGTGTATTGTTCCCATTGATTTCTATCAGGTTCCCAATAGAAATCGAAAGCTCTACAAGATACAACGGACTTCGGGTTGTTTTTGGCAATGAACAGAAGCCGTTTATCTGGTTGCTAGCTAGCTAAGTAGACGGGGGTACCTAGCACCCGTAGCATAGCATCATAGCATGCACCCAACCGCAAGGCAGCCCTTGTTTGCTCCTACAGTACCGTACCGTTAGCCATGGTTGCTTGAAGTGGAGCCCCTGCCTACTAGAGTAGAGGACCGGACCGGTAAGCCGTTAGAGCCGCCGGATACTCGCACAAACCACCTAAAATTCGCTGCGTCATGACACCACTTAGAGTCAACGGCTCAGCCTCGGTAAATGATAAATTTTTCTGCTGCGCGCCTGCCGTCAGCTACAAACTCCAAAGTGAATGATTTGCACACAAGACAAAGACACAACCTGCCGTCATCCCATCAAGGCTTGTGGGAATTTTGTTGAGTTGTTGACAACTGCAACAAGGTTTGGATTGGATCCTTTACAGGACCGCCGCCTGATTGCCTGTCACCATCTTCGTCAGTCGCTGTGGATTGTGGATGCCTATTTGTTCTTTGCATCAGCTCTGTACCAAATTTTTGTGTTTCCTGGCAGGATCAAGTTTCCGAACGAGCCAAAGTTTCCCGGACTGACCACATTTTGCCTTCAAAGACAGCGCATCAGCCTTCTCTTGTTCTCTCAATAGACTTTATCTATCTTTCTATCGGTGCAGTTCACTTGACAGATCCTGGATCGTCATCAATATCGACTGTTTGAGAGAATAGAATCGAATCTTATTAGCTCCAGTCTACCCGAATTCCTTAACCAGGAGTTCGTTCTGAATATACCCAAAAACAACCTTTTTCATTTCCTCATTACTTCCATGTCCTTGTCGAGAACAAGCTTTCATTTATTCGATAGTTTCATACATACATCAAGCAATATCTGCAACAACTTACTCTCCACTTCTATAAAACACAAAAACATGGATTTCTTCAACGGTATACTCGCCAATGGCACTGGCTGGTGGACTTGGCCTCTCGTCATCTACGCGGCCATTGAAATAAACTTTTACCTCGTATTCAAGTTCTACCTGGTACCTCGGGCCAACAAACGGACACCTCCCCAACCTTTCCGAGCTTTTGGCTGCCACGATGGCAAGGACCGGTTCATGTTGATGAGACGCATTCTAGACCGCCTCGAACGCACCTGTGCCGCCACGGGAGAAGACATGCTTCAAGCCACGGCTGAATACATGGCTCGGTGGTTCCGCTTCCATCCTCACACCAGCCAAGATCACAAGAATCACCCCAGACCACCTCCCACGCGACGAGTCTCCACCCTCCTTACCGACTCGGAAAGCAGCAGCAGTTCAGGAGAGGAAGAGGAAGCCGACGACTTTGACGACGGAAGCTGTGAAAATGATTGGGAAGACTGCAAGAAAACATTTAACAGCAGTATCTTTAGCAGCAAAGTGAGCATGGAGCTCAACGCGTGGAATGATGCCAAGCTCGATGGTTGCGAGAAGACAAACATCTTCAAGTGGGCTCTGCATACACTCTGCTATGATGATGTCAATGATCTGCTGGCATGCTTCTTCATGGGAAAGAGTGTTGATACACTAGAAGATTGGGAAAGAGTAGAGCTCAAGAAGCTGTTTGACTATCTGGAAAATCACTTTGCCCTGAAGGTACAACCTGGTAAGCAAATCAATCATCTCGGCATTGTGCGTCGTAGGCAAGGGTCGTTCAGCGCTAATCTCTATGTATGTTGTTTCTTGTATCACCTGCAGGTCGCAGTCCCATCACTACACCCCGCCGTCTGACGCAAGAAGATGTCAATGCCTGGCATCGTCCCTTGGCGGTCTACGCTGGAGTGTACGCCATGCAACTCGGAAAGGCGGGGGCTTTGTGGCTTCTCGGCTTTAGCCACAATGTCACATCGACTGGGTTGCAGTATTGGTACAGACCGGAAAGACAGGCCACAAAGAAAGGAGAAGAAATACCCAATCCTCTCTTGTTCTTCCACGGAATCGCCCCCGGTGGATCCACCATCTACCTTCCCATGCTCCTCTCAGGAGTCGCTAATGATGGTCGTGCCATGTTCCTCTTTGAGAATCCGTCCGTTTCATGCCACCCAAGTTTCAAAGTTATCACCGAGGACGAGACCATTGAAGGTGTACAAGAGGCATTGGACAAGCACAACATCTTGGGAGACCTGGCCCTTATGGGACATTCATTTGGCTCCTTTCAGCTCACCTGGTTGATCTACTCCCCATTGAGACCTCGGATTCGTCAGTTTGCGCTGCTGGACCCGGTATCCATCTTGCTTAGTGAACCTGACCTGGCCATCAACTTTGACGAAGCCACACCGCTGTTCAAGTTAGTCCTCACTGAGCTGTGGACAAACTTCTACATTCGCAGGTATTTCTCCTGGTACAGGAGTGAGTTGTGGTTGGACGACATGCCTGAGAATGTGGATTTCTTTGTGGGCCTAGCCGAGAAGGATCAAATTGTGAATGGCCCCAAGGTGAAGCGGGAAGTGGAGATCTTTGGATCCGAGCATCCATCGTTCGCTCGTCAAACAACAATTGCCTTTTGGGATGGGGCCCTCCATGGAGATTGTCTGTATCAGTGGTGGAAGTGGCGGGATATTAGGAGGTTCTTTGACAACGCAGAATGCAAGAGCACCACCCAATTTCCGCCATCAAAGCAAAAGGTCTGCTAGGCTCTTCCAGTGCCACTGCCCGTTGTCTTTCAGCCACTTGTCATGGCTATTGTACCATTAACGGATTTTTTGGAGTTCAACATTAATGTTGAGAAAAGTGTGTCCTCACGGTCATTGCGACACGTGCTACCAATGTTTTTAGTTTCAAGCCACAACCTTAGATTGTTTAGTAAGCATTCATCCTTCTTTTAGTAGTTATCTAGATAGCCAAGTGGACTTCTCTGTATGCATAGTCGCGTTCTTGCACCTCATGAGACAGTTGAGTGCATCCTAATTGATGTGCCGATGGAGCCCTTGGCTGTACCGGCACTCAGAAGTAAAGCAACAGCTTATGAAGAACCCAACCAATCCATGAGATAAACCAACAACTAGTCTACTCTCTTATCCAATTATTTCTTTGTGAAGTCATACTGTCCCGCATGTCTTCTCCCTACTTTCTGTCAAAATACTGTTGCACACTGCCACAATCAACCTCTTCAGCAGCTAGCTGGCTAGCTCCCCAAGGCCATATCACCAAAAGTCTAGAGGTCTTTTTCCTCCGAGTCTGATTTTCCATCCAAATCCATCCAGTTGCGGAAGAGTTCATCGCTGAGCCCAATTTCCTTTCGAAAAGCATTTTGCAAATGCTGGTCAGTGGTGTACACTTTGTCGGTGAACCGTATGGCCCGACGTGGGACGCGAGTGACAACATGCATCTGCCCCGGAAGGATTCGTTCCTGAGGTGCCAGCCCATAGCGGTTGCGAATCACAACAGTATAGTAAAAGTTGCTTGGGTCTTCGCTATCGCCACTACTGGAATCCTTATCTTTTTCGACCTCATATCGCTGCATGATGGTGCAGGGACGAAGGTTGCGAAGCTCAAAGATACCAGGCATGTGTCGCCATTCCGCCGAGGTAATGTTCCGGGTGGGGTCGTTTTTTTCGTCGTCTTCGCCTTCACTTGGCTTTGTCTCTGGATGTACGTACGGGTAAAAACAGGATGTTAGGAGGTTTGGCGGATAGGGTTTGGAGCCTTGGACCTCTTCTTGAGTTCCCAGAACTGGCACGGCTTCATCCAGAACATAGCCGGGTGCGTATTCGAATGGATATGGCTCCCACTGCTTCACATGCTTTTCCCAGGCTGCTTGCCATTCGGGACCATAGTCTAGAAGCACTTCTTCGCCTTCCTGGATATCCTCTGTGGCCACAAGTTCCAGCAGAAGGCCATCCGTGGATGCTGTAGGTTTCTTGTTGATATCCTGCAGATGCTCTAGCGTGGGCTGGCTTTTGCTGGACCATTGGAGGCGAACATTGCTGCGTTTCGAAGAGTGATTGATGAGGTTTACCATGGGTGAATATGGAAAGAGAAGAACGGAGGATTTTGGGTGTCCATAGCAATAGTTTGTCAAGAGCTGCTTGGTAGTTGTCTCCGCAAATTCCTTTTTTGATACCTGCTTCTTGCGTGTCACATCCATGGCCTCTCGTTTGGTGATGGGTAAGACAGGCACAGGAGCTACTACAGATCCTTTGGCCTGTCCTCTGGATGCAAAAGCTCCTCGTCCTGCATGCTCAATGGTGGACTTTCCTGGTTTGAGATTGTCCAGGCAAAATCCGGTTTCATGCAAAGACTCCAACGACCGATGGAGCAGTTGTGGTTGCTTGGCACCCTCCTCCTCGTCTTCTTCTTTTTCATTGGCCATTTGATTATTTCTCATTTGAAAATATCCAGGACCGTAGTTCACAAGAATTTCATTTCCAGCCACGAGAGGCTTGTTGAAATGAAACGTGTAGTTGAAGTAATGCGTGAAAGCCCCAGCCCCAGGAGATTTATGGCGCGTCACGCCTGCTTCGTCCACAGAAGGCTCCAAGACTGGCAAAATCCCCTCTTCCGAGGCACCGTTGGCCAGCATCCCAATCCCTGGAATAACACTAAGCACATTGATGCCTTCATATTGTCCACCAGTTTCAGCGGCATTCCAAGCATAGTCATAAACAATTCGACGCATATCAGAGGCATGAGTGACATTCAAATCAGCCACCTGGATGACCAGGTCACCAGCAATAATGGGATCCCCTACTTTACTGTCCACCATAGAAAAGACTCCCCAACCAGAATTAGGAATGGAGGAAGGAGCCATCACCAAGGAGCAGCCCGGAGGAACGCGCGGGTTGATGTTGTCATTGGTGCTGGTTGATGTCGATGCTGATGGATCTTCACTATCTGTGGCGCTGGAAGCATAGCCACCAACAGCACTCAACAATGCCCACACGGCAATGCATCCTTGCGAGACCTTCATTGTCGTCTCCTTTCCTATTGCTGCAGCTCTCTCTCTCTCTCTCAAGCCCTTTTCTTATTACTTTCTGGCAATTCGATTGTCTTCGATGTGGTGAAGCTGTTTGCCAGTGCTTCCGAGAAAATGCTTTTCAAATCTTCGATGAAGGCCAACGTATCTTGACTGACGAGGGGCAGACGAAGCTCTTTCCTATCGTACAGAGACCTCAAAATTAAGATATCGGCGCAAAGTTTCCAAGCAAACTGACCTCTCCGCTCCACCACAATGCCTGTGGGGGTGACGGTTTAGGGTACCATACCAGGTACCGGTAACTGCTACGGTAGTGCCACGGTGGGCAGTCCTATCGTACTCAGAGTAGCCTTAAAATAGATTCTATTGAAGCTAGAGTTTGATTGTTTTAGTTGATGGCTGGAACCGGTATCGGTACGGTAGGTCTGGATGCCCCGTTGCGATTGTGGACCACACGGTTGCCCCATCAGCGTATGCTGCGGAAACCAAAACCTTGACAAGCATTCACTAGCTAGAGCACTACTGGTAAAACTAACTGGACTACCTGGACGTATGTGTTATTAAAAAATAGCAAGCTATAGCGGGGTTACTTGCTTCGCTTCGTGGGACCACGGTGTATCCCGACCCAACATTTAGTGATTATTATACTTCTTCTAGGGAGAAGCAACTATCTTCATGGAACCAACCTGTGGCGGCAATTCTTTGCCTGGTTCCCGTCACATCTCTCACAAGATGAGGAAGTGTCACCGAATCAAACAAAACCAGTGTCCCTGCGGCTGGAACAATATCCAAGTGATGCCCGTCGTTCTGCTGTTGAAGCACTGTTTCTTGTGACGACGACTTGGCCAATTTTGCGATTTGTGTATTGTCGTTCTTGTTGCTGGTAGCCGCAAAGCGAGGATCCAGGCGTGCTGTGGAAATTTGCTCAAAAGACGTTCGATGCTGCTTTTCCAGAAAAGCCGAAAAATCGATGGGTTGCCTCGGCACATCAAAGTCTGCCACAGATAATATTTTGGTGCCACTGCTGCTGTTATCGTTCAGTTTGTATAATGCGGATCCACCACTTGGTCGGAAGGCATCCAGAAAGACAGGTTCATTTTTGTTCAACCAGCCTACTTGAAGATTGCCATTGTGTGATCCCACTGGATGGGTGCTTTTTGTCTCTCGTGGGAAGGTTCGCAATGCCCCTCCTTCGGAATCCAACCAGCCATCGTTCAAGTAGACCAGCCAGGTGACAGACCTTCGGGTGGGTAGCATCCATCCCTTCAGGCCTTTGGTTTCTTCGTGGTGCTCGTCCAAATGGCGGCCCAGCTTGGCCCCTGGTTCATACCAATTAAATGTCATTTCGTGTTTCACAGTGCGCTCTGTGGCCAAGGTGGGACGGTCCAGACCCCGAGCCAATTGAAGACGCAATTCTCGCATACGTTTGGCGAATTCTTGACGTGCTTCCAAGTTTCCCTCATTGTCATTCCAGCCAGCTCCGCCTCGAAAGGTTTGTCGATCAGCTGCCGCCGAAAATCCTTGTCGGTTTTTGGAAAGAGCCGTGTTCGTCAAGCCGTCTGGCCGGAAATGACCTTGTTGAAAAAGGAACTGGGCATCTTTCTTGAGTGACTTTGTCAGATCTGGTGGTAACCAGCCGTGTGTGATGGAGACTTGGCCATGGCGAATCTGCTCTATTGCCTCGGGGCTGACCAAGCCGTTCACAAGCGAGAAACTGAAAGCTAAAACTAGTATCAACGCGCTACTATTCATAGTCACGAGGACCATCTTCATTTTCTGTTTGGTTGGTCGGTTTTGTTCCTTCTTGTCGGCGTCTCCTTGCCCTCCAACCACCAAACAACGAATCTTTCAGTCATGCTTCAACAGCTCCAGCACCGCCCGTGACCCAATGACACTAACACGATCCTCCTCACTCCTCTCAACTGCACCATCCTCCTCTCCTCTCAACTACATCATTCAGACCTGGCCAAACTCCTGGGCCAACAACGCCTTGGATTATCACCACGACCCTCACCTCCTGGCCCACCTCCAGGACCTACACTTCTAGAATCTTGGCCAGGCCAAGCTCCAACACCAACAACACCATGCACATACATCTCGAAGCAGAGCACCAGTCCCGGTCCCACACCCTGCCCAGTTCCTGATCATACACTGGTCCATCCGCAGACCCCATCCAAGTACCTACATTTGGCCCATCTCCAGGACCTACACCAGGCCCATTCCCTGGACAAATGTAATACCTGGTACCTGAACAACCAACGGAAAACTCATCTAGCTACTTTTAATAAAAGCGAATTGGGTTCAGAATCACAAGTCTTGAAAAATTCATCCAAAGAGTATCGAGTGCCCATGTAGCAAACAATGAAATTGAATGGAGCCTTGATCCAAATCAAAGATTGTCAGCAAAGTTGGAGCTTCTTCAGCTCCCTGTATCGCATTGCTGTGGGCTCTACTGTCCGTATGATCCTTACTATCCTTCGACCAAGAGGTTTTGCAATTTGAAACTTTCAAAACAAAGTCAGTTCAACTATATCAGCAAACTTTTCTGTGTGGGTTGTTATGCTTTTCTGTGTTGATTGTTATGAGTTTTGTCATCTTGTCACTCAATACAGTGGGCCCAGGACCCACCGAGGATCTGGATATTGCACCAATGCTCTTTGGCGATCGTTCAAGGCCACCGCTCCAGGCATATCATGAGTCTTTGGAGGTTCGATGGCAAGCTGAAAGTGAACGTGCGCAGCAACCCTAAAACAAAAAGTAGTCAGTGCTTTTTTATTGCTCTACCAAGGTGCAACACCAAGAATTGGGTGGAAACACAAAATAAAGAAACAGGAGTAACTCACCAACCACCATTCTCCGTAAAATCACCCAACTGAATATAGCCATGGTGGATTGTTTCATATCATTTTGTAAGAATGAGTCACGTAGAAAATGGTTTATGCCGAGAAAAACGAGAAATGAATCACAGAAACTTACCCGTCCAACCACCTGCCCCTTTGATATTTCTTGGCCTGGCTTTTTACCTTGAATACTGCCCTTATCCAAATGACCATATAATGCCCACATTTTGTTGCCATTGGATGGCACGGTATGTTCAATGACGACCACATTGCCGTAATCCCCCCACTCTGAATTATATCCTGCAGCATGCACCACGCCATCGGCAAAGGCATACACTTTGGTTCCCACTGGACCACCCAGATCAACACCCACATGTACGGTCCTGGCACCAGCATAACCCTCGACGGAATTCTCCAAATCTTCAAACATGTCGCTTATATACATTCCCACTCGATCTTCATCATACCGCCCAACGCTAAAGTGCCGAATACCGTGTTCTTTTCGGAACTTGGCCACAAAGAGACGAGCGGATGGTACTAAACAGCGCAAATTTAGGAACCAGGAAGGAATCTTTGCCAATTCCTTTCGCTTCTGAAGGATCTGTTCCTCGCTGGCCAGGTGGACCTTGTCGGTGGGTTTTGTGTAATCGGAAATCCTCACATGAGGCACTCTCTTCTTTGTGCTGATTGTCGAGTCATTGACATCTGCTTCTGCGAGCGCAGTCTCATTGTGCACCCAAATTGTGGGATATTTCACAACCGGGTGAAAGGATTGGCGATCTTCTTCGGTAATGCCCAGAGGATTCGGGTAGCTACCAAAGGAACTGCATAGGGCTTCCGGAACAACCCAAGATGATGAGTTTTGAGGAACAGTTGATGCATTCACCACCCAGAGCAGACGAAAACCTAACAGAGGGGCCCAAGCAGAAGCCAGACTATGAGGCTTCATCCTCAACAATGTCCTCACGCGAGTGACTGTGAAAGGAAATGCCATCTTCATGGAACCAGAGTTTTTGGTCAACTCGCTCTGCCTCGATTGCGTTTGTTTTGAGCTGATGACGAATGTGGAAATCTTATGTAAACGTTTTGAACTGGATTTATTATCTTTAATACGCGGTCATACTTGAATAAAGATTTAACATCCCTATTAATAGCTAGCTTTTAAAAGTCTGCAGCTGCCAAAGACCAAAGCTATGACTACGTGTACATCTGTCCCTTCTTTATTTGCCTTCAAGCTGACGAACTCCAAGCTGAAGAACTCCAAGCTGACCCGGTTCTGTCTCTTGGCCTGCTGCTTGGATTGAGCAAGTTGTCCAGTGCAGTGATTGAAGGCGTTGTCTGAGAGAAACATCCACGGCAAAGTGAACGAGCTCAAGGGTGATGGCGATTCGAGAGCCTCCAATCCTTCCACTCAGACACGGACGGTACCTGGGTTCCAAAGTGGTCGCCAATTGTGGCACACTTTAGTTTAGATCTACTAGACTAGTCATCTCGGCCGGGATGTTTCTTTGTCTTATCGCAGCAACCGAATGTTCTACCTCCTGCTGCCTGCTCCGGAAATCTTAAAGCAAGATACAGTGAAGTTTGAGTTGAGTGGTCAACCCTTTTCTTCGATTCGGCAGCCAGATAACTTCTAGCTAGCTAGTAGGGAGAACTTCTAGTGCGACTGTACCAGTACCAGTAGTAGAGGATTTCCCTCGAGTTGGAAATAGGACTGGTTGGCTACATGTATGCATATCGGTAGCTACGCCGGTAGCAAGATCCGAGAGTTCTCTTGTTGAAAGGAAGCCAGCGGCTCCCTCTACATTACCAAAGCCACCACCACGGAAAACCCTCTTTAGAGTAAAGTCTACTAAGTAGGGTACTACAGTACGCATACCGGTACGACACATGGATGTAGCGATACAGCGATACTCGCCACTACATAGTCTAGTAGCTAGATCATTCATTCGATTGAATTCAGGTGCACTACGTAGCTAGCTCAATCCCAACATCCGTTCTATCCCACACCTGCCAGCCCGCAAGCTTGGCGACCACTGCAATACACGGCCGCGCATCTGCCACTTGATGAAAGCCAACGAGTTCAACGTGACGACCACTGACGACCCTACTGCCCTTGCTGGTCGAGGTATTGCCCCTGCAGGTGGTGGGATCGCTGTTTACCTCCCTTACTGCCATCCTCGACAAATCAGATTTCTACAAAATATGTGAAGGCTGGAACCGCCCAATCAAAATCGTCTGCCGCTGACGTAGCCAATGAGGTGGTGAGATAACCTCTATTGTAATTAAGGGGTATACGCCATGTCAGAGATTATTTAGACAATAAATTGATTTTAGGTGCCAGTGCGACTTCAACATGTGAAGCTGACGAGATGCCTGTTAAATGAATCATCACCGTGGAACAACTGACAAGACATGAGTCAGAGAAGACATCACTACGTAAGAGTAACGGCCCGGAAGTTTTAATTGGCCACATCAGATTGCTTGTGCTTGCGTCAGAATTTGTGAGAATCTGGTCGAAGACGCGGTTTCAGGAGGTCTCGGTTGTTTGCAAGCTGAAGACATCAAGCATCAAGGAAGTTCATGCGTCAGAGCTCCCAATGAGGTACCAATCAAAGCATGGGAAGATGCGAGTCTTTCAGGCTGTCAAGCCTGCCAAGGAGCCACTGGAGTTCAAGCCGGAGTGGAGGCAACCAGCTGCAGGTCGACAGTTGGCTTACCCTTGGCCAGTTGGTTGGTATCCAACAAGCTGCTGTTCCCGATCTGCCCTGAACTATACTTGCCGGTGTCATTGGGTCGCAGATAGTATCATTAGCCTTCTGAATCGATACGACAGAGCTCCAGAACTAAGACAAGGTAGCCCATGGCAGGGATAGAGCCAAGGAAACCGAGACCTTTGAGAAGCTTAGGCAAGTCCCAAGAAACCCACGCAGTTTTGTAGCACTAGAATTCTGGCCCCCTTTTCCCTTCGCCTAGCAACTTCCTAGAAACTAAGAAATAGATATCAATTCCATAGCTACCTAGCTAGCTAGCTAGGTCCTGTTGCCATGTTGCAAAAACCCTGGGCTTCGGGCTCTCTCTAGCAAGCTACCAGTGCGAGTAGCTACTAGCAAGCGGAGCGGTGAGAGCTTCTCGAAGAAAGAGTTTCTTAGACAAGCAACGGCTTTTCTCATTTGCTTCGCAAATCCTGCATTGTGATTGGCTGACGTGGGTCTTCCTTGTGATTCCCGTGGTAAGTCGGCTGTAAAAAACCCAACCCGGAGACCCACGAAGCAGCAGGAGTTCAGAAAGGAAGACGGAAACTCCTGTTTTGGGGTCTTGAATTTTGCTTTTGGGCCAATGGCAGGTTTCATGTTTGTGCGTATGCGACGTGCTGGCTCCGCGATGACGTGTGGATCGCTGCCTTGTCCTTGTCAAATTATTCAAGTTGACATCAAACTATCTCACAAAAAACAATCGGTCTAGCGCCTCACTCAAAAAGCAATCAAGTACTTCGCAGCAGCTAAATAAAACAACTACAAATCACGATGAAGTTCTACGGCTCCCTCTTCGCTCTTGCTATGCTTTCGGGCGCATCGGCCTTTGTTTCTCAATCTCCAATGGCTGGAACCACGGCCCTCAAGTCTTCGTACTTGGACGGTATGGGACCTGGACAGCAAACCGGAACCGCAGGACCTGGTCCTCAGGTAAGTGCTCCTCTCTCGAGAGATGGAGGCTCCCAGTTCTACCCTTCCAAGTCTACCAATGGCCCCAGCAAAGGAGCCGAAGGTGTTGGAAGCCCTGATATGCGCCTTACCCGAGGAATCTGGGACAAGTTGACCCCCGTCACTGTCCAAGGAGGATCCCTTCGAACCTGGTCTGGAACCAGCTCGTCTGTCGAGCGTGTCCAGGTTTTCTTGAAGACCGATGGACGTCCCCTGAACGCCGATGTCGATCTCTGGCAGGGACCTGACAACACTCCTCAGAAGATGAAGATCTACATTGAGGATGGAGCCATGCGCCCCCTGAGTGCTGTCATCGCCACCCCCCGAGGACCCAACGCAATTGCCATCCGCAACACGGGACACTTGGAATTCCCATTGGCCGCATGTGTGTTGGCTGATGCAGAGAACACTGTGGGAGATGTCATTGAAGATATTACCGACATGAAGACCATTCAAGGAGGAGCCATCCACACTTATCCTTTCGCCCCTGCTGTTGCCAGTGTCTCTGTCCTTTTGCGAACGGATGGACGCCCACTCAACGCCAGAATCGAGCTCTTGCAAGGTCCCAACAATAACAAGCAAGTTATTGAGGTATACACAGAAGATGGTCGGGAACGTCCTTTCTTCGCCGTTATCGAGACCCCAGGAACCGGAAACGTCGTGCGTATTGTAAACACAGCCACAGTTGAATTCCCAATGACTGCCGCTGTCGAACCATACCTCGTTGAGAAGATTGAGGCTGGCACCATGCAAGACGGAGGAGATGGTTTCTTCATTGTTGACCGTCAGTGGTAAGGATGAAGCGAGCTACAAGGGCGAGGAGAATTGAAGAGATGCATGGATGGTTGTGCCGCCACGAAAACGTGCCGGCACGGAAAAGAAACCCTTGGAAGCAGAATCTGATGCCTACCGAACGATTGGATGAAATGAATGCTTCGACTGTCAGTTATAACTATCTATCTATTAGTTTGTATACCTAAAGAAGACCGCGGGTGATAAAGAAAAAAACATAATAAAAAAAATACACTTGAAAACTTCTTCTTGCCTCCTTTAACCGCAGCCTTTAGCTCTCCCACTAGCAGCACCAACAACACTAACTTGGTTGCACCTTCCGCGAGCACCTATACTTGGAACGCTTGTTGCTCTGATGGATCCATCAATCTTGATGGATGTGTCTTGAGGATTGGATGGCCGGCAGATGTTCATCGACCATTAGCCATCTTGAGGGGTTGCCAAGGTCAGCTCAAGACAACCCCTCCAAGGTCAAGACAAGGTGCTCGGGTACTTGCCTGTCGATCCACAAGCAGAATCCAGCCGGCGGTGGAGCACCACCAGTTCGATTGCCTCCAAGCCAACGAGAAGTCTCCCACCAAGCCGGTGCCGTAGAGGCACTACGGTACCCAGAGCCCAGAGGCAAACACGAGCAGCCTCCGTGTTACTAGCTATAGCTAGCTAGCCAGTTCTGCCGTAGTAAACTGCCGGTCCTCCAAGCAGCACCTTACCTATTGCCCACCCAGGGAGTGGACGATATCGAAGATGACAAGAAAGAGGGCAATATGACAAAGTACGTCAGAGACAAGGTCATTGGTCCAACAAGAAAAAGGAATAAATGCGTCGTCCAGTTTCAGACGCTTGGCGACATTGCGCAAAGCTCATTCGTCCAGGCGGTCCGAACGGTTTCTTTGTCAAAAATGACATACTTGGTGCGAATTTGGATCACGGTCTTAGACTTCCATGGGATTGCGGTGGGATCCAAATATTGTCAATCACGAAAAGACGGTCATATTTCCCACGAGGCTGCCAGTCAAGAAGTAAAATTTTATGTGACTGACTGATGAAAAAGCAGACCAGTCACAGTTTAGTTTACTATAGCAATTGTGTACTTACTAGATGGATTCGCAAGAACAAAGAGCATTGAGGATTTAGCTTCCGGTTCCCCGTGCTTTTACCTGATCACGGTTGAAGCCACCGGTAAAGGTGTTTTACGGGGTAAATCAATCGTGTTTTGTTATCGTTACCATCCACCATGAGAGAAAGAAGCTTTTGAAAAGTGGTTCAGACTAACACATTTGCATTGGCACTATAGCGACCAGTATCTTATACCTGTGGTCCTGTGGTTGTCTTCATATCGATATTTCCGGAAGAAGGACAAGGCGTCTACTCAACAGTACCGGTACTAGTACGAGAGAAAGAGAGGGACCCATTAAAAGTTCAGACGCCAGAGCAATCTGCCTCCAGAGCATCCAAATATGAAAGCAAACGCGAATGAATCAAAAGCAGGTAGCCGAGGTGATGGGGCAAGGCTTCCTCCTGTCTCAGTTGAGGATGAAAATGTGAAGGTAGACGGTGACGTCGTTGACATTATTGATGTTGATGAATGGATGGATGGCAAGCAATCCGCGGCGGTGTCAACAACAGCCAAAGTCTGTGGCGACACAGTTGACAGCTTCACTCTGGGAGAGTTCTCTTGTGAGATTGATGTTGATGACTTGATATCCAATGAACACCAGCTTCCATTTCATAGTGCCAGGAAAGGCCGGGAAGAAGTCCCATTATCTCATTATCCAGATATGGACGAGGTATCGGGCCCAAAAGACCACTACCTCAGCAGTGGCGGTAGAAGCGGACTCCATGATGCTGATGGTGACACGAATAGTGGCTTCTCGGTAATGCCAGACCCTCTGACCCTTCGATCAAGCCCTGCAATTACAAGACGACAACCCTCTCCCGGTGCATTTCGCATCAACCCAACTCATCGCTCCAATCCACCCGACGACGATGACGACGCCGGTACAGTGCAGATCTTGTCTTGCGCAGATGATACCACCTATCGTAGCGACATTCCCAGCACATCTCCAGCACATCTACAACACGAGGATATGTTGGTACAGGCGACTCTAGTGACCGATGGGGACTCGGTTGATCCGTTGCCGTCGTTTCTAGAGGATCCAGAACAACAACATCCTGACCCCACGGAAAGCTCTTCATCGGACATTGCTTTGGTTGAAGCCAAGCCAATGGACGAAAAAGCGCCCTCCTCCTTCCGAAATCAGCTCCAAAGCAAGTGGACACAGTTCCATATTCTGCTGGTGATGGGACTTGCTTCCACTGCCCTTGCTCTGGGATTGCTTTTGATCGGAGGGCGCGAAGACGAAGGATCTCCAGTCACTTTCTCGTCCAACAACGGCAACCTTCGGCAAACGATTCCACCCATTGCTCCAATGCCTGTAGAGGAACAAACCAATACTCCAGCTGCGACAACTACGCCCACCACTAGTGAAGAAGCAGGAACAGCCGGCGTTGTCAACCTGAAAGACAATCAACAACTTACACTGCCAACAGGAGTTCCCACTATGGCACCAACTGTAATCCCCTCCACATCTCCTTCCTTCATGCCAACGTCACAAGACACTTCTTTTCTTCGAGAATTTTACTCTCTCCTCCCGGATTACAGCACTTCCGCCATGCAGGACCCTGAGTCTCCTCAATTCAAGTCTTTCCAGTGGTTGAGTTTGGACCCGTATCTGGAAACATACTCCCTTGACCAAGTGACGCAACGGTTTGCCCTTTCAACAGTCTTGACAGCCATTGGCATCTCAACATCTATCATCAACGACGTCGAAATGCATGGCGTTCACGAGTGTGGTTGGGCCCCCATGAATCTGAAATGTGAAGACCAAAAGCTAACATACATATTGTTGAACAACTTTGACCTGACGGGATCGTTGCCTCTGGAAGTGGGCCTGCTGACGTCCCTGCGGAGAATCGAGATGAGCACCAACACTTTGACAAGCAGCATCCCAACCACTGTTGGTCTCATCAAGGGACTTGAGGGCCTCGACTTGCAACACAACAACCTCTCCGGGGAGTTACCACAGGAGTTATCGTCCTTGACTCTTTTGCAAGAACTCAATCTCAACAACAACAGGTTCTCCACCAGCATTCCTTCTACGCTGGGCCTGCTCATAAATCTGCAGCGACTTTCTCTGGCCCACAACGCACTAACCGGGACAATTCCCGATACAATTGGATCACTCTACAACATCACAGTGCTGGAGTTGCAGGATAATGCGCTGGAGGGGATGCTGCCCATCGACGTTTGCGCCCTTCAGGAGTGGTCTGGTTTGAGCCAAATATCGGTGGATTGCTCCGAGGTCGCCTGCTATTGCATCTGCGTGTGCTACACGGACCACCCTGAGAGCAACCACGAAAGCTCCGACGACTCGGATTGACTGCTCCGAGACTGACTGCTAACTGCTAATGCATACAGCATGTGTTGCTGCAAATTATTTGATTGTCTTCTTGCTAAATTAGATTTGATGTGGCTGTCTAGGAAATCTTAGGGTTCTTCCCCAAAAGGATCGACGTTGCCTTACCAGCAGTTGGTTTGAGAGGTCGACGAGGGCTTCCCTTCTCCTCTAATGCACAAACTATGTGCTCCAACTCGTCATGCTCAGCAGCAAGTTGCTCAACCTCGGCAGGGGTCAAGTTGAGGGCTAAATCGCCGATGCGCAGTCGCTGCTTGTTTGTGAGTTCTTCCTGAAAGTAGTGCTCCAGCATTTTCATAATATCATCGGTCGCCATGAACGACATGAGGATTTTCGAGTCGATTCTGCCAGGCCGAATAAGAGCTGGATCCAGCTGTTCGGGATGGTTGGTAGTCATGATCAGCATACGCCCAGGCGTATCAACTACTCCATCGAGCACGTTGAGGAGGCCGCTGAGGCTCAACTTGTCCTTGTTGTAGCTGCTGTAGGCAGCCTTCTTGGGTTTGTCGTTGCCTCCTCCATCTGCTGTAGCCACCCCTTCAGGCAAGAATGGGCCCACGAGAAGCTCGGTCGTCTGTTGACCAATCGCTTGAGCTCCATCGGCCATCACGGCGTCAAGAGACGGTTCTCTCTCGACAGGAGTTGCCGTTCCGCTGCTAGGTACAGACATACTAGTGCTAGCCCCGGGGATACTCAGTAGCTCCTGGACAAGCGCGTCATTGACGTCCGCCCCCTGCTCCAGCAGTGCCTTGAGCGGCTTGACGTGCATGCCCAAGTACTTATCCACAGTTTCCCTGCCTTCGATGGTAGCGTTAGCGGTTTCCAGGGCGTCCTCTCCGATCTTTGCTAGAGTTCCATCAGCCGAGCCCACCAAACCAAGCCCAGGGAGCTGCGACATGCCAGAAGCCAAGGATCTGACAACCTCCGGTTTGGTTGCTTCTGCCTTCAATCGGTCAGACTTCTCCATCAGCTCTTTCACCAACTCGCGACAGTCTTCATCACTGCTCTCAAGGAGCATTCTCCAGATGCTCTTTGCAGGAGGCAGTTCCAAGTTCTCCTTTTGCAGATCGTCCGCTTTCTTGCCATCACGCCTCTTCACCACATTCGTCGCAGCGTCGACGTCCTCGAGCACGTAGATCACATCCTTGTAACCAAGCTGTCGTATTAAGTCGTATTAAAAATGCAACAAAAGTAACAAGAGTGAGCGCAAAGATCTCGGGAACAAAAGGGGTAATGGAAATACGTGCCTTGATGGCCACATCTTCTCCTTGGACCGAGTATCGGTTGTCAAAGAAAACGGATTGCAACTCTGGATTGGCAAATCATAGTGTGAGATAAAGTTGCTGCCTCTTGGCTTCTTCAAACCAAATCATACAGCCAATGTCCTTTGGTCCTCACCTGTGTTAGTTCTAATCTTGGCCAAGGGCACATTGACAATGGACCTGCCAGTGTGGTTTGCCAAAGCTTTGATCATGGAGGTTTTCTGCACAAACGAATGCAAGGGTTTTCAGTGAGCCAATCAGACGAGAACAACACCGGAGCAGCCAGGAAAACACTCAGGAAAACACTCACTCCGGTTCCAGGCGGTCCATGAAGGAGCAACCCGAGCTTATGTGGGAAGCCCTTGATGGAAAACCTTCCAGTCTTATCTTGGAAGTGCTGCACAGTCTTGAGCAGCTTCTCTTTCTCCTTGAAGAAAAGAGATTCGAATGTCTTTTCGTCACTCAGCTTGTACCTCTTGTAGGTTGCGTTGCTTGCGCCGTCTTCGGATTCGACCTTGTTGAGCTCGTAGTAGTGGCGGGAGTTGTCCTCTAGCTTTCGGAGCTCGTCCAAATACCAGCTGTATGCTTTGTCCACGAAATCATCAATACTTGTCGGTCCTCGTGATCGTAAATGGTACTTCAGAGTTGTTCTTTCTTTCTCCGCCTCATTTCTCCCGATTGTGTCTGCCACCTCGACGATAAAGAGCTCCACTGTATACTGAGATTGAGTGCCATATTTTCCAAGGTTATGCCACCGTCCATGAATGAGCTGCTTCACGAGTTTGTACTCTGCAAGTTGGCCCACCACGGTCTTTGGCCCATCATCTTCGTCGTCGTCAGACCAGTATCCTTCATTTTTCTTGGTATTGGCAGATGTGGATGTCAGGTCCAGGTTTGCAGCATCCATTTTGACCTTGCAACATGAATGAACGTAAAGCTTGATGGCTTTGATCAACACGGAGTTCTGCGTATCATGGTCGAGACTGGTGTGTGGATTGCTACTCCACGAGTCCGTCTGCGTGACGCTCTTGGAAACAAGGAATCTTTCGTGGTATCCTCGCCACCGGACCCACCATTGGACCCAAAGCCCATTGCTGAAGAGACCATCTTTCAAGGATTCCATGTTGGAAAAGATGAACCGGATCAATAGAGGGATGCACATGGCAATGATCAAATCCAGTTGCACTGAGGACAGATGGAAGGAGAGCGCAACGTCAGAAATGCAAAAGTGCAGCAGTGTATCAATTAACCCAACGTACCATTGCCAGTCTTCATTGCGTTAAGGATGCCCATAGTCTGAAGGCCATCGATGTTTTCGTGCTCGGACATTATTTCTTTAGCACCTACTAGCTAGCTACGGTAGAAGTTAGAAACGTTGTTGGTGTCTTTTTGGATTTTTCCTCTCTTCTTCGGAGATTTTGTGAGATCTTCCCTCCACTCCCTCCACTCCCTCCACTTCGCTGGCTCACGCTTTTGAATGGACGCACGTTTCAGACAAATTGAAAACAGCTAAAGCACGAAGCACCAGCTCCAGCTCCAGTCGCAGTTGACGTGTGCCGTCGAAACCGTTTCGGACTGGCAAGGTGGTGGCTGTGTTGAACTTCAAATGCTAATGGGGCTTTAGATAGACTAGGGAACATATCTACGAAAACTGTAATGCATGCTTTGGCCACGGCAAAAATGATGCAGAAGCCTAGCTTGTTGGGATCCGTGAATACAAGATGACAGGCCTTGTACAACATTTGAGGTTTCTCTCTTGTCGTGGTGGGTCCATCTTGAGCAAGGTGCTACAGAGGAGCGACTCCGTCATTTGAGGAAACCAACATGTCTCTCTCTCAAGCTATGAATTGACAATCAAGTCCCTTTCCAGCTAGCAAGGGCCATGATGCTAGTGGTATTTGGAGGTCGGTTGCCTCATTGGCCAAATTTTGTGAAGCTCAGGTGGTATAGGCGGAGCAGGTGGACTGTAGTGGATAGAAGCAAGGCCAATAGCATGGGCTCAAAATTAATTTCGTCAGCCATGTCCTCCAACAGAATTCAGTTTCCCATATCCATGTCCTCCAACAGAATTCAGTTTCCCATATGCATAAGCCATTGTATGACCATTCGTACAGAGCCAACTGCTTCATTGGCGAAACCCCTTTGTACAATTCAGCATTCTGGCCAGTCCGGTTGCAATGCACCCTGAGCTGCTGATACAGGACGCTTGCTGCCCCAATTTCACTGTTGCAATTGGAAGATGCACGGGGCACGGCAGCGGCAACTCTTGGTCCATCTACTGACCAGATCATAGACAAAACCAAGTATTACCATCTGATGGGTCTTTCCATTGATCTCCTCGCCAACAACTTCCCAACTTGCTTGAGTTCCATTATTGAAGCATAGAAGACATGGCCTGAAACAACTCCCACATTATAACCCTGGCAATCTCCAACAGCTTGACAAGGTGGTTACAGCGAAGTCACTACTCATGTCAAGGGTTCCCAGCTGCTCCCAGCCTCCATTGTTCTGCCAAGGGACCACCCGTATGTTGGGATGTCCATGTCTCCAGGAAATCGAACAGCTCTACTTGAGTGCCATCCACATTGATGGCCAACATCAAACTAGCTAGACCATTCCCAGTGTAGCAAATAATAACTACTAATCATTGAGTCAAATCAAACCATTCCCAGGGAAACTGCCTCCTCCCAGCTTGAGCCGGCTTTGCTCAACAGGGACATTCAGTCTTCGAGAAGTGATTCAACATGAGGCTCTGCTGGCTTACTTCGCAACGTCAGTACCGGCCAGCACCACCACATCAAAAGCGAAGAGGTGAGTGAACAAGGACAAGAAAAGCATCTGGAAAACATCACGTCAGCATCTCTGAATTGGTGGGGTTGTCCACGTTGTGCATCTTTGTCCAAGCTGCAACAGCCCCGCCAATGAGAAAAAGTCGGCTGAGGTCTTAAAAATTTTTTCTCAATAACTTTCGTTGTCGATCATCGACCATCACTCCGCTCACCTCATTTTGTGGTTTGCAGCAGACCCTTTATCCTGAGACGAGATAGATTGCATTCGATTTCCTTTATTGTTGTAAAGACGGCGGCTACAGTATTCTTCAAGTTTGAAACGAGAATGTCCACCATGTCCCCAGCAGAGACAACCTCAGAATTCTACCCTCCTATGACCGGTGTTTCGATCGCTGACAAGAGGAGTAAAAGACCACGACCCTACAGTGCTTTGGTTCCCTTCTTGGCCCTTGCGGCCCACTTGCTTGTTCCAGCGGACGCCTTTACTTCGGGAGCAGGGAGACGCCCGAATGTCTTTCCCAATCTCCACACCAGAACAAGCCATTATCCCCAATTACACTCTTCGAAACTCGTGGGAAGAGGTCATCGGGTCCAAAGGTCCTCCCGAGCACGAAGAAACCGACCCTCCAAGTTTTTTGTGGCGTCCTCTACCCGGTCTTTGAACACTGCCAGCGAGAACATCTTTGGCAGTCGCAGCAATAATAATAACAATGAGGAAGAATATCCGTGGGAATGCATTATTGACCCCACCTGTTGCGATGATTGCCTCGATATGGCAGACCATTATCAGCAACTGAGCAATGATCAAAGCCAACACATGATGATTGACTTTGGCACGTGGGCCAAAAATGAAGAAGACGAAGATAGAGTCACCTTCGCCGACAAGGTGTCCATGACGGCCGCGTTTGCAACGGCAGCCTCGGCATTTGCACTCTTGCTCGTGTGGTCGGGACCTGGTGCTTGGAGATTCTTTTTGGCCGGTGGTCTCTGTGCAGCCACATCGCATGCCATTCCAACTCCCATTGATGTAGTCAAGGTACGGAACAAGACGGGTGATATTGGGGATCCAGGGAGTCTGCGTGGGTGGGAGTTTGATCGTTCTTGACGCAGGGCTCACGATTGTTTTTTCTTCTGCTCTGCTCCTGTTTCATTCCTAATTGAATGAATTGTACGAAGACCCGAAAACAAGTTGACCCAGAGTTGCAGGAGTTGGGTTTTGTGCAAGCCACGCAAAAGATTGTCAAAGACGAGGGCGTGGGTACTCTGTTAGCTGGTCTTGGCCCGACTGTGTTTGGATACTTGCTTGAGGGATCCATGGTAAGGAACGACAGGACCATAATATATGCATAGTGACGCAAACGCCACAAGCATAATTCCTGACACATCATTGCGGTTTATTCGTTGCCTGTAGAAATTTGGAGTGTACGAAGCACTCAAGCCAGTTGTCAAACGAGGACTCGGCTCCTTGGCGGAAGCAACCTCTCTCGCAATTTTGCGGTCCCAAATGATTGCCTTTATCGTTTCGGGGTGTATAGCCGGAACGGCTGCTTCTATTGTTTTGTGCCCAATGGAAGCCTTGCGAATCCGTCTTGTGTCCGAACCAGACTTTGCTCCCAAAGGATGGATACAGGGCGGTCGTAGGATGATTAAGCGCGAGGGAGTGCTCAGCCTTTGGAGAGGCATTGCACCACAAACCTTCAAACAAGTGCCCTACACTGTGACCAAGAATGTTTCTTTTGATTATTTCACAAAACTCGCCTACCGGACAGCAATTGCCTACGGATTTTCCATGAACCATGCCACCAAGTTCACCATTCCCGTTGTATCGGCCATTCTTGCCAGTATTTTGTCTTGTATCAGCAGCCAGCCAGGTGACACACTACTCAGCCTTGTCAGCGCAAGGCAAAAAGAAAACAGATCGGCAAGCGATATCGCGCGGGATATTTTGCGAAGTGAAAAGGGGTTCCGTGGATTTTTTGTCGGGTTGAATTGTCGATTGTATCATGTGGGCATTATTGTGACGCTCCAACTTGTTTTGTACGATGTTCTGAAGCGACTGTGTGGAGGTATTGCAACGGGATCATGTGGACATTAGCCATCTTTTATCGAAAGGGATGGCTAAGGGAAACGAATTCCTAACCCCTGGACGTCTACATGAACACACACGCACACGACAAGACAGCAGACACACTACACAACAAAAGCGCATCCACACCACGACGACACGACAACAATCTTTTGTCTCTTCTACACACCATATATCGTTCTCCGCCCTCCCTCAGGGCCCGGGCTGCGTTTACTCGACAGCGCCTGACACATTGCTCAACGGAGTGCATTCGGATGAATGAATGATTCAACACCAACTTTCAGATAGTGTAAAATCGATACCAATACGTAGACCGTATATTATGAAAAGGGAACGCCTCGATTAAACACGATGGACGATGGCAGCCCAGGTGCGTGAGCATTGCGGGGAAACTTGAGGAAACGTGCCAGCCCGCCCATAGAGCACATGTTGGATTGGTATGAGTCTTTTCTATTCAAAGTATATCTATTCGGCGCGCAGTTCCAAGGGCTGACCACCAAAGGCCGGACTCTCCATATCATCAAAGTCAGACTCCGAATCGGACAGAAGAAGAGGAGTGTTCTCCGAAATGGTATGTTCGCTCTTCTCGTCGTCCTCGAGGACTGAAGATGCGCCGCCGCCCCGTGCATGATGGATCGACCAAATCGCAGTCAGGAAAGTCCCCAGCATCGACACGAGCACGGCAACACCGCTGGGTGTCATCCCACTGTCCTGAAGGAAACCACAGAACAGTGCCGACGATGACTCCGACAAGAGAGCAAAGGCGCCATCCACAGCCGACACACGACCCAGCAGGCCCGGAGCTGAAAGCTTCTGAATCAGCAAGGACGAGCTGATCCAAGTAACCGATGTACCAACGGATCGAACAGCTGTGAAGAGGCAAACAGTCCAGAGGGCAGGGAAAACGCCGATGCCAAAACAGCCCAATGCCGTGAAGCCGAGCCCAACAATGCACGACATCTGAATCCTTCGCAGCTGTTTCATGTCCGTCGAGTAGTTCACAACCAAAGACCCAAGGAAGCTCCCAAAACCGACGAAAGCAAAGATACAACCGAGGTTTGCTGCGTCCTTCGTGGCGCTCGATCCGGGTGTTTCTGAAAGGCTAACATTGAGTATGTCAGCTGCCCCGCAGAGAATCGCCACGGACGCCTTCAGCAAGACAAGGACTCCCCATGAATTCTGCCACAGGTACCCGATACCGTCCGCAGTCATCTCGCCGATGGTGCTACACAAAGAGGAATTGCAATCGGAGCCAGTAGACTTCGGTGGGGCCCATTCTCCACCCATCAACCATATAAGGAAGGCGCTAGCGAGGAACGTGAAGCAATCTGTGACTGCAAATCGTTTGCAAACGGCACCAAAAGGAAGGTGAGATTGTCAGATATCAGCCCTAGCTACGCCCCGCACCGGGTCTAACAAAGCGACGAACACTTACAGAAACATGCGCGTAAACCCACCCGAGACACAATGAGACCTCCCAGCGACGAACCGAGAGCGGCGAACACCGACCAACAGAGCCCCAACAAGGTTGTTGCAGTCTTAAGTTCGTCCTCATGAGACACCAGCATGGGGGTAAGGGCAGATTTACATGGCTCGTACAAACCGGTGATACTTTGCTGCAGTAGCGTGATGAGGTATACGAGAGCTATTGGGCTTCGACTGTCAATTGCAACGAGGAAGAGTAGTGGACACGCAGCACCGAGAAGATCCAATCGGATCATCGATTGCCTACGGTCATAACCATCCGCCAGGACTCCCCCGAACGGGCTGAGTAGCACAATCGGGAGAAACCTACAGGCAATGAGGACGCTGACGGCGGACTGCGATGGTTCCCCTTCTCTCAGGAGCTTTTCTTCGATCATAGTAATGGAGGCAATGTAGGTGAGCCAACCACCGATCCTAGCCAGCATGAAACTGAACAAGAAAAGACGAAATTCTCGGTTGTTGAAAACCAAAAGTGTGGCTTTTCCTGCAGGTTTTTGCTGCGTCTCATCCCCGCATTGCGATCTCAGATCGAGGAGCAGGTCTTGGGCAAGCTGCTCTTGCGTTTCTATATCTATATCTTTCATATTGTTATCAGGTTGTCTATTCGAATGCCACTGAAATATCGTGTTGGCTTGAGTGGATTGGTTTTCTATGGTAGCCGTCTCGGCATCCGCATGTTCCGAAGGAAGGTCAAGCTCAAGGCGTCCCGTGTTTCGGCCTGGCACGTCTCGCATTTCGAATCGAATCGAATCATCGAATCTCAATCGATTGAATGATTCAATCATTCGATTCGATTGAATCTCAATCGGATCGAATCATTCGATTATTCAAGACGTAAGTGTTGCTGTGTGAGTCTTTGGTCCACTGGTCGCATCACTCCCTCCACTTTGCCCCCCTTTCCTTTGCTGCTGCATCCATCTGCTCAAGCTTTCCAATGGCTGCCGAGTCCGCAATTACCAATGCTGCCATTGGCACTGTACCATGCCAGGGTTCAGTTTGGTCTCAAGATTTGGAAGGATTGACCCAGAAAAACCATGAATGCGAGCCATTACAGCACTGCTGATGTACCTAACACGGCTGGCAATTTGCGACAGATGAATCTGACGCCGACAACAGGCCAGTCTTCTCTTGAAGCCCAGTGGGGAATTCCTGAATAGGCCTGTTTGCACCTCCTCCAAGAATGTGAAATACAATCCAAGCCACAAATATGGCAACACCGAGAATCCCTGTGACCAAAGCCGCCTCGTGAGCATCGAGCTTGAATCGATCCATGAGAATCCCACAAATGCATGCCATGAGTCCCTCCGACAGGTACACTAGTGCCGTTTGCACAGACGTGACACGTCCGAGCATGCCTGGAGGAGAATATTTCTGGACTAACAGCGAAGTGTCAATGGCAGTAATGTTGTCCCCCGCAGACCGGATTGCCGTGCACAAGCAGACCATGGAATAAGACAAGGATGGGACACTCATGGCGATGCAGCTGAACGCTGCCACGCCCATTCCCAATATGCAAGCCTTTTGGTGGGATGCGGGAATGTCCATGCGAGTGCAGTGATCCGAGATCAGAGGTCCCACAATGCACCCCACTCCAGCGCTAGCAAGCAGATACCCCAGCCGTGCGGCATTGTCACTGGCACTTCTGGTGTCGTTTCCGTTGCCATAGTCAGCCTCGCTGAAAGCCACTGCCAGAACATCACATGCCCCGTAGATGATGGCCCCAGATGTTTTCATCATCACAAAGGCTCCACAGGGATTGGATTGTAAGAATGCAATGCCTTCCATCGTCATTCGTTGGACCGTGCACCAAGGAGATTCATTGTCTTTCTGGGGCTCTCCCTCCGACGAAGCCTTCCAGTTGCCTCCAATGCGCGATAGAAGAAAAGCACTGAAAAGGTATGACGTGCTATCCACAACTTTTGTTGAAATTAGGAAAAGTGGAATCAACCAACAAGAATCGTTGTCAGTAAAGTGAAAGAGCGAGTTGAGCTGCACAGCTATTCGTGGTAGCATAGAAAGGAGATAGAGGCATAGTACTCACGGAAACATGTACGAAACCCAAACCATCCCACGACCAGTCCTCCCGCCGCCGAGGAAAGAGTGTACACGACCGACCAGGTTAATTCTGTGAGGGTGGTTGCCTTTTGCAAGAAATCTTCGTTTGTGGCGAGCAGTGGCAACATGGCCCACATGTTGGGTTCGTGCAATCCTGCCACGGTATACTTGAGAAATGTTGTCACGTATAGGATCCAGAGGGATTGTAGTTGCATGGCCAAGAGGTAGAATGATGGGATGATGGCGCCAACCAAGTTAAGAAAGATCATGGCTTGTCGACGATCTTGAGTGTCTGCCCACGCACCGGCAAATGGAGCGACCAGTACTGTCGGCAAGACCGTACAAACGATGAAGATACTGACGGCCGTTCTGGATTGGCCCGTACCATTTTCTTCTACTGCTATTGGCGACGACGACTCTCTTTGAATCTGTTCAATGAGCGAGATGCAAGCAATATAGGTGAGCCACTCTCCAATGAGGGTGGCGGTATAGCTGATTTGGTAGAGCCTGTAGGCTCGGTTGTTCTTGATGAGATTCCAATAGGTCGCTTCCAACTTGAGAATGTTGTCTTGCTGCCATTCTCTGTTGCCTTGCTTGAGCTCATCGACAGCACCAGGTAGTAGCGCCACTTCCTCATTATCAATTGCACCATAGTCCCTTGCGACAGGCTGAGAGGTTCCCCCCAGGTCCATCTCCTTGCCTTGGATATCTCCACAGAGCTTTTTCTCTGGGATAGGATGGCACGAAAGTATAAAGAGGCAGAAGCAGACAAGAGAGGCCCCCAAAAGCACGCACCTTAAGGTTTTGAGTTTCAAGGGTATCATGCATATAATATGTATCGTACGTATCGTATGTATCGTACGTATCGTATGTATTGTACATATTGTACATATCATACGTATTGTACGTATCATATATATCGTACGTATTATACGCGCGAACGTGGACCAATGAGAACTCCCTTCCCTTGATCAGCAGCTTGATCAGCAGCAGCCATTTTTAAAAAGCACACCAACAACAAAAACACCACCATCCACACTTCTTCTTCTCTCCTCTTGTTGCTCCTGCTATTGTTGCTTCTGTTGTTATTCAGCTATCACACCATCTCTACCACTACTATCAGGTACATTTACTCAGCTTCCTGCTTGTGAAATGGTCAGAGAGAGTGGCTATTCATCAGATCAGCAAAAGTTGATGTCATATCACCCTCTCTTCTTTCCTCCCTCCATGCCATACCCAAGTCTCTCAACAATGCTTTTCACTCTTTCTCTATTATTCATAGACTGATAGAACAAGGTGAACAAGGAAGGACACCACCCAGGAAGTCAAGGAAGTCAAGAAACAGCACATTTCCATTTCACCAGTAGATCACAGTACTGAAATCCTGTAAGTACCCTTTGTATCGTACGTATGATATATATAATATGTATCGTATGTATGATACGTATGGTATATATTGTATGTATCATACAAACCTTTTGTATGATATGTATGATATCATCGTATGTATGATATGTATCGTATGTATCGTATGTACTATATCTATTATATGTATCATGTATATCATGCATATTTCTGTATTGTACTGACTGCAATCTTTGTTTCTGCTGTTTGTATATGGCTTTATTCATAGGTATCATGGCTGAAGGTGACACTAACCCCATGGGGGACGATGCCTTAGCAGAAATGCAAATAGATGAAGTGCGCGCTCCTCCTGGCCCGGACAATTGTGGACCTTTTTGGCGTTGGAAATCTCTGAAGAGCAGCTTGTCGAGTGTGTGAAGGAAAGATTCCCTTGTTTTAAGGTCTTATGTTGATCCCAAGAAGAAGGGCAAGATTCAGCTTCATACTATCTTAGACCCACAGGATAAAGTCTACTGTCTGGACTGCGTGGCTCATGCTATTGGTTTACCCGAAGACAAGATACCTTTAAACCCCCAGTCCCTCAAGCTTCACAAGGCAGGCACGTCATTGTACCAGCATTGCATGGGCAAGACGGGTAAGACTAAGGGTGTTAAGAAAGCAAATGTCTCAAGTGTTTTGTTGTGGTTGCACAGAATGTCCGTGATAGACGTGCTGCAGCTGCTCAACAAGAAGCAGAGGAGCAGCGCAAGATTTTGGCAGAGAAGGAGCGTGCTGCTGAGGAAGCTGCCCGTCTAGCTGAATCCGCTCGTCCCTTTCAACCAGTTGAAGCCGAAACAATGACGGTGGAATCATTGTGCAAGCAGTTTCTTGGAAACTTCCAAAGGCTCTTTCATCTTCGTCAAAAGCAGCAACTTCGACCCGTGCCAGAGTATTAGCACTGTGCAAAAGTGGCATTGCATCTCTATAGAACCAGCGAAAAACCCAACGTGGTGCCGCCGGAAAATAGGCAAAGGTATGACTGAATGTTTGCCATCTGCAGCTTTGCCTGATTCAGTCTGTAGCTCTCTCTTCTCCGCATTTGTTTTGAAAGTAATATCACCTGATTTATACTCGGGGTACATTCGGAAGAGCCGCTGTGCACTTTCTGTTGTCCATGCTAGTGCAAGAAGAATCAAGCCCGATCCAGTAATGGATAATGCATTCTAACCTTTTCAGAAAATGCTGCAGCACTGTCGACTTCATCAGCCAGAGCATTGAATCAATGTCTTGAGGAGCGACACCTCTTCGTCTTTGTCTAAATCTCAGGTGTCCAGTTTCAAAATTGGCAAACAAGACTACAAAAGCCTTTGTCTTATCTGACTGGAGCCGTGCGAGTAGCCGGTCAGCTGCTGTTTGGGCAACATCATTCAGTTCAGCAAGATAGGTATCCATATTGGTCGTTGTGACACTTTGGTGGGTGCTTCAGTTCAGAGAGATCTGGCAACTTGGAGAACTGGCGAAAATTCGTCATATCATATGATACATATTGTATATATTATATATCATATATATCATATATATCATATATATCATATGTTAATATATATAATAATATTATATCATCTGATTTTTATGATAATTGTGTTTTGTATGATACATATGATACGTATCATGCGTATGATATATATGATACGTATTGTATAGTATAACCCTTCCTCTAAGGTGCGTGCTTTTGGGGGCTTGTCAAAAATGAGCTGTAATGTTGAGACATGCATTCGTTAAGCCTTTCACTCGAGTTTAGGTTTTTTATTTATTCGCTCTGACGAACCTTCTGACGATCGCGTGTTGTTTTCCTCATCACCATTCATCTTTGGAGGTTGTTGCCGTGGCAAAACCCATCATCACAGCTTCCAGCTATCGACGATTGGTGCTGTTCATTCTATTGAATCTCCATTGGCAGTGTGTGGACCATAGAATTCGTGTTGCGATACCATATTTTTCTCTATTGATCGAGAGATACCAAAGAATCCATTCAAGTCTTCTTTCCAGCAAATTACAAGAATGGCGACAATTAATGCGTCCACGATGCTCAAGGTCAAGGTCCCGGCCAAGGGCGCAGCGGCCAAGAAAGGAGCTGCTGGGAAAAGGGCTGTTGGCAAGGGTAAAGGCGGCGCCATGGCTCGCCGTTCATCTATGGCCCCGGCTTTGAAACCTGCCATTTTGACCACTCCACAAGCCATTTCCTCGTTAAAGGCGGCCGAAAAGGACGAACAAAAACGACAAATTCAAGATTTCTTGCGCAAGGCTTTGGGGGCCGAAGTATTGGTTGATAAGAGCACACCTCATCAGGCATCTTCCACCAAAAGTCGATCCGAGGGGGCGGCCGATGTCGCCACTGCTGCCAAAGAAATGGGATTGGTCTTTGTGTTGAAACAATGTGGCGTAATTGATGAATTGCAGCGCATGCTGTTTCCACAAGGGGATGTCCATGCCTTGCTCGAGAGAGGAAATGAAGACGATGACAAACCCAGTGGCTTGAAGCCAAGTGCTTCTGCCCTCAGTCTAGCCAGTATGGATGCTGACATTGGTGATGCGACTACTGCGACGAGTGTCACATCCAACGGAACGGATGCTAATCGAGGAAAAACAACACCCCCCAATGCACGGGAAGGAAGTCTTTTGATCATCCGGGCTTTGTGCGAAATCGTCGGAAGACCGGCGGAACCTTATATTGTCGGCGCCTTTTTGGCAGCGGCATTGGATGAATGTGGTAGCAATTCCACTTCTATTCGCGGGGTAGCCGAAGATACCACCGTGGCACTCATAAAATTGGCCCATGCGTGGGCATTCCCCGCCATATTATGCCCACTCTTATTGCAGTCGCTTAAATCCAGTGAATGGAGAGTCAAACACAATGCCCTCGAACGGCTCGAGTTGTGTGCGTCGACGGCACCGGATCAAGTCAATCGACTCTTGCCAAAACTCATCCCGGCAATTACCAACCAAGTGTGGGATACCAAAGCACAAGTCTCCAAAGCTGCTGGAGCGACACTCTTGGCGATCTGCATGACGGGCAAAAACCCCGATGTGGCTTCGTCCATTCCTGCCGTCGTCAAGGCCATCTCCAAACCATCCGAAACCAACAAGGCCGTTTCGGAACTCATGGGGACCACCTTTGTGGTACCGGTGGATGCACCAACACTGTCTATTTTGTGTCCCGTCTTGTCGCGGGCTCTGAAAGAAAAATTGGCGATACACAAACGGTCGGCTTGTATTGTCATCTCCAACATGAGTCGATTAGTTGAAACGCCTTCGGCAGTCGCACCGTTTGGACCACTGCTGGTCCCCGAACTCAAGCGAGTAGCCACCAATGTACAGTTTGAAGAAATCCGTGACGAAGCCTTGAAGGCTTTATCCAACCTGACCAAGGCTTTGGGTGAATCTTACCAAGCCGCACAAGATTCGGCAGGCGTCGACAAGATGACGGAACAAATGGGCGAAGTAGACTTGGAGCAAAAGCGAATTCAGGAAGAAAAGGATGCCGAGGCCAAGCGACAAGAGGAAATTGCCAAGAAAGAGGCCGAGGAAAAAAGAAAGTTCAAGGAAGCCATGGATGCGCAACGAGAGCTGGACAGGATTGCCCGGGAGGAAGCAGACAAAAATCGAAAGGAGGAAGAAGCCAAGAGAGAAAAACAAAAACTTAGCACAAAGAGTGCTACCGGGTAAGTGAAATGATTGACTTCGTTTCTTGGTTCTGGTAACAGTTGAATGCATTCCGTCCGACTCGCTCGCTCACTGGCTTGTTTCGTTGACTGATCATTTCCAACCTCTACAGAAAATGCCAATCTTGCGGACTCAAAAGGTGCAAGAAAACATGCCTGTTCTACGGAAAGTAGACGGGACACCGGTATGAAAGTCTATAGCTACAAGCTCAAGTTTCTACGAATTCATACACGTGCACCGGTACTCCGGTCAAAAGACTCCTCTAGCACCCATTTGCTAGCTGAGTGTTTTCCTGGTAGTAATAGAACTGCAGTAATATAGCAGCAACGTACTCTTGGCTGCAGAAAGTACCCTTGTCCAATATTCTTGGTTCCTTAAACGTACGGTACATGTACATGTAGTCTGCTGTGCCCAGTGCTGCTCTAGCTAGATCTTAGAGTGCTATCAGTGCCAGCTACCGGCAGCTAGATAGATTCTGGTTATGGCGCGATCCAAGCGTGTGAAAGCAAAAGCAAGTGAGATTGATGTGTGTGGATGATGAATGAATCGAATTATTCGATTCTATTCGATCATTCCAATCGAATGATCGATTCGATTGAATGACGAATCATTCGATTTGCTTGAACCCGAGCCTTATGTTGAACGCTATCTCTAAACTCTTATCAGGTTATGCGCCTCATACCTGACCGAGGATGAACCGAACGACGATCGCTCGATAAAGGCACGATGACAATTCCAGCCGTCCAACAACCTGTTGACCGAGACCTGAACCAACAACACCAACAAAAGCTTTGAGCACTGAAGCAGGTGGATCTGTAGGCGAAACTCCCGTAAGTCGAAGCAGATGGAAATGGTTTCCGTGGTTTACCGAAAGAATTCTGAGCGTGGCAGCCAGAGGATGCCTGCCGATTGCTGCGATGTCTCTTGGATGTTGCCTTTTTTGCTTTGGAGGGCTTTGATGATGGAAGCCTTCTGTTGTTGTCTAGCTAGACGCGAAGATACACGTTTAACCAAGAGCTCGATTGATTCTCACTTTGTGTTGTCTGGTTTCTGCGTTGGATCTTCTAGCTAGGTGGTACTTTACACAGCACACCTAAAGCAAAGGACCAAGCGAGAAAACCCAACCTAGCTAAGCGACCAAAAGCAGCGATGAATCCGGACGCGTCCTCTTGGAAGCCATCGGCCGCGGCAGCGGCATGGACTCCCGTCGGCACGGCAAGCCCAGCCCCTGCCCCACCGGCTCCCACTCCAGCCAATACACCCGCCACACAACGACAAGAGTCCATGGAAGAATCCGACATTGATGAGAATGATCCCCTCTGGCAGGCTGTGCTCAAAATTGCCGAAGGTGATCGAGCACGCGCCGAAAAGATGTTGGCGGATCCAGATCAATTGGCTCAGTATCCAGAGATAGTAGCTCTACTAGCGGCAGGAGGAGAAGGAGACGATTGGGAGGCAGACTTGGCAGAAGAAACCAAAGAAAAAATGACTGTAGAAGAGCCACCATCAAAGCCGGAAGCGGCAAAGCCAATGGAAGTGGCTGAGGAGCCGGCAATTGACCCTGCTTCACTGAAAGAAGGTGATCCTCGTGAGCATTTGAACTTAGTCTTTATTGGTCACGTTGATGCAGGAAAGTCAACTTTGAGTGGAAACATCCTGTATTTGACAGACAACGTCGACAAACGAACAATTGAACGCTACGAAAAGGAGGCCAAGGAACGCAACCGTGAATCATGGTTCTTGGCATTCATCATGGACACAAACGAAGAGGAACGAGCCAAGGGAAAGACAGTCGAAGTTGGAAAAGCCCACCTTGAAACAGACATCAAACGATACACCATTCTCGATGCCCCAGGTCACAAAAACTACGTACCCAATATGATCATGGGAGCCAGTCAAGCCGACGTTGGTGTTCTTGTCATCTCGGCTCGTAAGGGAGAATTCGAAACTGGTTTTGATCGTGGTGGCCAAACCCGAGAACACGCCATGTTGGCCAAGACGTTGGGTGTATCCTTCCTCGTTGTTGTGGTCAACAAGATGGATGACCCTACAGTGCAGTGGAAAAAGGAACGTTACGATGAATGTGTCACGAAACTGCGTCCTTTCCTGAAAGGGTGTGGGTTTGTCATCAAACGAGAGGTCAAGTTCCTTCCCATCTCTGGGCTGAGTGGTGCCAATGTGAAGGATGAGGTAGACCCATCAGTCTGTCCGTGGTGGAAGAAGAGCTACACGAATGGCGACAACAACACAAGTATCCCAACCCTCATTAGCCTGTTAGATTCTTTGGAAATCAAGGGACGCGACCCGGCGGCTCCACTGCGCATTCCTGTGATTGAACGATACACGGATCGCGGAACAATTGCCATGGGCAAGGTGGAGAGTGGAATTATCCGTGTTGGCATGAAGGTGACTTTGATGCCCACAAGGAATACTTACAAAGTTGGTGGGGTGTGGGCGAATGAAGATCCCGTTGCGGGAGCACGACCGGGTGAGAATGTGTTGGTGAAATTGGATGGTGCAGGAGTGGAAGATGTTCGAAAAGGTTTTGTTATTTGCACACAGCCGACCTGTCGAGCAGTGGACAAAATCATTTGCAAGATACACGTGATGGATATGCCCGACAACACAAAGATTATGACAGCAGGGTTCCAAGCGATCTTCCACGCCCATGCATGTGAAGAGGAGTGCACATTGGTCAAGATCTTCGAGACAACAAATCGTAAGAAGCTAGTTCAGAAGGGTGCGCGTTTTGCTAGCGTCGGTATGCAAGTGATCTGTATGCTCGAGTTGGCACGAACAGTTCCCGTGGAGACGTTCGAGGACATGAATTTTCTGGGACGATTCACACTCCGAACGGAAGGAAAGACTGTTGCCATTGGTATCATCACCAAGCTTCCACCTCGAAAGGATTAAATCCAATACGCATAGACGGTTGGTAAATTCTACTAAGGCTCCCCGTTGCGCTGTACTGTACCCCTACGTTGGTCGCGATGGATGTGCGTGGTTAAATGCGAGAAAACAACATACTATTAGACTGTTACAATACAATATGTTCATGCTTTACTGGTACATTGCTATTTACAGCAAGCCTGCTTGAAACTCTTGATGTTGTGGTGTCGACTCCACCGGTACTCGACTGTGCAGGTACGATGGATTCATGTTCACAGGCTTCTTCTTCTCCGACAGGCCGCCCAAAAGATTTGACATGAGCGGGCCAATGGCGCTCGAAAGCGCACTTGCAGAAGAACCGGCTTCACTGAAGGCTCTGTACTGGTAAGCGCCAGGTCTGCTGCTGATGTAGCTCCCTCCTGAAGACCCTGTCATACGCCGGTACTGCTCTGGACGTTGGTGATGGTAGTCGCTGTGGTAGCCCGTCGTTGAAACCGTAAGGTCGTCCTCGTCCTCCCATCTCTTTGAGTGCCCTGTTTCAGGCAGTCTGATAACATTGGAAGTGCGAAAGGTTTCATTGACAAACTGATCCGTCTCGTGCGACGATACACCAGGCAACGAAGGCGCAGACGCTCTAGAATCTGGTCTTGGGTCTTCAACGTGCTTCCGGTATTGCACTACGGCAGAATACTCGATCGAATCAGTGAACTTGGAGAAGAGCTCTGGGGTGCTCAATGGTGGAGGTCTCCGTTCGGCTTGGGAAACCGCCTTGGTCATGATGGCGCGCTGATCAGTGGTCAAAAAATCATTGCGAAAACTGCAGTAGAAGCACGATGAAAAAGCGATATGTAAGCGGCATAATGAAAGCAGGCGGTTCGTGCGGGCCTGACATATAATTTCCTTCTTACCTGAGCGTCAAAGGGCGCCCACGGGCTTTGATGGATTTTCTGATGCTATCAAAAGTCCACCTTCCGACCTCTACAGAGACTCCATCAAAGGCCACAAGTCGCGCCCCCAACTTTGGTCGTATGTTGTTGCCGGAATCATCGAATCCCTCAAATCCACACACAAGTACAGCGTCAACTGGAGTGGCAACCTGCAAACAAGCATCCGAGTTTGGTTCTCCGTGGTCAACATCGTTCTTTGCCCAAGTAGCAATTGCAGCGACTCGCTTCAGCTCCGAAGCAGTCTTATCCGCGCCACGAGGATCTCCCGCAAGATCAGATGTCATTGCATCAGTCAGCAAGCCCCGCGGCTTAACTGGAGGTGCTGGGACCTTTTGAAACTGAAGCCCGATTTTCTGTGTATAGAACGTGAGATGATAAATTTGAAGTTCGTCTTGGTACCTTTGAGGTCCCACAGAAGCGAATTCATCCTTAGGTTTTGTCTGCACCACGTCCGCCAGGGGGCAAACCAGCCTGGAGGTGGCCTGAGTTCGAGCAACATTGATCGGTTTGAAGTATTCCATTTTGTCGTCTCCGTCTTCCGTTCGCCTTAACTCTTCCATCTCATCCTGATCTAACTGCAGAATTGGATTTGGTCGCAGAGGTGTGCTAATGGGCCTACCTCCCGAGCTGCCACTTTCACCCCCGAAAGAAGCAGCGACGCTGCTGATGGACCGTCCATCAATATCCACGGGTTTCGGGAATCCGCTCTCATCGACAACCATTTCTGGAGGTTGCAGCGACGAAGCCTCGCCGTCTTCATCATCTGCCCCTTCAAGAGCAACACGTTTAGAAATGTTGCCCTCGACTTCTCCGCTGTCCGCTTCAGATTCGGTCTCAAAAGAGCTCCGATCAAAAAGGGAAGGTAGTGGCGAATCGCGAGGGCGGGAAGAATGCGAAAGAAGAGGAAGTGATGGCGGCGGTTTGGCAGGAGTAGTGTGATGAACGACGGTAGCTGCAGTACTTGTTGTGTCCATTCGAGCGAAGCGAATATTCCTCACACCCGACTGAGTCGAGGCTGTTGTTGTTGCTGTACTATTGCAGGAGGAAGGTACAGCTGGGTCATGAAGGCGCCTGGCATTCGACGTAGGTTCTGCATCTTTGTCTTGCTGATCTCCCTTGACAGCTGATGCCGATATGAACTCCTCGTGCAGTCGAATGCTCGACACCACATGCTCCTCCAACTCATTGATCAGTCGTTCCTCTTCGTCACTGCCAATCGTTGCATCATCTTCCACGTCCATCTCGGGAAGCCCCAATGCATATTTCATCCTTGGCTGTGTCGTTAGATGTTGTCGTTGCTGCGAGTGGTATCCCATTTGTTGAGCAAGCAGATGCTGCTGCTGTTGCTGCAACTGTTGTTGCTTTTTCTGTACTTCCATCAACGACTTCACTTCTCGAACCAGCACTCGCTTTTCTCGTTTTTTCTGCTTGAGTGTCTTTCGAATGCTGCAATTCTCCTCCCACAAATTGCAAAGCTGTTTCTCTGCCTTGGTCATCCGAGCTTGCAGCGCCTTTGAGACATCCTGAGCCGCTTTTGTATCTTCCACCGCAGCAATGGCCTCTTCCGATGACAATCGTACATTCTCCCGCAGTTGTTGACATGCATTGATCAGAGCCGGAAAGTGTTGTCCTGGTGCGTCCAGCTGTTCGATAATATTGCTGCTTTCAAAGAGGGCTGCCGCGGCCTCTTCGGCGGCGGCATCATCGTCCAGTAACGAGACATCCCGAGGCCCCTTATCAACATTGTCATCATCCTCAGCCGGCTCCTCGTTTTCCCTGGCAGTGTTTCGATCTTTCTGCTCGTCCGTGGAAGCCTCAGTTTCAGTTTCGTTGCGAGTGCCCGGCTCGTTTGAATTAGTCTCGTTAGCATTGCCTTCCGTGGCCACTTTCTCTACAGCCTTTGCGGTGGTTTTTGCAGCAGGATTATCCTTGCCAATCGCTACGGCAAGATCGTTGCCATCACCCTCTTGCCGATCGCTGTCTTTCTCTGCATTAAACATGACTGCGTCGCCCGTCTCCCCTTGATCGTCAGTCCTTTCTTTTGCTTCTTCCCCAGTTTTCTCATTGTCAGCATGAGTGGTTGTTGTCGTTGGCATTTTCCGCACGTGATTGGCCAGTACCCGAATGGTTTCATCCAATTGTTCAAACTGTCCCTTCCATCGTCGTGCATCTTCCAGAGCCCCATCCCGGTCTTGTTCCACATAAGCATAATGTTCCAATTGTCGTTTCAAATCCTCAATTTCATTCTTTGCGTTCGCCAATTCTTGTTGTGATTCTTCCCATTTCGATCGAACATGGGACAATCGTTCTTGCTGTAGCGATTGACACCATTCTTGCGCCTGTTCGGGAGTTCGTGCTTCCAAATGTATGGTCCTTGCATGGTTGGGCCATTTTAATTCGAGTCGCGATCGCCCATCGGGTAATGTTTCGACAATCTGGACTGTGGCATCGTCCATGGCAATGGCTCCTCGTGGTACAGTGTCACTGGGAGACAAAAAGTAGTAGAGATATGTGGAGGGTTGTAGCACAAAGAATCGGCGTTTGTACGTATGAATGTTGGTTCCTAATTTCTGCAGAAACCCAGCTCTGGGAGCCAATCGGGCCAAATCAGTGGCATTGGGTGGTTCTGGCACGGCTGATAATTGTTGTTGTTGTTGTGAAGGATGAGAGGCTGCCTGACGTGGAGGTGGTTGTGAATTGCCATGAGCATGATGTTGAGGATGATGTTGTTTTCTAGCAGGCGAAGAGGAGGACCCAGAAACGCCAATTCCCTTGAGTAGATGCTGCATCATTCCCTCCTGTTTGTTGTTGTTTTGATGGGCAGCATTGCCATGGGTTGCACTACTGGAGCCAGAAGGCGGCAATGGAGCCGATGGGTCCAGTACCAAAGGAGAAGGCGGTGGCACATCGTCTACATAATCGAGTCCAATTCCTGGAAATGGGGATTGTTGTTGCTGGGATGGTGGAAAGTACTCTTGCTGCTGGTGTCGAAATCGTTCTTGGCGAGAGACGCTGGCAATGCTACCCTGATAGTGTTGAGCCGATGGTGGTGTCTGTCTTGTTGCCATGTGAACATTATTTCTGGGAGTTTCATATTGTTGTTGCTGCTGGTAATGGTGCTGTTGTGGCCGTCTGTGACTGTGCCATTGACTGCTGGAGACAGGGATCACAGGATGCTGCTGCTGTCGTTGTGGCCGGTGATGGTGGCGTCCTCCACCAGTGGAGGAATTCATTGTAACCGCCAAAGCTGTCCCTAGCTAGTATTGGTGGTAGCTCTGCAGTAGCAACAGGAACCCGGCCAATCCTCCTACAGTACTCAAGAGACTCTTGGAATTGAGGAAGGACGGATAGCTACTAGCCGACGAGATCAAATGGGAAGATGGTGGTGGTGGTGTCCAGAAAAAGCGGCATCAGGATTGATTGCGGAAACGGAACCTCCTGAAGACGGTTTCTCCTCTACCGTACCGATAGCTGTCCAGCCTTGTCCACCTCTGTGCAACAATTGAAATATCCAAGTTTCTTCTTCTTATACTCGTTCTGCTCCAATAACAACTCTAGCTAGAATGTGGTCCCCGAGCATCAGAATAAGGCCGCTGTCCTCATCATTGTCGGCTGCCACCGCATTCATGCTGCATGCACCAAACATAAAACGGTCAATTAGAGCTCATATTGCTTTTTACACAAGAGGTTTAAATCTTTGGGTTTCCCAGGACTTTTTTCAATTTTTTCGGCGAACCCAAGGGATGGAGTAAACTTGTTAGGATGCACCCAGTCTCCCTTTTTTAATGTTGCAGGGTAAGCCGAGCATCGTGGATCGAAAACGTGGAAAACACTTTCCACGTTTTCTTAACACCATGCATTCTCCTCTGCAAAAACACTTGTTATTAGATAACATACTAGTACACAAGACACTGCGTCAATCAAATCCGCATCTTCGCACCTCCTTCGTCACTCCGACTCAACAGAGACATTTAAAGAAACAGCATTGAACTGAGCATCCTATGACAAGGCAACCCAACCCAATCAGCACTGTCAAGACCTTCGGGACACCACACTGCAGCCTATGCAACAGGGGGCGACTGGAGATACTGAAACTATCCAGAGAATCACATGAAAAGCTGATCAACTCCTGCAACGAAATCTATGGAGCCTGCCAACATCAATCACAATTTTATAAGTACCACAATAGCTAGCCCAAGCACTGATGATTCCCATGGGGGATGAAAAAGTCAAACAACCGAAAAGTTACCACAGAGTGAAAGCTCGTGTTTTAGCCATTCAGCAGTTTGTGAGCAAACTTACTTAGGTCAGTCGCTTTGTGCTAAAATCGTATGAGTCTGTGGAGTTATTCAATTCTTATCTACATGTACCGTAGGGTTTGTGGAGAAAAAGGTCGATCAAAACTGTCAAAGCTAATGTCAAATCAAAAAAGAGGATTTCCCCCCATGCTGACGATGTGCGAATCGAATCATCAATTAGTGGGTGGGCGCAAGTTTCCAGGTGCATCCCGGCTACCGGTTCCACGTGGGTGATGGAGTGTTGAGTTTTGGCTGTGGAGCACCCATTGTCATTTCCAGCCAGCAGAAGTTGAATGCACGGAGTAGTACCGATGCTGAAGTGATTGAAGTGGATGATTTGATGAATGATGAATAAGATTTTGAACCAAGCTCTATCTTGCAGCTCAAAGTGTTGATGTTCAAGAGAATACTTTGCATCAGGACAAAAAGAGCACAATCACATTGGCGGAGAACGGGAAGAGCAGTACTGGCAAACACACATGTGCTTTGAATGTCAGGTTTATTTATCATGGCCAAGTGAACCAAGGCAACCTTCGAGAACCAAGGCAACCTTCGAGTTGTCTACTGTCCCACATCAGACATGCATATTGACTACCTCACTAGCCCATGTAGGGCAACAGCTAAGGCAACAAGGCAACCCATTCCATGAGCATCACCCACATTATCATGACACATCCCCCCTTAGCTTTTAGATATTACTCTCTACGTTTGCACATGTGGGGACGATTTGTACCGGTATGTTCGGTAAAGTACCGGTATCATACCTGGTACCGGCATAACAAAAGACTGCATCCTCAGGAGTTTCACCCCCACGGTATCCAAAAGCAGTCATTGGAAAGTTGTAAAGAACTTTTGAAGTAGAGAAGTGTTCTCCGGAAGCCATGGAGGGTGGAGGGCAGACGCCCATTTCAAGATTTCAAGCGCAGCGGTGCAAGCGAAGGGACGGAGGACGGAGGCTTGAACAAAATACAGTCATTTCATTTCGAGGAGCGCAAGAAAAGATCACTCTTCGTTTTCGGCTCAGCTCGAGATCGTAGTAATTATAAACCAAGGGACTAGTACAGCTGAGTGTTACTGTATTCACAATTCACTCATTCACTTCAACAAATAGTATGAACACCAGTGGCGGCCAAGATGTTCCTTCTGCTGTACCGGTACCACCGGTACGGGTACCAGGAACTCACATGCCGGTAGTAGTCCAGTCGGAGCCAACTGTTCCAAAACAAAGCTCAATAGAAGGAGTTGATGATGCAACCTCGGAAGGTGCCCAACGACGTGTCTCGAGAGAAACAGTGGAGCGTATTAGTCGCCCTGCTGCTTCGGCGGAAACCGGAGCGAGCGACGTAAGGCAAGCTGTTGGAATCAACAAAAAGTCACGTTGGTCCTTGTCTAGTAGTAGGAGTTAACAGTCAACGCCAAGCACCCTTTCGAAGCCAGTCATCCTTTCGCAGCCAACGCCAATCATCCTTTCGCTCCGTACCAGGAGCACGCAGTGTCCGATCTGCACCCGCAAGAACGAAATCTGGACCCGCAAGAACAAGACGAAGCTCGCAAGGAGAGTTGGATGAAGAAGAATCCTCGGAAGAATTCATCATGGGAGTTGTGAGAGAAAGAGCCAATGATAGCCCTACATCAAAGAAGAAGGCGCAGGCCGGGGGTAGACGACGACTTCGGAAACCTATTCGACACTCTCGTTCGTTTGATGCACCCACTCGTGGTGGTAGATCCGTACGAGGTCGACCATTACGCGCCAGTCTACAGTCATCCCCAGGATCCAACCGGCGCAATGGTCCTCCCCCCGAAAAAGAGGAGGTGGTTGAAGTGCATCCCGCCACCTCGGAAGACGCTGCGGCCTCGCTAGTAGTGGATGCGGAAGCATCATCACTCGCCACAAGGAATAGTTTGAAGGAGGGACAGCCGGGAGCATTTAGTGCCATGGCACAGGCAGAATCGTCTCTGGCGATGAAGCATGTTTTGATGGATGATCCAGGCAATAGTGTGGAGCAGCCTGAAGCAGCAACGACATCGCCTGCTTCAGCATATGAGCCTGCACCACTCCCAGAAACGACAGAACTTGGATCGACTCAGACGAATTCCAAAGTCATCTCACCACAGTTGGTTGCCTCTTTTGATGTCAAAACAAATGTAGAGAGCAGTCGTCTACCTGGTGCAGAAAGTGTTCGTGGCCCAGGTGCGGAGGCAGATGCCTATGATGACTTTAGTCAACAAGATTCATTCGACGAAGAAAATCCTGCGGATGATGACTCTGCGGCTGCGGGGTGTATGCCGGTATCGGAAGGGGTGTCATCTGGGTCGATTGTTAGCGATGATGATGTTCTTGTGGAAGCTCGCCTGGTGGACGACAGCAGCAAGGGGTTCCTTGTCGTAGAAGCCAAACCCGCTCAGGAGGTTAAAGACTTGAAATGCCAGGACATGCTCAAGAATCCAAAGGTGCGGTGGTCGTTTACAGGCTTGATTTGCCTCATGTCTGCGGTTGTCTTGGCTATCATACTCGCCTTCACCCTGGGTGGTGGTGGTGACAACCAAGAAGAAAGCGGCAATGCGGAACAGGGCGGTGCCAGCAACGGAGCTGAGGGTGCGCATTCCCCAGCAGCACCAGAAGCATCCAAGACTTATCCTCCAATCAAGTCAGGTGCATCACCAGTATTGTTGGATGCCCTAGGGGGGGGGCTGCTAGAATCCACTCGGGTAGCACTAACACAACCTCGCCACAATTCCGGGCCCAGCAGTGGTTGTTACAGCACCCCAACTTGGATGAATATCCACCTCACAGGATACTCCAAAGGTGGGCTCTGGCTACATTCTACTATGCAACAGAGGGCGATTCTTGGCGTTCAAGAACCAACTGGCTTGACAAAACAATTGCGGAGTGTGACTGGATCATTGACGGATTTCCATGCCAAGGTGACATCTTGGATAGAATTGGTCTTGGGGGCAACAATCTGGATGGCAGCATTCCTCCAGAGTTGTTCCTGATTTCAAGTCTTCAGGTCTTGGATCTTTCTGCCAATGTGGCTCTCAGAGGTACTCTCCCTTCTACGATTGGATTACTGGACAAACTTCAATTTGTCTATGTCGATGAAACGGGCATCAGTGGCTCCATCCCGACAGAACTAGGCAGAGCCACGAGTCTGGAAGCTGTGGTTTTCTTTTCTATCGATTCACTTTCTGGAACTCTGCCAAGTGAATTGGGTCTCCTGACCAACTTGCAGGAACTTACGATTCGGGAGGTAAAACTCAACGGGGCGACTATACCCTCGGAATTGGGAAACCTCCAAAATTTGACAAATTTGGACTTATCTGTTGCAAATCTTCAAGGAACGCTGCCCAGCGAATTGGGCCGTCTCACAAACCTCGAGGGATTGAATCTAGGATCAAACAAGGACTTGGTTGGGACTATTCCCACAGAGTACTCTCGCTTGACTACCTTGTCGCAGGGCGGCGGGTTGGAAGTGGAAATCACCGGCCTTGTTGGATCCATCCCTCCAAGCCTGTGTCTTGTGGTTATTGCAACGGAAACCAACCTGACAGGATGCTAGCCAGCGTTGGCAATTCCACGGCTTTATTGCGAGCTGCTTGGTGGGGCCAAAACGCACTGAATACGACTAATATATAAGTACATGTTGAATATGAAGGTTGGCAGCTGGACAACGGCAAGAGCTAGGTATAGTATGCACATTTGGGTGCGATATGGATTCGATTCTTCATCACCCTATCTTCCGCTTACTATCCTTCCATTTCCAACACAGCAACGAGCCCAAAGTGATCAGACGGCCATATAGTTTTGGCGCTGTCAAAAGGTTCCACGCCAAGACGCTCGATGGCGGTCGGAACACACATGTATTTGGGCGGAGCTTGCATAGGTTGAGATATTGAGTGTTCAGCCAGATCCATCATTACGATGCGATCATACCGAACTTGTTTGTGCTTGCCATGGGCCTCAAATCTCATTTGGTTCTGATAGGTGTCTTCCGTGTATCCTGGATCATTCTTTGGTTTGAGAAGCTTCCACAAGTCAGTGCTGTTGGCGTCCACCACCTCGTTCTCGGCGTAGGACGGATCCAAGTTGAAGTCGCCAACCAGAAACGCCACATGGGGCTTGATGTCCTTCGTGTTACCACACGGAGTCTCTTTCATATCGGAAAACAGTGCATCGAGCTGTTTCCTTCGTGTCATCTCCATGTGCCTCCCGCTTTCCAAATGTGTCGCGACCACTCGGATCTTGGCAGGAGTGTCGTTCTTCTTGCGGGAAGACGATGATGCCACCTCGAGGTCTACCAAGAGCCCTCTTCTGCCGTAAATGCTCTCCAATGGCAGGGTATTCGTCGAATTTACTTCCAACCTGCTGGAATCCTTTCGAATCCAAATGGCGCAGTCATACCCATGAGGCAAACTCAATTCTGTGGGCTCGTACCGACTGCGGAGGTATTGGCAGTTCAGCATGCAGCGGTGGACATTGGTAGTTACTTCCTGGAAACAAAGAACATCTGGATGCTGCTGTAGACACTCGGACAGAAGGGCTTCCAATCGCAATTCCCATTCATATGGAGCAAACCAAATGTTCCAAGTAATGATGGTAAACGTGTTGTTTTTGCTTTGCCGTTTAGGAGGAAAGGGCAGCTTTTGAAGTTTTTGGCTGAGCCAGTCAACCTCCAAAGGATCTTTTCTGCCCAAGGTCGATAATGTGTCGTCGTTGTCTCGTTTCATCTTGTCGGCTAGTTTCCAGGAGCTAGTTGATGTAAGGAGCTGAGTTTGTTTGGATTTTGATTGTGAGGGTTGTTTTAGATTGTTCAAAGAGCAATGACAAAAAGGGGTTCTGTCGTGTCGTGCTGAGACGTGACTGAGGCTGAGCGAAGGAGTTCTTCACCGTAGGATCGCACGTAGCAATCCTACTGAGAGCCCACAAAATCCTTCGCGATCATTCGATCTCGATCATTGACCACAAGAACCCTTGTCTCACAACAAACTTGCGGAAGCGACGCATTCTCGAATCAAATCAACACGACAATAGATAGACAACCATGAAGATTGAAGAAGTGACAGAAGACAAGAGTCCTGCCGAGCTACTGAGCTTGGGAGACGCCTGCTTTGTGGACGAAGACTTTGAAGCCAGCATTGACGCGTACGCCGCTGCTCTGAGCGTGGTGGGTGACGATGACAAGACGCTGCAGTTTCGCTGTTTGTCTCATCGTTCGGCAGCATTCTATCGTCTCCGCCGCAACAACGAGGCTCTGGAGGATGCCCGGGAAGCGTTGGAATTGTTGAGCAGCAGCAACAACAGCATCGCTGCGCTGCGAGCGGGAGAAAGCGAAATGTGCCACAAACGTGCTGGAGTGGCGGCCATGAATATGCAAGATTTCACTACGGCCAAGACATATTTTGAACAAGCTCAACAGCTGGCTACTCTCAATCGAGGAGACGAGAAAGCCTACAAATCGTACCTGAAACAGTGTGATTACAATCTCAAGCCTCGCGAAAAGCCGTCCATGCCAATGCCATCTGGAAAGGATCTTCCATCGCCACCCACAGAGACAAAGCCAGCTCTAAAAAAGCAAGCAGTAGCAGCCAAACCAGTCGCAAAGGCACCCGAAAAACCCAAGCCAGTAATCTCTCCTCCCAAACCCAGCAGCAAAGCTCCTCCTTCCAACAAAAAACCTGTTACTGGAATGCCCAAGTATCAATATTACCAAAACGACAAATTCGTCAAGATTGAATTGCTCGAACCCAATGTCCAAGAGTCGGACTTGGAGGTTCGTTTTGAAGAAACTCATTTGACTGTCAAATTGACCAAAAATGCTGTCCCCTACACTGTCATTTCCGGACACCTCTACAATGAAGTCGATGTGGAAGGATGCAAAACCATCTTCAAGGGAGAAAAGGTTCTCATCAAACTCAAAAAACAAAATCTCAATTTTGAATGGCAGGAATTGTTGGGAAAACGAACCTTCAAAGAACCAACTCCTAGCACTACCGCTGCAGCAGCAGGTGAAACCAAACAAGACGACAATGGAGTCGAAACGAGCCCTCCTCCTCCTGCTGACTCGTCGGATTCTTCTCCCCGCGTACGACCTTACGCCAGTCACAAGGATTGGGACCAGATTGAAAAAGAGTTGACCGATCAGGAAAAGAGTGAAAAACCAGAAGGAGACGAAGCCATGAACAAATTGTTTCAGCAGATTTATGCCACTGCGGTACGTTGTGCTTTGTGATTGTTTATGCCTTTCTTGTTTCCGCCGAGGAGGAATCCTAACACGTGTTGCATTGCTTTTTCTCTCGTGCAAAAGGATGATGAGACCCGCCGTGCCATGGTCAAGAGCTACCAGACTTCTGGAGGCACCGTGCTTTCGACCAACTGGAATGAAGTCAAGGAAAAGGATTACGAAAAGGAGCGCACCGCACCCAAGGGCATGGAATGGAAAAACTGGGAAGGCGACAAGCTGCCTCAGAGTGACGACTAGATAATATTATTATGGAAATACGACTGGGATAAAGCGATCGATCGAAAGCAGCGAAAGAAAATGGGAATGTGATCGCAATTCATACTGTACGGCACCAAAGAGGAATATCAACCGAGCAAGATAGGGCGTGCGTAGCGCCTTGGACGACCAGCATCGCAGCAAACCAGAAAGACGCAAAGCACAGTCGTCTCGTAGCGTTTCTAGTATGCACAAAAGCTGTAACTATTTATATTTAGAAGCAGCGAACTTCTTTGATTGTTGTTCCAACATGAGAAGGCCCGGTTCAGCAATATCTTCAGAATGTTCATTGTCGTGAGGGTCGTTGTGGATCCTGTATGATTCTCTGTGTCTGTCTACCGTAGCTGGTCTCGCCTCCTCAATCAGACACTCTCTTTTAGCGTTGTCCCGGGCCCATTCAGAATGCACTTTGATTTCCTGCACTCTTAGTCATATCGAGCCACTACACAGCTAATGTCATCCACCTTGCCACCAAGGCCATCTTGAAATTTTGGGTCCCCCCATCGTTTGGCCAGCGTAGCATATGGTGTTGGCGCTTTGGAATTCAATGATACTTTTCGAGAACGGTCAGAAACTCGTTTGGCAATTGCTCCGGCCTTTGCTGGACCAGAATTGACAACCTGTACTAACTCAGAATCTCCAAGGTTGTCGAAGATGCCATCTGATCCCATCAACACAATGTCACCTCGCATTAATTCGAAACTCAACTTGCGAACATCCCTTGGTCGATCAGGAGAAATGTCAGACAGTTGATAGGGGCAATCAAAGTAGTGGATGATTTCTACTGTCTTTGCCACAATTCTGTCCCCTCGTATCACAACACAGACAGAGTCACCCAAGTTCACAGCACGAAGAACGCCATCGTCCGTAATGCATGCAACAATGGCAGTTGAAGCACCTGTGGCTTTCTTATCAGCGATCTCAGCAGCAGCCAGCAGATTGTCTTGCATATCCTTGATGGCCAGCTCCTTGCCATTTCCAACCAATTTTGGCATTTGTCGTGCTAGCATTTTAGAGTACAGTGGTTTGCCATCCAGCTTGTCAGCTCCTGACACACCATCAAACACCCCAAATGTTCGTCCTTTTGTGAACACAGCATCCTCACCACCCCACAAGATCTTGGATGGGTGAGGAAGAACACATGATGCAATGTCAACCTTGATTGGCGTTATCTTCTCCTCAACAATATTCTGCTCCTCAGCAGCAACTGAGGCCGGTTTGGCTTCAGCAGAGGCTAACCTTTGTTCTTCTGCCACTCTCTTTGCTTCTGCAGCCTCAGCTTTCCTTGCCTCTTGTTCAGCTCTCTTGGCCTCCGCTGCGGCCTTCCTTTCTTCTTCTGCGATTCTCTTTGCTTCAGCCGCCTCAGCTTTCCTCGCCTCTTGTTCGGCTCTCTTGGCCTCTGCGGCCGCCTTCCTCTCTTCTGCAGCAATTCTCTTTGCTTCAGCCACCTCGGCTTTCCTCGCCTCTTGTTCAGCTCTCCTTTCCTCGGCTGCCAACATGTCTGCTTCTGCTTTCTGCTCTGCCTCAGCTTTCCTCACTAACTCCCTCATCTTCCTTTCTTCTTCAGCTTGCTTCTTTGCCTGGGCCTCAGCTTTGGCCTGTTTCTTTGCCTCAGCTGCCTTTCTCCTGTCCTCTTCTTGCTTAGCCTTTGCTTTAGCCTCTGCCTGCTTCTTTGCCTCAGCAGCCTTTCTCCTGTCCTCTTCTTGCTTAGCCTTTGCTCGAGCCTTAGCCTGCTTCTTTGCCTCAGCAGCCTTTCTCTTGTCAGCTTCTTGCTTAGCCTTTGATCGAGCCTCCAAAGCCCTTTTTTCTTCCTGCTTTCGCAACTGCTCCTCCTGTTTTCTCCTTTCCTCCTCCTGTTTTCTCAATTGTTCTTCTTGCTTTCGAACTTTTTCTGCCTCTGCTTTCACTCTTGCTGCTTCAATCCTCTCTTCTTCTGCTATTCTAGCAGCTTTCTCGCTTTCACTCTCTCCAACATCTGCAAAGAAAGGCTCTGGTTTTTCCACTTTCTTTTCTGTCATGGACTGAAAGACATTGTCCAAAAAGGGCGTCTTTTTTGGAGCTGGTGCTGCTTCTGAGCGGGTATTGAGAAGCCGAGAGAAGAAGCCCTGCTTTTCCTCTTGCGCATATTTTTTCTCCAGCATTCCCTTTATCCACTCAGGTTCTTCTTCTTCCTTCAGTAGTTCTTCTGTTTGCTGCCCTTCCCTCTTCTTGCTGCTTCCTAGCAACTTGCCAACAAGACCTGCCTCCATTTCCTCCTCCTCCATCTTCTCGAAGTATTCTTCTTGCTTGGCTTCAGCTTTTTTCCTTCGACTAGGTTTTAAGTAGACTGAAGGAAATGTATCTGTGGGTGGTTCCCATCGGCTTTCTCCAGTTTGAGTGTTGAAGTAGTAGACAACACCTGTGGTCTCTTCGTCCAAATAGGCTGTCCACTCTCCCTCAGTTCCCAGTGGTTCGGGAGCACTGAACAGTGCAGTCGACACCTGGGAAAACCCCTTGGAGATCGAGGAGGAGGGAGTAAAGGCACCAGATACATGGAAGGAAGAGATCAAGGCCGAGACGGCCAAAAGAGAAAGAGGTGACTTCATGATGACCGGGATATTCGTCGCCTAAAAAGTTCGGCTCCAAACTATGTTTTGTTGACACCACAGCTAGCGTGCAATTTTAGAGGAGGTTGCTCGATGAGGAAGCGACTGCTTGTACAGGTATCCAGCTAAGATAGGTGAGGTGCCAAGATGACTCCGGTCAAAGTCTTCGTTCCTCGAGTTCTGTTGGTCGGCATTGTGCCATTGCCATGGCATTTCGTCGTATGGGCTCTATGACGTATTGAAGGCCAACGGACTTGGGATCTTTGGATCCCGAACCGACCACAGCTGGTTCGCATTGAGAGCAGGAACGCTGGGTAAATATTCCCTCAAGTACCGCAGCGTTCCAGCATGCAAAAGAAACTGGCTGAACTCTGCTTGGACGGACAAACTGATGGGACCACTGGGAAGATGTTTGCGGGAGCTGCCAAAGCTGCAATCTCACCTCTAACATACTCGTAGTTGCTCAGTATCTGCTTTCGGCTTTTGACTGTCCATGTTTTCCTCTCTTGAGGGCACAGTCGTACCGGCATGGTCAAGCTGAGATCCAGTAGCCCGAAGATAGCCGCCTTTCACCTCAAGAACGTGACCGGGTTGCATTGAATCCGTTCTCACCCACTCAGCTGATTGAATCAATTACTAGCTAGCTAACGAGAGCTTGTATCGACCACCGAATCCAGATCATTGAATAGTAATCTCTTTATGAATTATGTAGCCTGTACAGGCTTGATTCGATTCTCCTAGCAGCAGGGTTGGTCGGCAGTAGTGTGCTGAACACGAATGATAATCTGATGCGATTTGATGATTGTCGCTCCATTCACATCTCCACGAGGTCAGCCACTTCGTCATTGTCATTGTCGTCATCGTCATTGGACATACAGCTGGAGAAACATTTAGTGAGAATTTTGCACCCTTGCGATACGACCATAGCACAGACAGACCAGGGAGAACTCACCATGATAGTTTGTTCTCCTTGCATGATATCACCACCAAGGACACTGCTCGGCTCATTGTTGGTCGAACAATCCTTGTCATTGGTGACTTCATGAATGTTGTCCATGCTATTGTCGTCGCCCGTTCCCCCCTTTTCCTGGGCCGACAACAAAGCTTCTTTCTCCTCCACTTTTTCTTCTTCATCATCATCACTTTGAATCAACCGAACGCCAACCGAGGCGGCACTCTCATCATACATTCGTTCCGTGGTCTCGAGGCTTTTACCCATCAAATCCACCTCCTCGTCCTCCTCTTCTTCTTCATCGTTTTGAGGAACCTCCTCCTCTTCAGTGTCCTCGACCCCAATCGAGACACTTTCTGTCGAAGCGACTTGAAGAAGCACATCGATCCCAGTGTCCGCCTCTTCCGCTCGTTCAGTGGGCTCATTATTCTGAGTCATGATATTCTTAAAGTCCTCAAACGATATGAGTCCATCATTGCCACAGTCGACCTGTCGAATGATCTTGTCCGCGACCCTTTCATCTGCCACATTGGACATGGACTCCATGAGGCTCTTGGCGGTGATGTATCCAGTGTGATCTGGGTCGTAGTGATCAAAGGCAGCCCGTAGCTTCTTGTCATCCAAGAGTTCACTGGCATTCATGCTAGCAACGACAAACTCGGAGTAGTCCAAAAAGTTGGATCCGGACAGGTCGCATTGGTCAAAGAGCTCTGCCATTTCCTGATCACTCAGTTCCGAGTTGTTGAACTCTTTGTATTTGCATTGGAGATCATCCATTGAGAGTTTTCCGTCGCAATCTTGATCAAATCCCCGAAAGATCCGATCGAGCTCTTCCCGTTCGTCTCGTTCCAAGAGCTGCGACGCAATAAAGCTGCAAGTGGCCTGCTTGAGCTTGGACGACGAGTTGAATGCCCGCAAGTTGGACAGGGCATCGGCTGCCATGTTGGAGTATTGCTGACGGAAATGATCCGATGACTTGCGAATGGCATCGGCAATCCAAGGATGGCGGAGCGCTTCTTCTGCAGAAGGACGTGAGTCTTCCTCATAGGTGAGAAGCTGTCGCACAAAGTCCTTGGCCTCCTCGGAAATGTGTTCCCATTCGGGATCATCAAATGAGACCTTTCCTTCCATGATGAGCTGACGGACATCTGAATCAAGTTCGGCATCAAAGGGAGCAAATCCCGCCAGCAAAATGTAGGTAATGATTCCCGCGCTCCATACATCATACTTGGGACCATAGCTGCCCTCCATGACCTCTGGTGCGAGGTAATGGACTTTTCCCACCAGTTCGGTGATCTTTTGTCCCTCTTGCAACGTGGTTGCCAATCCAAAATCGATAACTTTGAGCTGTTCATAGTCTTTGGATTCATCCAACATAATGTTCTCCAGATTCAAATCACGATGCACGATGTTGTTCTTGGCCAAGTACTTGAGACAGGAGAGAACTTGCTTGATGAGACGAGCCACATCTTGTTCTGGCAACGTCCCATGCTCATCGAGTTCATCGTACAATTCCCCTCCCCTGGCCAGTTCTTGCACAATGTAGAATTTGTTGTCCACGTCAAAGAATTCGTACATGCGAATGACATTGGGATTGTCAATCTGCTTGAGGATTTGAAACTCGTTGATGACTTCCTCGTACTCGGCTTCACACATGCGTGTCTTGTCAATAATCTTGACGGCCCGTTCCGATCCTGTCAATTGGTGTCGACAAACGTAGACTTCCCCGTAGGCGCCCTCCCCCAGCATTTCACAGAGATCGTAGTTGTCTTCAAAGCGATCCGTTCGTTGTGGGACAAAGTCCTTGGCAGAGCATGTGAAGGATTTGGTTCTTCGAATGACACGCTTCCGGGAGGGACGAGGAGGAACTGTGAGAGATCGTTGCAGAGGATTATTGATGGTAACAACATCATGGATGCTGGCCATGACATGTGGGGCTGATAGTTGCTTGTTCATTATATTGTAATATTGTGTTGGCTCTTAGATTGTTCTTTGATGTGTTGTTGTGGCTTCTCTGGTTCTCTTGGACAAAAATTATGGGAGACTTCACAACTGATCCGATCCTGGGTACTGGTACTGACATCAGGCAGTTCGCACTACTAGGCCTTCGATCTGTGTCCAGAAGCAGGATGCAGGTTCACTCTCAGCTCTCAGCCACATCCAACAATCCGCGGTGAGCATTGTTACCCGTACTAGTACCTGGTTTGGCCATCACATACATGGTTTCCAAGCGGCTTCAGCCGATTACTGGGCTTCGCTTTCATTGGAACACGCTTCCCCTCCCAAGACCAAGCAAAACAACCAATCATTTCCCTCTTCTGTGTTTTTGATTCACGTAAGAATTCTCGTTTAGAATGCCTCGATGACTGCAGTAAAACTAAATAATTAATATACACTTACAGAAACAGCATGAGTTGTAAATGTAATTCGAGCATGTGGTCATTACTTCAGTCATTGGACTCTTAAAGAAGCTTTTTGTCCACACCAAGAACCACCAAGTGTGTCGGTTTGGGTCTTGGGAGGCCATCAATGCATCGTTAAATCGCACCCTATTAATAACAAAAAACCTATTTTAATAAAATAAAAATAACAAAGTGGACTCCTCCAATTGCCCCAGGACCTCTGTGGAAACGTCATTCGTGGCAAAATACTTAAGAGACGATACACGAGGCATAGGAGACGATCGAAATTATTTAAGAGACAAAAGCACGATGTAGTAGGAGACATTCCAATTAGGAGATGATCGTTTCGAAATAGGAGACCATCTGAACGATTTAAGAGACTATACCATACAGTTGACATGCTACACTTAAGAGACGATCCGTTGAGAATAGGAGACGATCCGTTGAAAATAGGAGACGATTTAAGAGGAGACGAAAGATAAAAGAGACGATCGGTTTCGTCTCCTATTTTTAGGAGACGAAATCCATGAGACGATCAAAAGGATTTAGGAGACGATCGGTAGCACGACTCGAGTTTCCACAGAGGTCCAGTGTCCCAGTGAAGAGTGAAGAAGGTGTGTTGGAAAGTGCTTCCACCCCAGTTCATCTCCGAGTCGTACATGCTATCCCTGCATCTTGCATCATTGCAAATTGCAAGCCTCCAGCCAGCCTGAAGCTTGTTCCCTGGATCTTGGCGACAGCCTGATGCTTGGTTTACATGTTTACATCCCTTCCAATCCCTTCCGAAGTTACCAGGCCAACAACAGATCCAACCTAGTCAGAGTGGATGACGGACGCTGCTACACGTACCATCCATTGGTGCTGATTTCACCATTCTTATCCGATAAACCGGTTGCACTCATCTAGCAGAAGCTGGGTTATTACGGGCGGGCAAGTAGCCAACTGTAACAAGCCAAGTCAAGCATGTTTTGTCCACAAAACCAGCTCACGCAATCTTCTGCGTTCTAGTAGGCTTGACGGAACTGTTTGCGCTGTATCTGCACCCGTACGGTTGAGACCAGAGGAACGGTTGCTACCACCCTAACGGTAGCATGCTGGCACAGACCAATCAGAACTAAATTTGAAGGACACACGATGCTTGAAGAAATGAATTCTGTACCTTCAAGTGAGTTTACCGTATGGAACCCTGCCATTACATACAGTAAAGGTATAACCCCTCTAACAAACCAGGAATACAACCGTGTACATGGAGTACCAGGCTCTACGTGTTACCCTGTCTTTCCCTTTGTTTTGGGTGTTTCTACCTTTCTCGAACATCCATGTTCCAGCGAACGACTGGCTCGCTCACTGGTATCACCGAACGATGGAATCCTGCTTTGAATGGACGAACGGAATCTCCCAGTTGACGGAATCGCAGAAGAAGAAGAAGAAGAAGAAGTCAATCCAAGCAAAAGATCGCAAGTCCACGAAACTCGCTAAGTCCTGACTACTACTACTAGCTAGCTAGCTACTAGTACGTGATCGGCATTGGCAGAGCGGCAAAGACAAAGTCGCTCAGATCACAAACAAGATAACAAAACACAACAAGAAAAACCACAAAAAATTCTTAAAACTAAAATGACATATAAAATTTGTTTTTGCTATGCCTACAGCAGGATCGCGCTGTAGGCTGGAGACCACCAAGGCAGCTCAACGCAAGCGTGGGTGGAAGCCGGTGGGCTGATTCTTCTTGTCATGCTTGAACTTGTTGATGATCTGGGTGACCGTAAGCCACCCGTAGGTGGCATAGATACGGTCGACCGCAGCCCTCCAATCAAGCCCTTGGCCATCAACCGAATCACACATCCCACACATGCTTGCGGGGCAGAACTTGTCCTTGACGCGGCCGCGCTCACGAGCAGTAAACTCCATGCGGCCTTGTTCCCGTTCAGGCCCTTGATCCACTCGTCCCACAACTCGTAGAGGTTGAAAGGCTCTTCGAAAGCTGGGCTGGGAGGGTAGCGGGTGTCGGGCCCTTGCGGCAGGAGGACGGGCCAAACGACCAGGACTCCTCGGTGGTGGTGGGGGAAGTCCTGCGCCACCTGCGCCAGCTGCAGCAGCACACCACCGCCAGCTCCACCACCGCGCCAGCTCCCGCGCACCACCGCCGCCGCCAGCTCCACCGGCCGCACCAGGAAGAGGAAGCCTTGGAGCACCGTTGCCACCACCCCTCGCGATCAACTGGAAGTGGTTGATCCTCCCAATATTCTTGTTTCACGATGGCAATGTTCGTAGAGACATAGCCCCTCAAGGAGCTGATGTCCTGTGCAAGCATCTGCTGGGCCTCCTCGATCGCCTGCTGAGTCCTAGTTGGAGAGCAAGCAATTGGTTAGCTGTTCCATGTTGACACACCAGGAGCACCTCCAACAAGGGCTCAGCACCAGCTTGGACCTGGGCGGTGGGAACAACTCAGTAATGTGCAATGCATTGGCTACCTTGTAGATTGTCAGAGGGATCTTGCCACTGGGTTGTAGTCGGCCCCAGGATCCTCATCCAAATTGGTTCGAAGCTGGGCATACTCGTCTGGATGCGTTGCGAATCTCAGCCGTCATCATATGCTCCAAGCCAGGTTCCATCGCAGCCCAAAGCAAGGCTGGACCAAGCACCATGGCGATGTTGTTGCTTGGGTCGTCAGCGAAGAAGTCACAGATCTTCGGACAAACGTGCTCACCGATGAACCCATGTCAACACCGCTGTCAGCCTTGATGCTGTACTTGACGGGACCACAACAGCGAGCGTTCCAGCAACCTTGCGTCGGTGGGAAGCTGCTCCAAGTTGATGTAAACATGGACGATGTGTCCATTTTTCTCTCCCTTCCAGCGACCACGAGTCTCATTCTCGTCCTGGGTAATCCCACACTCAGCAGCGTAGGTTGGAGGCAGCTTGCGCACACTGTGGGTACCGAGGCTACCCTGGACTTGAGCGGCAAGCTCCACGAACTCAGGGTCCTTCCAAGCCTTCTTCAAAGCCCGTTGGTACCAGGCGTTGACTCGGTCAGGCTCCGTCTCAATCGTCGTCTCATCGAGCTCTTCGTCGTTGTCCAGAGCTTCGATGGCGGCCAGGAACGCTTCTTCATCGTCGACACGGTAATGGCCAAACAGAAACTTGGGATCACCGTGTCCCCTCTCAAGACGAGTCTCGATCCAAATAGCCAAGGCAATCAGGACGCAAAAGTCAGGGTCAGCGGCACCCAGCAGGATTTGGTTCGGGCAAGCACGCTCCTCCTGGACATTCTTGCTCCAGGATACCTTGGTTTCAAGAGCGAAGTTTGGAAACTTGGAGTGGCTGCGCAGATCCAAAGTCTCCATGTTGGTCAAATCATCAGTGCGGCCAATCAAGTGAAACTGAAGCTTCAACATGGTTGGGATCTTGATCGTCGTGTCAATATTCGCTCCTCCATCGCGTTCCACAATGTGAATGGTCTTGCGGAATTCCCGGATCTTCAAATCCCTCTTGACATTGGATTTCCTGCCCTGCTTCCTGACCTCAGCCTTCTTCACAGCCTTGATCACTTCATTGACAATCCTGGATCGAGTGGGATTCCCAACATTGGGACCAACAGCCCATGATGCATGGCGGTTCGGATGGAAGTGGCTGATGGCCTTCTTGTATTGTTCAAGAGTGGTAGATCTCTTGTGGGTGGGGCGGTCATTGGGCCCTGGGTTGATCTTTCCATAGGCAAGGAAGTTGAGGAACTGGGCGACATCAGTAGGGGTAATTTCTAATAACTCCTCCTGAAGAAAAATGAAGAAGGGCGACCATGGTGTGAGCGAGCGGCAGAGTGAAATTGTGGAGCGATTTGGCGAAGAAGCGACATACCTGTGTAAAGTTCTTCTTGTTATTATAGTGACGACCATGCTTCCAACCCATAAACCTGGCAACGGCCGGCCGGTACTGCTGATCAAGTGACTTGCGCTTCCTCGCCATGGTGAGCGATAACAAACAAAAGAGCGAGAATAACAAACAAAAGAGCGAGAGCAACAAAAGAGCGAGTACAGATCGATGCATAGCTTTCGCTGTAAAAAGTGCTGGATCGAAATTTATGAGATAATGACGAGCGAACTGACTCGACTCCATCCAACAGGAAAATCCAACGGCCAAGCCACCGTACCCGGGATACAGCAGTTGAATCAGAGGGGATCTTTGGGAGTTTACCCTCTCTCAACACAAAGAGAGAGGTTCCGGGACCATAAGTCTTCGAGTTTCGCGGAACGTTTGTGTGTGACTTGTGGTCTTTCGTACGATTGGAGTTGTATTTTGGCAAAGATACTTAGGCAAAAAGTTGTATTTTGAGGCACCCGATGCAACTACCAATGCGATTCTGAGTAGTATCGGATACCCTCAAATGCCTGGTTTTCCCTGCCAAATTACTCTCAATGACTTATCCGTATCACCATACCCCAATAAAGGATAACCATACTTAGGCCTAAGTAGGGGCGAACTCACTACTATGACTACAGGGTAAGTCCCACCAGTCGATACAACTCCCCCTTTCCACATACCCTCTACTATGCTAGTACGGTTGTATATTAGTAATACAGTACTAGTACTATCTAGCTACTAGCTAGATCGCAGGCGGTGAAAGAAGACGCTTCTCACCAGAGCAACTTCCCGCTGGACGCAGTACAGTACCATAAAAAGGCGTACCGCCGAGAGACAGAACTGCAACAAGGTTGGGGTATCGTTGGGTGCCAAGATTATATATTAGGGTGAAGGCTTTTTTTGATGCTCATCGTTCGTCGGATCCATTCACAGTCCGCACACTGGCACGCTGGCGGACGTCAGTCACAACAAAAGCAAAAAGTTGTTGAACACTCTTCTTCGAAACTCGAAACGCCGCTAATAACACCCGCGGTCTCCACAGCACAACTAGTAGTGGAAGCAGTCAGCTGTCCTGCATTCAGCTTGTTTTGTTTAGCCATGTTTTCTTTGCGTCCCGCTCTCCGCAAGGTTGCCCTTTCGAGCCGCTTGCCGGCATCTCCAGCCGTTGCCTGTCGAGGTTGGATGCAAAAGCAACCCTTCTCGTCGAAAGATGTCGTTGAACAAGGCGAGGAGGAAGAAGATGCGGTTGCCATCGTGCAGAGCCGCCGTGAAGAATTGAGTGACAAAGGAAAACATCTCATTTGGGACAGCGGTGAACAGCTTCCGGCAGCTCCTCTTCCAGAAAATCTCAATGAGCTCGTGGCACTCGATCCTGCAGATACCGGCTCCAGACGCAAGGCTGATGGAACGGATCGTTTCGCTTTTATTCGTCAAGACAAGGCCAATGTGAAGCAGTCTCCGCTTAACGATGAGAAGAAATGGAGAATTTCCTTTGTGGAAGATGGAGTTGCTGGAGAGAAATGGGAGAATTCACTTATGGGATGGACCAGTAATGCCGATCCCTTTCAGTCCGAACCACCTCTAGTTTTCGAGAACGCTCTTGATGCGGTTTACTTTGCGAAAAAGAGAGGATGGAAATACATTGTGAAAGAGCCCATTATGAGGCAAGTGCGTGATGACGGGGCTCAATACCAGGACAATTTCTTGCCTCAAGCTATTGCGGCTCGGGTGGCCAAAGAAGGTACTCAGTGTGACCAATGGAAGCGTGAGGCAGCAGGCACTTCCCATTACTATCGTCCCCTTCGATACCATGGCAAGGGTGTTGTACCTCAGCATGGACCAAATCCTGACCAGGAAAGTGCTCCTTATGTGGAAGGTTATTACAAGATGAGGTGATTGAGTTACAGTTTTTTTATGTTGGAAGATACCTTTCCCGATAAGCAAATTGGTGATGTGACGACTGGATTCTTGGTTGCGCTGATAGGTGATTGCTTAGTTTCTTGCCATCCTCCTCTTTGGCTTGTAGTCTCGAGCACATTGTAGCTTTATGCACTATCTGGAGTGTATCGGTACCGTTGGCTTCTGGCAGATACAGTGAAAAGCAGGATGATTTCTGCCGGAAGACATCCTGCACGAAACAATCTTCCCCAATCTGGCCTCACTGTTTTATATAGCTAAACTCTCAAGGCGCCATCCAGCAGATCCTATTCACGTTGTCCTGTCCTCCTCATTATATATATCTCCAGTGTGATCTCACGTGGTTCAGTCCGGTCATGCAAGTATCAAAACAAGCATGGTTGGAAAAGGCAGTCAGCCACATGCAAATTGTTTGGTCGACGAGCCAACATGATGAAGTTACAGGTTGCATCTCTGCACGTCCAAAGTTCAACAGATTTGTTGTCGTCGCTCTTTTAAAATTTGTAAGTCGGGCTCAGAAGGTCAGAAGTACTAAAATACGTAGATCTTACGCTCAAAGAAACAGGTGGAGGAGCTAGATTCCCCTGCGCTTGTCATCGCTGAATCTTTGGTGAGGCAAAGGTGCCAATTCTTTCTCTCAAAGTGCAGCTACTGTTGTGCTGAGGAGGTGCGTGCTGGACTTGATTTGCATTTGATTTTGCACTCTCGTGAAGTCCTTCATGATTACCGCCTCCGGCACTGGCACGTATCTGATAACGGTTGAATCTTTGTTGAATCTTCTCTCTGGCGTCAAAATTTTAATTTTCCAGCCCTCCTCGATCTCCGAGAGAAGATAGATGTTTCAACATGATATGTGGTCACAATCTGTGAAGATCGGCTCTTTTCTCGTTCATATCTTTTTCACAAACTGCATTTACTTGTGGCCTCCACTTCGCAGGCAGTAAAGTGAAGGTCAGCTCAGAAGTTTGTGTGAACTTAACAAGCAATGAAGCTCATTGATTCGGCTGTTTTAGCATTGCTGTGGCTGATGCCATGGCAGGCTACCAGTGACGGCATGGTCTTTAACCGTATCTCCTTTTTCCCTGTGTGCCTTCAATTGGACCCCTCATGTCGCGTCGACAATGAGACTTCGGCAGAGATTGTCGCTGCCTCCAAGGATGGAATGACATTGATATATAGTGATTCGCCTCTGGGCGTTGTGGGAACCATTGATATCACCGATCCCTACCACCCAACCCCTCTTGGCATCATTGATGTCGGGGGAGAGCCTACTTCTGTCACTGTTGTCAAGGGTTATGCTGTTGTTGGCGTCAACACATCCCCTGATTTTGAAAACCCATCTGGTATCCTTCATGTCCTTGATTATGTGACTGGAGAAGTCTTGAGGACTATGGATCTTGGGGGGCAGCCTGACAGTTTAAACACTTCCCCTGATGACAGATTTGTTGCCATTGCCATTGAGAACGAACGCGATGAAGATCTGGGAGAAGGCGGCCTTCCCCAGTTGCCTGCTGGGTTTCTTCAGGTTCTGTCAACTGAAAGTGATGATGTAGAGGAATGGGAACTCACCAGGATTGACTTGGAAGGCCTTGAGGGACTGGTTGAACCATCTGATCCAGAGCCTGAGTTTGTGTCCATCAATGAGGATAACATCTGTGTTGTCACCCTTCAGGAAAACAACGCCATTGTTCTGGTTGATCTTGAAAGTTCTGAGGTCATCGCCAGTTTCTCTGCGGGAACTGTCGACCTGTACAACATTGACCTGATCGAGGATGAAGTCATCAACCAGGATCCCAGCGCCAACCTTACCAACCGACCCCGAGAGCCTGACGGTGTCGTATGGATTGACAATGACTACTTTGTCACCGCTGACGAGGGGGACTGGAATGGTGGTACACGAGGCTTCACTGTCTATGACAAGGAAGGGTCCATTGTGTACACAAGTGCTGAGGAGATGGAGACGGTGGTAACCATGCTCGGTCACTATCCTGAATCGCGTTCGGAAAACAAGGGGTATGTCAATGAATGCATGGTCTCTTCTGAAGCGATTTTGGAACGAGCATTCATCTCACCAACATCCTTTCTTTCAACTTGCTGACAATGAAGAAACGAGCCTGAGAATGTCGAGTTTGGTATCTTTGGAGATACAAGCTATCTTTTTGTGAACTCGGAACGCTCCAGTTTGACCTTTGTATACGACGTAAATGTCCCTGCTGATCCTGTCTTTTTGCAGGCACTCCCAGCTAGTGTCTCGCCAGAGGGTAGCAAGGCCATCCCCGACCGTAACTTGCTAGTGGTAGCGACCGAAAGTGAGTTTTGCTAGGAGAGCAAGCTCAGACCCCAGTCACATCTGTTCTAACCATCCTACTTCTTCTGGTCGATAGCTGACGATCGTGGTGGCAAGGTCCGCGGAGGAGTTTCCATTTACATGTATATGAGAAGCGAAGCTTTGTATCCCACTATCGTGTCTGACATTGATGACAGCACTGGCAACCCTATTCCCTTCGGTGCATTGAGTGGCTTGGCTGCAGCTGAACCATATGATGGTGGAGCTGGAGACTGGGGACGTAGGTTGGCCAGACGAAAAGGAAAACAGGGCCCACAAAACCGACGGCTTGCTGGGGAGATTCCTGTTCCTCCTCCTTTGGCACAAGATGAGCTGGGAGAGGAATCCCTTGATGAGCACATTTTGTACTCGATTGAAGATAGCTACTACAAGAAGAACCGCATCTTTGTCATCAACGCAACTGGACACCCAGCAGTCATTACGGCAGCCATGCGCATTATGGATTCCGACGGGGTTTTTGCTGATGCATTGGGTGAAGGTGACATGAAGGACGCCTTGATCAATGATGACAACACAGTCAACATTGACCCCGAAGGCATTGCTGTAAGTCACAAGGGAGGATTCTGGTTGGCTCACGAAGGTCGAGGTACCGTTGGAGATGGAGCGCGACCTGTGGAGAGTCCCAACGTGCTGTTCAAGTTGAGCGAGGAGGCAGTCATAGAGAAGGTTGTCCTGCTACCTGATGAACTGAATGAAATTCAGCTTCGCTTTGGGTTCGAAGGTGTTGCAGAAGATGGTGACTACGTGGTTGTAGCTTTCCAACGAGCTTGGGGGGACGAAAAGTACCCTCGAATTGGTGTTTACAACTCGGTGTCGGAAGAATGGAAATTTGCCTTTTACCCGTTGGGTCAACCTGAGTCCCAAAATGGTGGCTGGGTTGGATTGTCAGACATTGCTCCTCTTGGAGATGGACACTTTATGGTCCTTGAACGCGACAACCAAGCAGGTTTGGATGCTGCCATCAAGCGAATTTTTGTGATTTCTCTGGGAGACTACGAATCCTGGGATGACGGAACCACCATCGAAAAGCACTTCTACATGGATTTGATCCCTGAAATGGCTTATTTCGGAGGAGCCACTTTGGAAAAGGTCGAAGGTCTTGCCGTTACCAAGGACGGCTTTGTTTATGTCAACACTGACAATGATGGCGTAGAAGACAGCGGAGAGCAGTTGTTTGGAAATGTGGGCTGGTGGTACCCTTACTATTGAAAAGGATCTGCTATGATCGTTGATTCGTCCATGCATGTGTGTGAACAGCCGTGTTGATGTTCCTTCAAGGGGGACAGAGGAGTCATCAATTCTGTGTTTTGTAAGACAACTGCTCCCTGAACTGTACTAAGAATAACAAGTCTGCTCGTATTGTTGTGTTGAAGTCGTAGGAGAAAAGCTCTTCTATAATGGATCAGCCAGCACTTTGTAGCCTTGTCGCGACGCCATAAAAACTGCATTCTGTGGTGTCACGCTAGACGGCACATAGTAACAGAGGTCAACGTACGCTTTCGGATCCTCGGCAAACAAGACCTGCTCCAGGTACTGCTTTCGTCCATAATCTAGTAGTCGTTGGCAAGCTCTACCAAGACCTTGAACACCACAGGACAACTGGAGACTATTGACAACGTCAACCACACTTGTAACCTTGCCTTCCAGTTGTGAGTCTGTAGTGCAGGAATCGCAATGTGTCTCATCTTCAATCTCAGTGCCCTTTCGTTTTCGCTTGCCATTGTCGGCTTCAGCAATGCTGTTGGCTGGTTGCTTGGTATTGTTACCGTTGTCAGCAGAAGAAGTGCCATCATCCTTGACGGTTCCAGAGCTCCAGAGTCGCATCATTTCAAACTCCTCTGGTCCAAATTCCAGCAGAGGTGGCACGTCTGCATCTTTAGCCGTCACTGTATTGTCGTTCTGAAGCTTTTCTTCGGCCAGCAAGACCGATGCCAGATAATCTCGTCCCACATAATGTTCCCAGGTGCATACCCCGTGGCAGCAGGTTGCCATGAGGCAAACTTGTAGCTGATCTCGAATCGGGTAAAGAGCTTTCAATGCCAAATCAGTGCCGGCCCCACAAAGATGCTTGGCAATGGCCATAATGAAGGGTTGTCGGTCTTTGTTGTTGTTGCTGCTGCTGCTGACGTCGTCGTTTGTGGCAGCCTTGCTGTCGACGTTCGCTTGTGTTGGTGTTTCCTTGTCTGCGACCACTGCCGTGTTTTTCTCCTGCTGCTGGCTCTTGTGCAATTCCAACACGGTGGGCATGTGCACATGTGCCAAATCGCATTGAAGGCGTTGCCAAGATTGTATTTGTTCGACATTGATGCATTGATTGGGGAGTTTGGATTTGTGATTTCGAAGTATGGTGTCTGCTTTACTCCGTGTTCCAGCTCGCTCCATCATGATCAAGTCCACATGGCGGTTGGCTGCTGCAAATGATCCTGCCGCCACTAATCCCAACATGCCTCGTCCAGCCCCTAGTTCCAGCATGAGAATGGGTTGTGAATTGTTATTGTTGTTGTTGGTCTTGGACGACGACAAGTTTTGAAGATGTCCCAGCAAGCTAGCCTGTTGTTGCAAATGTTTGGGGCCGCCAGATCGGATATGGTAACTGTCAATGGCTTGAGCCAGTCCCAATTGGAGTTGTTTGTCAGAACAATCCTTGAGGGGCAACTGGGTGCAAGCTTGTTCAATATCTTCAAGTGTGAGTTGTTGAGGATTGCCTGGGTGCGGGCCACCAAAGACATGTTGATGGACCACCAGAATGCGCAGCGCCAAAGCCTTGGCTCTTGTTTCCAGGTTCGGACGATGATATTTTTTCTCTCTCTGTTCACTACTATGGGTGGTATGACTTTGGTCGCCGCCATGTCCACCAGTATTGACGTCCTGTCGATAAAAGGGCTGTGATTGTATTTCTCGTTGGAGTTTGGCTTTGGGACAAATCTTCAAATGGCGTGCCAACATGTCTTTGTAAATAGTGTGGGTGGGATCCAGAGGACACGGAATTCTTGTTCGCTTGGCAGCAGCATGGGTATTCTTGTTGTTTTTGTTTTGGTTGTCTGAAGAAGGAAGTGATTGTGTGGTTCCGTCATCCATACTGGTATTACATGTAGGAGTGATAAACTCTTGATGATTCCCACAATAATTGCAATCTGGCAGAGTCAGCTGACGACAGAACCGATGTTTTCTCGGGAGATAGGCATGACAGCGAGTCCATCCTTCGGGTGGCACGGGAGGCTCTCGGCCATTATCCTCCGCAGAGCCATTCTTGGGGTCTTTGCGGTTCTTCTTCTTCTTGTCCTTTCTTTTTTTGGCGTTTTCTTGTTTCTGGCTGGAATTGCAGCTTGCTGCTGCATCAGTGAGTGACTCTTCCGTATCTACCGATAAGCAAGATCAGTCAAATGAATTGGAATAAGAGTGGCTACGGTATGGCAGCTGTGCTCTCTGGTACGACTGTACTAGTACCAGTATGGAATGATTTGCTTGATGGCAATGGACATGGCGGCGAATAATGGTTGGGTGGTTGGCTGCTCCAGGTTGCAGTTTGACGTCACAATTCTTAGAAGTTCTCGGATCTTCTTCTAGGACCATGGAAGATCATCTGTTCCTCGAGAAAAGAGAAAAGAGGACGACGATGAAAGTGAAAGCGAAGACGAATGATGCGGCGGCAAGTGGAAACCGTCAACCGTCATGATGGCCAAAAGAATATCTATCCGATAGCCACCATAGCTACAGCTAACTAGAGCTTGATACTCGTGATTTTAGTTAAAAGTATAGAGCACTCCTTGAAAGCCATGGCCAGTGCTGTGGGTTCCGTTGTCGTTGCTGCCGCGCAAAGTGTTGCCAAGGTTTATGCTATTGGGGGTATCGGATATGCGGCAGTCAAATGTAAGAATGAAGGATGTAGGGAAAGACAAACTAGCTGGGGAAGCCTTGCTTCTGTAACACTCACTCCTCCTTTCTGTCTCTTTTGCTCTCTACATTCTATGGAAACCCAGATCCCAAAAATGCACCATTGCTACCCAGCGGTGCCGTCGGCACCATTGCTCGATTTGGCTTTAACGTGCTCACGATTTCTTTGATATTCAGCACTATTGCTTCTTCGGTGACCATTGATTCACTCGGGAACTACTGGTTTGTCGTGGTGGGAGCCGTGGGAGTCCTCGCCATTTCCTTTGCCACAGCCACCATCCTCTCCAAAGTGATTCCCATTCGCAATCCATCCGACTTTAATGCTTTGCGCATTGCGGCCACATTTCCCAACATTGTGGCCTTGCCCATTTTGATCTTTCCGTCACTCTGTGAATATCCCGTCGTCTATGAAGCGTTTGGAAAGTCAGACACAGCAATGAGCGAAGGAGGCGAGGACCGAGCACAACTCTTTCAACAATGCGTCGCCAAGTCCAACACCATGATCTTTTGCTACTTCTTCGGCTGGTCCTTGCTCTTTTGGAGTTTTGGACATCCAACGCTTTTGACAGCCGCAGAGAACAAGTCTCGAACGCATGATGAGCAAGAGAGGACTACCCAAAGCAGCAGCAAAAGTGGTAGTCAAGCTGCTGGAAGGACCACGGACCAGTCGTTCACCGGCCACACCAGTACCTCTGTCACAATTGCGACGGACGGGGACATACCGCCTGAAATGCAATCTACCACTGCCCTGACTCCTTTTTCAACACAGGACGAGGAGGACCTGCAGGTACCGGATTCACCGGAAGAGAATGCATCCCAAGAACAACAATCCACCAGTGTTCTCTCCAACATTCAAAAGGCTCTGAAACAGACCTTCACATCGCCTCCCTTTGTGGCCATGATTCTGGCCTTTTGTGTTGGGTGTATTTCCCCCGTGAGAGACCTTCTCTTCTCGCAAGGAGGGGCACTACGCTTTCTAGGGGCCGCAGTGGAAACATTGGGGCAAGCATCATCGCCCATGTCCACCATGGTTGTCGCAGCAAGTCTGGCATCGAGGCGGGAATCCTCGTCAATGGCAGAGGACGACATCAGTGATGATGGGCAAGACCAAGACGGCTACAATGAAGGCGCACAACAACAACCCACTGATGCTCCACCAGCAGATGCTGTGGATCGCAGCATGACAGTCGAGGAAGAGTCGCCGGTCATGTCAGACCCCAACTTTGGACCTCTGCAGCTGCGAAGACGGTCGTCCATTCACAGGTTTGGTGCATCACTGCGCCAAAGTTCGATACGGGCCATGAAAAAGGCCCGTCGGACGGACCCTGAACAACGGAGGCTGTACATCTGGTTCACCTTGAGTCGATTGATCCTCTCCCCCGCACTGGTTACCTTGGCGATTGTGGGTTTGGATTGCAGTGGCATCAGTGGTATCCCACATCTGGCCAAATTGGTCTTGATTGTCAACTCTTCAGTCCCAGGTGCCCTGATCGTCGTTGTCCTCTTGAAGTCCAATCCACTTCTGCACGAAACGGCAGCGGTGGTTGCCAAGGTGTACTTTCCAACCTACATTCTTTCTATTGTGACAATTGCTGCGTGGACAGCCGTCGGACTCATCGTCTCTATACCAGATGAGGATGGAAACTCATTTTGTTCGAGATACAGATAGTCGTAGGTGGGATATTTCATTCTTGCTGTCCAATTCCTGCCGGAAAGTGGACATTGAGACCGAGTCTTCTTCGCATCTCAAAAGTCTCACTACTGTACTGACAATCAGAGTTTTGGGATTCTCCATAAATACTTCTAGTTACTACCTTGATCCATGCTATTGCTTCTGTGCTTGCTGTACTGCTGTTACAGTCGCTTGCAATAAATCCATTCTTTCTTTCCGTATCTCTTCGTCCAAGTCCTCTGGCAACCAAAATTGACGCACGTTAGACGGTGGATCTTGGATCTGTTTTACCATCGAATCAAAGTCGTTCCAATACTGACCAGCCGTACATTGCGGTGCTAATTGTTGAATCGTCAAGAGACTGGTTTCGTACAGCCGTGGAATGGGAAGAAATCGCAGTGTCGTTTGACACCACTGTGCATCGCTGAAGGCATTGCCAATGGCCTGATCCACTTGTTCGGATGTGCTGGAATGCAACGTGACATCCATGACAATGTCTTGGGCCAATGACAAGAGTCTTTGCGCAATTTTCAGGGTATTCTTGTTGCCACCACTGGCGTCCACCTGATCGGCCACAGATGTCAAGACGTTGGCCAACAGTGCTGGTCCTTGATCGGCACAAAAGTGAGTTTGGGCTTGTCGATTACCCCGCAGCATGGCTCCCACGGCATAGAGTGTTTTGTGCACTTTCATCATGACGGTATCAAAGTAGTCACTGTCATTGTTTTCAGTGGATTGTTCATCATACTCCAAGACGGCTGTAGAAGAAGCCACAAACTGTGCCAAAACAAGATCCAGAGTAGTGGTCTTGACGACTTGATTGGCTTGTGGCACCTCCACTTGATCAATGGCGTAGGGAGAAAACTCTCCTGTATTTTTGACGGTCGTTCCAATGGCCCACGCTGCATGAGCCTGAATCAAGTTGACCTTGTTCCAGTCATCGTCGGATAGAGATTGTTGTTGAGTGGAGTTGCTGCCAATGGTACTTTCATGGACGGCATCCGCCAAGAGTGACGACAAGACGGGCCAGCCACCCAATGTGTAAAAATCTCGGGCCATGTCGACATCGGTCAAATGATATTCCAGATCTTGCAAAACCGCCACAATATCTCCTACCATGTCTTCCTCCTCTTCATTTGGTTGTGTTTCGGAAGCAAGCTGCAACTCTTGCAATCCTTGCAATGGATTTTCCAGATATGTTTTGATACTGGCAATGCGATCTTTGAGCAATTGTGGTAAATCTGCTAGATGATCTTCCTGGAATTGTTTCAAATCGGCTTGTCGTTGTTCCCAAATTTGTTTCATGCGTGCTTCAAAGGCAGCCCGTTGTTCGGGAGTCAGCTTGGTTTCTAGTTTGGGAATTCCACCAATTCGGTCCTGCTCTTCCGGGGGTAACTTGGAAAGTGTTCGATGCATCATTTCGTAATCATAGTTGGGTTCTGCTGCTTCCTCATCGTTCCTGTCATTGTTGTCATTATTTGTTTGTTCCATCACACTAACCTGACCTTGAACATCTACCACAGCCGCCACCGCGTCGCCCACCACATGAACATTGGTATTAGTCTCGCTTTCATTATCATCATCATCAATAGTCTTGACCCATTTTTCACCCGTGGTCAAATCCATGCGAACATGCATTCCGGCGGCCACCGTGTCATTTTCTCCCAGAAGAGTCCATTCGTTGGTAGCTTCAATTTCCTTGGCGGGTGTGGTAGTTAGACAGCAGCCAAAAATAATGACAGCAAACAAACCAAAAATCATCCAAGTTGGTCCATTTTTCGAGGTTCGTCGGCGTTTGGGAGAATTGCTCCTTTTCTTCTTCATCATGGTCCTGTGTGTTTTGCTAGTCTCTTTTTTGTTTGGAGGTCCTTTATTATCTTTCAGAAAGCTCTTTGTCAGTGAGAGTGAGAAAATCTTTCACTTTGTGAGTCTAACCAAACTGAACATCGAAATCTGAACAAGTTTCTTCCTTCAAACTTGCTTTGACCTGCTTGAGAAAATGACACGTTGCAGACTGATGGTTGGTTGGTTGCTGAGAGATGGACTCGACTCTTGGATGCTTCGATGGGGTGTGGAACGAGAGATGATAATGGTTTGACAACGGCTTCTTTCGCAAAAGGTGCATGGATCCTGGTTTCGTTTGGGTTGTTCCACGTGGCGAAGCAATTTTAATGGAAGTAACAACCCTATGTTTAATCCCCAACTTTGATGGCTTGATCTCAACCATCAAAATCGTATTTTTAGTCAATTGCTGGTAAAAACATCTTCTTTCTATCAAATTTTACTTTCCCAGACGCCCTCACAACAAATGCGCCAAACCGCCAAAAGTTCTTGGAAGACAATGACATTTCAGAGCCAACCATAGAACGATTGATCATTCTCGACTCTTCCATCCTTTCTTTCCTCAGTAGAAGACCTCAAATCTAAAGCCATGCCTTCTACTAGTAGTTCCAGCAAAAGCCCCAAGAGAGCAGCCTCCAAGGACAAGACTCCTGCCAAAGTAGTGAAATCCGAGTCCCCGACGAAAAAAAAGAGCACACTCAAAGCCACGGCTAGTAGTAGCAGCACAGTAGTAGATAATAGTCACACGGTCAGCAGTTCCTTGGATGTCATTTTACCAGCCGGTTTGGGAAGGAAACAACCGGAGTGCAACGTCTTGGTTCAGATTGATCCCACAGAGGCAATCGAGTTGGGACAAGGGATCAAAGCTGCCATTGGTCGCTTTCATGTCGACAAGAAACAAGGCCTCGTCCTGGATTTACAGGGATCCCAGTATCAAGGACGCATTTTGCCCGGACCAACCGCCATGATTGCGTCCTTGCACTACGATGAAACTCATACGCAGCACTTGAAACTCGATGTCATTACCGATGAATTCTGTCCTCTCGTCGTCAAGACAAAAGACACGTTGGCACAGTTGGACGCACAAGTCGTCAAGGGGACATTGGATGAATCCTACTATCAACAGGAAGAAGATGTCAACAAAAAACAAAAGCAACAGCAGCAACAAGAACCCGAGGAAGAAAAGGAAAAGGGGAAAAAGAAAGGGACCAAACGTACCAGCACCGCATCTTCCAAAAAGAAAGCTGGTTCCAACAAAAAGCCAAGGAACAGCAAGAAATAAACACAAGCACCCAGTTGTTTATTGTCTTATGGAGTTCTTTATTCATGTGAAAGAAGCGAACGACAACTATGATATCTACACCGTAGGTTGAGAGATATTACATGCTCTGAGAAAGGCCGAATGAAAGGAGTGCAGTACCTGGCAACTCAGTTGTCAATAACCTCATCACAACCATGAGGAGGGAATTGCATACGGTACGACAGAACTACGACGTAATATTTTGATTGTGCTAGTAGTATTGTTATGAAGAATGAATGCGCCAGTGAAGATAGTGCGCATTGGAGGCCCCGGTAGTCTCGCCCTTTGCAATTTATTATATTGGTTGCCTCGATTTTTGCTTGCCTCTGCCTGCCATCACGTGCTTGTGGATACCGGTATCGATAAAAGCTTGGACAGTGTATATATTGTGTGATGTAGTGGGCGCATGGATGTGAAGTTTATTTCCTAATGTACAGTCTACGCGTCTTCTCTTTACTAGTAGTACTTGCTTGCTTGTCTTGTAGTCAGTCATTCATTTCCCATGAAGCAACTGCAGCAGTAGTGGAACAAATCCATCTGTTCCCAATCGCCGAGTTGCATCTGGGAAAATTCGTTTTTGTCTCTGTTCCGGCCATGTTCTACTACCTTTCCGGAAGCAATCTCCTGAAGGCTCTCATTTGGGGGGGGGGGGGGGCAGACCAAGTGGAGCAAAAGCAAACTGTGTATTGTTTGCTTTTCTCCTTAGAATGACAATTGCGCCGTATCTGTACAGGCAATATTGTTGAATGTGGAAGTCCCCCTCACTGAAAGAAAGAACGTATCTATTCTCTCCAATTGCTCCTTGAGCCTCAAGTTCAGAGTCTGCTCGTTTCGATTCAGAATTGTGACGGCGCCCGACTCCAGTAGGAATGGGTCGTCCACAATCTCAAAAGGACCACCATCAAAGGCGTCAATGATCAGTGCACTCGACACTTCAGTCACTTGAAAACCGCTGTTCTCCACTGCGTAAATGAGCTCAATCTGCGCCGAAATTCCTTGTTCCCCGGAGGCTGCATTGGTAAAGCCCGTCAACTGCAGTGCGCCGTATTGGTTTAGCAAAGTCAAGTCATCGTTGGGATCGCATGATGTTGGAATATCAAGAATCTGAAGTTCGTCACCTCGTAATCCGTTGACCACAGTGTACAGCGTAATGCGCGTGGAAGCACCATAGTCACCGTCCACCACAATCATTTCGTTGAGTCCAACCTCGCTAAAGCCAATGATCCGTTCCCCTTCCGTGACCTCCACGAACACATTTTCCCTCGGTGCGCCAGAGTTCAGCTCTGTATCTAAGCACTCATAGTTCTGAGGATTCACTGGACACCGATCCCCCGTGTATACGAAAGTCAAGGAACTAGGACTCATGTCACCTGTGCAAGTCACATCGCTCGGGTTTTGCAATCCCGCGCAAGTGTTCGAACCGCCCCGAATGACAATGCAAGTCAGAACTGCGGTCAACTCACAGGGTGTGGTTTGCGGGTCTGGACTTGGTTGAAGCGACTGTGTTGGAAACTGTGTTGGAGCAATCGTTGGGAAGAGAGGTGGAGGTGCCTGACCAGCAGCAAATTGAAACAGGTCGCTTCCCCGACACTCCCGACCATCTGATGCCAGGCCCGTTACTGTCGTGAAGACACTGTAAGTTCGTCGAACGGTCAAGTTGAGGTCCAGGTCGAAGTTTACGTCGATTGCTGGACCATCTGAAGAGAGCTCTTCTCCCTCCACTTGAGACGTAAAGTTAACAAGACCTTCGTCGCCTTCGGGAGCCGATGTAAACCTCGATACAATCGAAGTCATCGTGACAGGTTGACCAGATACAGTCTGCGCGACAGTTACACTTGTTTCGATCCCGGCAGTGACGAAACACGACACTTCTCCCTGTTCCGAGTTGTTGAAGCCTACGAGCTGCATCGCTCCAAAACGATCCTTCAGAAAAAGACTTTGCGCCTCGGGTGAGTCCGAACATGAGGAATGGTACTTCAATGTCTGAATGATGTTGTCAGGCACTGTGTCATTTGTAGCGTACACAGTTATGTTCTGATTTGCGTCAAGTAAGCCGCCTTCTTCTAACGCGATCGAAAAGAGCTCACCGACTCCAACCCACCCGTGGAAATATAAGATGCCAGCACCTCGGATATCGGTCACCACAATGTATGAGGATTCGCCAAACTCTGTCGGCGGCCCCCCGTTGAAATCTCGACAGATGGAGAGCGGTCCCGATTGAGCATTGAAGCTGTTGCCACAATCTCCACCTTCGTAGAGAAAAACCATGGAGCGAGGACGATCCTGACAAAGCACGGGCTCGGTGCGAATTTCTTCACAGCTGTCGGATCCAGGAGGAGGTATACACTCAGTTTGAACGTCGAGAACACAGTCGGAGGTCGGAGCCTGCGATGGGACCTCAGTCGGCTCCGCGTTGGGGGGTATGGGAACGGGAGCTTGAGTTGTTGGAGATTGTGTTGGTGCCAACGTTGGTGTCACTGGAGCGCTTGAAGGGGAAGGAGTACCTGGTTCGAGCGGTCCTATCAAGATAACTGCCGCCGCGGAACATTCTCCGTCGTTGCCCTCCACAGAGCTCGTTGCTAGGTACTCTTTCGTGACGCAGCGTTCAAGAACAACAGAAGTGTTAACTGCCAAGGTTTCTGAAGGATCCAGCTGTCTGTCGCCGATGTCTTCGAGTAGATCTGTTTCGGCTCCGTTGATAGTGAAATTGAAGGATGTCACAGTTTGGCTGTCACTGCCTACGTTAGCGGCAACCATGTCGAACCGAGCATCGACAAAGCAAAAGTGAGGAGTGTTTTCCTCCGGGCAAGTGTATCCCGTAAATTGGAAGGCGCCGAAATTTTCAAGAAGAATGATTCCTGGGTCCGAGCAAGAAGTATCGATTGAGACAACTTGACTTGATGTCGTCGCTCCTTCAGCGCTGACCGCCATAAGGATTTCTCCTGGCAAGCAGTTTGTATCTTGAGTCAACTCAACCTCTTCTCCATTGGCAACAACTCCTTCGAATAAAACCGTGTCCATGGCAGATATCACGATGGATGCCCCAGCTTCTGGCATTGGATTTTCGTCGAGACATGAAAGAAGACCCGGTACAGCTGTATCAGGGCACGGCGATGCGGTATACCGAAAGCGCAAAGTGCCGACGCATTCCTCGCAAACGCATTGTGGAAATTGCTCGCCTTGCAGATCAATGCAGTCGCCCGTTACTCCGTCAATGGAAGTCAAGCAGCTCATATCTAGGCTTATCTGGCACTGCATCATTCCAAGGAAACAGAGCTCGTCCTCGTCCTCACAGACAAGCTCGTTCGCCCCAGATGACTGTACAACAGAAGATATGCAATATTCTTCTGGGGCACAACTATCCACGACAAACTTCTCCACGGCCTCTGTTCTTTGTCCCGAGACCAACATTGTTGTAGGGAGCAGATCGATTAATGCCCCAGTGTCACCGCGAAGGGTTCGAGTGAGATCGATAATGTCGACATCATTGGTTCCCACATTTTGAATCGAATACTCGAGACAAACAGTTGTCAGACAGTCAAGCCTCAGGCTGTCGGTGCTGCATGCCTCCACCTGCAAGCTTCCAAACCGATCTTGCAGGTTGAGCTCAGTGCCCCCTGAAGCGTCGAACGAAACAACCTGATGGAGGACATTATCCAACGAACCACGGATTTCGCACGAAACGTTGAAAGGGAGGACGAAAGCGCCATCTACACCACCGAGCGAGAGAACAATTGTATCGCCGTCCCCGACATCTGCTTCACCAGATTCAATTGCAGTTTCCAAAGGAAGAGGTGTACTGGCTACGCTGTCGGTGCACACTATCAGGACTCGATCGATGGGCATTGTGAAATCTCTGCAAGTCGCAACATCTCCTTGGCTGTTCATGGTCGCGTTGCACGGGCTGCCCTCGTATCGCATCCTCAATGCCCGAACTTCCTCGCCATCAATCGCACAGGTCACAACCGGCAGACCCATGCCACTGCATTCGTCACCCTCATCGGTCATGCATGTGATGTCGATATCGATTCGACATTCCACCTCCACAAGGATGCTGTAGTCGTCGGAGCCCCGACAAAAGGCACTCCCATCTTCCTCCGTTGTACGAACCATTACGTTGGTGTCGATCGTCGCATCAAAGCAAAGGTTAACGCCTCCTTCCTCGGTGACCACAGTGCTTTGTCCGGGTTCTAGAGTAAACTCGTCCGCTGGGATGAGCGGTAAGAGGCTGACCATGTCGCCACTTCGATTCCTCATCAACTCGGCGATGGTTTGAGCTTCGCTTTGAGTATTGGTAACGGTGTAGGAGTACTGAACGGGTTCCACACATCGTTGGTCCTCGCAGCTTTCCACGACAAAACTTCCGTATCGATCTTGCAGATAGAAGTTACCAACTACCGCCGTCGTGATGTGCATTTCTTGCACTCGGTTCAGGATTTGTTCATTGTCTTGCCCGATTGTCACCTCGGAAATCTCACAGCGCACCACTTGTCCCAGATCTCCATTGGCATTCATGCCTTCCAGCAGCACGAATTGACCAGGCGAGAAGGTGCTGTCTACGAGCACGTTCATTTCGTCGTCAATGCATGCGATTTGGGCATCAAAGGAAGTGGATGACGAAGGCTGTCCTTGATCGAAGCATTCAAACTCTTCGGGTTGTTGTTGCAACGTCAGACTGCTATTGCAGGGCATGTAGTCGTACAACATGGCAACGGAGGAAAGCGGTACACCCGTGCCAACGTTCTGCAACGGGATGGCCTTGGCGGAACATGCACCCGGTATGGGAATGTCACGGCAATCTGTTTCACCATCGACAGCCCAGATGCACGATATTTCCACCTGAACCAAACCGAAAAGAGGAAACTATGCGTGTTAGCAAGATTGCAAGAACAATTGAACAGACGACAGGTCTACCCGTAGCCTTGAACGTACCTCCACTGTACATGGTTGGGTGGGTGGCCCTACAGATTGATTTCCAGTTGGCAGCATGGTCGGGAAACTAGAGATGGGTGCTGGTGACGGTGCATTCGTCGTGGGCGGATCTGTGGTTGGCTGTAACGTCGTAGGTGCAGTTGTTGTGGGTTGCAGCGTCGGTTGGACCGTGGTTGGGGCGACTGTTGACACAGTGGGTCCTGGTGTTGGAAAGACAGTCGGATTGAAAGTTGGTGAAGAAGTGGGCGACTGTGTCGGAATGATAGTGGGACTTGTCGAGGGAGTTCGCGTTGGTATCCCCGAAGGTATCTTTGTGGTTGGGGCTTCAGTCGGTTCAAACGTTGGTGCTGGAGTCGGATCTGCCGAGGGATTTGGAGACGGCGCTTCTGTTGGCTCAATCGTTGGCGCCTCCGATGGGGTTTTTGTTGGTGATACCGTGGGTTTAGTTGTCGTGGGGTTGTCCGTGGGAGATGTTGTGGGAGAATCGGTAGGTGACGTTGTGGGGGATTTGGTTGTGGGAGTCTTCGTCGGTGACACCGTGGGAGACTCAGTTGTGGGAGACTCAGTTGTGGGAGACTTTGTCGGTTTCACCATGGGAGAGTTGGTTGGTGACAGTGTTGGTGTTTCTGTGACTGGCATTGGCGATGGCTTTTCTGTTTGAGCTCGAATTGTTGGTTCCAATGTAGGTGATCCAGTTGGGTCTCGTGTCGGTGCTTGACTAGGTTCCTCAGAAAGCATGCTACCCATCATTGATGTCCTAAGTAGAAATTCCCCAAACCATGCCTCATCAGCCTCCCTGGCCTTGAATTTTCTATTAGTAGTACCTCTATATATGGATTGTTGCTTTTGTTCTTGTGCTAATGCTCTTTGCAGGGCCAGGTTGTCGTCATCGTCGTCGTCATCCTCTGTCTGTTGGGGTATCCGTTGTGGCGGTGTACTACTGTTGACCTGATGTGATTGGGATATCCGCCGACGGGCTATACTCTCATCTATTGCAGCCTCTTGTGCATTGCCGTCTCTTGCAAAGAAGACGCCAATTCCTACAAGGGCCAATGAAATCCACATTGTGAACTTCATGATGGTGTTGGTCAGTCAAGTCAGTTTGCTAAGAGCTATTGTTGGGTAGCTGAAGCGATTGGACTTTTTCGCTCTCTTCTTGTCTTGTCCTGATCTGAGTTGAGTGATGAGGAGACGGTACTGTAGACTGAAGGCAGTCTGCCAGTTCTAGTCGTCGTCTTGCTATTCTCAAGGATGCTTGCAGCTCAATTGCTGTCGACCGTGCATTGCAGTGAAGCAACCCTGGTATGTGATCGCCAAAGGCACCATCCAAAGTCACTAATCGCTTCAAAATGTGAGCTCGAAAATCTGGATGGACCCACTCCGACAACGGCAGCGTCGGTTGTCTAAGTAATTGACATGACAGTTTCGCCGGCATATTACTCTTTGTCAATCACTTGGTTGTTTGTGATCGAGGCTAAACTTTTAGCCTACATTCTTGCGTTTTTGGCATCTCAGATGGCGTGTTCAGTCAAGAATGGCTCGTGACAGAGATCAAGTGAGAATGCACGATGCATCCAAAACAATCTTTTCTGAAACCTCAAATCGGTTTGAGCATCTTCCGATACTGTACGTACTATTATCACTACCGGTAGTACATCTTGGGTATCCCAAATATAATGGCTTCTACCTTTGGCTTACGGCAAGCTTCCCGCTTGACTGCTCGTCGATCCGTCGAGAAGATCGTACCGACCCGTTCCCTGCTACCCCCTGCTCCCAAGATCCTTCGGCCACCGCTATCGTCTCGGTCGTTGTTTAGTAGTAGTGGGGGCAACGACGAGAACAACGATGATCCCCATGCCCTCTTCAAAGAACAAATGGAGCAATTAAAATCAGAACGCGAAGACTTGTTTGGGTTTACTCAAGAAGATCAAAATGCCTGGGGCAACCTGGCCAGTGCCAACGACAAGTTGCCTCCATCCCTCATGGAGTCTGTGCAAGCGGCGCGATTGGCCCAAGAAGAAATGGAGGACAATCATCAAGTCCATCATCAGTCGCCACCACAATCCATTGCCAAGGAGGGCACAAAACACGATACTGCTGATGATGAGGAGGAATACCAGCCATCCCACGGAATGACCCATCTATCCGAGGACGGAAGCACTGCCAATATGGTGGATGTGGGACATAAAGTTGTCACGCAACGCACGGCACGAGCTGAAACAAGGGTTATCTTACCTCCAGAAGTCGTGGACGCCTTTCAAGTCAAAAGTGAACAAGAAGAGGTAGTGGGGCCCAAGGGAGCTGTGTTTGCAACGGCCCGAATTGCCGGTATCATGGCAGCCAAGTAAGTTTTTTGCGCCGGACAGTGAGGTTGTTGTATGTATACTATGCAGCAACAGTGCTCACGTGTTTCAAAATATGCTGGATGATAATTGCTCTAACATGAATCGAATCATTTCAACAATCTCATTTGGAGCAGGAAAACAAGTGACCTCATTCCCTTGTGTCACCCGCTGCCATTGGACAAAGTGCACATTGACATTCGGATGGAACACGACAATACCGTCCTCATTTCTTGTGAATGCCGCGTTACGCACAAAACGGGAGTGGAAATGGAGGTACGTGTGGTGGAGAGGATGATTGATTGGTGTGAAAGTGGTTCGTTGCGCCTACAAAGCCTCTCACTCTTCTGCACTGGAATAATCTTTATTTGTCAAGGCATTGACGGGCGCCAGCGTAGCAGCCCTCACAGTGTATGACATGCTGAAAGCTCTCAGTCACAATATTCGAATAGAGCAGACAGTGCTGGTAAGCAAGTCTGGGGGAAAACGAACAGTCGGACCCAACTAATAGATGACACGGGTTCCCCATTCTACCGTTTGTTGGATCCGCTGTGACCACGCAACATTTTTTTAAGCACAACAATCCATCCACGCAGCAATGGAATTGAATTAAACGACATGTTTCGTGGCCAATGCAACGCTCTGTGTTGGCCAATGCAACGCTCTGTGGGACCACAGTCGTACATTCTCTACCACATTTTTGAGACGACGTTTTGTTGACAGTGTCACGGCAATGTGGAAACACCACAATCTTGAAAAGCTATGATAATCAGCACACAACGAAGAAAGATCGTAGAAGCCCGCTTCCTCTGCAAGAAGCAAGGGAGATCTGCCCAGTTGCGCTGCAAAGCCGCCATCAGTGTAACTTGACTGTCTCTCAGAAGACCCAGGTTCGATTCCTGGTGTCTGCGCACAACCTTTTGAATGGTAAGACTGGCAACAATTCGCACCTGATATAGAACGAATCATTTCAACAGAGAAGACAATGGCAATGGAGCCAGCGTTTGCAATCTGATATGGTGTAATGGTAGCATGTCTGACTGTCTCTCAGACGATCTGGGTTCAATTCCTGGTATCAGAGTTCACAACCTTTTAGTGTTCCAGGGCAGATAGATAGACTACAACACGTTGCACACTTACTGTAGAAATTAGGGCTGTTCCAACGTTCCAACGTTTCAACCTCCTTCCGCTGCCTATTGAGACGCGGGAGTAGCCAGACGTGCACAGACATCTGTGACTGCTGCAGCCAGTGCGCGTGCTAAAATCTGACTCCACCCGTGAAAGGAAGCAGTCACGAGGCTGACACTTGGATGCGAAGAAGCGAGCCAAATGATCTGTTCGATGACATCGAAATTCTCACAAGGATCAAGCCCAACGAGGAGCCTCACAGTTCCCCAATTCCTCAAATACTAGCTAGTAGTTCCTCATCACTACTATCAGCAAAATAAATATCATGACCATGTTGTCCCATATAGTTGGTATCGTGAGTGGTGGAGCGAGTGGTCTTGGCGCTGCCACTGCTGCCAGTCTTCTCAAGCATGGAGGAAAAGTTGTTGTGGCTGATCTTCCCAGCCAAAGAGCCGCCTTCGAACAACTTGCTGCTTCTGTTGCGGGATCCAGTAGTGCACTGTCATTTGCAGAAGCCGACGTGACAAATCCAGACCAGATCGCACGAGCTCTGGACATGGCGGAGGAGCAATTTGGAGCACCTGTCAATGCTGCAATAAACTGTGCCGGAATTGGCCTGGCTCGGAAAATTGTGTCGGTCAAAAGAGGAACCGACGAAGTCAAAGTCCATCCTTTGGAAGAATTTTCAAAAATCATGCGTGTCAACGTCGACGGGACCTTTAACGTTGCAAGATTGGCAGCCGAACGAATGATAAAACGAGAAAATGGATCCGACGGAATCAAAGGCTGCATTATCAACACCGCGTCTATTGCCGCATATGACGGCCAAATTGGCCAATGTGCATACGGCGCCAGCAAAGGTGCTATTGCTAGCTTGACTCTACCCATGGCTAGAGATTTATCCAGTCAAGGTATCCGGGTCATGACAATTGTAAGTGGTACTTCTTAGTGCCCCCCCCCCCCATCTCTTTTTTATTTTTAACCCGCTCCTTTGCCAATTGTTTTACGCCACATCCTGTTTGTATCTACCGTTCTTCAGGCTCCTGGACTCTTCCAAACACCCCTTTTGGATGGCCTGCCAGATGCCGTCAAAGCGGAATTGGGAGCCACAGTTCCCCTGCCCTCACGGCTGGGTGATCCGGCCGAGTTTGGGCAATTAGTTGTCTCCATTTTGACAAACCCAATGCTGAATGGAGAAGTGATTCGGCTCGATGGGGCGATTCGGATGCCTCCCAAATAGAATAACAATTCACAAGGACCAGCAGTGCAGAAAGCTTGACAATCTAAGATATAGTCTATCTATTAATTAATAACACCACGGCATTATTTGGGCTTGGGCCAAATTGACAGCTCGAATTTCCTCTATTTATTTAGCAAGCTTAGCTTTGTACAACAATTGGTGGTCCCTTCCTCAACCCCCCACGCAAACTCGCCGCACGTGCTGCCTTGATTATGGTGGATTGTTTTCTACGTCATCAGTCAGATTTCTCTGCAGGACGCTTCATTTTTACTAGCTCTAGTAGTCTAGTCTACACTAATGCTGACGAACGGAACAACAAGCCAGCCGCACTTTAACATCGGAAAAAGAGTCTGCGCCAGACATTGCACCCAGTGGAGACCCCAGCTTCGCAACCACCCTCTAATGTTCGGTCCGCTGGACGGTACCACTTGAGATTGAATGGGTTGGCTGCAAAGAATACAGCATCAATGATGCAAGGTGTCGAAGCCTCCCAATGTGTCCCGGTGACTGTTTTGATGTGCAAATAGTCGGGATTGGAAGAGATTGAAGGTAGATTGGAATAAGGAATCGACTCATCCTCGCTGGAATGACACAAAAACATTGGGTAGTTGGCACTCTCCAAAATATGAATGAGGTCATTCTCTTGAAGTGCTTCACAGAGTTTGTCTGTCTCATTTGTCACACTGGTGACACACGGATTGGATTCACCACGAGCAATGCCACCCTCCATCAAGGCAATAAACTTCTGGTTGTACACTGAGAGTGGGTCCCATTCAGGGATGTATGCAAATAGTGGATCCCTGTTTGCGCCAGCAAGTTGTGCTTGGTGTACCAGAGGGTCTCGGACATGCTCAGCCAAGAAATCTTGTCCAGCACCAAAGTTGGCAGCATCTGTTGTGGTTGATGACAGGGCTGCTGCCAGCAAGGTAACGAAGAAGACAATTGGTAGTCGTCCATTCTTTATTCTGCTCACAAAGTAGGTAAGAGTTTCTGTGGACAACTTATAAGGCGCGCCGCCTCCGTACACAGCAATAATGGTCTTGCCCATCCGGGCTAAACCATCTGCCAAGGCCACAACTTGAAAGCCACCCTGACTGTATCCAACAAGACTGTAGGCGTCGGCCATGGCGGCCGCACAATTCGATTGTTCAGCAACCATAGCTTCAGCCTGCCAAATCAAAGGCAAGGTCGCCGTGACGTAGGTTTGTTTGATAAGAAAGGCCCGATAGTAATCCTTAGACTCTCCCCTTCCAGTAAAGTCAGGTTCTAGAGTATAGACTCTTGTGATGGAACTGATAACAGCCCCCAACAAAGCTGGGTGTGATGTTACGGGGTACCCAGTTTCACTTGGAACGACACTTTCGGAGGCAGGTACGATGTTGACAGGAAGGGTGGTAGATATTAGTTCTCCCCTCCCTGCATCATATGGTACCACCAGCAGTCCTGAGTGTGTAGCATTGAATCCATAGTCCTGACGTCCGCAGCCTGCATTCTTGGGATACTTGATGTCATCCTCAAATTCAGCACATCGTCCACAAATCTTCCATAGTTGAACGTCGTATTTTAAATTCCTAAGGATGACGCTATCCAATGCAAAGATTGCAAACTCGCCAAGAGGTGTCTGTTCCTGCATCAACACGATCACCATACTTCTGATTTCCTCCACGGTAAGAGTGCCGATTAGCGAGTTGCACTCATTTGCCTCTCCCTGAAACAAACTACGTTGATGTCCATCGTCATTCTGTGGCGCTAATGCGCTATTGAGTAAGTATCCGAGTGCTTCCTTGGCGCTTTCTTTGGCTTCATCTTTTGTCATTGAAATCCCGTCTTTTCTCAGATAAACTTCGGCATCATTCGATTGGGCCGGATGCAGCAAGACACCGCAGAAAGTCAGGGAAAACAGTCCTAGCCGCAGAAACTTCGAAATCATCATCCTGTTCATTCAATGAGGGCAATGATGAGCTCTAATAGCATATAAAAGAATGTTCCACCTGTGTGATTTCGAAGCAGCGTTATCAAATGAAACGCATAGGCTCATAGGACAGTGGACCTGCATCGCTCACTTGAGCGATTTCGTCGCGGGGTGACTTGCTGTACCAAAGCAGTGAGTGAGCCGTGGATACTCAGAAAAGTATCCAAGTTTCAAATTGTGAGCATGCAAGATTCTCGCCGTGGTCTCACAAAACGGCTCTCCCATTCTCCCTTTGCTTTGCTCTTTTGGTGGTGTGTATGTTCATGGACCAGAGATAGAGTGTTGGTTGTTCAGAGCCCAACCCATAAGGAATGACATACCGGTACAACTCAGAGGTGCTCCAAGTTGTTATTTGTCGCCTTTTCACAAAGACTGGTTCGTCAAGTTCAAGAAAGATACTGTAAATGCACAGTTGATCCACCCAATCCGTTCATGCAGTGTGCAGCAAACAGCAAACTGGAGCATCTATCGCTGAAATTTACACATCATCATCAGCATCCTCCCAGTCGCATCCGTTGTGTTCGTAGTATTTCGTCTCGTGTTGTGCACGTATGCATACCAGGTGGTACTACTAGCTAGCTAGTGCCCATCAGCGCTGTAAGAAGGCTGCTCGGCCCCTGGGATAAGAGCTCCAGCTAAAGCCAGTTTTGATATTTTCACTTTTGCTTGCTTGGTTGCTCGGCCAGCCTCAACACTTGGATTGGCGTGGGTATAAGTTGCTGTTTGGTTTGTTATTGCATACCGCAGCCCAACCTCAGTCACCATGATTGATCTAATGAATAGAAGGCTCAACAGAGGGACCAGCCATAACAAGCCCGATACCTTATACAGATCAACATCGGTCAACAGCATCGTCGAGAAGGACAACGATGACCATTCAATGATGGCCGATGCGACCATCGACACGGCAGATTGTACAGAAGACTTGACATCTAGTGTGGCCGACTTGCTTGATCACAACACGAGTTTGCATTTGCCAAACCTCTACGAAGACGAAGAATTCGATGGTTCCCAGGACTTTATTCGTGGTGAGGGTTCTACCAGGTCTCTTGGCCATGCAGAAACCATGGTTGCCAACACCAAGGTCATTGCACCGCGTGGCTCTATGCAGCAGAAATCTCGTAACAGCATGAATGCCATTAACCAGCTCAAGTTTTCCAAGCTGCAGAAGCTGTATGGGCGAGATCAGGAGATAAAACTGCAGCGAGACCTTTACGTCCAAGCCAAGCAGAACTCGACGCGGCAATTCATCTTAATCGGGGGGGAGGCTGGAGTCGGCAAGTCAGTGCTTGCAGAGGAACTTAGGCCTTCTGTCCAGAAAGACTGCGGCTTCTTCTTGTCGGGAAAGTTCGATTTTCAGCAGCAAGATGAACCTTACTCTGCCATCTCTACCGCTTGCAACACGCTGATGCACTCTTTAATGGAACATAAGCACTCACGTCGCAATTTGCATGGATGGAGGTTTACATTTAAAGAGATGCAACAGAAGCTGTGCGAAGAAATGGATCCTGACCAGATTGATCTTCTCTCAAACATTATTCCTGGCTTAGCTCGAGTCGCTGGAGGGGATTTTCTTTCCATGAGCAATGGCAGCTTTGCGATGGATAGCAGCCACGGCAGCCACGAAGGCCCGTTCGCAAGTGAACGAACCACTGGAGGTACTGTGATGCAACAACCCATCAGCCGAAGGAGAGGCATGGAAAACATGAACAGCGAATGGAGTATCCCCGCTGCCGGAAGTCATGACGAGGACACCGAGCGAAGTACGCCCAGTGAACGCAATACTCCCATGGATGTGTACGGACAGCCCAGCAGCCCAAAAAACCCGAGAACAGGCATGCAAAAGATGGCGAGTGACTGGAGCATAGGCATGGACAGTAGCCATGAACGCCTTGCCTTGCGGAGATTATCTAGCGAACGGATCTCCACGCCGCCGAGAGGTAACAGGAGAAATGGCTTTATGAAAAGGATGGCCAGCGAATGGAGTCTGAGCAATGTCAACAACAATGATGGAAGTAGTAGTCCTATCAGCCCAAAAAGAAGCATAATGAGAAGCCCGCTGAGGACAACCAGCAACCAAAGCCGTAGCAGCAGAAGCCCGTTGAGGACAACGAGTAAGCAAAGCAATGCTACCAGAGGTACCGGTAAAGGGGCCGTGCAAAACCTGCTTTTAGAACGAAGCACACGACATTTGGGTAGAATGACAAGTGACAGAAGCCTGAGGGGATCGAAGTCCGCCAGCTTCACAGACACAAAGGCATGTCTCCACTTTGCCTTTCGGCAGCTATTTGACGTTCTTTGCAATTTTGCACCCACTGTGTTCCTTCTCAATGATCTGCAATGGGCTGATGCCGCATCAATGGAACTCGTGGAAAGCCTGCTTCTTGACCGGGGTCTTAGCGGGAAAGGCTTTGTGTTGGTCGGGAGCTATCGTTCTGAAGCCGTGTCGCCCACTCATTTGCTCATGACAACCGTTCGGGAAGTTCAGTGCGTCTCCGAAAAGAACAACGATATGAATTTGAAGGTGACAAACATCGTGTTGGGCAACTTAGCCCAACATCAAGTCAACGAAATGCTCTGCGACCTTCTGAGCTGCGACGAGGACGAATGCCACTCTCTAGCAGAAATCATCCATAGAAAGACTGCTGGCAACATCTTTTTTGTTGTACACTTTCTCAAAACTCTCAGTTCGGAAAACTTGCTTGTCTTCAGTATAGTCACTTTGAAGTGGACATGGGACGTGGAAAGAATCGAGCTCAATGGAACAGCCACCGACAACGTCATTGACTTGATGAAGGAAAAGCTGAAAAGACTGCCAGCCCAAGTTTATCGCACGATTCCGTTCGTTGCATGTCTCGGTGCTTCATTTCGACGGTCTATGTTTAACTTGGTTGTCGATCATTTCAACAAAACGTTCTCAACCAGGGAGATTGTCATGAGGGATCGTGGGGCTGAAGTGTATCCTCCTTCTGATTTCTTCGGTGTGTGTCAAAAGGCAGGCTTCTTGGTGTCCAATAGCAAGGGAGATGTTATTCATTGGGAACACGACAAAGTGCAGGAGGCGGCCCTCTCCTTGGCCGACGAAGACGAGCTCGTTTCCCTTCGATCTAGGCTTGGTGAAGTTTTGCTCCACAAATTAAGCAATCAGGACCTGGAAAGAAGCATCTTCGTTGTGATCAGTATGCTTGATATGAACAGTGCAGAAGGGAACCGGCGAAAGCAGATCAGATTTGCCGAACTTAATCTTCTAGCGGGGACAAAAGCGATGGCGGCTTCGGCATCAGCCAGAGCAGCAGCACTCTTGTCCCAGGGAATCAAATGTCTACCCGAAAACCACTGGAAAACCGACCCGGATCTGTCTCTGGATCTCTACGCAATGACAGTTGAAGCTCTTTTTTGTACTGGTCAGTTTGAGAAGATGAACAAGTATTGTCACGAGGTTTTCCAATGTAAGGAGATCCCTTTGGTTTCCAAAGCTAGGGTTTACAATCCGCATGTGTTGGCAATGATGGCAGAGGGACGTCTTGGTGATGCCATGAAGCAGTGCGAGAAGATTCTTGCCAAGTTAGACTGCAGCTTCCCTCGGTTCTTCAAGGGATTTCACATGTACAAGGGGATTTTTCAAGCACAAAAGTCGGCCAAAAAGAAAATAATGCAAATGTCAAAGGATTCTGTCATCGAAGACGACAAGAACAGATGGATCATGTTCATACTGGACACCTTGGGTCAAGCTGCTCACCAAGGCCACAATGTCAGCCTTTTCATGCTGGGAAATCTAAGGGGGCTTCAATACACACTCAAGTATGGCGTTTGTGACTGGGCACCCCCTCTGCTTGCGGTAATTGGAAATGTCCTTGTCGCTGGTTTAGGTGATTTTGACGGGGCTCAGTTCTATGGGGAGACAGCCATGACACTCTTCGAGAAAGCTGATATCAGCAGAAGTGCCTTTTCAAGGACAAGCTTCATTGTTTCGTACTTTGTCTTGCCGCACAGGGTTGCCTCCACAGACTGCCGAAAGATAGCATTGCAAGGATATCAAGCCGGAATGAAAGCGGGCGATGTGCAAAACGCTTTGTGGTGTGCTCTGAGCTACTTGGACATATCGTTTTACGTCTCTCAAGATCTGAAAACGCTAGCCGATGACTGCCAAATCTACTGCCAGCAAATGAAATCTTTGAAACATGAGAGGATTGCGAGGTATCTGGAATGCTTGTGGCAGCTCGTCTTGAATGTGAGTGGCAGCGCAGAGGACCCCGCGGTTCTGAATGGCAACGGCCTCAACTATGACGAGTACATGAACTGGGCCAAGGGCTCGGAAAGCACTCAAGCCATCTCCTACTACGATCGATACCAAATTGCAGCAGCATTCTGGAGCGGCGACTTTGCTAAAGTGCACGCTCTCATCTTGAAGACAGATACGCACAAGGGGTTCTACGAGAAGACGTTTGGAGGGTCTTTTGCGTTGTATCCCTTGTACTTTCAGTGCGCTCTCTCGCTGCTTTCATTGTATCAAACCACAAAGTCGAAGAAGTTCAAGTCCATGGCCTGCTTCTTCTCAGGCAAACTCAATTCATGGGCAAAGAAAGGAGTACGTTTTCTCCAGTATGAACTGCCCTGTAATACCTTGTTCTTGATACTGATCCGACCTGTTTCCTTGTCTCTCCCGCCTCAACAGAATCCGAACTTCAAGCATTACTCTCTGATGGTCGACGCGGAAGCCCTGGACATTAGAGGCAAGCGTTCGGAAGCAGAGAAGCTGTTCAAGGAAGCCGTCATTTTTGCGGGGAGGAGAGGGTTCACAAATGACCAAGCTTTGGCGAACGAACGGCTCGGTGGCTTCTTTCTTCGTCAGGGTCTCGATGACGATGCCAAGTACCACCTCGGCGAAGCCATCAAGCTCTATCGACAGTGGGGGGCGCATGCCAAATGCGACATATTACACAAAGTATATGAAAAGTTGCTCCCTCCGATTCCGCTCGAGATTGCGACGTCTCACGGGCCTGGTTGAAGCCGATTAATCTGTTGTCACGTTTGCTAGCCAGTAAACGCCGTACCAGCCTGGGCCTTGTAACGAATCGAATCGAATCGAATCGATTACGGTACTCTCTACCGGTACAGGTACCACCTGTGCCGAAAGCAGATCGAGCGCATGTCGGACAGCGCTCCTGGCCCGACGTCTCCGCCATGCGTTTCGTTCCGTGCTGAAAAGAACTTTCCTTGGCATGGTATGGAATGGCATGGACTGCAACGGTAAAAGCACCGGTAGCCACCTATCCAGCCAGATACCAATAGCTAACCAGCAGTACAGTACAGTAGCAACTTTGTATCGCATTGAGCGCATCATGCATCCGAATAAACACTGCACGTGTAGTTCGTCCGTACCTGGTACCGTGAACAACAGTTCGATCTCCGCTACAGTGGCTGATGCCTCAAAAGCGTAGTGCCCCATTCCCACACAAGGGAAAGATACCGTATGGTTGCCGAAGTATCGTCATGCTGCGAAATGTCTGGAATACCTGGACCGTCCGACGCTTTTCACTCAGGATTTAAAAATCTTCAAATTGCCACGACTGACAACATCTTTTAAACAACCCCTTAAACAACCCCTTAAACAACCCCTTAAAGCTTCAACATCCCCTTAAACAACCCCCTAAATAAACAACCCCTTAACAACATCCCCCTATATCCTCGAAACAACCCCTTAAGCCTTCATTGAAACGCCATACAACAACCCCTTATCACGAATGAACATCCCCTTAAATAAACAACCCCTTAACAACAACCCCTTAAATATTCAACATCCCCTTAAACATCCCCTTAAAGCTTCAACATCCCCTTAAACAACCCCTTATGAGAACCAGGATTATGAGTCAGTCGTGCCCGTTTTTAAAGCCTGAGTGAAAACCGTCGGACGGTCCTGTAGGACGTGACGATTCCTGCAGTGCCTTGGCACCAGAGCACATGGTTGCATCGTAATCTGAGCGAAATAGTTGTTGGGACTACCGTAAGCCTTTAGGAATACATGTCTTTGCACCTCTACGTGTTTCGGTTTGTGCCGGTGCAGTTCAAGCGCCGCTGCCCGCCCTGAGGCACCGACTCGGAATCCAGTATAGCCGCAGTTGGGCTGCGAGTAGAGCAGCAGTGGGGCTGGCTGCGAAGGCATCCAGGGGCTGCGTGGCGAATGGGACCACGGCAACAATGGCGGCAAAAAGGAGAGTAGCAAAGCGCATGTTGGTTGGTGCGGTTTTACAATGGTAGATTAGATTCGTTGGATTTTGATTTGGTTGTTGGTGTTGTGTTACTTTGCCCTTTGGGAGCTTTTTGTTTTGTGTTTCTCGCTCCCAAGATCTTCTTTGTATGGCTCTTTCGGAGGTCGTTGTCACTTGTGATAGTCTGTCATCATCAATCGTGTCCCTGTATTCCTCAGAACAATGCAAAGAGGAACACCAGTGTAAGTAGAGGTTTGCTCAGCCGCAATGATCTCTGGTGGTGCCGGTCTGGTCCGCCTTGCAAAGTCTCGTTTGGAGGCACCGGCACCTTATCTACCGGTAGCTAGGTACCGGTAGCTGTGATTGTGAGAAAAGTTTTACTCCGTTTTATGTCGAGTGATGAGTCTCGCGAGACTGACTCACTCGACTCGTCACTTGATCTCATTCTCGACTCGACTCGACTCTTCACTCGACTACCAGGTATCACTCGATCGTCGTCACGGTTGTCGAAGTGCACCCACAATTTATTTTTACTCGACGTCCACCATCACGAGACTGTCACTCAACAACAATCGCATCGTATCGAACCGAATCACCATGAGATCCCAACGCAACACCATCGACAATGCCGGCACGCACCAGATGAAAACGGAAAGCAAGGTTCACGCGTTCTTGGCCTCGCAGCGTCGCAATTGCGATGAAATGCAACGAGCGGCGGCACGCGCCAAGGAACGACGCGATATGTTGGGCACTCAAAGGGACGCCGAGGAGAAGGCCGTCAACGCCTTGAAGGAGCAGCTTGACAAGGACAAGGAACAGATCGACGGCAAAGCGGAAGAACGGTTGGAACGAAAGCGAATGGAGCACAAATTCCTCGAACGAGAGGTGAGTGGCTGACAGTAGAATCGATTGAATCGTGAACGAGCTGGATGCGAAAAATCAAATTCTCCGTTCGCTCTTCTCACCAAAACGTTGATTCTATTCTATTCTATTCTATTCTATTCTATTCTATTGCAGTACGACTTTCAACATTCCGAGCTCGTCAACAAACGCCACAAGCTCGACAATATGAAAAAGATGTTGGAGGAGGATCGGAGCAATCGCGCTCTCAAGCTGTCCAAGGAGCAAGAAGCCGTTCGTGGTCTTCGCGAGTACGTGAACAATCAAATCCACCACAACCAGAAGAACCAAGCCAAGGCGCCGAAATTGGCCATGAAACTCATTCAATTTGAATTGAACGGCGAGTTTTCCGAGTGGGGTGTTTGGGCCAAGGTGTTGCAAGAAAAGGCCAAAGCGACGGCTCATGAGGTGACCAAAGCCCAGCGTAAAATCAAAGAGTCGCAAGCCATCGTGAATGGCTACGAGACACGCTTTGGTGGCGGAGACAATGACACGGCCTGAGTGCTGGAATGTCGATGTGATGGAATAGAATTCCAGTCAAGTATGCTGCGGCGGTTGCTGTTCCAACCGCCCCTTTTTCTTCAGTGCTCTTTTGTTTCCACGGCTGCGGTATGCTGCAATCAGCACACGATATACGGTACATGTGGGACTTGGAAAACGCATACTCAAATGAAACGAGAAACTCTATTAGTTGTGATTTGTCTATGAAAGGTTGTTTCTCTTTTCCCTGCCAGCTCCTGGCTCTCTTGTTGTGAGCTTCTCTCTCACGACAAGAAGAGCCCTCAGCGTAGATTGGGCATTCGTTGTGCAGGTTGTTGCGTCCTTTGTACGCGACCGCCTCGAGCAGATTGTAGATTGAATCGAATCATTGGATGTGAGAAAAAGAAAAACCTTTCCATTGTCCTCTCCACCCTGCTCTGGGGCCTTGCCTACTTGATGTGCTCTGTGTTTATTGCCAGATTTCATTTTCTTTCAAAAAGCTCCTGGGTTTCTTCTTCTCGGCGGCTGCTGCTTCAGCCTTGTCCATGGATTCTTGGGCATACTTCAAGGCTTGTCGGACCCATGCTTTGCGTGCTCTGTTGTTCGTGTCGGGGTTCAAGGGCGGGAGTGCTTTTCGTTGCCATCGAACTGCTGCGCCCAAGTCTTGTTCTCTCAGGGCATTGAGCACACATGTGTGAATGACTTCGAAATGCCATGGTTTCACCGCCAAGGCAATCTCAGTCCATTGCTTGGATTCCGGCGTGTTGCCTTGAAAGTACTTGAGCGATGCCAAGCGACTGACCACTTCCGCCCAATGCACACCAAATTCATCCAGCAACTCTCGTAGAATGGCTTCTTCTTTGAGGAGACCCGGCGAACACGCCATTTCCATTGCCTGCAAGGCTTCTCCCGCTTCCATGCCACGTTCTACCATCCACAATCCCATGAGCTCTTCCACGGCATCGTCGCTGTCTTGCAGACTTTGGAGAAGTTCCATTTCCAACTCGCGACGATGGCGACTGCTTTCAGTCAATGGACGTGGAGTGTAGTCGTCCTTGTTGTGGGGCAAGGGCAGATCCGCATCGTCTCGTAGCAATCCTTTGGTTTGCATCAAAAACTCAAAATTGGCACGAGCTTCCTCCAGGTTATTGAGTTCATCGTCTGTATGGGAGGCAGACAGAATTGTCGTCCTACCAGCCTTGCTGGTTGTGGACGGCTGAAGGACAAAAGCATCACATGCCGATGCGACCAATAACGGGAGTAGTAGCACAGATCGAAACATTGTTATGGTGAGGCTTTTTTATTGATGGCTCCTTTTCGGAGGGGCGAAAATAAAATTTTATGGCTAAAGTGATGGATGTGTTGAAGTTGCTTTCTTTCTCGGAAGAACCCCTTCTCCAGCTGATCGTATAAAAGTTGGGAAGGAGGAAAGAAGAGCTGAAGAAGAAGTGCGCAGGTTTCTTGTTTGTCTGGTCCCAGACCTTCCATCAAGATGTTGCTTCTTGCGTTTGTTTCTCTTTGCTTCGCACTTTTTGGACCTTTTCTTCAAGCCGTGCCCATCATTTGCAGGATGGATGATGGATCTGTTCCGTTACGACTGGGGAAACATGGTGTCAGAAGACAAAGATCAAATGGAAAACAACAGATGGTTTGGCTTGGAGAGAACAAACATGGGCAATGAACAGCTTGCGGCGAACAAAGAGAACAATGACGGGCACTGTGGACTCACTCAGTCAATCCAACTTTAGTTCCACGCCACGCCACACCGTTAGAAGAGCTTCCACGCTGCATTGTGCTCGGCAAATAAGGGGTACTCTAGTACTAGCTAGCTAGTAGCAGGTACAATATCACGGTACGACTGTACCAGTACCTGTGCTGTACGCGTGTTGCGTACCGCTACCGATACTGTCTTAGAACCAGTAGCAGTAGCAGTACCGGTACCAGTTAGGAAAAGAATACCCACCCTTACCAAGCCTTTTTTCAAATACAAAATCAGGCAATCTCTACTTTCAATGGGCGCACAAGAAGTTCTGGAGTGGGCTCCTAGGTTATGCTTCCGAGAGAATGGGCGGTTGGAACTTCTTCAGTGGACTCACAAAAAGGGCTGCCTATTGAATCAAGGTACTGACCTTGTTCCTGCTTGGAGTGGACACGATAACATGCAACGATGCAGCCCATTAGAAATTCCGTGGGATGGCCAGAGCAGTTGAATGGGGGCAGGCGGGGAATTCGTGAAATTTGCTGGTTGGAATGACTTCTCGTGGGCACATACATCTACTCAGGTGCCCAAAGTAGGTTGAATGAATCGGATGAAAGTGACTTTGATCACTACATGTAGTATTATTTCTCTATTTTGGTTGCTTGGCCAGATCATTGTAGCGCTTTCGCTGGTTGCTCTGCTATGATCAAAGTTTTGACTTCATCTTTGTGCAATGGTGGCACTTGTTTTTGCAATAAGAAAGTTGGATGGATCCATGATGCCATGAAAGTAACCGGCTTCAGTTCTCGTTGTTTCCCACTGTGCCCGACCAGCATATGGTTAGCACACCGTAATGTGGGTTTTGCCAGAGGCCAACCCGCCAATCACCTTCGTCAGACCTCGCTAAAGATGCTGTCGGGACCGACAATGTTCCAACACAACTCCCTGGCAGAATTGCAAATGTGATTCACAGCACAGGAAGGAGGTTTGGCATATTTGGAAAACACAGTGCCATGTTCCAACCTTTTATAAAAAGTGCTGCTTTCTAGAGTAATACTTGCGTCGCTTTCATTGGTGGAGTTTGTGTGAGCGTTTTCCTTCCGAGCAAGGATTGCCACTTCATCCCAGAGACAATCAAAGGTCGGATCGGCAAAACAGAGACATAGATCATCATGGTAGGCGCCGCCCTGATAGTGGATCCCGTATTTGGTGTCGGGGCTGTGTACATCACACATGTGAATGCATTCCGGGAGAGTAATGGTACGGCGATGGCCACCTGCGGCGTGTTGTCGAAAGGTTTCGGCAACCAACTTGTTATTTTCTGGAACGGGTATCCCCTCCAAGACGGGCCATGAATTGTACCGGTCCGTGCTGCTGGTTCGAGACGTGGAACTGGTGGTGGATCCACCCAAAAGTGCGACCGAGACGAGTGCCAGCCAAATCATGCATCTCCAACGAAGATAACGAGCCCAGAAAGCTTCCTGTGAATTCTGCCGTACCACCACAATGGTTCTTTGAAGAGGAGGTGGTGGACGAATGGATCCTGGAATTGCCGTGGCCTGGACGGGTTTGTTCTCTTGGCCGAGTGCCGCAGCCACTACGGCAATCGGAAGATCCTCATTCGTTCCATCGTCCAGTGTCGCCGATGGAATAGCTTGATAGGAAGCATACTCCGTGTTGCCATTTCGGGTGGGGTTGAGAGGAACTTGAGACATGTTGAGAGTCGTTGTGGTGTTCCTATACGTAAATTACGATTGACACAGCAACTTGGTCCTTCACGAAAAAGATACCCCTCAAAAAATGAAGGAGCGTGTCCATCAAACATCAAAAACACATAACGCAGCAGAGCCGAATGCTTGAAAAGCCTTCAAAATCAGCGTCGTATATTCGGCCCCAAAAAAGTCAGCGTTGACACCCTCCGCAGATATCTCCTCTCCTTCGTGCCAAAGCCAAGACAATGACAACCTCACAAGCCTTGCACAATCACCTGGTGTCACTATCACGAAAGAAGGCCCATCCACGAAAGCACGGCGGGAAGAAGCCTGCTCGAGTGGTGGATTTGGTCAAGGTAGTGTTGAGATGCGCACCCACTTCGAAGCACCACAGTACCACCGTGCGACCAGCAACGGAGGAAAGTACACCTACACCATCGCATCAAGATTCATTTTACCCTCAACTTCATCAACAATTGACCCAAGAAATCCAAGAGATTCAAGAAAAACGAGTGCAAGTACGACAAAGACAGGTGGAATTTTGGGGACTCTACAAGTACGCTTTGGAAAAGGTCTCCAATCTGAGTGATTTGAGAGATGCCCCAGACGCCATTTTACCAGGAAACTTCCCAGACGCACCCAAAAAGATCAAGCCAAGCAGCAGCAAATCGGAGGATAAGCCTGCGGCAGAAGAGACTAATATTTGAACCGGGCATTTATCTGATTTTAGATAGCTTCCATAATCTGGAGCCAGCTGTCTAGCAATGCAAAGTTTTTATCGCTAGTGAATACAGAAAACCAGCGTATCGTAGACAGAAAAGTTGCACGAAATATGGTTCTAATATTGTTATGTATCTAATAAGCTAGTTGGTCGATACGCTTGCAGGATAGGCACCTGTAACCTTTTGGTGTGCCGTGGATCGACAGCGAACTGAAGTTGTGATAATATATATGAAGATTGTCTGCACTTGGCCAGAAAGAAGAAAAGGTGAAGCGGCTTGAACGTGGTCTCATCTTCTGTCTTTTTTTAACATACATGTCTCGTCAAGAAACTTTTCCCATCGTTCATCCATCCTACTACAATGACTTTTCCTTGAAGATCTGCAATTCTTGTTTGCGCATCATTCGGCGAATCTGACGCCATGTCGAAGGATTGAACAGACAAGATCCATGATCAATACCCTCACCCTCCCAATAGATCACGTCAATCTTTTGTCTGTTCGCACTCTCCCCCAGCGACCCTGTCGATGACGCGTTGGATGGATGGGATGACAGAGGCGTCGTTGTTGGAATACTACTCTTGTCTTGCTTTCTTAAATGCTTCATGCACCGGGGCACATTGGGAGTGTTGCCATTGTAGATATCCAAATGTGCCTTGATTTTCTGAGCATTGCAAATCTCATCGGTATCCGAGAGGCACACGACCAGCTTGCAGTGATCGGGAATATCCTCCAAGAATAATTCTCCATTGTACCAGGCAAATTGCCGCCGCAAAAAATGCTCGATAAAGAGTTCGTTCATGACCCAACTGGCGGCGCCGGGTTCCATGACACTGTCGTGCAATTTGGTATCGCGATGATGACTGCGGCCGTACACAAAGTTGGTAATCACGTCGGGATCACTCAAGCAAATGGCGACGGGATCAATCATGATCATTTGACGGACACGGTGTGCTTGCGTCGAGTGTAAAATGTAGGTTTCCAGGCACGTTCCAAAGGAATGTCCCGACAGAGATACCTCGGCGGTTGGACCCAAGTGCTTATCGACAGCTTCCCAGACACCATCGCAGGTTTCTTGTTCTGTGGGAGCGTGATTGGTCAAATTAAAGGCCACGGCGGGGTTCTGAAACAAAAAGATGGGTCGATCAATGTTCCCTTTTTCATCGGTGGCGAGGCCTTCGACGGCACCCAGTCCACCTGTAATCATGGGAACGTAAAAGGTTTCCCCCGCGGGAGCAATGCCATGAAAAAAGACAAATGGAAGTGGTTGCAGTTGTTGTTCGGATGGTCGCGGCGCGGGTCGATACCAATAACCAAGCCCCGTCGATGTCGTGTAATGGGAGAATCCTTGCCAGTACAAGAGCCCCGCCATGAATATTTGGCAAATATAGTTCATGAGATAAACGAACAATGGCCGGTATCGGATATCTACGTCTTCGACGGTCATTTGGACCGGAATCAATCGTTGTTTGGTTTTTGGGCCCGGCTCCATATTATAGGTTTCCTTGATCATGGCATACATTTTGGCCAGCTCTCGTTGTTGCCATTCCTCGGTCAAATCGCTGGCTTTGCATTGGAAGAACCCCCAAGCAATGAGACTATCAATGTCCGCTTTGCAGGGCAGTCCCGTCTCTTTGATGCATGCCAATTCTTCTTCCGCGTCATAGTCCTCTCGATCGCCTCCATGAAAGAACCAGTTTCGAATAAACTCGGCAAAGTAGGGCTTTTTGTCGATATCGAGGGCTTCACACAGAACTTCTTGCCTACGAAGCATTCGTTCAAAGAGCTTGTGTCTGATATTGGGATCTTCAAACTTTCGGATAATGGGATGGTCTTTGGGTTTGTTGAGTTCTGGTAGGCGCACTTTGTAGACCCACAACACAAAGACAAGTTCCGATAAAAGATACCCTCCCAACAACAGACCCATCCACACCCAAATACTGGGAAGAGACCGGTACTCATCGTCAAAGAGAAAGAAGGTTCCATCCATACCAAAGGGAAGCAGATTGGAAATGCTTGAAAGCATAGAGTCACTCATGGTAACACGACGTCAATGGGGTATCCAACTGAACAAGTCCGGTACTAGTACAATGACGATCGAGCCCTCAGATTTCAACTACCGGTATTCCCGGGCCTCAAAGCTATAAGGCGCTGTGTTTCGACCTATCTGATAATGCAGCCTTGAAGCTCCAATGACCAACTCACACAACTATTATTAGACGTACTTTGTAACAAACTGGGTGGCAACGGTAGACAATAAGAAAAGGCAATGCTGGATCCGAAGCCGAATTTGTGAGGGCCGTTGTTTTACTGGCAGTTTGCTCAATTGACTGGAGGGTTGAATGACGATTGGCCGAGGAATTTGGCCGGCTCATTGGACGATTAAAGACACACGCAGGCGTCCATCTGGTGGGAGTGGTACCAGTGTACCAGTATCCGGGATCAGACAGGAGCTTTGACATTTTCTTGCAGGATCGCTTCGAGATGGCTGCTACCTCGTAGATGGTAGGTGACGCAGTGAGCTTGCTTGCGAGTAGATAGCTAGCTAGAGCTCGTTCTGGTGATGACTGGGCAGTGGATAAAAGACGGAGCTCCAATGGCTGGTTCGATCAGATCATCGAAACACATACATGCCGGTATGAAGCAAGGATATCAGCAAGATATCCCCGCCCGATGCAAGCAAAAGTAATCTCTTTCTTGTCCTCAAGACTTTCATGATCACCTCTTTGAGTTTGGCATGCATTCAAAGGGAATGATTCGATTCAATCGAAAAAGTCGTCAATATTCAAACTAGCACCAAGTCAATCAATTCATTGCACATCAAACTACAAGAGATACTCAAGATCATGGGGCATTCATTGGACAAAGACAACAATCTCTAGCTAGCTAGAAACGGTAGGTACCGGTACCGGTACGGTAACCGGTACATTTTTCGGTACCGGTACGATGTAGGGGTTCCGGCACGGTGGACCGCACCGAAGGCCAGATTTGATGTTTAAAATATCTTTTCATTTTCAAAATGCTTCCAATTTTAGCACGCTTTGAAATTTGCTCTGGAACCTTTTCAAGCTCACTTTTTCTTGGAAAACCACCATTGATTCAACCTGCCCTTTTGCAAGCCTACTCAAGCTAGTACTTTTACGCTGCACGTATCTCTTCAATTCATTTACCATGACAACTAGTACGGAAATCCTTGCTGCGATTTCGGGAAACGTCTTGCTGTTTGCGCTTGTGTATGGAATGTCGGCGACGGTGGATATTGATAATCTTCGGGAACAGCTGGGAAACCGGAATGCATTGATGACGGGGGTGTTCTGTCAGTTCTTTCTCCTTCCTGCGTTGGGCTTCATCGTAGTCAAAGCATTCCGTCTTCAGCACACCTTGGGAATCCCCTTGCTTGTTGTGACGAGTTCTCCTGGTGGTAGCTATTCGAATTGGTAAGTCGTAATCGTCTCTAAAACGTACCAAGCTACCTAATCCAGAATCGATCTTCCCGCTCACCCTCTCCTCGACCCATTCATATCTTGTTTAGGTGGTGTTCAATATTCAATGCCGACCTTGCTTTGAGTGTGACCATGACGGCTGTTAGTACAATCCTCTCCGTCATTTTCCTGCCCCTCAACCTGGCCCTATATACACGGTTTTCGTTCGACGACGATGTTATAGGCAACATTGACTGGGTTGCTCTCTTTCTTTCTATCTCTGTGGTTGTTGCCGCTATTTTCCTTGGATTGTTGTCTTCTTACATGATCCGTACCATTGTCTTTCGAAGAGGAGCTAATATCGTAAGCTGGCGCTAGTCCATGCCTGCGTACGTGAAATCTTTGGCAGCACCAATCTCACTTCTCTTTCCACTCTTCCTGTTTGAATGTACTGTAGCTCGGAAATGTCGCTGGAGTCGGCCTTATGCTCTTCTCGGCAACCGTCGCCAATACAGGAGAAGGAGACTCCAAGATTTGGGAACGACACTGGAGCTTTTACGTCGCTGTTAGCCTTCCCTGTGCCCTTGGACTCTTGATCGCCAACATCATTGCCTATGTTCGAAAGCTCAAGCCCGCAGAGCGTGTGACTGTCGCCATTGAGTGTTGCTACCAGGTAGGATGGAGGAGGAGGAACGACCCCAGCATGGCCAACTTCTTAGTCTCACCGAACTCCTCTGCTTCTTTTCTTCACTCGTTCAGAATGTTGGTTTGAGCTCGAGTCTCGCCTTGACCATGTTTAGCGGCACCGAATTGAATGAAGCCATGGGTGTCCCCTTTTTCTTTGCGGTTTCAGAGATTGTCTTTATCAGCACGTATTGCCTGGTTGCCTGGAAGCTCGGTTGGACCAAAGCGCCCAAGGATGCCAATCTATGCGCGGTAATTTGCCGAAGCTACGAAGTCACTAATCAGAAGAAGCAAGTTTCCTCTCCGAGATCAGTATCATCGAAGACCAATGACGCTGTTACTACACTGTCTGTTGACGACTCCAGTTCTTTGGATTTGGACCAAGTCAAGACTAAGCCAGCAAAGGACGGAAATGTGGAAGTCAGTGTATAGACATCACGCGCATGAAGAAACGGCGGACGCAGAAGCACTCTGGTATCTGTACATTATGTTTTGTAAATAATAGCAACAAGCAAATCGCAGAAGTCTTTCTTTATTTGACTCGCTACTTCATCTATTTAGATACACCATGATCGAGGTTTGCGTATGCTGTTGCTAGTAGTTCTGTCACAATGAAGCTGCCTCCCCGCCTGGTCAATCTACGAACGCTGGAAACGAGGGTCTCTATGCATATCCTCCGGGAAAAGCGTTCAGTGATGGCAAAGACCTGCTGTCTATAATATCATTTATTTACTGCAGCTACAACTAGATTTGAGGCGGGAACCCATGTGCATTGGCCCACTTGTGCGGCAAGTTTTGTCGATCCCACGGACAGCTCTTGATGCATCCCCATTGGCTTCCACACAAGACCAGACTGGGGGTTCATTGGCTTCATGGTCTGTTTTCAGGAATTAGATCTGCCTTTGTGGGTACGGTACGCTGTACCAGTACTAGTACTGCACCAGGTGCGCCTTACCGGTACAGTCGTACCGTACCGTTACGAGTTGCTTGATTTCCGGGTCCGACCGAGCGTGGAAGAGTAAGAAACGTGGAAACGGTGGTCGAAGTCGACGAACAACCAAAACACAACGGCACAGCAACTCGAAACCGAAAGACTTACACTCGTCGGTTCAAAAGCAATTTTACTTTGAGAATGAATCAGCAATCATGGAGACAATGAGCTCTGATGCAACCAACAAGGGAACCATGTCGAAATCGGGGAAGCACAAACAAATCCAAGTTCATATCAGAAAGTCTGGGGGAAAATCCGGATTTGAAGTGAAGTCCTGCAAACCAAGCATTACTGTGCGTGAATTGAAGGACGATGTTGTCGCTTCGCTCCAACCGAGCTGGGAGGAAAATAATTTTACCCTCAGACCTGAACACATCCGGCTATTTCGCGTTGTTGGAGATACGATCATGCCCGTTGGTGACGAGGATGATCTAGTAACGTCAGGGGAAAACCCACCCACCACGATGGCCACAATCGAGGACGAAAAGAAAGAAGAATCCCCCGAACCCAAATTCATTGCGTTGGAATATTTTACCACACTACCCGAAGACTTGTTTCGTACCGTCTCGATCCGTCAGATTTCACCAGTGACCTACGCCGCGGAAGGGAATGGGTGGACCAAAGCCGCTCCTCTATGTTGCGCAGCTTACACCGAGACAGAATGGAAGAGGCCTTGGTACGGTACCAAACAAGGCAATTTCAAGGCCCACGGGGTTTCACTTCGCTCGTTGGACACATCGGAAACATCAATGGCTGGACGACGAAAAGCTTTACTCTCCTTTTGGTGAACTTGGAGAAGAAGAGGGCCCCGGAGTCACGGCTATGACACTTGACCAGTACCGACAACTAACAAAGAATGAGATCTAAAAACAAGTGTCTCGCGCAAAAAGAGCTTTGACGATACTTATGTCAAGAAAAAGTATATCGTTGAACCCACCACCAAACGAGACAAGGATGCTGGGAAGAACAAGAAGCGAGCAACGAAAAGGATTCCATACTTCCGATTCAAAATTCCGCAAAATCTGGATCTTGCTCCCTATGGCGTCGCAGTAATTTATGACAACAGTTCCCCGAATCATATCACTTTGATTCGCACTGGTGTTGATGGTACGGAGCGTCTCGACCATCGAGGGTGGTATCAAGTTCGAAACACAGGTGTTTATCTGCCTGAGCGTGCCAATGGTCCACTCCTTGAACTTCCGAATGACCCAGAAGAAGTCACCGCACTCCTCAGGGACCACGCCTTCCACCCGATGGACAATGAGCCAGAGGGATTGATTCGTTCTGGAAATTGGTGCAGTGGATTATTTCGTTTTGCCTAAAGTTGCGTCCTTGTTCGCGCTTCACGACTTGAAATTGGAGGCAAGTGCCGAGCCTTCTCCGCCAGAGGGAGGCTTTCCCAATGATGACTGCAGCACGATGTACATGGGTGCCTTGGTTTTGCATCATGTCGATCACGACCATTCCGTCTCATAGATCGGTCATCAAAGCCCTCCAGAAGGTAAATTATGTCGCTGCGGACCTTGATGGTTGGATTTGTCAGAGGCTACTTGAGAGTTTGGAACGCAGAAAAGATTTCGAACCAATTGAAAGCGCGGACGAAAAACTTGGTTTGTCCGAATCAGAGGCTGATGATGCTATCTATCACATGCATGGCGTTTTGAGTCACCATTCGACTGACGGCAAATCGACACTCCGGAGCTCCGGAGACAACACCGGAGGCCAGCTACCGCTAATCAGGAGCCTGGAGAGGCATCGTGGAGTGAGATAGATAATAATAGAAGGAGATAATGATGGGATCAGCGTCGAACGTCGAATGTAACATGGCGAAAATCATGAAAAGTGGCTTTTACCGGCTCTTTCCAGCCATTTCTCCCTAACTCTTCCTTTTAGACCCGATATGTAAAGTTCCCAGATGATGTTGGAAAAGGTATAGAAAGAGTATTGAGCATAAAGGCAGGTCTTGAGGTGCACAAAGCATTTACATTTCACTGTGCATCAATGGAGCGAATGTGCGTCGAATCTATTTAATTCTGGTAGTCGCTCCGGAGGCTACCGGTACCAGTACCTCGTAGCTAGTCTAGCAAATGGGACGTATCGCCACCGCGAACTCACAGCGCACACTACAAAGCAAAACAAAAACTCACCGCCAGGCATTGGAAGGAGTGTTGTGATAGATTACTAGTACTCGTTCCCTTAATATTTCCAAGAGAAAAATGATGCCCTGTCACCCCCCGGAACGACCGCAGCAATGGTTGGTGGAGTTTGAGCACAAGACGCACGTCTTGAGTCTTCCATGCAATTTATTATTGGAGTCGACGGCGACAGAGCCTGCTGCCCTGATTCTCGAGGACATTTCGAATCGCACCGGATGGCCCGTCTCTCGCTTGCTTTTGGAGGGCCACGATGACAGCAACAATAATCACTGTTGTCGTGTCCGCGTCCAGTCAAGTCTTCGTGGTGGCAAGGGAGGATTTGGAACTCTGTTGAAAAGTTCGGCCCGACAGTCGGGTGCCAAACTGACGACGGATTTTGGAGCGTGTCGCGATTTGCAAGGCCGTCGGTTGCGTCATGTCAATGATGAAATCAAGTTGCGCAAATGGCGAGAAGCGCAAGAGCGAGAAAAGCAAACAGGCGGCAAGACGGAAGTGACGGATGCCATGTTTGATACGCCCTCGGGACTCTTTAATTGGCACTTGATGGTGCCCTCGTGGGCGGATATTTCCAAAAAGAGTACTCGCAAAATACAGCGACAATTCAAGCGCATGCAACAAGAAGAAGAACAATTGGAGCAAGAGAAACGAAATGCCAGGGCACAACGTGAACGGAGTGTCACCATGTATGTCCAAAAGGCGACAGCAACCAGTAATCAAGTAAAGACCAATGTCATGAGTGCCGTCAAGCAAGGATTGCAGGCGCAACAAGACAAAAAGAGAAAGCGAGAAGAAGCCGAAGAAGCTCCATCGGATCTGTTTCAAAAAGAAGATAGACCCAATAGCTTGTGTACACTGTCAGGGGATGTGGTAGTCGAAGGCACGTCCAAACAATCCGCAAAAAATAATGTGATACAGATCCAATCGCAGTCAGACTTTTCCACTCTTGTGCTGTTCCTGGACAAGGAAGTACCCAAAGGCGACAAAAAGAAATCATCCATTCTCTATTACGAAGTGAAAGTAGTCACGGGAGGATTGGCACAAATTGGATGGGCCAACGTGACGACCAGTGATTTCAAACCCAATACAGAAGAGGGGGACGGCGTGGGAGACGACAAGGGAAGCTTTGGATATGATGGTAGCCGGGCGCTCAAATTCCACAATGGAGCCGAAGAAGCATATGACAAAAGCCAGTGGAAGGCCGGGGATGTTGTGGGTTGTCAATACAATGTGAAGACGGGAGAAGTTTCCTACTCGTTGAATGGAAAAGACTTGGGTGTGGCATTTACGTTTTCGGACCCGACCAAGACGGTGCTATTTCCGGCATTGAGTTGCAACGGAGGAGAAATTCTAGAGCTGCATGTGGCCAAGGAGGATATGGAACATCTTCCGACCAAGGACAGTGAAAAGTATATTGCCGTGCAGGACTTGATTGCCGTGAGCATTGTGGCCGACGACAGCGTCACAAATAATGGAGAACAAAATGACGACAACAAAGAACCAGCAGCAAAAGATGACGACGAGAAGGACGGAGCAAAGACCAAAGGAGACGAAGCCGATTCACCACCAGAAGAACAAGCGGAGGAGAAGAAGGAACCAGAGACAAAGAAGGCGCCTATAAAAGTGGAGGCTTTGGACCTAGCGAAGTTTGAATCAGTGGCAGCTCTCGAAGAGCTCGGATTGGATCGTCTGAAGGGTGCCTTGATGGCAATTGGTGTCAAGTGCGGGTAAGTACTTGGAATTGTCAAGGGCCAATGTTGTTTGACTCACTCAACTGGACGGAGCTCATGTTATCACTGTTGTTTGTTGCCTTGCTTTAGTGGTTCTTTGAATGAACGGGCTGCAAGATTGTTTTCTTTAAAAGGCTTGGAACGCAAAGACTACCCAAAGAAAGTGAGGGCAAAAAACTTTGTAGAATAGCAGTAGCGAATATTAACCCAGTAACTACAGTTCAATACCCCTCTTGAATTTTGCACCCGTTGTTGTTGTCTCGCTTAGTGTACTCGGCGTACAGCAATAGTGATATCATCTCTGTAGGGAATCCCTGTCGTGTTGACGAGCCATCGATCGGAAGCAGTGCGGACAAGATCTTCGACTGCGAGCTCCAATGGCGACGCCAATGTTCCCAAGTAGGTGTTTCGGTTCAGGTACGGACGTGAAAGCCCTTGTGCAATTTCTTCCAGCGGCACGTAGTCGAACATCCCGTCAGTGAGCGACACGGCTAGCAATATCTTGCTATCGTTGTCGTGTTGGTTGTCGTCATGCGCTGCCAAGGATCCTGATGATGATGGCAACTCCACCACTGTGACGGTTGGCTCTGGAATTACCCCACAATGTTCCAAATCGTAATCGCCCAGACTCCGGCTCATGGCCAAGGCAAGTCCCGACCCTCCCTCTTTATCTATCGGTTCGGCAACGCGTGCCGTGGAATCATAGAACGGAATGGGATCAATCACGATACAGCCCGTTTTGACAATCCGTTGTCGTTCTTCGGGCAAGTCTGGTTTGTGTGGCGTTGTGACATGGGTGATATTCACGTGTCGTCGCTCCATATCGATTTGCACCAGCATGGAACGACTGTCGCCAGTGTTGGCAAAGTAGAGGCGACGACCCAACCGCACCACGGTCGAGGCCGTGCATCCACTGTCATGAATCAGCGGCCCCTGCCGATGAATGTCCCAAAATGAAGATTGAAGTGCCTGGCGGATTTGTTCGTCCATGGTATTGTCAAGTCGTGTCTCCAAGGGTATCAATCGATCCAGCAATAGCCCGGGAAGTGTTGCTGCAGCAAAGTCTGCTTTCAAATGGCCTGACAACCCATGTCCATCAAATATGCCCATGAAAAAGTTGTTGTGCAGAGGATTGTGCCTTTTCTTTGGGTGTTTCTTATGCTTGTGTTTTCTCCCCAAGGAGGTTGGAAAGAGATCTACTAGCAAAGCTCGATCCTGGTTGTTTTCGTGAGTCCCACCCAAACCTCGTCGGGATATCAGTGCAAAATGATCTCCAGAATGATGGCGCACCGAAAATGATTGATGCGTAATGTTGTGATTGTGGTGGTTGCGAATGCCGTGGTATCCAGACCGTGTAAAATTGCGTCTTGCTTCGACCAAGATTTTGGGTGTGGGAGGGTACAGGAAAGTGGATGGATTCATGAGGAAATTTCCCAGGCGATCCAGGTGATTGTCCAGGTCATCCGTCATTGAATTAGTGCTGTTACTGCCTTTGTTGCTTTCTTGACTATTTTCGCCATCATCCATCCCAAACAAATCCCCTGGATCGGGTAGCATATCCATCAGTGGATCATCGGGAAGTGGTGGGAGGAAATCTGCCAAATCAATGGGTAGGACCAAGACACATTCTCGTTCCTCCTCCTCGGCCTTTGATGATGACTGACACCAATCGTAGTTCCAGGATGTCTCGGAAGCGTGTTCTCGTCGCAGCACGGGTGCCTTTCCTCTTGGTTTCACCAGGCTTCGAAACAAGCGTAGAATTTGCGAAGAAACGGCCAGGAACGCCAATCCCAAGGGTATCATCAAGATTCGATTGTCTACATTTGGCTCTGCATGCTTTCGCCGTCTCTTTCGCTTGTTATGGCTGCTGGGAAGCTTGGGAGCTACCATTTCCATGCAAGGGGATGCTTTACAAAGCTTAGCAAAGATACATAGATGAAGGTCTCTCGATCGTTCGAGTGCTGTTCTGTCAACAGATTGGGCATCACTCGCATCTTTTGCTTGGTCCAATTAGCCGGCTCAGCTGTAACCATTCTACTAGTAAAGCTCTAACTCTACTGCAGGTTTCGTACACATCAAGACGTTGACGATGACGGCCACACAAACACTCAACCACACAACCCTTCACCGCCCGCTGCTGCAATAGCTAGTTATCCTGTTGTGAACGTAACCAGAGGCAATCATGGCCCGCGGAAAATTCAACAAACGAGGTGGTGGTCCCCGTTTGGACGCCGAGAATGCCGACGAGATTGAACAGCGCAATGCCCGTTTAGCCGAATTGGAAGAACGGCGTACCCAACGTCGAGCCGAAGAAGAGGAAGACGAGGACGAAGAAGGCGGCGGCGGCGATGAAGGAGCGGCTGCCGAGCAGAGCGGCGAGGCAACCAGTACTCCCGCAGCCAAGCCCAAACCAGAAAAGGCTGCACCCGTCACTACCGCTGAAGACCACAAGCGCAACATGGCCAAATTGGCCGAGGTGAAAAAGCGTCGTGAAGTGGCCGAAGCCAAGCGAAAGGCAGAAACCGAAGCGGCCGAACAAGCCGAAGAAGATCGGAAAAAACAGGCGGCCGCAGTGACAGGGGATGACGGCAAGAAAAAGAAGAAAGAAAAGGAAGTCAAGATTCCAAAATTGGATAAAATACAAATCAAGAAAATGAAACCAGCCCAAATGAAAGAAGCACTCAAATTGAGGGGCTTGGAAATTCAAGGAAATGCAAAGGCGCTGACAGACCGTCTTTTGAAGTACGAGGCAGCTCGCTAAATCAAAAGTTGGAGACAATTCTAAGAGGAAAATGTGCAATAAGCAAAAGCAGTTCAATTCGTGATTGCAGCCGTCCGTCTCCTTTAGAATGTATTGAGTATTGTAGTCTTGGCAATGCCGGCACTCAATTGTTCCATACATGTATTGTTGGAGACAAAGACGAATGACTCAGTTACATCGCGTTTGATTAATTTCTCGATCACTCATGATGATGGTGCTTGAAGCCGGTACTGGTACCACCGGCGTTGGGTGTGCTCTACCTACCGGTAGTGTCTATGTTGTGGCTGCTACCAGTAGTTGTGCTATTGCTGGCTTTTGTGTGTAACCTACCACCCGTGGTCCTTGCCTCGGCACTGGAGTTTTCTTTGGAGGCAGCCTGCGGAAGTTCATGAGTGGTATGGTACTATCAGCCCTGAACTCTGCTTCCTGAAACAGTTTCAAGTTCAGCTCGTGACGGAAGTTCTCACCAACTATTATCCTGCGATAACCAAGTGCCAATGGTAGCTTTTCGGCACGCCCATGGGCTGTATGGCACGAACTGGCAGCTTCGGAACACACTCTCCATGTGCAGCAAGCGGTTGAGTGACAGGTACCTGTACGGGTGGTACCTGGTACCTGAACTCGTCCGGACCGGTAGCATTTGCACTCGCGTGCACTGAATCTTTCTGCCGTTGCAAATAAGGCATGCATGCAGATAGACTATCGGTAGGCACGCCCGTTAACTCGTTGTAGCCTGGAAACTCAGGCTTGTTACGGTACCGTTATACTTGCAGGTTGCGGGTATGGTACGTTCTGGTACATGTACTATACTTTTGGCAAATTGAGTTTTATCTGTTGAGTGAGGGTCGGGCGCGGCACGAAGCTCGCTCATTGCGCAACTATACAAGTCTTGAATTGAAGCAATCAAACCATACATGGTACTTGCTGCCAACCATTCTTCAATTGAGAGCAAAAAACCATCATATCTGTATCTCATTTCCGTTCTTTCCGAGGGAGAACATTTACCTCCTCTCCGTTCTGTTGTTGCTCGCCTCTACTGTCGTTTTGCTTGGTTACCCGTACTATGAAAGGGACGGCTTGCCGCAATACAATTCAAGCTCGGGCGCTTCAGGATCATCTCACCAACCGAGGTTTGGGCGCTCGCTGACCAGGGACGGGTATGTACCTGTAGGAAATGTAATACGTGGAGATAGAGCCTATGAAATTATTGGTATTGCATTGGCAATGAATGGCGACGGAAGCTTGGTTGCTGTTGGCGGCCTGTACTTCGTGGAAGTCTACGAAATCAATGGTGCCACTTGGACTTTGAAAGGATCTCGCATCCAGCTCCCCAACAGCGGAGACAATGTGTTGTTGGCTCTTGACATGTCGTCCGATGGCCAATTCTAAGCGGTTGGCTCACGGTTGGATGACATGACTGGTGAGGATAGTGGATTGGTGAGAGTCTACCGATTCAATTCAACTGATTGGGATCAGAGAGGGTGGGACCTGAACCCGGAAGTCGCAGGAGCCCGGTTTGGGACAAGTAAGTGTCGCCATTTCAGATGACGGGGTCCTTCTTCTTGTTGGTGCGGGCGAGGCAAATGGTGGTGCTGGGGCAGCTTACTACTACAAATTTGACTCCACAAGTGGTAACTACATCAATCAAGATGAACTCGGCCGAACGTTAGTTGACGGCGCAACCATTATTACCTTCCGAAGCTTCGGTTCATCCGTGGCAATGGCCCGTGATGGTAGTAGTGTTATCGTTGGAGCTCCCGCCAGTTCTGGCGATTTGTTTACTGGCGAAGCTTACGTTTTCGATCTCGTGAATGACTTCTTCTATTCTGTCGTTGGGCGGTCGCTAGAGGGAGAGGGTAACGGTGATGGGTTTGGAGAAGCAGTGGCCATGAACAGCGCGGGAGACATTTTTGCTGTAGGAGGTCCCAACAATGATGGAGTCAATGGTCTCTCAACTGGGAGTGTGCGGGTCTTTCAGCGAACTTCCCTTGGTGCAGGTTTTGTGCAATTGGGAGAGTACGTAAGGTGTTTGAAGAACGCGACTCCGTCTCGATGAACCTCCTCATGCATGCATGTGCTCTTCTTCTCTTTTCTTGTCACTCATCTCGATATATTGTACCAATGAAGGGATATCGACGGTGAAGGCATACTCGATTCTTTTGGCTTTGCCATAGCCCTTTCGGCTGATGGCTACAAAATCGTTATTGGGGCCCTTTTTCACGATGGTGCCACAGGTGTGGATAGTGGTCATGCAATGATCTTTCAATACGATTTCACTCTAGGCGACTGGGCCCCCCAGCAGATCAGTAGGAGTATTGGAACTGAGCTAGAAGGAGAAGTGGCAGGAGACAACTATGGGTACCAGGTTGCCATTTCTGACGCTGGAGATCGAATAGTTGTCAGCGCTCGCCGCAATGGCAATGTCGCCACGTTCAATGGGGCAGCTTATGTTTATGGCCAGACCGAGTTCCCTACTTTCTCACCAATCACCAATCCCTTGCCAGAGGTCAGCGATCTCTCCCTGTCTTCAACCTCTGCAGGTTTTGCCAGTCGCTTAGCTGCCCTGTGGCAATCAATCACTGAAAGAACCTCGGACTGCATTGAAACATACTTGGTGGTTGAAACACACCACGAACTTTACAACCCAGACCTATTCCACTAATCCGGTTCATCTATCTCTATTCGAGATTCAGGCTTGGCGTACGATACCTGGTACCATTGCCCAAGGTGCCGCTCCGGCTGAATTCAGGTGTCGAGTGTCGAGCTTTAGACCACTCAGAGCTCAGATACCGGAAACCGGAAGCAAAGCGATCCAACAGGTTTACAGCCTGCGCGCTGTTGGTGCAAGGTACCGGTACCGGTTTATGCGTCACTCATACTTAAGATAAAATGGTTCAAGATACTGGACCAAGTACTAGCTAGTACTCAAATTTTCAAAGATGAAAGATAGCCTACAAGACAGTCAGGTTGCCCAAACCAGATAAGCTACAAGTACTAAAGTCTCATTTACAAAGAAATACTTTACTACATGTATGTGGGGAGTGAGGGCAGCTAGCATTCGCTATCTCCCACATCACCATCTACATGTACATCCATCCAAGTCCAACTTGGGCAGCCTCCAATTTTGGCTTTGCACCTTTTTTTCTTCTCGGGCTTTGGTGATGGCTCCTCACACTGTCTGAGGGAATGGTTTGTATTAGGGTATGTGATGAAAGCTGTTAGTGGCTATCATTTACCAAAGATACTGAGATTGGGCTGCTTGTAAGCTAATACTCGGTGTGGATCTGTTAATTAATTAAAATAAGATATTTCTACTCAAAATATTGCATCTAATAGCCAAGGTGAGCGTGTATACCGGTATATCGTGAAGCTACCTGTGCTCCTGTGCTGCTTTTGTGCTGGTCGCGCTGAAGACCACACATAAGCAGGAACGACGGCACGAGCTGAGCTGTCTTCGGCGGGAATCGATGTTGCATGCTGCCAAGTCGGGGTAGGTGGGAGTACACGATGTTCCAAGTGCCGTACATGTAGGTTATGCGTGGTACCGTGAAGTACCGGGTGGTGGTACGTTCTACAGGACGTGACCAATGGATCTTACGCAGCTACCGTACCGGTACTGGGATCGAATGATTCGATTCGATTCAATCCCATGTAACATCCGCGAAATCGAAACCTGCATTTGGTCACACTTCACGCTGTTTCCCAGAGAACTGCAACGACGGAACATCTCATAAAATCGAAAACAAGCTCAGCAAACCAGCAACCAACAAGAACCAAAAACCAGCAATACAAGTATACAGTCATTTCTTACGCTTACAAGCACATAATACAGATTCCAAAAACAACAAACACTATCATGCAATCTCATTCCGAATATTCATTCATCGACAGAACAAAGCCGGAACTGCCTCGACAAGCAGGAAAGCTGCAAATATATGGAAAAGAAGACATTTCTTCTCCTATCAATATGGAGCCCCACCATGACGAATCAGCCTGGAAATGCCCTGTGACCGAGTTGTTACAAGAAACACTACCAAGACACCACAAGGAGAAGATGGCCGAGCTGCAAGAAAAGCTAGCCAAGCTTCATTCGAAATTGAATGCACTAGGCTCCAAGGTTGATCTTGTCCAGCAGCCGGATCTTGTCCAGCAGCCGAAACAACGGGAGGCCGAAGATTTCACAAGCATCGAGTTTTTGATCCGTAAAGCTTATCTGTCAACCATTTTTGAATGCGAAGATGAAGGAGAAAAGGAAGTGAGAGCAATTGTATAGTTTATGGCTGTACAGCCAGCTTACGAGTTTATGAGAACTGGTAGTATAGCAACAAAACATAAAGTCAATCGTTGCTTGTAATAATAGAGAACAAAGATTACTAAAATTGGGCAACCACAACCTCAGACAGCTTCCAGGCTCTTTGCTACGCTACAGTAGGGCTACGGTGGTACTGACTCATTTGCACCAATATCCTTCTCGATGTACAGTGCTGTATCAGCTAGCTGAATGTAATAGTCCAGCCTGCTGATGAGATCCACCGTAGACTACCCATCTAGGTTGGCTGGGCTGAGCCGCCATCGCCTCTCCCAAAACTCACCCGGTCGCGCTGAAGCCAGCAGGAAAGACGGAACGACCTATAAGCCGTCTTCGGCTGGAATCAAATCGAATGTGATCGAATGATAGCTCTCAACGGATGTAGGGCCCTTGTGAATTTTGTTTGTCTGTGTGTTTGTGTGTTTGTGTGTTTGTGTGTTTGTGTGTTTGTGTGTTTGTGTGTTTGTGTGTTTGTGTGTTTGTGTGTTTGTGTGTCACACTGTTTAGCCTTAACCCTAATAGAGGTAGACTACCAAAAGAGAAACAGATGGCTGGCTAGAGCTAGGTCTTCAGCTGCAGCAGCTAGCCACTGCCAATCAAAATCAAACTCGTTGAGGGCTCGTGCCTTCGGCAGCTTGAATTCATCAGACAATCGATGTTGAATCGTTGCATCGTTGCATTGTTGCATCCTGTCGAGGTTGAGTGGCTGCCGGTGGTCTGGACCAGGACCCTCCGACGGTTTTCACACAGGATTTAAAAAATCTTTAAATTGACACGACTGAATGACCGTTTAAAACAATCCCTTAAACAATCCCTTAACTCATCAACTATCCCTTAAACAATCCCTTAAAGAAACAATCCCTTAAAACAACCCTCTAAATCTTGGACTATCCCCTAAACAATCCCTTAACGCCAAATGGACATACCATAGAACTATCCCCTATTTCTTCAACTATCCCCTAAACATTCCCTTAAATAAACAATCCCTTAACAACAATCCTATAAATCTTTGACTATCCCTTAAACAATCCCTTAAAAGAAACAATCCCTTAATTGTGCTGGTCAAGTTTTTGTTAGTCGTGGAAGCTTTTTAAATCCTGAGTGAAAACCGTCGGACGGTCCAGTACCACCACCTGTACTTTTGGCAAGGTGCGTGGTTTCCCGTGACCCCATGGCACGGATCTTTTGATTCGATTCGATTCTATCTTTTGGGAACCGCGACAACCTCTTCATAAAATTGAACAAGCCAGCAACCCAGCAACCAGCAACCAACAACCAACAAGAACCAAAAACCAGCAATACCAATACAGCCATATCGTATGGCTACAAGCCCAAAATACAGATTCCTACAACACGAAACAACATGCCATCTCATTCCGAATATCCGTTGATCGACAGAACAAAGCCCGAACTGCCTCGGCAAACAGGAAAGCTACATATAGATGAAATACAAGGGGACTCGCGAACTGACATTTCTTCTCCCGGGGATATGGAACCCCGCCACGACGAATCAACCTGGAAATGCCTTGTGACCGAGTTGTTGCAAGAAAAGCTACCAAGACACCACAAGGAGAAGATAGGGGAGCTGCAAGAAAAGGTAGCCAAGCTTCATTCGAAACAGCTAGCCAAGCTTCATTCGAAACTGCATGCACTACATGTAGGACCCAAGGTTGATCCCCAGCAGCCGGATCTTGTCCAGCAGCCGGAACAACGGGAGGCCGAAGATTTTGCAAGCATCGAGTTTTTGGTCCGTAAAGCTTATCTGTCAACCGTTTTTGAATGTGAAGATGAAGGAGAAAGCCAAAGGAAGTGAGAGCAATTGTATAGAGTACGGATGTACATCCAGCTTAGGAAATTTGTGAGAGCTTGTTATAGCAACAACAAAAAAGTCTCTCGTTGCTTGTATCATAATAAAGATAACTATAATTGGGCAACGGGCAACCACAAAATCGTCATGTAAAAGGGAGTTGCCTCAGAAAGCTTCCAGGCTCTTTGCTACATAGTAGTTGCACTGACTCAATTGCACCCATCTCCTGCTCGATACAGGTACCTGTGTCAGCTACCTGTAAAGATGTAGCTGATGTAATAGTCTACTCTAGTTGCTATCATAACTGAGATCCACCGTACCGGTACAGTGGACTGTTGCCCCACCGCCACCGCTCCCAAATGAATAAGTTCGAACGTTCTGGTGGCAGTCCAAAGCGTGACACAAAAAAGTGATCCCGCCAAATCTCAATAAATTTGGCTCTGCCGCCTTGGCGGGTGGTCACCAGGTGCTATCGTACATGTAGTGTTTTTCTGCGTTCAGCCGAAACATTTCTGTTCGTCGCCATCCAAGCATTTACAACAGCTTTAGCAGGACAGCTCAAGGCTCCCTTGATCCTTGATATCAGGTACCACCTTTCAATAAGCTCTTCTTGGTTGAATGTGAACTAGTTGTTGTCCAGCTCTTGGCGTGTGAATTGCATCCGCTCCTTCAAGATAATCACAGCAGCATATATTGAATTCCGGTATCACGGCTATCTTTCTAGCAGAACCGAACTCTTTCTGCCACCCACAAGTGCCTTGATTATAGCGCCTACAGCAAGCCAAGACGATTCATTCCCAGGGTGGATATCTATCTCATTATCTGGATTGGAATTAACTGCTCAGCTCTGAATATCCGACGGCTCATAAGGTACCTCGAGTGCTACCATACCTATCATTCCACACAAACGCACCTCCAAGCGATTCGTCGAACTACAGCGAAAGGAACCGGGTCTACTCTGTTCATCAGCGTACAGAGAACTGAGAGTTGCTTCTCTTGTTGTGGAGCCAACCAAGGGATCAAGGCCTGATTGAAGGAGGATCTCTGGAGAGTTAAGTGCTGCCAACAATACAATACAATACAAGCACAGGAAGAACCGCTGGAACGCTATTGAAGCTATTTCATTGATAAGATCGACAATCTGCACACTACAGAATATACACAACAATGGGTACCTTGACGGAAGTATTCTCCAATTTCCTCCTCTTCTTTTTGGTGTTTGGCATGTCTGCCACTGTGGACATTGACAAGTTGAGGAAGCAACTGTCGAACCGTCATGCCCTCTTGACAGGTGTTTCTCTCCAGTTCTTGATCCTGCCTTTTGTGGGATTTTTAATTGTCAAGATATTTGGATTCCCAGCGCCTGTGGGCATCACGCTGTTGGTAGTTACATCCAGTCCTGGTGGAAGTTATAGCAACTGGCAAGTCGACACCAAATATTTCCAGTCTCTTCTTTTGGAACATTGATTCAGTCATTACAAATCCACTCTAACTTTCTCTCTCTGTCTGTCTCTCTCTCTCGCTCCTTCCTCGTTTATTTATAGGTGGTGCAGTCTCTTCAATGCAGAGCTTGCCTTGAGCGTCACCATGACGGCTCTCAGCACATGCTTGGCCGTCATTATGCTACCCGTCAATCTGGTCATTTATGCCTCGGGGAGTTACTCAAGTGCGGTCGTCAAATCCCTCGATTGGTACGCTCTTTTCATGAGTATCTTTGTCGTCATTGGAGGCATCAGCAGTGGCCTCTTCTGCTCGGCCTATTACAAAGACAATCCCGAAAAGTCGCATCAAATGCACAAACTGGCCAATCGATTTGGGAATGTGGCGGGGCTGGCACTCATCACATACTCCATTACCGTGTCCTCCAGTGACCACAAGGCGGCTTTGTGGGATCAGGATTGGACCTTCTTTGTCGGTATCGCCACTCCGGCATTGGTGGGCATCGTGACGGCCACGTTTTTGGCCACTCGATTCGACCTGGAAAAGCCAGAGCGCGTAGCCGTGGCGGTGGAATCGAGCTATCAAAATACAGGTAAGAATGCGCATGGGTGTTGGCGTGATGGAATGCCATGGGATGGAAAGAAACTTAGTAATCGACTCACTCAACCCCCTTCTTCTCGGAACGACCAGCCTTGGCAACCAGTGTGGCAGTAGTAATGTTCGACGGGAACGAAGATGATTTGGCCACGGCCATCAGTGTGCCTCTTTACTACGGAATGGTAGAGGCCGTCATGCTGGCCATCTATTGTCTAATCTGCTGGAAGCTTGGATGGACCAAAGCGCCTTCGGACGAAAAATTGTGCGTCGTCTTGGCAACATCATATGAAGTGGAAAACCAGGAGGCCGAGGAACAGGCAGATTCCATTGGTGTTGTCTTGGGAGATATTTGTCATTCGGAAAACAACTCAGACTTGGAAAAGGCGGACGTGGTGACGCCATCCAAGCCACCGCTCATTTTTGTGGCACATGCGGACAAGATTGACGATGAGGTTGGAGGGGATGGACCTGTCGTTCTGAGAAAGGCCGATGGTGCAATCGTGGCAGAGTCCGATTGTCTGAGTACTCGAGAACGGGAAGACATGATGCTACAAGAGGGAAACTCTAGTTGTAAGAAACGGTTGTCGTTCCGATCGCATGAACCTTTGTCTCCTGGAGGAAGCTCCGACTCGGATGGCGGGGACCAAGACATGGACGGAAGCAATGGTCGCGATGTCAAAGCAAAACAAACAGGGCGGTTGGGTAAGACTATCTCGTTTGTCAAAGCCCGAGCAACCGGATATAGACGGGCTCCAATACCAAACGGAGACGGGGACGTCGACGATTGTGATATCCCACCACAGCGGGAACCGCCAACGGCAATCCCAGAGTCCGGAGAGCTTCCACATCGAGAAGCTCTCTGTGAGAATCGGGTGAGGTCCTTGTCAGAGGGATCACCGCAGGGCACAGATGACGACCCTGGCGATCCGCAAGTGGCCGTCGCCGCAGATCTAAGCCAAGTGCAAGAAGAAGCCTCCACTGACGCAACGCCTGCGGAAGGGAAGACAATCGACTAGATCACCATGCACATAAAAATTCAACTAAGTCATTTTAAAAAGAGTATTGTAGTCAGTCCATTCTTCCACTGGCCTGAAGTAGTCGCTCCCACTTTCGACGCTGGCAAGCCGAAAGCGCGGTTCCAATCGATCGCCAGTGTTGCGGGGCCTGCAAGCTAGACCGAAGCTGGGTTGACGAAGTCACAAAGATTGTTGGCCAATAAAATATGAGATTTTAGTGGTGTTTATGCGTCGATCGAGTTTCTACCTTCCGATACGGATATTTGAGCAATAGTTTACAGATTGAATCATTCTGGGAGGAAACGGCACCAGACAGGATGTAGCTATCCCATTTTCCCATTGCCAGGATCCATCCGATTTGATATTTCCGGCCGATCTGACGACGACATGTCTAGCCGATTTGTCGGTATTTCCAGTTCTGGTATTTGGAGCTGACTGGAGCTTGCATTGAAGTAGTGAGTGAGTACTTCGCCACTCTCACTCTGTTCGTCATCAAAGACATCCACCTCACTGTCATTGTAGGATATTTCAATCTCTCTCAGTTCTTTAGCCTCTGCATGAACTACTTCATACGAAGTCATGATCATGTCCCAAAACGGTGTACTAGCGGGTGCTTTTGTCCAATTTGCCTTCCACGCCCAAAGGCAATAGATCCCAATGACGACGCCTTCAACGACCCCGTACATGAAAGGAATCCCAATGGCATCGTTCCGATCGTCTCCCTTGAACATGGCTAATGCGACACTCGTTGCAAGACCAGTGTTTTGATAAATGCACTCAATGGCAACAGTCCTGAATGATGTGTATTGTCGTATTGTTCGTTGGTTATTGCATGTTCCCATGAATGAGCGAGCACAAGGTCGTGTACGTGAGGATCTATCCCTTCATTTGACATGAAACCCTTGCTTATCCGCGGCACTTACACTCGTTCTGGTTCTTTCAGCCGGCACGAGGTGGCTACAATGTTCGAAATTAATAATCCCAACAAGCAGGGCAGCGAAACACCCACATAGAACTCCCAGCCTCTGCTCCATATTTTGGAATCAGAATCTCCCGTATTTGCCATGGTTGCAGAAAAGATAATCAAGGCCAGCCCCGCAAAGTTCCCCAACTGCATTACATATACAGATGGATGTAAGATGATGAAGTTCCACAAATAATGGGAAAAATCCCCAAAACCTTCTTGTTACTCACCTGGTTGGCCCGCTTGTTGAATGCAAAGGATTTGACTCGGTAGGAGCAATATAGTCCGATACCAATGGCAGAGATGACAATGATGAGCGCAATGAACAAAGATGGCCAATCCAGTTCACTGATAACATCGGCTTCATAAGAATACTTTGCATAGATTAGCAAGTTCAACGGCAGAAAGCCTATACTGAGAATGGTGCTTATTGCTGTCATGGTAACACTGAGAGCCAAGTCGGTATTGAAGACAGAGCAGAACCTGCAAAATATGTATTTGATCAATGTAGCAAGTCAGATTTGAAAAGAGTTTTTTGGTTTGTGGAAACGTCGAGAAGGACGTGCTTTTTGGTCTGTCTTACCAATTGCTGTAACTTCCACCAGGACTGGATGTGACCACCAATAGCGTGATCCCCATGTCAGGATCCAGATTCAGCGTATTGACGACCACGAAACCCAGGAGTGGAAGGACCATAAACTGCAGAGCTATTCCTGTAGCAATTGCCTTTTTGTTTCGAATTTGTTCTTGCATACATTGGATATCGACCGTAGCGGACATGCCGAATACCAGAGCAAAGAGGAGCACATTGCCCACTATTGACAAAACGTCGACCATTGTTGCGTGGATGTTTAGCTACCGGCTGAAAGACAGGAGTGTCTGGAGTATATGGCCTCGACAAGCGACGATTTCTCGTTCTATCTGACAACCAGGGAGACAAATGTAGCCGCCTCGTCTCTCTGATCTTTGTCAGAGATCTGGCGTCTTGGTAAAGAAATCAACGAGGGATAATATGCAGGGGTATCGGCAGCCGTTGCTTCAATGCCACAATCTGGATCTTGCTCCTTTAGACTCAATTGAACCCGGCTCAGGCCCGAGATCGCTCCGTTGTTGGCTGCTAGCTAGCTCTAGTAGACAGGGTTTGTCTTGCTGCTGAAGGTTTCGCCGTACCGTATGAAGTTATTAGTGGTACTCGAGTATTTCGAAAGGGTCACAACAACATGTGTTGGTGTGTCGTGATGGCATGCGATTTCGTCCGTTGCAGGAAGCCCAAACATGTTGTGAGCGGTCGTGTCGCCCGGCTTTTCTCGGACGTGCATTGGAAGGTGGGGAATTTATGGGCTGCCACTTGGCCTGCGGTGCGGCATTCAATCTTGCTGGAACCACCCTCACAATTTAGCTCCGTTCGAGCACTTTTGGTTGGCAGGTTCCATGTTCACATGGTGGGAAGGGGACGGTTGGAAAGCACGCATGTGGAAATTGTTGACTCCACGGATATGATTACTCACACAAGTACCGTAGAGGCAGAACTTCAGATAGCGCCATTTGAGTGATACCTTCATTGGTTGGGCTAACAAAAAGACATCATCAAACCCAAGCAATTCAGTACATCGTTCCTGCCACCATGGGATCATCCGTAAGCGACACTCTTACCAGCCTGATTAGCAATGTCCTGGTCTTTTGCCTGGTGTTTGGCATGTCTGGGACCGTCGATGTAAGATGTTTCAAGGCCCAGCTTCAAAATGCCAAGGCTGTCATGACGGGTCTCCTCCTACAGTTCCTCTTGATGCCGTTCCTTGGTTTTGTCGTGGTCAAATCCCTCGATATGGACTATATCACAGGATTAATGATCCTCGCAGTCACATGCAGTCCAGGAGGAAGCTATAGCAATTGGTGGTGCAGTATGTTCAATGCTGGTAAGTGCCACAAAACAAAGGTATACAGATATTTCTAGCTAGAGATATCAATGCAAAACAACATACTAGTACCAATGCTCTCTTACGATTATTCACAAATCCTTTCTGCAAACAGATCTTGCATTATCAGTCACCATGACAGCTATTTCGACTTGTGTATCGGTAAGAACCCACTCTGCTCGTACCAGTGGCTGTTTTGCGTTCTTCTGGACTTGAAACCCCTTTATATTCACACCTGGTTCATTCTTGGCTTCATACGGTAACTTCTTTAGGTGATCATGCTACCATTCAACCTCTATGTGCATGCTAGATTGACATATGGCGAGGAAATCATCGATAAGGTCGACTGGGGATCCCTGTACATGTCCATCGTGGTTGTCATTTTTGCCATTGGCGCCGGTTTTATTGCCTCGTTCTACAGCAGTGACCCAAAGTTCAACTTGAATGCCAACCGCCTCGGCAATGCTGCAGGGGCCCTGTTGATCCTGTTCTCAGTCATCGTGAGTAACTCACATGAAGATTACACCCTTTGGAATCGGGATTGGTCGTTTTACTTTGGTGTCGCCATTCCCTGCCTCTTCGGTCTAGTTTTTTCCACAGCTATTACCACTTGCCTTTTGCTCCTGGCTCCCGAGCGCGTCACTGTATCGATCGAATGCGCCTTTCAAAATGTGGGTATTGCCATGAGTATTGCCGCAGCCATGTTTGATGGCGACGATCTTTCGCAGGCTATTGGTGTGCCAGTCTATTATGGCTTTATCGAGGCACTCTTTGTCTCCATGTACTGTGTTTGGGCCTGGCAGGCTGGTTGGACCAAGGCACCGACGGATATCAGTCTATGGAAGGCCCTAACTACTTCCTACGAGGTTTACACGCTGGATCAGGCACTCAATAGTACTACCACAGGGAACGTACAGCTTCCAAGAATTTCACCACCAACCCAAGAAAACAAAAACATCCCAAATGGAACAAATGAAGGTGACTGGGACTGTGTTGACTATGGCGATGATGATGATGCTCCCTCAAAGGAACCCAAAACAAGGTACATTGACTACGAAGAGCAAAAGAAGAAGAAAGCAAAAAAGAAGAAGTCAGAAAAGAAGGAAACATCGTCTGTGGGGAATTGGTTTGGTGGGTTCCTGTCATGATGCATTGAAGAATATGTTTAAAAAGCATCATTTGAAGCATCGATGTACAGCGATTGATTGCGTTTATACTGTACAAAAGCTAGTAGCAAAATTTTGGCTGCCTCAACCAAATCACACGGGCAGTAGCTGGCCCTAGAACGGAGGAATGGATTGTAGTATGGATGCCATTTTGGGGTACTCAGGTTTTTTGCCCTGGCAGATTGAAGTTGAATTACAAATCTCTCAGGCTTTCTTGTCTTCTGAAGTCCTCTTTGTAAGCTTTTTCGCTATTGGGTCTTCCAAAAGCAATGCTAAAATGCCAAGAGAGCTGCATCCACAGGCAATGACCCAACCTGCAGAGTTTTGAAAGTGGCACAATGAGTATTGTCGACATGATTGGATGGCCAATCCAAGACTCGCCCAAAGAATGTACTTGTTCATCTGCAGTGGCCCCATTCGTAACCACGCGGCTACATTTCCAATGGTTGAAACAACCCAAATGACATTGACGTTTGGTTGATGGTAATCATCCCATAGTCCCAAGAGCAGCCCTGATGCCAAGAAAAGGCCATAGATTGTGACCAAGAGTCCTTGAGCACCCAAGTTCTTCCTAGAAAGCGTCATGAGAAATGCATTCAGCTGTACCACAGCAATCATGGCTAGATGAGGCGTGTAGCGTCGTAATCCCACCAAACACCCAGCCGTAGCTTGGAATTGCATGACGGAGAAGAACCGTTTGGCTGCTGGTGAAAAGTATTCAATGCCTCGAATGGTGGTGACTGGCAAAGACGACGACGACGACGACACACGCGTTTCCTTTTGGTCAGTTAGGATCATGGATCCCCAATCGGCCAAAAGGCAGGTCCCTAGGACAATGAGAACGTCGAGAACGTGGCACGGCTGTTGGATGTCCCAAAACTCTTCACACCACTGTACCAACATGCAAGCACAACTTCGACCGCAAAAGATCAAGGAATGGATTCTGTACTTGGGCCAAATGCGATATCCGGTGGATATCCGTCGTTTAGGTATGTCGAAGATAAAACTGGACAAGTTCAGGCTCAAATGCAACGCCAGGAACGCCAAGGTGCCAGGGTATGGACCAAAATTTCCATCCGTGTCACCACCAGCATGTCGGAATCGGTAGACAAAGGACATCAGACAGGCCACACCAAGGACTTTGTGAATGTGATTGGGGTCGTCAGATGTCACCAATTTGGATAAAAGGGATGGACTACGAGTATGACAGTGTTGAGGAACGCCTTGACAATCATGATGTGCTCTTTGATTGGTAATTGCTGTGGTTTCCCGCTCGACCATCTCTCTTTTCGCTGCCGATAACGACGATGAATATTCTGATTCTGTCATGGTTTTCAGACTTTGGTGGTGCAACTATCTAGCGAAAAGGGAGGATACTGATGGGCAAGGTGAATGATGATGGACGCTTTGCAGCAACATCTTTGTTTGGTTGGTTGGCAGTTCTGTACGAGCTGTACTGTACGATAGTGGACCTTTTGCTTTTGCTTTTCGAGAGGAGTGAGAAAAATTGAGGTTCCAGAACTGGCTCAGTTAGGGTAAAGAATAGGCGGTTCTCGATCGCCCGGGCGGCCACCGCTTTAGAATGCTTTTTGCCACGCAATCGGCATGGAAGACCAGCTCAGTGCTGCGTCGACCATGATGAGCACGGCCACTTTCGTATGCATCTGGCTCTGTGAAAGACGCAGAACTTTGACCAACTAGCTAGCTACGATGTAGCTACATGTAGTGAGTCTACAACCAAGAGTAATACTACCGGAGGCAAGCCTGAAGGAGGAGGCTAAGGTGGCGGTGTCTTTCGAAAAGACAACGACGACGTGGCTATTCTTGCAGCACAAACCAGCTGCCACCAAAGATGCCGACGTACCTGCTCTCTGACCTGAGCAAACTCTCTTTCATGACAGAGCTCTCCAGACAGTTCTCACAATTTCGAGGATTCATTCTCTCTTCTTCTTCTCCGTATCTTTCTTGTTGAAATTTTTTCGAAAATGAGGACTACAGCCGCCGTTTCGTTGCTTCTTGTGGCAGGAGCTAGTGCCTTCACCTCCCAACCCCTGTCGGATGTTCGCACCACCGGTGTTGCTGTGAACATGGCATATGTCCCCGATGGTTTCACAGCTGAATCCTACAAGAAGTTCAAGGAGGCAGAAGCGAAGAAGAAGGCCACCAAGAATCTTGGAGGTGTTGGACCACGAGGATTCCAATCTCGATCCATGCAAGCCTTCCAAGAGGCCATGGAACGTGGAGAGGCCGAGCATCTTCTTCCTGTCTTCAATGCTGAAGAAAGAATCAAGAAGGGAGAACTTAAGCGTGAAGATATTCCTTACATGCAGCGTGGAGGATCTTGGGACAACAGTGATATCAAAGGAGCCCGAAAAAAGCAGTGGTCTTCTCGTGACAAGGAATACGCTTCAGGTGGTTTCAAGAAGGAACAGAGTGTCTCCATCTTTGGATACGGAGAAGGTCTTGACTGGACTGGTAAGTTTGTTCGAGTCATTGCAATTGAACACTGGTTAGAAAAGACCCTAATCATCCCTCGCTGATTCTGTTTTTCAGGTTCCAAAGCACGACAGGGTCCCTCTGAATCTATTCCAGGCGCTGCCCCTGTCTTCGGACGAAACTACAAGGCGCCCAATGTGAACACCATGAAGATCCCTGGAAAGGGGCAAGCCGAAAAGCCCAAGAAGAAGGGATTTTTCGGACTTTTCTAAACAAACAAATCCCAGGTCATGTACATGTAGTCCTTCGTTCGGAACTACTTCGTTCGGAACTACCGTTACAACTCAAAGACGAATGTTGAAACAATTTTGGCCTCTTTGGAGATGCAGAGAGAATCAGAGCTGAAGGGCGGTCACCCCAGACAGCAAAACCAGCACATAGCTGCACAAAGAAACACGATGTAAATAGGACAACGATGTTTATACACAGTTCCACTTTGTCGTTTGATAGTACTACGTCGTCTTTTGATATTACATGAAGGGAGCCAGGTTGAGATTAGACTACAAGGCTTTCAACGTGTACAGATATGGCGGGATTGGTAGCTTGTTGGCAGGATGCCACAGTGAGCTCCAGAGTGTGCAATGGTTGACTTGGTTGGCTCTTAGGAAACACATCACTCCTGCAATCAAGACTGCAACAGCAACACTTCACACCTCTTTTCCAGATCAGTGAGATGCCCTGGTTTATCTGACATTCTTCTGCCTGGTGGATGGCTCTCATGACCGTTGCATGGCTTGTGAACAATTGAAAGCGCCGGTGCCCCTCGGAAAGATTGAAGATCAATCTGCTATTTTCAAGATCAATCAAATGCAGCCTCGGCATGCGATTGGTTTTTGCCAACGTTGTCACTGGACAACAAAGTCACATTGCTGCTGCCGAACTACTTAGCTTCGTCCATACTCCTTTGGCCACAACACACCATTGAATTTGTCAGCGCGCGGGAGTAGGGCTGCAACAAAGGAAGGATGTTCCCTTTCGCTGTTGTTGCTTCTTTTTCTCGCCGCAACACCATCTTCAGACAATCTTCTCAAAGAATAGCAAGTATTGGCCTGAGAAGATGATAGCCAAACAGGAACAACGCCTTAGGCCTACATGCCCTCTTCCCTGGAACCATGCTCCAATTATTTTGGAGAATTCGTGTAGCCTCTAGTAGTAATCCTACGACAGGTTGAAGTTGTGAGCTTGACAGGACTAATTTTACTATACCAATTTCAGTACACCATTGATCCCTGCCAATTTGGCCGCAAACACTGGAACGATCACAGTTTACCATGGTCACTACGAGCTAGCCCGGTACAACGCCAACAGCAACAACCAACCAACAACCAACACACTCTTGTTGCCGTCGTCGCCCCTGCTACTACATGTACTAGACTGCTACTTGGTGTTGTCGCTCAAACGCCGCGAGGGCTTGTTGTTGTGGTGTGTTGCCGCTTCGATCGTTGGGTCATTTGTTCCGTCTGTGGTTGTTCGGTCGGTCGGTCAATCGAGAGGAAGTACTAGTGGATCGGCTACGGTCGATCGGCTACGATACAGTTGCAGCAGCCACTGCTTGTGAATGGGTCAGCAAAGACCGTCGTTGGTACCAGTAGTATATCGACGCTTGGTTGTTGGTTGGTTGGTGGTGCCGAGTTGTCATAGTGGTTGGTGTGGGTGTTCTGTTGTTGCGGCTTGAAAGAGCATCAGTTACCGTGGTTGAATGTTTGGTTGGGACTTGAAGGACTTGTCGCAAGTGAGGTGTAAAACGCTCACAATTTACTTACTTAGTAACTGCCGTTTGGTTAGCTTAACGGCCGTTAAGTTACTTAGGTGAAATTGTCACATGGTTCCAGAAGATACGCCCTTCCCCCTCCTGTGTCTCACTGTCCGGGAGCTCGCCCGGCCGGCTTCGACCTAAATGTCAATCCTAACGGATTTCCATTTAGGTCTCATCCGGCCGGGCTCGCTCCCGTTCCAGTTCGCCACCAGTTGGTGGAAGGGCGTTCCTCTACAGAAAGTCCCGCAAAGCTGGAATCGCTGAAAGGATCTGTAAAAGTGTTGAATTTAGGTTCAACAGTGTTGACTTTTGTTAAACAGTTGTTCAACGCTTTTTTAAACCCTTTTTCAACACTTTTTCAACACTGTTGAATACTGTTTAACACTGAATTCAACAGATGTTGAATTCAACAGTAGATAGTTACAGTAAAAGTGTTGAAAATAATGTACAAAAATGCAACAGTAAATCCAACAGTTGTTGAAACGGAGTCAACATTAAATCAACAGTACTTCAACACTTTAATCAACACTTTTTCAACACATGTTGGATTTATTCAACAATCCAGCTGTTTAATTAAAGAGTATCCCAAAAACTCAGCTTTTGCGGGACTTTCCTGCTGTTTTGTGGCTGCTGCGTGCGGCCGTTGCTACCGGTACCAGACTTTCTTGGGTGGGGTCGGGCCAGCTTCGCCACTACCGGTACCATGCAGTAGCTAGTAACACTACTAATACTAGTCTAGTGACAATAGCTACATGCACTAGTAGACAGACATGCAGCAGAAGAAACAAATCACCGGAGTCTCTACCGGTACCAAGACTACCTCTTCAATTCTGTGGCTGTGGTTATGAAAAGCGCAAAGGAAGGAAGCCTCTTCCAAAGGTGGAACAGAAGCCACCTGCCGAGTCTTTGGGGCTTCGTCTTTCGTGAGCCTATCGTGCTTCTCTACTAATAGCTAGTGCACTTGTTTTTTGCATCAGTCAAGCGAAGCAAGGAACACTCAGCCAAGAACGGAAGCATCGTTCTACTATTAATAGGTACTGGTACTGCCTGATAGCAAATGCACCCGATACTGTCTAGCTAGCTAGCTACCGGTTAGCAGCAACTGGCAGCCCGGAGGAAGCTACCGGTACGGTACGGTACTAGTTGTGAAGTCGAGTAGAGTCGAGTCCCTCACCTGAAGTACCGGTACGGTACCGCAACATCCGACGGTGCTACATGAGCGAAGAAGGTACCAGGTAACTCAGCTGTCCTGGCGATACTGTCTACCTAGCCAGCAACTGGCAGCCCAGAGGAAGCTACGGTAGTTGTGAAGCAGAGTCCCTCACCTGAAGTACATGTCCGTGAGCTTGGAACAACATCATCCGACTATGCCACACGTGCTAGTTACCTGCATGAAGCCTGCGAAAAGGGGCGGATACCGGCAGAGGATCTGCAGAGGAGGGCTTGCAGGCCCTCATGATTGAATTGGTTTTTACTTACTTCTTCATACGGAATACGGATCTTCCTGGAGGCCTGCTGTACCAGCACCGTTCCAATAGCTGTTCCATCCATCGTTCCCATGGTTTGTATAATGGCATATGGCATACTAGTATTCTAAAGGGTGTGATGTGTCTTCTTTTCGAGATTGATTTATTTTGTGACGAGTTTTTTTGTGAGATGACCAAAATGCGCAAAGTGCAAAGTGCAGAGGGGTTCCAGAGAACAAGGGAAGCTTTTTCAAGAGAATGGTTCCACTACGTACGTACCTCACATCGTTAAGTAACTCAGTCGCGCGGAACACGAACGTGGGTTCCCATTTTCAGTCCCAAACTTCCTGGAGTTCGTCAGTTCGTCTCTGGCTGCTTCTGCAGTTCTGCAGACACTCAGCTGCTCAGCTCCTGCTTGCCATCATCAGCCCATCAAAACCATCAACCTTCAACAAGACTACAGTAGTCGTTGCACATTGATGTCTGCTCCATCGTTGTACATCAGCAAGGCAATAGCTCTAGTAGCAAGAACGTATTCATCAAAGGCTGATCAATACTAGCTAGTACCGGTGCTAGTACTACAGCGAGAGCAAGATCAGCTCTCAACTAACACGCCCAGCGCAGCATAAAGTGTTTCAAGATAAGAGTAATGGGAGGAGCACGAACTGTTGGATTGAAGCGTTCCATGGCGGCCTTTGGAGATCTCTCTGCAATGGTAGACCGTCCGTCTGGCAAGAGGTCCAAGCCATTCTCTGCCAGCCGCAGTGCCAAGCACTCGTACCGACGCCCCAAGGCTCGTCTTTCCAGGACAGTGGATAGTACGATCGACATGTGGGCGCTGCTAAATCCAGCCACAGCCGCTCTGGGAGACAGTCACCTTCTTGACGTTGTCATTCCAGACGTTCTATTGATCCTCCCATCTCAGCCGGAACCATTGAACAAGCTGTCAAAGACCAAAATGTCGCCCAATGTCTTCAAACATTGTGTTGTAGACGCAGGCGGCCCCACTTCGCTCAAGCAACTACCTTACCCCGAAGTCGAAGAAGTCACCCGAGACTTGGCCATGGCCAGGTTGGAGGGCTCACACTCCCGTGTTCCACAGCATCTGGGGTCCATCCGACGGGGAAATGAACGCCTCTTCTTCTTGGAATAAATGGGCCCTTAGCTTGCTACCTATCTTTGCGACAGTGTGAGCTTGAGGCGACCTACCAAACAACTCTTCCTTCTTCCAAAGCATCCAACTTCCATGTTCATTATTTGAACCAATCACAATACCCAAACAAACGGATCGAAAGAATCGAATCCATGAACAAATTGAACCCATGAACAAACCAACCCTTATTGCACATACAGTACCGACCAGTACAACCCAGAACATTGATTGTCTTCAGTCTGTACATCAAAACACAACCACACTATACATACAAATCTACCGACAATCTTCATGTTCTCCTTGGAGGATGGTCTTGTTCCACTGTACAATGAAAGAAGCGCTGTAACTGCACATATTATCTCTACAGCCTCTTGCTTTCCCAACGACCATCTTCCCCAACCCCAACAAACAAACATCTGCTCTGAAGCAAAGGTCTTCTTGTAACATCTTGTCAAAACACCGACCAATCTATACTGCTTCAAGAGTCCAGAACCATTGCCTTCTTGCCATGTCAAGTCACGTCCCCAACAGTGCCACCTTCTGCACATATACAACTGTTTTATAATCTATGGCATCTTCGGACGGATCTGATTGTCAAGGCAACCGGCAAACTAATAACACACGAGGCCCACACACAAGTCATCGTTGAAAGACCAAACTTACATTTCCGGCAAACAAACGAACGAACCAGCATCCACTGTTGGTCCTCCCAAACGATACGGTAGCCACGGCACACCTCCCATTGTTCACTCATTGCTCCCTCGAACTTACTTGTACAAACGAACACGGGGCAGGGAGGATGCCGAGGGCTTTGGGGCCTTTTGCTGGGGTGGTGGGATCCCCTTTCTCTTTTATCAAATCCCACAGAGCCACAGTCCAGCATATATGCATCATGGACTTGCTCAGCTCAACCACAGTTACATACGTACTGTTTTGGAACCTGTTCCAAGCCTTTCATTTATACCACTCCACTCAAATATAGTTCTGCACTAGCTAGCTAATACTATAATGCAAAGCTATAACGAATCATACAACACTCAATCAGTACAGTACTAGAATCTTTTAATAAGAGACTTTTGCAAATGAAAAATAGCTTAGTGCCTTGCTGCTTGTCTCGATGCCTTCCCAGGCTAAACAGTCCGTTGTCTTCCTTCCTTCTTTCCTCAGCTTAAGAAGTACCTCGAACCGCTGGCAGTCTTGACAACATTGCCGGGTGCAATGGTACCGGATGCAATGGGACTTGTAGTGACTCGTTCTCCGTTGCGAAAGTTTTTGGAGCCTCGAATGGAGCCAGATACGGATTTGTCTCCATTCTTCTTCCATCCAGAGAGAGTGGGTACTCCGGCAGGTGCTGTCTTCTTCGCTGGAGCAACTTTCTTGGCTGGAGCAACCTTCTTGGCAACCACCTTCTTGGGTGCTACTTTCTTGACAACCGGTTTGGTGGCTTTGGGAGCAGCCTTGGGTTTTGGTTCTCCTCCGAGGCCAAACAGACTGATGCTGGCTCCAGGTTTTGCTTTCTCTGCCGCATTGACTGCGGATGCTGCCATTTTCGCCTTTGCGGCAGGTTTCGGGGCCGGCGTTGGTGTGGGGGAACCACCTCCAAGACCAAAGAGACTAATGCTGGCTCCCGGCTTGGCTTTCTCTGCTGCCTTGACAGCCTTTGTTGCCCTGGCAGGAGGAGCTGGCTTGGGTGCTGGCTTGGCTGCTGGTTTAGATGCTGGTTTAGGTCCACCACCAAAACCAAAGAGACTAATACTGGCTCCTGGCTTTGCTTTCTCTGCTGCCTTGACGGCCTTTGTTGCCCTGGCAGCAGGAGCTGGTTTGGGAGCTGGTTTAGGTGCCGGGGCACCACCAAAACCAAAGAGACTAATACTGGCTCCTGGCTTTGCTTTCTCTGCTGCTTTGACTGCCTTTGTTGCCCTCGCAGCAGGAGTTGGTTTGGGAGCTGGTGCACTTCCAAAGAGGCTGATTGTGGGCCTTGGAGGAGGAGGAGTTTTGGCGGTGGCTTTGGGTGTCGGTGAAGGTTTTGGTGCAGTCTCTCCACCAAATTCAAGACCGAACAGGCTGATGGATGCTCCAGGCTTGGCCTTTTCAGCTTTGGAAACGGCCGCTGAGGCCCTCTTCTTTTGCGCTTCCTGTGCGGCCGCTTGTTTCTTTGCCACTGCTTCTTGCCTCTTCCTTTCAAGCTCTGCCTTCCTGGCCTCTTCTTTCTGGCGTCGCTCCTCTGCCTGCGCCAGTCGCTTTGCCTCTGCTTCTTGCTTCAACTTCTCCACCTTTGCTCTTCCAGCTTCTTCAGCAAGACGGCGAGCGTCAACTTTCTGTTCTGCTACCGACCTCTTACTATCCGCTGCCGCCTGTTTGGCTTCTTCTTGTTGTCGACGTGCTTCCTCTAGAGCCTGTTGTCTCGCTGCTGCCTCGGCTTGACGCTTGTCTTCCAATTCTTGCTTAGCTTGTTCCCTCTTCTCAGCTGCAGCGGCTGCCCTTTGCCGTTCGTTCTCAAGGGCTGTCTGTCTGGCTTCTTGTTGTCTTTGCTTCATTTCCGCTTGCACTCTCTCCTGTTCCGCCTTCTTCTCTGCAGCCTTTCTCTCTTGTTCTGCCTTGAATTCTGCACGCCTCTTTTCTTGCTCAGCCCTTTGCTCCGCTAGTTTCTTGTCTTGCCCTGCCTTCAATTTCAGCTGTTGTTTGCGATACTCATCCTCCGCAGCCTTTTTTCTGGCTGCAGCCTCTGCCTTTCGAGCATCGGCCTCCGCTTTTGCCTTTCGCGCCTCCTCTAGTTGTTTTGCCCTAGCTGCATCAGCCTTCTTCTTCGCTTCGGCTGCGTTTGATGCCGGTTTGGTGGTGCTCTTTGGTGCAGCAGGTCCTGGGATGCTAAGTGTAGGCATTTTGAATGTAGGCGCGGCAACCTTTGTAGGTGGCGGCTTCTTCGCGGGGGTCTTCTTCGCGGGGGTCTTCTTTGGTGGAGCAGCCTTCTTTGGTGCATTTGAGGTTGCTGGCGACGACAACGGAAAGGTTGGCATCTTTGGAATGGTGAACGATGCAGACTTTTTCACGGGTGCTGGTTTCTTCGCAGCTGGCCTGGACGGCGCTGGTTTCTTCGCAGCGGGTTGTGGTTTCTTTGGTGGTGGTGTTGCTGGCTTTGGAATGGACAAGGTTGGGACCTTTCGAACCGATATCTTGGGAGCTGGTGTCTTGGGTTTGGGTGGCTGTGCCGGTTTCACCGCTGCTTTCACGGGTTGTTGGGCCTTAATAGACGACAGTGTCTCTATTGGCGGGGGTGTGACTTCGTCACCGAGAGGACGAGAAAACGGCTTTGGAATTTCAGAGGGTTTGTAGTCGTCTGCTCCACTACCTGTAATGGGTGCAAGAATTGTCTTCTGCAGTCTTCCCACAGCTCGCGGAATCGGTCGAGTGAGGAAGTCAGGAGACGCTTCTCCCATAGCATACTTGTACCCTTCTGGCCCTCCCAGACCCCCAGCATTACCTAGTAGTTGACGTGCGCTTCTTTCAGTTCACAGGATACATAGTACGTAGATACGTTGCCAAAGCTGTGCAATGGAACTTCATGCACTTTGGTGGCTACTTACCGAGTGTTGGATCCATGACATAACCCGAGGTAACCCTGGAACAGAAACCATCATCGTCAAATGTAAAGGACAGTGCTTGGGGTGGCCCTTCGAACCCTGGAGCTAGTGGTCTGATATCGACCCAAACTCGATTAGGGTCATAAGGATCAACACGGAAATGAGAGAGTTCTGGTTCAACGCCTTCAAACTCTTTCACGGCAAACTCCTCCAAGAATTTTTGCTTTTCAATGGGCCCTTTGGTTGGTGTCATGAAGGTAAACTTTTTTGCCAACAGAGAAGGGTCCGAAGCTCCCAAATTGGAGGACAAGATTCCCTTTGCCAGTTGGACCATTACAGTTTCAGGAAATGGAGCAAGGAAACTGGTGGATTCTCCAATTTGTGCTACTGGCCTTCCAAAGAAGCGTTGCGCCACAGTCAAAGGAGGATAGATTTCAAATTCCGAGGGACCTTCTCCTGCCACTGTCGCTGCTGCCATGACACCACACAATCCTCCCGTATTCCCAACCAGCCGATCCATGGAAAATCCGGTACATAGCTTTGTAATTTTTCCCGAGTCTGGGTCAAACGTAAGACTGACAGCCTCGGGTGGGCACCTCATGGTTTGACCATTGGGAGGCAAAACTTGATCTCTCAATCGCAACTCTCCTCTCATGGTTCCCACCATTCGACAAGTCACTCGCACCGTCAATGGATCGGCTCTATCAATCCGATAATCATGAGCCCGATAGTCCAGGTCGGGAAAGGTAGATCGAAGATCAAAGAATCGCCCAGCTGCTAGATAATCTACCTTGTTCAGAGGTTGATCGAGATAAGGACCAATGCAAACAAAGTCATTTGCCAGCAAGTTTCCATTGAGGATTGCCAAGTCCGATGCCAATGCAACTTTGGTCCTGGCAATGAGACTTTCGGGGCTGGTAAGATCTTCCAGTTCGTCCAACTCGGAAATATCCGAGGGGGAGACAACTGGGTTGAAGGGTTTGGAAGGCTCTGCGCTGCTGGTGTCTCGTGCAAAGGGATTTGGAAACTTGTCCATCACCATTGTCATCTCGGCTCTCCGTGAGGGAAGATTGAAGGCTTCGGCTTCTTCTTGGTGCCATGAGCCAAGCACCACGGCCAGCAAGGCCACGGGAAACATCCTCATGGTTGGTATAGTTTTTCTTCGGGACTGTCCACCAACGACTTTTGCTTTGTGTTATCTCCTATCTTTTGTCTTGCCAATGGAAATCAAGTCAGCCTCCAATAATATATCTTCTGGAGCTACCGTACATGCAGTGGCTACAGTATGGTAAATCTGTCGAATTCTGTGCCGAGCTGTATCTTTTGGTTTGGCGCATGGGCTCCTGCCATTGGCTGTTCGTTGAGCAAGAATCCAAAATCTTGTGGAAGCAAATTGGGCATCCGTGAAAGCTGAGTCACTCATCACTGACGTTAGTATTTTAAGCCATTGGAGCCGTTGTGTGTACCGTACTTTTAAAAGCCTTCAAGTGGCTGCACGAGATCGGCAGTCCATTTGGGACAAACCCTGTGTGAGAGTTTAGCAGATTGCATTCAGGGCAACCTGGAAGTCCAAAAAAATATGCCCATGAGAACGGTTGTCTATGGGATGCTGACAAATGCTGCCTTGATTCTTATTGACCATTCAAATATATTTTGCACTCGAATGTGGTTGTCCATGGGATGGAAACACATGCTACAAATGCTACCAACATGAGACCATGTATGTGAAAGTCCTGCCCTTTCCCACGATCCAAGGATTCAAATGCTTGCATCACCATGGGGCCTCAAGAGAGCTGCTCCATTGGTCCTTCTCATTATGGTACTTCTAATGTTTCTCTTTCATGGATTTGGCTTTTCCTGTTCCACCAATGATGTGCTTACTTTTAGCTATCTGCTATGTATGGAGAAGTTTTTCGTTCTGCTTGCTATTTTACAAAGATTGCTGCCTGAAGTATGACATAGCTATGAATATACATGTGCACGTTTACTTTGACTCGGTGCCGTGAGAGTGCATAAATGTTATGACAGACAGTAGTTTGCCATGCCACTACGGCCGAGGCTGCATCGGATCGCTATCTTGAGATGGTGGTGGCTGTTTCCTAGATTCCTTGTCTGTTGTTTTCCGTTCTTCCACCTCCGTTTTGGAAAGAGACGGAGCAGTGGATTGTTGTGGCATTGCAGATGCGTTCTCCCCATTGGGTGGTAGAGACAGGAATGGGTTTGAGTCTGCTTCTCCTTGTCCGTCGATGGGTCCCATTTGATCCCATTCGATGAGTTCTGGCTCCAAGTGAAATGCGGAATCTCTTCTATTCCTCAAGTCCGCATCGTACATGACATCTCTGTAGATTGCATCACATAGAATACTGAGTCTCAAGGACCCCTGGAATGGGTCTTCAATGGTGGATCCAATTTGATAGACCCCAAAGAGCGTCCACGAGATGACTCCCATGACCGGCGCGGTGAGCATACCGAATTCGTTTACCAATGCAAATGGCAAACTGAACAGCCAAATGGTTAAACTCCGCAGGGAATGCCGAGCATAATTCAATGGGCTAATGAATGAATGAATGAATGAATGAATGAATACCATCGTGGTAACATAGAATGAAAGAGAAAACAAGACAATAACACTGATGAGCCCCCTTTGCCCAATCACAAAATTGGAATCCACACAAAACTATAATACAACACTCACACTGCGGTTTGCGAAATTCTCTCGCATTCTCCAATACTCTTGGACAGTTTATCAATTTGCGACAAGAATGCCAATCGTTCCCTGGATGTGAAATTATCGGAATATCCGACATTGGTCAATTCTTGTGCCAATCGATCGCAGATCCAGAGCGGTCGATTGTCGGAATCGACGCATTTGGTCAATGCCGCTGGTGGCAACAAACACCACGGCAATGCCCGTCGATCGACGAGACACGTTTCGCATTCGTCTCGATCGACCAATCCGCAATAGACATCTTCGTCTTGTTGCTGTTGTTGTTGTTTATTTTTGCCGCCACGCACCCGTCGCATGGTTTGTGCCATGTAAGCGAGTATATTGCCATTGTCACTGTTATTCTTGTCTTGCTCGTAACACAGATCGGCACAGTCTTGCAATTTCAAGGCATATTTGGTTCCCTTGAGTTGATTGTAGTCTTTTGGAGTCAAACATTGTGGTTGAATGTGATGATGCAGGAGATAGGGGAATGCTCCGAGCAATCGAAAGATGCGATGTTTGCGTTCGTGGCCCAAATCGTCTTCGTACAAACACGCCAGTCGACTGATATTGCGTGAAATGGAAAGAATTTGTTCCCAAATTTTGCGTCCTTCAGCGAATCGTTGATAGGCCGAGTTGGTGCGAAAGACGAGCAACAGCCCCAGGGCACTGACGAGAAAGGAATGTGGTTTGCTGGAAATGCACATGGCATCGACTGCTTTCAAGTGCAACAGTTTGAGGAGTCTGTGTACGCCTGAAACGACGCAGGACCATACCATGACGGAAATAACGGGTCCTTGAATGGCTCGTAGAATGGTGGATCGAGGCAGACTCTTGACATTGGCCAACCAGTCGGAAGCACTGTACCGATGGTCATTGGGATCGCCGGTATACAGTGCTGTCGTGGGAGTCACATAGACATGCTCGTCGTCCAAGGAGGGATTGTAAATGAGATCAGCACCATTGTTGTTGTTGTTATCGCCGTTCGCATCTGTCGTTGTAGAGATACCTGATACTATTATTGGCTTCCGTATCCTTTGACTATTCGTTCGGAAGGTATTCGTTTGGAGTGGCAAAAAAGCATTCCCCGATTGTCCCAACATCAACACAACTGCTGCTGCTGGTGTTATCAGCGCTGTCTTGAACCTCCAGTGTCTCATGGCTATACTAGTATCCTTCTTCTTCTGTCTGCTACTATCAGACAAGGACAAAGACATGGTACTTCAGTTTCAACAGAACAATGACGGGAAGCTGCCACAAGATCAAATTTTGAACTTCTCTTTGGTCGATTTTGATGACGTGGTCAAAAGATTCTTTCACAATTGGAGGTCGAATCTTCCGCACAAAAGAGCTCATGACCTGACTAACTGATGCCAACCCCTGATCGAATTGAGACATCACAGAGCTCACCTATCATCATCTGTCTCACTATTGACATCAACCCTTCCCTTCACTTCAATCCTGTTGTTGTGGATATACTAGTACAGTACTGACCATGGCGATCTTAGAGGCTAGAAGACCGATGTTGGTAGCCAACCTTCTGTTACTAGTTATCTCCCTGGCAGGGTACTCGGTGGAGGGCTTTCAACTTCCTGCCAGATATTCCCGCTCGGTATATACATACCCCCAAGCACATCATCCACTATCCGTCCTGAAAGCTAGTTCTTCCTCCAATGATGCCGACGAAGAACTAGACCTGAATGCCCTCAAAGCGGAATTGACAGAATATCTGGCCAAACGAAAAGAGGTCGATGCCGATACAGCGGCTCAGAGACAAGTTGTAAGTTTCCCCATATTTGCATCACAGGGGTATATGATTTGGTTTTTGTTCTATGATTGGATAAGCTGTTGATTTAATACCACCTGTGAGCTTGGTATTGTCACATTTTGAGGTACTTGAATATCTAATCTGTCTCTCACTAACTATTGACTTGAATTGGATAATCTTTGACTGACAGGGCAAAGTGGTCGGAGGCACCAAGGGAAATCCCATTCTAGAATACGTCAGTGGATCTCCCAATAAAGAAATTGTCATTGACGAAGCGCCAAATGCATTTGACTATGACGAACTAGAACGGTATGGGTATGGATCTCTCGTCACCACCATTATGAAAAACGGTGGAAGGAATGCCATGTACGATTTGCTCGGCATGGAACGACCACCACCGCCCAAACGACTCAAACCAAAAAAGGCACCCAAATTGGTCATTGACAAGACGGGAGAAACCGATCGAGCACGATACACGGGCCTCAAAATGGGACAAGTCATGGACGACGACCTCATGGCGGAAGCACTCGCCAATGCACAAGCCAAGGCACAAAAGGGAGAATCGTTGAGACCCAAAATTGCAGAAGAAGACTATGTACAACCGTTTGCCGATAAGCGCAATACCAGTCCCCTACAAACGCCCGATTGGACACCCGAAAAATTGGACGAATACGGAAAATCACGAGGGCGAGCATTGGCATGGGCGCGACGTGCCAAACTGGGAGAATTTGTGCAAGATCCAATGGAATCAATCGATTTGCCACTCGTCTTTCGCGTCTATGCCATTGGGGCCGCATTTTTTGTGGCATTTGCGTTTGGACGGGCTACTCCCAATCTACTCGCGCAACTCGACATGTCCACGGATATCATGGGGCTCTTGCAAGTACCGGCATTGGCCATTGTCGTGGCCAGTCTAGGATCGGCCATTGTCAATGGGGTCGTCTTGGCACCCTCCAAAAATAGAAATACACTGGTGTGGGCCGTCAAAGGATTCTTGGCAGGACCCGTGGCAGTATCACAGCTTCGTGGATTGGAAGATTTGGTCACACTGGAGGAGGAAGAAGAAAAACAACGGCAACAACAGCAATCATAATGAAGATTGAAAAGTGAGTTTCTTTGCTTGCTCTCAAACGACAACAGGAGAGGAGATCTCCTGAAACACAGAGAGGTGGTTTCTTCCTAAAACCGTTCATCGGCAGATTTTGCTCCAAGGCATGGATGCAGAATTGATTGTTGTGGCAGATGGATTCACACGGAGATAGATCAGGCCGTCGCGAGAATGAAACTGATACATGAACACAACCAAAAGCGACAAATTGACTGTGATATCGGATATCCGAAGCATGAAAGTGTTTTCGGTTGTGCTACTAGACAACTACATTTTGACTGTGGAAGTTGCTAGCTGGAAAGATAAGTGTAGGATGATTTGATTTACGACTAGCTAGCTAGGATGAATAGAGAAAGCTTGTGTTTTGTTTTTGTCTTTCTAGTACAATTCAGTTTAAACAATATACAAGGGGATAAGAGAAATCCCTGCATGATGGGTGCACCCATTTTTGTTTTCCAGGTGCACCACTTCCCTTTCATTGGGCACATCACGTGGCAGTTTTTTAATCAAGCGAAATGTTGTAAAGAGGGCCATCAACTCCTGTTGGTACTGCTGCCTCAATATCTACTCCAACATCTGTGTCATCCCGAGGCTCTGTCTCACTGTCACCGCAGCCATCATCCTCAGTTCTTGTCCAAAACTTGAGGTAGGCACCCGCACCAGCTGCAGCAGTCAATGTAACGGCACAGACCATACCAGAAATAATGGGCATATCCCAGGTACTGTCTTGACCAAAGACGCCGCCCTCGGAAGAGCTTGGGGCAGACGTTTGCTCTCCAGCTGGGGCGGGACTAGGTTTGGCACTGGGTGTCATGGAGGGAGAGGCCGATGGAGGGATGGTGGGCAATCCGGAAGGACTGATGCTGGGAGCTCCAGTTGGTTCAGTGCTGGGAGTGATGCTGGGTTTTCCGGTGGGAGCTTGAGAGGGGATTGAGGAAGGGACCAGACTAGGAGCTGCACTTGGACTGGCACTGGGAGATGTGCTGGGCATGACACTGGGAATACTGGAAGGAGTCATGCTAGGAGAAGAGCTGGGCATTGCACTGGGAGCACTGCTGGGAGGAGCAGTGCTCAAGTTGTCAACCCATGTACAGTGAAACACAAAGCCTCTGGTGATGCAGTCATCGGGTGATGTGATGACGGAGGGTCCATTGCGGCAAAGTGTTCGGCTAAGGAACTGGTCATCCTCAGAAACATCCAGCATTTCAACTCCACAGAATGGGTTGGCATCCAAAAAGACCTGGGTTTGTCCTCTAGCCTCTCCATTTGAGTCCTTTGCTTTGATGACACCAAAAGCAGCAATGGATCCTGAGTAGCTCAGAGCCAAAGAAGAAATGGCAGACTCATCATAGGAGAAGGTTCCAAGAAGCTCCAATGATCGGAATGCAGTTCGGAGGTAGCTGCGCACAATGCCCTTGCTGGTTGCCGATCCAGCCAGAATACGGTCAGCACTGTCAGAGATGGCCACCATGGAACCAAACTTTTCACCTTGTTCGTCTCCAACCATGGGGCTGTCTCCAATGGGAAGCCAGGTCTGTTCTTCATGGACTTCAGGGCGTTCAAAGTGGTACACACTCACACAACCAAGCCCACCAGCACACTCGGGAGCTCCCACTACCAAATGTGGTTTATCGTCAGTGTTCAAGGACATGGCGTTTCCAAACTTGTCTCCTTTGTTCTCTCCATACAATGTGTCACCATGAAGAGTTACCTGTCCATCTGGGGTGAGCTTGAATACTTGGACCATTCCTCTCCAGCCATCAAAGAGAGGACTGGAAATGGCAAGGATGATGTAGTTGTTACTGTTGAGATTCATGGCAGTTTCCCAACCAAAGAGGCCTCTTGTTTCTTGAGGGTTGATGGTAAAGAGAATGTCCCAGTGATTGCCATTCAAGCGGAGAATCTTGACCACACCTGCCAGAGCATTGGCACCTTCACAGCTGACAGTGAGCAAGGTACTCTGTCCGAATGCAGAATGAGGAGGTGTCTGATGCAACTTGACATTGCGGTTCCACAGGCTGTAAGGACCACAGACATCAACAGGAGCTCCCAACAAGTCGCCAGTATCAACTGAATGGACCTTGACATTATCCTTGTGACGAATGGCAATGACCTTGCCATCGGGTGAGAGAGAGATGCGATGGGTGACAGGCTTGTCGGTGGTACCATCCAGGATTTGGATTCTCTTCCAAGCAGTGTCAGTAGTAATGTCTTCCACATTGGACTTGATCTTGGTGCGTTCGTAGAGTGTCACAGTTCCATCTTGTCCCACCGCCATGCGGTCTCCACTGTGTGACAAATCCACCACACGTCCATAGTTGATGTTTTTGCTGGAACCCACCAGAGTCTGTCCGAGAGTCTTGACACCGTCTGGAGGAGTCACCATGGCAAAAGTGCTTGTCACCATGGTGGCGGCCATCATCAAAGTTGCAAGAAAAGAGCGAGTGTTCATCATCATCATGTTCAAAGGTGGTAGTTGTATCGAATGAGAGATTGACTTTGAATGTAGATGTTGCTGTCGCGTTGTTGTCGTGCTGTAGCGAGATCCAGAGTTGGAAATTATGAGACTCAGAATGAATGAAAGACGCTGGGATCATCGAATGAATGAGGAAACGGCCCTGACAGAGTGCCGTTTCAGGTCCGTTTCTTGTACGTCCAAATTTTCCGTCGAGGATCGTCACGAGGGAGCAATGTCGTTTCGTGGTGGTTTTTCTTTTGGAAGCACTCACTCAGCGTTGGTTTCGATCCATCATGCCTACATCCTTGTGGTGTATCGTACGAAGAAGAGTGGGCTTGGCAGCTGTGACCCAGATAGCAAAGTTAGTTGTGCCCGGACTTGCCAAAGGCAGCATGCCACCGGTACGGACGCTGTGGTTGAACTTGTGGTCGCATCGCACAGATGATCGGGTGGTTTGGTGGACGCACGTTTGACCCTTGTTGTCACAGCCGCACCGTCACGCCACCAAAAAGCCTTGCCGAAAATTAAGTCAGCGGGAGCTGCGATACCTCGGCAGAAAGACAGATAGAAGAAGGAGGATCATGTTCGGATTGCACCCATCTTTCAAGCTAGCCCTGGCGACAACACCCGACTACGTCGTGTGTTGCCGCCCGGTATCATTCATTCCCTCATTGCAACCTTCTTTTTATTAAAAGCTAGCCCTGGCGACAACACCCGACTACGTCGTGTGTTGCCGCCCGCCACTCTATAATTTACCAGCTGCTATTCCCTTATTGTAACTCTAACCTTTACAGCTCCTGCTGGCTTATTGTGCTTTTGTGATGATTGCACTAACCTTAAATATTAATGATTTATTCCTACCCCTAACTTGTATTGAACCATCAATGTTCAGTTTTGTTGGCTTATGACTATCTCTATCTATCCTTATTTTGGCTTCACCGGAATAGGAAATAGCATTAAAGGGGTTGAGAACTCAGGCAGTTTACCTGCCGAAAATCAAGTCCATGAATTTCGATTGCATTTCAGCCCTCTTCCGCATGGGTCGACTCCGTGATTATCAAGCTAGCTAGCTTTATGGAGAAGTAGGTTAGGACGAATAACTACTAGACTAGCTAGTAATACAATGGAGCAGCAAGTGGCAGAAGCGGCGTTGGCCATGGTTCGATCTAACACGGACGCAGCGACTCGAACAGCAGCCTCTCAGTTTCTGGAACAATGGACGCGGACTCCTGAAGCCTGGGACATTTACGCCAAGTGGCTTCGGTCCTTTCGAGACAACCATGTTAACCACGATGTGAATGGAGATGCCATTGGAATGCAGCTATTATGCCTGACGCTACTACAGGCCAAGATACGGCGAGAAGTACCGCGTGGCACATCCCCCAATGACTCTCTACAAGCCGTTCGCAATGAACTGGGCTCCTTTCTAGGTGGCAATCGCAATATCATCAACAACAATGGCGCACAACAACCACTACAATCAGCAATACACGAACAAGCACAACTGAACCATTCCGTAGTGACGCCGCTCTGTATATGCATAGCTGGATTGGCGGCCAGATGTGGAGGAGTCCAAGATTTGATTTCGCTGTGTCGATTGAGCAATACAACACAAATGACCAATGGCTCTTCTGCTTCTTCGTCGTCTTCTCCAATGATTCTACCCTCTAATGCGCTCCGACTACTCGCCTGCTTGCCACCCGAAGTAGAAGCGTGTGCCGAATTGCGATCTCATCAAGTCACGGCCGAACTCTGGCCCTACCTAGAACCTGTACTGGACACCATCCGAATAGCTCTGGCCAGAGAAGACACCATTGCGCCGGCATTGGAAGCTCTCAAAAATTGGAGTTCCATCTGTCACGTATCACTCTCTCATCTCAGTACTCCCACGTGTGGAGGAACCGACTGTTTGCTTCCGTTACTCATCCAATTACTCTCGGCGCAACAACCATCTCGCTCGGATGTCATTATTTCGGCAAGTCGAGCATTGACCGAAGCCATTCTGGTACCCAGTGACAGTTGTACACCGGCACGACAAGCCGCAGCGTCCATGCTATTCAATGCCATTGGAAGTCATGGATTCGTGGCGGCGCCTCTGGCATTTGCGACACGACACGAATGGGAAGATACAGCTCATGCTTTGGCGACTCTTGTCTGTACACTGGTCACGGAAGAAGTCGACTATATTTGTACACTCCCAGCCGAAGCACTCCTCAATCTATTACTGCAGATTCAATCGCATCCACATACGCCAGTCACATTGACGGCTTTGGAATGCTGGTTGACTGTACAAGAAACACCCGCCAGTGCCAGACACAACAATTGGAAGGCACCCTTATTTGAAAAGGTCGTCCAAGGCATTGTAGCACGCATTACACTGCCAGATTCATTCACTTCCTGGCAAGATGAATTGGACGTGGATGAATCCGAATTTGAAGAACTGCGACGAATGGTAGGAGACGTCCTCATTAGTTCCTATTACCTACTACGCGTACAGTTTGTACAAATGATGGCTTCCTACATTCATTCCAACAACGTTATTCATTGGCCTGTCGTAGAATCGGCACTCTTTTGTATGGTCAAAGTGGCACGAGAAGTATGTGCCCGCATCAAGGCACGGACCGGTGGGAGCAGTGTATCGGCTGATCGAGATGCCACCTCGCAACAATTGCTGCAGCTAGTAGAGCAGCTCTGTGGAACTCCGTCTGCGGCCGAATCGGCGGCACGGAAGCACCCGCTAGTCTTGTCGGGTGTGTGCACATTTGTCGGAGCATATGCCCAGGCGTGGAATGTCAAGTGTCCGCCAGAAGCCTTGTTGCAATTGTTGGCGTATTTGAGACAAGCCATGGTACCCAGTGCCGTGGTCGATGCGGCCAAGGCTACGCGCTTGATTTTGGTCAATTGCTCCACGCGATTATTGGCAGGCGAACAACAACAATTATTAACCTCGTTGAGAGAAACTCTGGATGCTGTCTTGTCGACAGAAAATGAAGAGGCCATGGCCACCGTGGCGGAAGGATTGACACGATTATTGGTGCAAATCAAGGAAGAATCCATCGTGCGAGATTCATTGGCCAATTTGATTGGACCTTTGCTACAACGTGCGGAAGCAGCAATCAGCGTTATACCAATTGGAGAAAGTGGGGCCGAGGCTTCGCAGGAAACTCATATTGCGGTGGAATCTCTGGCACGACATTTGCATGTGTTGCAGGTGATTATCCGTTTCTGTGATACGGGTGCCCCGATTAGCGATGTGATTGCATCTGTGTGGCCTGTGTTGGACAAGGCCGCACAACGTGTCCCTCAGTTCGAATTTCTGCTGGATCCCCTCTTGTCGGTTCATGAACAGCTTTTGAGAACAGCATCAAACTTTGTTTCGCCCTATTTTGAACAGACCATCCAATTTGTGGTCCAAGTCTTTGAAGCATACAAGCACCCCAGTTCGTTGGAATACGTTTCTGGAGCTGTGGAAACATTTGGTGCCACCAACGTCGACTCTTTTCGGCAACTGTTGAACCATGTATCGCTGATCTTGTTCAGCTATATTTCCTCTGGGAGACGACCGCACGAATGCCCAGACCTCATTCGATCCTATTTCGAGACATTGAAACGTTACGTGATCTACTGCCCATCCGGGCTTTTGGGCTGCGAGCAATTCACAACAATCTGCAAAGTCTCTTTGGAGTTTCTAGTCACGTGCCACGGCGAGAAGGAATCAACGAGAGCCATCCTGAACTTTTTAACTCAACTGTATGGATGGCGCTTGTCGCGACTGGACAATGTGGCTACTGCAGCCCTAGAAGCCAATAATGGCCTCATTGATGAGCAGCTGGCACAGCACGGCAGTGGCATCACTCGTGCTTGCGTTGGTGGTCTCTTGGGTGGGCCGACAATGCTATGGCCAGCCTATGCAGACTGCTTGTTTGCTGTTTTCTCTGTGGTTGTGACACGGCAAGCGGCCCCTCCTGACGGACAGTCGGACTCGACTACCGTTGCTCATCAATGGATGTTTGAAGCACAGCAGGGCAGCACTTTGCCAGCTGAAACGTACAGCCACGTGGTTTCCATTTTGACTTCCTTGGCAAGGAACGGATCGAAAAGCAAGTCCAAAGCAAAAATGTTGCTCACAGACTTCGCCAAGATTGCCAAGGGAGAAATGACAACAGATGCCCTGGTTTCCTACAGTCTTGCCTAAATTTGCTTGGTTCTCACGCGAAGAGAAACAATCGCATTACTGCCGTAGTTATGAAGTAGCAGCGCACACCGGAAGCTTGGTTTGAAGGCACCGAGATATCATCAACTAACTATTGAACTTTCTTTCAATTGCTTCTTCTATTTCATTTTATCGTTTGATCTACTTACATGTAACGAGCAAGGTACTCATTCTTTGGAGGTTTGTGCGTTCAACTCAAACCAGGCACAATCTTCTTCACATTACCAATCGCCTCGTTCCTTTCGCCAGTCCAATTGAAGCCAGCCCCCGATCCAATAATAGAGGCGCTCTGCTCTTTCTTGTATCCACCTCGAGCATACTCCTTATCCGTCTTCAGCCAAGGAAGGCGCTTGGCTCCAAAGACATCACCATTATCCCAAGATCCTCCTCGGACCATGTAGGGCACATCCTCGTCCTTGATCTCGCCCTTCTTGAGCTGTGCTCTGTACCCAAATGGAGCAAAAGTATGACCTGCCTCACCTCTTTCAAATGCCTCTTGCCATGCTTGCATGGATCGAGACTTGAAGCCACGAGGACCTAGCCTTCCCAAATCTTTTCCCAAGTTCTTCCTGTCTTGTGCCTTGATCTTCTGGTATTCTGCTGCAGTTAAACCATCAGGAACATAAGCATGCAACGATGAAGACGACTTCAAACCTGTCTGGGGTACTGAAACTGCTGTGAAAGCACTGATGCTCAACACGCAGATAGCCTGGATGGCAATCAGGATGATTGCGCTCTTGAGGTTCATCATGGTGTTTGTAGGAGTTTGATTGCTGTTTCTTTTGCTTGATGTCGTTTTTGTTTTTGTTTTCTCAAATCGAGTTTTGTGAGCATCGAAGGTAAGGATCTCTCTGCTAGCTAGACAATTCAGTTGCTGATTTCTGTTGGTGTGCTGGCTCAGTTGCTGAGTGACTATCGGTTGTGTTCCTGGAGTTTAGTTGCTACCCTGATTCATTCCCGGCCGATGCCTCGAAGATGAGTTTCGAGTTCAGCTATTGTCTCATTTCTGCGCTGTTGGAGTGGGAGTCGAAAGCATTAAGGATCGCCATCATTAGAAGTGCGACTGATAGTGAGTCACTTCGCCATGGTTAGAGTGCGACTGATACTAGCAGTGAGTCACTCCCACACCGAAGCAATTCAAACAGGTCGAAGCATTGCTCCTGGTTCACCAGGGGTTTAGACTAGGTTGTTCCGTTGGCTGCCACCTCCAGCGACTGCCGTGGCTGTGGGGTGTCAGCTTCAAAACGAGAAGGAAATATGCATACTCTAGAGCTAGTACCTGGTAGCCAGTGATGAATACTAGTACGTCGATCGTTGCCTTTCAAACCCGACAATAGAACTCCGCCGACGGCACCACCCAGGAAGAAACTGCGAGCCATACTGCCATCCGCTCCGTCGATACCGTACCGGTAGTCTCCCTTGCGCTGCATTTATCATCTATCAGGGTTGCAGCGAGTAATTGGAATGTCCTCGGCTGCATAGCACCTTTGATATAATTGCGTTGATTCATTCGGAAGTACAGTACGATGCCACTGACCTCAACATCATCTCAAGAATAATCTATTGGACTCTAAAACTAAAGTAACATCCAACTTTCTCTTGCTGGTCTGGACTTCGTGGTGGACACCATTGCAGTAGTGGCTTGCTGCACCGGTATCAGACGTCGTTTTTGTTCCCGCAAACAGCCATGAATCCAATGTTTCATTGTTCACACCAGACTAACTTGGTTTGAAGCGGCGGTACAATGTCAGGGCGAGCCTTGTCTTCCATGCAGTTGGGACTTAGAGAGGTGTCTGTGCAAGGCTCCCAGAGCAACAGCTGAGCAACCGGTACCGTGCGATCTCGTAGAAGCTATGAGTTTCCCGCACCCCATTCAACCGTCTTGCACCACCCCGGTGTTCACGAAACTTGCAAGTAAGGCTCCCACCTACTAGTATGCTGTGTGTGATCTATTCCATGCGAGGCATCTAATTTTCTTAAAGTTTAAAGCTGATTTTCAAACGAGATAACCTCAAGACTGATAAGGTAATAGGCTTGCCATCCCTTTTTGAAAATGGGAAACTTGATCTTCACAACGAAGCCAGTACCAGGTATTACGATACAGCCTTTGTGCTGCATGTTGGATATTGGTCGTCGTCAGCACAATTTTGGCTCCTCAGCATTCATGATAGAGTCTCCGCAGCAATTGCCTCCCTACACCTCGGCCTTGACAGGCCTGATCTACACGATGTCACCTTTGGTTCGGCTCCAAACATTCCAACTATTTTCCAGTGGAAGATTTCCAAGAAGCACCCTCCATTCTCCCCATAGACTTTTGAAATATTACTCAGGTTGTCCTGAATGCTGGAGGACACAGCCTCCAAATGCACTTGTCAAAAACATGTAGAGGAGACCCTACACCACACCTTTCGCCCTATACACAGAGAAAAGTATAAAAGAGTATAATCGCAAACAGACCCACAACCAGTAGTATATACACATTGTGTCGGAAGGCTCTACAGCGTGCCTGTCGCAGGGCAGCCGCCCTATTACTGCTGTGATTGGCAGCCGATCTCGACCTGTGATTGGCAGCCGATCTGGACTCTCTCCCTGTCGAGGGTAACTCTGCCACCACCACGCCAGTCTCCCTCAAAGTTCGGGCAATGACAGTGACATGCGTTGGTGTTTCCTTGATGATATTGGCAGCTTCCACTGCTGATAAGTGGTGGCACGTGATTCGGTTGATGGAAACAATCTCGTCACCCTGGTTGATAAGGGAATTCACAAAGACATGTCCCTCGCATATACTGGAGACAAGCAATTTGCCATCGTGTCCAGATCGTGTGAGTACCAGTCCACAGCGCTCTTGCTTGTGCGATTTAGTGACCATGCTTTCGACAAAGACTGGGGAACCACCCTTGTTATGGACGACGATTTCTATGGGTCCCGTCAAAGACTGCACTAGCTTTCTGATGGAAGCACTGCCCATGGAACTACACAGTTTCTTGTTGATTGAAATGAGTCGATCACCCACTCTCAATGGCGATGAGGAAGCCTGGCCACCATCCCGAATCGAAGCAATGCGTGGCTTTTTCTTGCAGAGATTGAATCCCAAGCCAGTAGAGGCATCCGGCTTGACAAATGTAGCACTGATAAACTCGGCTCGGGCAGATCTGGCCAGCCATCCAGATTCAATGTCTCTAGCTGTGGTCACAAGCTCGGCCACGGCAATGGCCGTTGGACATAGCTGAGCCTGGACACCTTCCTGAACCTTCTGGATATCTTCTCCATTGGCCGAGTACTCAGAGGACAGCTCAATCACGGGTAAGTCATCTTCTGTATGAGTGTTAGAAAATGTATCAGAAAACGTTTCGGCATTGACTGCGGATGCCTCTTCAAAGTGGCTACTGCTGTGGTGGTGGTCCGTCATCACTGTGTTGGAAGTACATCTAGCTAGAGAAGCATTCACAGCGATCAGTCACAACTGTTCATCGGCTAGTCTTACCACGGAAATAAATACTAATAGATATCTTGTGCAAATTACCTTGGGTTGCTTTTGTGCTCTTCATCGTGAACAACACAAAGAGATGCGGTACCAGCCTTTTTGACGTTTGTTAGGCGAGAAAGGGGTGGACGGCAGTGATCTGATTGGCTGAGAGGACCGAAGAACAATGTATATGTCAGCGATATATAAGGAACAAGATTTAAATCAATTAACGTACCATTTATAGTTATTACGGATACAGTGTGCTATAAAGTTCGAAATTTCGTGTTTCTGTTTTCGCGAAAGAAGGATTCCGTTGAAGAAGATCGACAATGACACATTCTGCCGCTGCCGCTCAACTCACAGTCATTATCTCAGCCAAAGCAGCACATCATGACCGAACAGCAGCAACAGCAGCAGCAACAACAGCAGCAACAGCAGCACCACACAATGGAGAAATGGCTGCCAAAGTCAACAGAGGAACTCGCAACAGAAGAGAGCTTATGAACTCGCCAAATTGCAACAACAGATCCAAGAGAGCCAGAGAAGAAGGACCGCAAAAACACTGGGAGGAGGGTAGAGAAGTCTTTGATCCATCAGACACTGTCAGGTCTGTAGGGCCAGACATCTTGGTTCAGATCCCAGAGATCACACTCTGTCTTCTGTATAAGAAACAATAACAAAAGGACAAGGACCTTTGAATGCCTGACCATGGAGACAATCAAAGAAAGCAGAAGACTCACAAGGCAATTCAGTGCTCCTCTCCACTGAATGAGAGAGGAAGCTGGAGGCATTCACAAGAGAAAATGGAGAAGATTCTTTGCTGCTAGAACAACACAGCCAAAGCCAATCCACAGCCAAAGGAATTCAACAAAAGTACAAGGCTACTCCAGCTGTGTTCTGCGAGAAAGTCACAGCTCTTGTAGAGGATGCCACCTTTGTGGAGAAACACAAGACCAAAATAGCACCACTGGCAATGATAGCAATGGCAGAAGCATGTCAGAATCCATTACCAGTCAAAGAACAGGACTATTCCAGCAACACTTGATGGACTCACCATGACAGTCCCATCCACAAAGGAGCAATTCGAGTTCCTCACTACCACTCCATTGTTGGGCAGAAACTCCTCTAGTGGACTGGAATCGATGTGCATTACTGTACCTTGTCCCGATGGAAGATGCTCTGGCCAACTCAAGAATCATAGAACACAATGGTCCTGGAGTAAGACTCTCTTTCCAATCTTTGGCATTGCTGGCCCTCCATCTTGGTGTATGGTCATGTCCATGGTCTGCAGCTGCTGCAAGAGAGATTTGATCCAACCAATCAGAGTACTGGTGTCAATCCCAGAGCATGTTTCCTTGCTATATCCAGTAGAGCCAAAGTACGCTTTTCCCAAAACAGACTATCATTTGGAGAGGACTGCAACAGAAGTGTTTGACACTATAATGGTTACCTATGGAAATGGTGACCTCTGCAGCCGCCTCATCTACAATGCAATCAACAGAGAGTTCATTAGGGCATGATGTCCTACTATTCTTACTGGCAAGGTAATGAGAGGGAACCTCCTCCTTTCGTTTCAAAGGATGGAACTTACATCAGACAATATCCTCCTCTTGGTGAACCATCCGTGACTCTATGATGGCTGTGCATCCAACAGACACCATGGAGGATCAGTGACAATGACAGGCACACAAGGGAGATCCAAAGTGTCAGCTGCAACAAGGTATCTTCTGTCAAGACCACACTTTCCAGCCAACAAAGAACTACAGAAAAAAGACACTGCAGGAGCTGTGCCGTCTGGGATGCTGCCACGGAGACTGGAGAGATAGCTTCTGCAGTGCTGGTTCCCACAACCAAGACCATCCACTTCTCCCATGCTGCATGCAGCTAGCAAGAAGACCAACTTCAATCCAGCTGTCATGTAAGTGATACCTGCCCAACAAGGATCACTATGGAGTTCTTTTCCAGGTATGAGGAAGACTTGGCCTGTTCCATTATGAGAAAAGAATCTGTCAACTTTGAGGAAGGGCACATTGATCACTTCCAAGCAATGAAGACCTTTTGGACTGCCTGTATGAGTACTTCCTCAGGACTATGAGAAGCTTCTCCATGCTCTGAAACATGGCTCTTGTCTCAATGGCAAACACTATTCCATGGTCTATCTCTTCTC